TGTCTGGCCTAACTCACTAGGCTTGTCGCGGCCGCCGCAGTAGCGAGGTCGGGTTTTCCACTGATACTACGTGTAGAGACACGAGGAAGTGCAGATCCTGAGGTAGTGGTATTGTTGGACGCTCGCTTGGCGGGGCTGGACGGTGGACCGTTAATGGTCGAGTGGCGTTTTCCGCTGGTGCTCTTGACAGGGGACGTGCCTGAGACATCGCGAGAGCGCGTGTAGGTCCCGGTCTTTAGTGTTGTGCCTGGGGGCTCAGGGAGCGGGCGACTTGAGGACGTGGGCCCTCGCTTGGAGGGCGAGTTTGATGTATAAAGCCGAGGCCGAGCGGGAGCTTTCACTCCAGTGATGAACTCGTGCTTCAGTGCATCGTGGGGCGAAAGTCGACGAGCTGGGTCCCAGCGGAGACAGCGAGTGATGAAATCAAGGAAGGCCTCATCGTCACACTTAAGAGCCTGCCGAAGTTCCTTGGAGCTTGGACGACGCCGACGTCCCTTGGAGGACACAGTCAAACGTGGTTTGCCAAGAGAGTCAAAGAATAGCTTCTTGCGGGAGCTCTTCTCGATCAAGTGCTTCTCGGGAGGACCAAAGACTTCCATGATACAGGCAAGCTGCTCCTGCTCATTCTCTCCAGGGAAGATGGGATAGCCCGTGAACAGCTCAGCCAAGATACAACCCAAACTCCACATATCAATGGGCATACCGTAGGACATTCCAAGTATAACCTCTGGAGAACGGTAGAAACGACTTTGAATGTAGGTATAGACCTTTTCATTCTCGAAACAACTTGAACCAAAGTCGATGACACGGATCTCCGAGTTCATTGGGTGAACGAGAAGGACGTTCTCGGGCTTCAAATCACAATGGATCACCTTTTTCGCGTGCAATAGAACAAGACTGCTCAGCATTTGCTTGGTGAAAACACGAATCAGCTTCAATGAGAAGCCCCGGAATTCGTGTGCCTTGATGAACTCGTAAAGGTTCATGCCGAGGAGTTCTGTGGAAATGCAGAGATGACCACGGAAGTAGAAACTTTGAGTGAAGTTGACCACACTGTGCTTCCCATTGGGATCCCACTCTTTCAATTTTTGAAGGAGGTTGACCTCAATGAGAGCTTGTTGGTGGAACCGCTTCTTGTTGCGAATAATCTTGATCGCAACAAGGGCGCCGGTTTTGTGATCGACGCATCGCACGACTTGTCCAAAACTGCCCTTCCCCAAAACATCCACAACCTCGTACCGGTAGGCCAAATGGTCACCCATTACAATGTTGTAGTCACCACGATCATCGTCATATCCAAAATTCGCTGCACCAGAGTGGAGGTCGCCAACATGCTTCTTGGCAGTTTGAGTACCACAAAAGAAGATATCACGATAATCAATAATCTCGCCTCGCTCAAAGATGTTGAGATTTGCCATCTTCAGAGCTTGGGCAGGACTAACACGGTCCTTTGGTCCAGCTTTGCGGCGTAAATCATCTAATACTCTTGCTGCCTTTTCGAAGTCTTTGCGTTTAGAGCCAAGTCGCTTCATCTCCTCATCAGCAATCACCACATCAGCATCGACACTGGTGTCGGCGGACCGAGGAGCAGCTGCAGCACTGGATCGGGCGTTGTTGATCATCTTATGTACCGGAGAGATGTAAGTGCTCGTCACGCGCTTTTGAGGTCGATCACTATCACCAGACTCATTCGAAGGACTCGGTTCCAGGTTAAGACTCTTCTCACTGCTGACACTGGGTTTCCGGGCAGCCGGGTTTGTTGCACTTGAAACAGACGACTGTCGCCGAGGATTGAGATAGGACGGCTTGAGACTGGGGCTTGTCGAGCTGACCGAAGACAGATTGTTCCACGTCGCAGAAGCCGGGAGTTTAGGTGGCGGCATGGAGTTGAACTTGGCTGGGTCTGTTTCAGTTTCGGATGTTTTCTGTGTCCTCGAGTTGCTGCGAATACGGGCTACCTTGAGACGGTCTCGAAGCGAGGAGCTCGACGCAGTGACACTTTCGGGCTCAGAAGGTGTTGATATCTGACTGAGTCGTTCTGGTGCGGGGGTGAACATGGCACTTTGGGTTTGAGGCCGGGGTCCGTTCAACTTGTGTGTTTGCACCCGACTCGAGTAATCACCACTAGCCTGGTGGCGGAGATGATTGAGGTCGGCACCGCTCTTGGGCAACGTGTACGAGGCATAAGGAGAAATATTACGCGTCGAACTTGGCGTTTCGAACGATTCAAACGCGCTGGTACTACTAGACGCCCGCAACGCTGCTGTCGATGAGCTGACAGCAAAGTGAGAGGTGCTGCTTCGAGCTTGAGTGAGAGGAACGTGCTCATCTTCGTCGCGATAACTCCAGAAGTTTGCTTTGGATGCCGTCATCGGAGTACTAGGCGTCTTCGACATAACCTGGTTGGACGGAGTGTGGGCTTTTCGGTCGTCATTGTCCCTATCCTTCAGTGCCTCGATCTTGGCTGCCATAGGCGTGCCCAAGGGCAACAAATTCAAAGGAGGGAGTTTCAAAGGCTGCAGACCCTTTCTTCCACCCAGCACAGTAGAAGTCCGTGATCGTGACTCGGGCGTCTTTGTCGAATTATCAGTCAAATTATCAGGTAGTTCAACTTCGGCGGTCTTGGGTGCGGGCTGCGCGTCAGAGTCTGAATCTCGTGAAATATTCAACTGGCCAATATCCGTTGTGATACTTGATTTTCTAGGGGCCGGGAAAACAGGCGCGTCCAATTCGCCCTTTGGTGATTCGTAGGCTTTAGGAATGGCTGGCACAGGTGGAACTTCTTCTCCATTTGAGTTTGATTGCTCTGTACGCGGTTTCGGCGTAGGAAGTCGCGATGAGGAAAAGTTCTGTGAGAGACGGTTCTGAAGAGAGCTTCCAGAGTTCCGTACTGAGTTATAACTGGTGCTCGAGGAGACAGATAATCCTGAGCTGTACGACTTGCGATTTGGGTCGGGCGTAGTCCGGTTTGAAGAAGGTGTGACGCTTTTTCTCGGAATTTGAGAGGGAGATTGGGTTGAAGACACAGGACGGATGGGAAGTGGTTCTGTCTGGGTAGGTGGTGTATGTGGCATAGGAGGGGCAGGGGGTGCCATTGACATTCGCTTCATCCGTCGTGCATCAGTAGGGCTAATGGTACGAGCACCGAGTCCCGTGGCATGGGGTGGCATGACAGAAGCACGCTTGGAGGACGAAGAAGGTGTCGTAGCCGCGGCACCAGCAGGGTTCTTGATCGGAGTTCTCACGGCATTGGTGGAGGATGATCGGGTGTGGTCAACGGCTCCGGACGCAGTCAAAAATGGACCAGGAGGTTCTCGCGGGCTGGGCTGGAACGATTTCGCCTTTAGGTTTCGAACGGACGACGGGACCTTGATTTCATCGCGATTAGCTTCTGGAAGCCGAGGGCGCAGGAAATTGCTCGATTCCGTCCGTGTGGTGTCGGTGCTGATCTTGCGGGCACTTAGACTGGCGCGTCTTGCGGATGCATTTGTAGGAGCAAATGCGCCCGAACTGATCGACTTGCGGGAGCCCCGCGAAGCAGTGTTGGTGCCACCGGCCGGTTGGGCTAAACTCTGACGGCGGGTGCGAGTGTTGGCAGTAGATGCTGACAATCCTGTGTTGGTGGGGACCTGACCATTCGGACGCTGTACTTCGCTCTTCCGGCGAGCAGAAGCATTTCGTGTGCGATCCGATACATTGCTGTAGGTGTGGTTTGCCCAAGGATTTACCCCAAGACCAGTTGCGTGATTCTCTGCACCCCCGTGCCCCGGCATAGGAAAGTGGTTCAAGCTGGGTTCGCCCATGATGCTGTTGTGAAAATCGTCAAAATTAATAGGCGCTAGGAAATCCAAATTGTCCGGGGGCGTTTGGTTGGCATCTAACTTCGCGAGATTTCCCACACTGGTAGATCGAAGGTTCAAGCCTTTAGTCGAGTCGTTCGTAGAGTCAATTGATGATGCTCCAGAATGAGCGTATGAACCGGTTGGTTTGCTGTTTGGTGTTGGTCGTTAGCCAGAAGGTCACCACAGACGGATACCCTATTTATGAGGACAGAACGTGGAGAAAACATACCTCCATCGTGAAGCCTCCTGCGGTCGCGGGCCTTGTGGGACCTTTTGGTCTCGAATTGAAAGTCTTCTCCTACCCATCCCACCTGCGCGCGGACCAGCAACCCCTTTTGAGTATTGGGCGTCAAAATCAGTGGATGTATTCGAGGGGAAATTGGTCGACGCCGACTTTTGCAGGCGTCTGCGGGCTGGAGCCTCTGCTGTTCAAAATGGTCAGCTTCAAACTGCACCGCGTGGTACATCATAACATACCTCCAGACCCTGAATCATCATTCCTCGAGGCATTGAATGCACCTGGCTGCTCTGCCCGCGCTTGACCCCTCCCCGGGGTCTGCGGTTTTGCCGGCATTGTTCGTAAATCCATGTATCCTCCGGTGTAAAAGGAGGTTCGTCAACTCGTTGAAGAAAAAAGAGAACTGGACCGTGCCAGGGAGTCGCAATTGCATTCAGGAGAAGTGCGAGGTCTCAATAAACAGAATAGGGGAGAAATTTGAGCACCGTCGCGCGACCCGAACAACAGTTACCGGTCCATCGCGAGGAGAGAGAAAAGGCAGTACCAGGGCAAGTTCTCTTTGATCCGAACCTGGCACGAAATAATTTTGGAGCTTCGAGTGTTGCTGGGGCAAGTCCAAGGCGGTGGAAAAACAGACAATGGGGGTTACAACAAAACAAAGCCCTCCAACGTCGCAGAGATGACTTTTATACAGTAAAGAAGGAAAGAACAAAGATCAAAGGAAAGCACCAAAACCTCAAAGAGAAAGAAAAGAAACAAGCATCAACTTCCAACGTTAGGTTCCCCTGATGCAAACAGTGCTTATGTCAGCCTCCCCAGATCGGCACCTTCACATGGACAATACACCCGTGGACTCATAGCCGGATCTTCTCTTCTTCTCTTCCTTCATCCCTCTGATATGTCTGTGAAGTTCAACTGCCATGGATGAATTTATGCCCCCGGAAACCCGGGATGAGCCACGGTTATCCTTTTCTAAATCGAAGAGCGATAGGCCGGGTTCACCAGACAGCTCGCACTCGAGATCGTCCTCCCTATCCAAGAACTCACTGCAGGATCGTTTATTCACAAAGTATGTACTACATGGCGTTGCCTTTTAAGATCCTTTTCACTCTATTTTGGGACTTGCGGAAACAAGAACTGACGTCCACAGACTCCTCCAACAAGTCATCCCGAAAGACGATGATGAGGATGAAACCGAGTCAGGAGACAAGGCCTTTGCCTCATCCCCTAAGAAACCGGCCTTTAGTTTGCCGGTGATGGCGAACAATTTCCGTCGTTTCAATGCGAGGTGAGCCTAAAACATGCTGTTTGGGTATCCACCGAAACTAAGACTGCTATAGAATCGGCGTGGTATTTCTGTTCCAGAGCCAGGTTGAGCGAGTGCTAACATGGGAAACACCAACCCATACCCTCTCGCTCCTTTTTGTCTATTCTTTTATCTGCTTGGACCCCCGTTTACTATTGATCCTACCCTTGGTGGTTCTCTTGCTTTTCATCATGGTTCCAGCCTTTGTGACTCGGCACCCACCACCCCCAAATACCTCAACTTCCAGCACTACTCCCTACTATTCTTATGATGGGCCGGCGTTGGCACCAGCAAGGACCATCAAGCCAGCACCAGAGACTTCCAAGGACTTTTTACGGAACATGCGAGATCTCCAGAATGTCATGGCCGATTTCTCAGACGTACACGATGCAACCGTTTCTGTAGTTGCACCACTGACGAATTTCTCGAATGAGAAGCTCTCATCCGCTCTCTTCTTGGGCTGCACAGTGGCCACTGTGGTATTGTTCATCAGCGCACATCTCTTGCCTGTGAAGCTTGTCCTACTAGTCGGCGGCAATGCAGCGATTCTATCCATTCACCCAACTGTCCGGCAATCCTTTGTGGACCTGATGCAAGACATGGCTGGCGATTCTTTAGACACGGACTCGATTGCAGACGACGAGAAAACCTCGGATGGATTTGCATCAATGCCCGCAAACCCGTCTGCGGCAATGTCCTCCCTGGAAAAGCTCGCAGACATTTCGCTAGATACAGACCCGGAAGAGCGCGAGGTAGAGATCTTTGAAGTGCAGCACCGGGCTGCAGGAACATCAGAGTCAGGATGGGAGAGTTTCCTGTTCAGTCCCGCGCCGTATGACCCGCTCTCACCCTCTCGCATTGCCGGAGATCGTCCTCGTGGATGTCGATTCTTTGAGGATGTTCGGGCCCCATCTGGTTGGAACTGGAAGAGCAAAAAGTGGGAACTCGACCTGGACTGCCGCGAATGGGTTGTGGAGCGTATGATCACCGGAGTTGGTTTCGAAGTTCCTGGTGTGACCGCCGAAGGCAATGCTATCGTCGATGAGGTCGGTGGTTGGGTTTGGGATCTGCCCCCGCCCGTTCACAGGATACAGATGATGAGCTCCCGCTAGCCTACGGGGATCTGCCGCCCGAGTCTCCTTTACCCAAAGAGAAAAAGAAGTCCACCAAGGATAAGGAAAAGAAGTCCTCTGGTCGGGATTGGGAAGAGGGTACACCTACATCTTTCGGTGTTGGAGAATGGAGACGGCGCCGATGGGTACGAGTAGTGCAACGAATCAGCCTTCCGCCGGCGGGAGTTCTCACCTACTCGACGCTGTCATCGCCGAACCGCAACTAATCAGAACTACGAGATAATGAAATCACTCAGAAGCGGCAGCTCAGCCTGCCGTCCATTACTGAACGAATATATATACTGCTTGGGACATTCACATCCACACATATAAATCCATGTAGATAGGCACTTTTGACAAATGAACCCTGAAGAAACAAGAATATAACGCCAGACTCGCCCAACCCGGATGCACAGAATAAAAATATAGAGATACAAGCCCGATCAAGCCTGAGTCTTCTTCCACTTGTTAATCCTCCTCCGCAAATCACCCTCACTCTGCTGCATAGGGTTAAGCTTGCGGTCCCGGGCCATAGCAGTAAAGTTATCGCCATGCTTCTCGATCAAGCGCAGAACCCACTCCTCCTCACGCTTGCTCTGGTGCCGAGGCTTCTTAGCCCGAACAGTCTTGCCCTCCTGATCAGCCTGACGCTCGAGTTGCTGCACAACAATCGAGTCGGTGAGGGGGTTGCTCTCAATCTCGCCGTCGGAGATGTCGTTCAGAGGGTCGTTGAGGGGGTTCTTGCGGGAGTGCTGGCGGCCTGCAACCTGAATGCTGTCGACGTCGTCGTGGATGACACGCAGAATCTTGCCGGTTTCCGGGTCGCGCTCAACTCTTGTCTCACCGAGCTGGAGCTTGCCTGCGGCATCCTTGGCGCTGCCTTTGATGTGGAGCGAGTTCTGGTTCTCGGGGAATTCCTCTTCGTTGCCGGGAAGACGCTCGCGACCACCGGACGGGGCGTTCAGCTTGTGCATCAAACCCAGGCGCTGGTAGTTTTGTGTTAGGGTCAGGTTGCGATCCCTGTATTATGTGTTAGTTTCGATTCGCTGTGAGTAGAACAATAGCAGCCGCATACCAGTTGTCGGCGATGATCTGATTGCCTAGGACATTGATCTTCTTGTGGCCGCTCTTGAGGCGGTTATTCTTCGCGCGGGCCTTGGAGCGCCCAGAGCGGGCCTTCTTCTTCTGCAAAACCTTTCCCATTGTGAATGTCGAGAATGTTCAAATGGTGAGTTCTTTGTTGTCGATAATAAAATCAAGCGTTATCGAAACTTTTTTCTGGGTTTGCAAGCCTTGGCATGTTTGCTCAGGGTCCCGCGATAAAGTGGTCCGACCACCGATAAAGCGGATCTGTTGTACTCCGATGTTTTGTCCCCCTGTCACTCACCCAAAATTTATTTGCAATGGCTTCTCGGTTCTTTCCATCGCGCAGAACGGGTCTTGCTATTGCTGCAGGATGTCTGTTATTCTCGGCCTTAGCTGCGGCTAATGCTGGTCCCGGAGAGCTCTCCGTGAGCCAGATCGAGGACCAATTGCAGGTATGATACTGTTTGTGCAACTAGCTTGCAGTCGATACAGAAATTGACTTCCCACAGAGCTGCCCGCTGGTCGAATCTCTCAATGAGCACAAACGTGCTACTCGCCCGGAAACTACCAGCCTGACCTCGAAGATCTTCGCTGTTCTCTTCCCCAGCAGTCCCGCCGTGAACGCGCTTCTAGCAACCTTGTACATCTCCGGTCCTCCTAGTAGGTCTCTCGGTGACCAAGCGATGCGTCAAGCTCGCAATGTGACTAGTCAACTTACTTCGCAACAGACTTCCTCCTAGCACTATGCCCACCAAACATCGACCCCTCCTCTTTGTCCGTCATGGTGGCCTTCGCCGTCGGCGGCCTGCTTGGTGACACCCTCTTCCACCTCCTGCCAGAGATCTTCGTCGGTGAAGACTCCCCGGACCACGTCAGCTTCGTTATGGTCGAGCCTAACAAGAACCTCCTACTTGGTCTCGGTATTATGGTCGGCTTCTTCACCTTCGTAGCAATGGATAAGATCCTGCGCATCGCAACAGGCGGCGAGGGTCACGACCATGCGCACGGCCACACGCATGCTGAGGTCACTGCCGCGACTACCACCAGCGCCGAGTCCAAGAGCAAGTCCGGCGGCGAGCTGAAGCAGCGCAAGTCGGCCGCCAAGGAATCTTCTTCCTCCTCGTCTGATGCCACCTCAGAGAAGGAGATCAACCCTAGCGTCAAGCTCGGCGGATACCTGAACCTCATTGCTGATTTTACACACAATATCACCGACGGCCTTGCCCTTTCCTCTTCCTTCTATGCCTCGCCAACTATCGGCGCAACCACCACCGTCGCTGTCTTCTTCCACGAAATTCCCCATGAAGTCGGTGACTTTGCTCTGCTTATTCAGTCTGGTTTTTCTAAGCGCAAGGCTATGGGTGCACAATTCGTTACTGCCATCGGAGCCTTCTTGGGTACCATTATTGGAATTGCCGTGCAGGAATTCGGTGGTAATGGAACTATTTTGGATGATGGTCCTGCTGTTGGTCTTATGGGTACTAGCCTTACCTGGGGTGATATGCTTCTGCCTTTCACTGCTGGCACGTTCCTTTATGTCGGCACTGTAGCTGTTATTCCCGAGCTGCTTGAGACTGGTAAGGATAAGGGCGTTGAGGTGCGGAAGACTATTACCCAGTTTTTGGCTGTTGCTCTGGGTGCGGGGATTATGCTTGCGTAAGCTTTCTGTTATGTTATCCTTCTATTGGATGCTTGCTAACGACCTCTCTAGCATTTCTTGGGATTAAATATCTAACCAAAATGATTGATTTCTGTCTGCTGGTATACTCCGGCACATTGCATGTTGATCAAATGAGTATATGAAAAACTTGACCTAGCGATAACGCGGGAATATTGGATTGGCAAGTGAATCAATAACTACTGTTTTAACTGATAGAAGTAAACATTGAGAGAGAAAAGCACCAAATTCAAGTTTCACCACTACACTGGTGCTACCATAACAAAAGTTCGCTGTAAGCTCTACATTCATATTTGCCATTCCCCCATATTACGGACCATATGTTTTGACACCGTCTCCCAATTGCATACTGCTGAGACGAATTTTGTTGTAATTTGCTCCTTTGGTTGTTTTGTTGGTCGTAAATATTTGAGGTTGGAAAGATGGAGAAATAATGACGGGAGAATATACTGCGAACTTACCGGTCACGTTTGATGGACGATCTATAGAACTTCGATGCTATATTTTCTATGCCATGACGTGTATAATTGATATATGTAGGGCTAATGGTGCGCATATCTGCAGAAGAATCCGAATTTCAGCTCGCCAATACTAGGATAGAAGATATGGCCATTTTTCTGGTTTTTACGGAGTAATTCCTACTTAATTGGTCTCCGTGTTGCGAAGGTGGGAAGCGCGAGTCTTGCGAGGTACTCGATCCTTTCGAACCCGGGTGGTTCCACCGCTCATTCTCACTGAGGTTATTGGAACAGGACTACATGTATATCATTACATGAGCTTATCGGGAATTTAATAATATCTGAAGTTCTCCGCATCAACGGTGCCCATACTTATATGTCATAGATCCATGAATCCATGAATCGTGAATCAATCTTTCTGATTTCCATACCCGGCGTGGCCTTCTACTAGCGATAGAGCTGATTTTTGACAAGGGTTTCCTGTTAGGTAGTCGTCGACTGAGAAGCTAGAGAGTATCGGTCAGACTCCGGTGGTCCATCTACTAGCTCGACACGACGTTAGACCTATGAGTAGTTATACCATTGGACAACGTAATAACACTAGAAAAGCCACGGAGTCAGGCACTAGGATTGTTGAGAATATAGAGACGCTCTTCTGCTAGCTGCCTAATTGGGTAAACAGTTTGATCTTAACATGTGTCAAATTTATGGAAAAACGATTCTTTTTCACTATGCCAAAGATCGACTATAGCCGATGAAACAAGTGTGTTAAAAACCGAGACAGATAATCCACGGCTAGCTTTTCCAGGATAAATATCAAATCACACATGTCTACATCTCTGTGGCGTGTTTTGGGCATCAACAACGGCTAGAATGGGCAGCATAACCAACCTAAACTCCACACGACCACCAATCTCCTCCAACATCTGCTTCATCTCTCGGGATTGACTTCTGACACTAATGCAAAAGAGATAAAGGAGCTTCTATACTTCCATCACGATAGCGGACACCTAGGGAAAAAGGACCGAATCATAGTGAAATACACAACCCACCCCCACAAGTCGCCATAACCCACCAATCCAACCATCTTGAAGTCCAGCACACCAAGAGATAAGCAGCCCCGCCAGCATTCATGCCCAGGCATATTCACAATCCCTCCTATACAATAGCTGACCCACGGCATTTCCACCACTACTGTACTTTCCACCCTTACCCCACCTACCTGCATCAGTCTCACCTTATCTCACCCTACTATCACCTCAGCCCGAAACACCCTGCAGCAAGCCGCCGCTAAAGACGCTTTATTCGACGAGTGCATAAGCCACATTAGACAGAAGACAGAACGAAACACCCCGCTGTGCTGAGCTGTTGAATTATCTGGGCTTCAAGAATGAGCCGACCGCATTGGGGGGGGGGGGGGGGGCAAGTGTCCCGGGCTGGAGGATGGATCCGATTATAAAACAGCGGATAGGTGGATCGCTACGCGCTTGTTATTCGGGGAGATACATTAAGTGTGTACAGCTTGCCTTAACTTATGGGCCTTCTGTAGAGGTGGGTCTTTGCTGATGTTTAAACGGTTTGCTTACTCCATACAATGTATAGGATTTAGGTTACGGGGTCTGAATCGGAGTTTGGTTGTGGGTCCTGCAGAGACAGGAGCTAAATGTATACTGTATCTCTGGCTGAATGACTTTGAAATCATATTTACACTAGTCGGAGCTGCATGCTTTGTTGGCTGTGGGTTTGTCTTAGTACATGTGTTGCAGTCGGGCAAGACGCGCACTCTGAATAGGAACAGTCTCACCATATTAGGTGATACCTTCGATAAAGCCAAAAGGGTCTTAGTTGCCCAGAATCTTGTTTGCGTATAGAATTCCGGTGTATATGGCTCGTAGATTTTGCCTCGTCTAAATGTAGTACAGGGAATAAGTCCGAGAGTCTGCAGAGACCGGTATGCAGGGGGAAAGCCGACTTTTCTTCCAATAATAGGTGAATCAGTGGATCAACCACAGCCTGATTGATTCGGGGATAATTTCCAACTGACCCAAAACCCAACGGTGTGTTCTTAGTGGGTGATAGGAGATATGCAGCTTTGTCTCTGATGATGAAACCACCAGCCCATTCTGCAAGTAACCCGTTTAAGCCGAGTTGGATTACTCTTTGCTTTTTCTGCTTTTCTGCTGTTTGTTACTGGGCTAAGCCCGTGACTGTAACGGGGTCATCGTATCGTTCAGCTGTTACTCTCCGGCTCATCCGACACGCACACACTCAAATTATAGTACTATATTTTTCTAGGCAGTTCTATGTAAATCCAACAGATCTAAAGATATCCTATTCTGCAGCCTACCAGATGTGGCACCGATCCAGGGGGTAGCTAGTCGGTGGATGGGAGCTTGGACGGGAACCCAAGACCAGTACGCACCCCAGAGCAGAATGAGGGTGTATAGCGGGAGTCCAAAAGGGAGATTTACCCCCTTATCCACAGCCAGTCAACATCAACAGTTTCCTTCCACGCGTGGTGATAGGTGTCGGGTGACGCGACGGCCCTTGCAGCACGGATAGGTGGCTGTCGCTTTCCATTGGCTTTACAAAGATGCAGCCTGGCTGACCTGAGTCGGTACCCGGAACGTCACTGTTGGTGAGTCAAGACGCGTGTGAGTTACAGTACTGTAGAAATGACCAGGCGCCTCGCATGACACCCCCGGCCGATCAACCGCGACTGCACGGGGATCTTCATCCCCCGTTGCCCGGTTCTCTGTTCTTCGATCGTAGATGATCTTGTTCACATAGTGTGAAGAACTAGTTTGAGACTGTGCCTTGGAAGACCTTGGTCACCGGGTTATTGCGCGTGGGGAAAGGTGTGAGTGTTTCACAGGTGCCTGGGCTCTTTAAAGAGGAGAGAATGCCCTCGAAAAAGTGAGAAAATTTCCACATTTTGTTCCAGGCCAAGTTCTGATTTCTTCCGGGGCCCCACTGCAACGGCACATTCGTCATTGCGATAATTTTGAAGTATAGAAAGTTGCACCTTTGACGGTATGTATATCTGTTTTATTTTTTTTGGTTGATGGATATACTGGTCCATTTCTATTGATTTTTCTGTGATTATATGTTATATGACCCTAATACTATGTAGAATACAAAACGTGACGGCATTCCATGCCATAGTGGGACTCCCCGCAAGTGTCCTGCGGGTGCTTAATGCACACTAACGGGTCCCAGATGAGAAAACACTCTGAATCCCCTTTTTCCTTTTCCTTTTCTTCTTCTTCTTCTTCCTCTCTCTATCCCTCATCACGCAGTTCTCTGTCCCGTAAGTCAATCCTCCCTCTTCTCCTATCCCGTCTCCTATACCACCTGCCCAAATATATCTATAAGCGGGTATCTTTTCCACTGTGTCATCATTGGCCTACCCCTGTCCACATTCCCGTCCGTGACATAATTTGTCGGCTATCGCGAGACTCTCATACCTGGAACACGTGTGGCATTCCTATTCCATTCCCATGCTGATCCGCTTGCAGGCCAATCATCGGACTCCGACCGGCCGTCAGCATTCCGACCAAGAGAGCACCTTGAGAGTCTGATCGTAAAGCACGGTTACCCCACACCCGTGTCGCTCTCATCCCTAAGGGATTTGACGGCTACTTCATCTACTTATACTCCCCCTTCGCCCCGTCGTCCATACCATCCAGACGCCATTCCGATCGACACCTTTGAGTCACTCTCCCTGTCTTCAGCCACAAGACCCATTCCCATTCCAAGAAGATCAAGTTCAATCTACGAAGAAGACTTGCCTGTCACCCCGCTGACCGGCCGTTTCGACCGCGACGACTACTTCGACGATTGGGAACGCGCGTCTCAATCCGCGAGGTCCCGGCAGATCCCTTCGCCGATCCAGTCAAACCGTTCCGGCCGTTATTCATCCAGGCTCCCACCACCAAGGACAAGGATGCGGTCTGATAGCTCGCCCTTCTACTCCCCGGTTGCTTCTCCTGTCATGTCTCCACGACGCTCAACGTCGCCTCAACCCCCTCGTTCTCGAACCCAGAACACAGCCAAGCCAAAGCCCATGCAGGGCTTCCATCTCGGCAACTTGCCCCGATTCCATCCTGCTGTTTACCAGCCCAATGCAACTACGCCCCCTACGGGACCTCCTTCTCCACGGCAATCTCGGCAACCCACTTACCGTACTTCTGCCAGCTCACGGGACATGATTTGGCAGTACCGCGAGTTCATGGAGAATACCCATCAAGGTCCCTCGGCGCCCCGTCTGGATCCGTTGGTTAGTCCTGGCCCAGTCACTCCACTGGCATTGGAGGCGGGTGACTACCTCACCAGTGGCTCGGTGAACAACACATCCGAACGGACCCCGCGAGATGTCCCAAAGAACTCCGGACCCCCTCCTGAGCTTGTTGAGAAATTGATTGCCTACGAAGAAAAGGCTCAAAAGGCTCGCAAGGCTGCCAAGGGCCGTTGATGCGTCGGTTCCACCGTCTCATCCCTCACCGCTCCTGCATCAAAAAGGGTGTTATGTTTTCTATAATTTATTGTGTTTCTTTTTTCCCCTAGTGGGATTCATGCATGAGACCCATATTTGCTATTCTGCTACTTTTCGGTGTTTGGGCATCAAAATGAGCTTCGAAACTCATACAAGACTGCCGATCCAGTATACATGGGATTGTTTTTCTGATTTATCTTGCGCGATCATTGTTTTAAATGACCAACGTCCTCTGCTTTAGCTCACGTTGATCTTGCATCACGATATCATGTATCTACAAATATATACCCCGCTCCAGTCCTGCTTTTGGACTAGCTTTTTCCATCAATTGATCATCTGTCATCTATACTCAATGGTGAGGAGTGACCTTCACTAATAACCTGCACCTATCATAACTCAACTGTTATATCTGAGGTCATTCAATAATAATTCTAGGGTCCAAACACCAAGTCCAAACGGATAACCCCGGATAAAAACACCCACTAAACTAGGGCTAAGATGTTGTCAAAGCATCAGATCACCGCCTGAGGCACCAACCCCGGAGGTACACCAACTCTCCCCGAGAGGAATCTGCGGGGCCTAAAAGAATCATTAAAACGAACCTCTCCCTTTCCCACTCTCTAATCCTCCTCAATTACCCCATTTCAACCTTATTTACACCCTCCACACCCCGGAAAACCCCCATCCACCCCCAGAGAGCCACCTAAAGAGCCAACCCCCTTGTCAACAACCCCGGACTCACTATCCTTATCGGCATCCGTCGCCACCTTGATCGCCGCGCGCACGAGCACTCCGCCATTTCAAGGCCTTTTCTGACGCATTGGCACATCTGGGACCCGAGATCGCGGGGCTATCGCTTTCACCATGTCATCGGCGCCGGCGCCTTTGCCCGTTTCAGCTCCGTCAAATACGGCGGATACCGCGCCTGTCAATGCACAGACTCCCAAGTCGAATTACAAGGGTTTTGTTGCCGGTGTCTTTTCGGGCATCGCGAAGTTGAGTGGTAGGTTGTCTTTTCCTCTTGATTTGATTGCTTGGAACTTGTGCTGATCGGTGCGGTTTGCTCTTTTTAGTTGGTCATCCGTACGTACATCTACTTCGCGTCGTTTACCCTCGGATCTCTTTTCCTTGCCTGGGAATTTGACTTGATTTGATTTGACTTGGATCGCTGGTTAACTTCGATGCGCGCAGATTCGATACTGTCAAGGTCCGACTACAAACGAGTAAAGATGCCCAGTTCCGTGGCCCGTTGGATTGTACGCTGCAGACGGTGCGGAAGGAAGGTGTGAAGGGGTTGTATAAGGGTGCTACGCCGCCGCTGGTCGGTTGGATGGTCATGGATTCTGTGTGAGTGGTTCTCCCCCTGTTGGCGTCGCATAGTCGCATATTGCCCTGGCGAGCAGCGCTTTGAGTGTGACTATGACTATGACTTGCCCATGGATGGCAACTAACGCTATGCGACTACAGCATGTTGGGTTCTTTGACCCTGTACCGCCGATTACTTCTCGAAAACGTTTTCTCTAAGCCTCATATCCGCCCTTATCTCCCTTTCTCGAGCTTCCAGCCCGACCTTGCTACACTCCCGAGTTTCGGACATGGCATTGCTGGTATTATGGCCGGCACGACGGTCAGCTTTATTGCTGCCCCTGTTGAACATATCAAGGCTAGACTGCAAGTCCAGTACGCCGCCGACAAGTCAAAGCGCATGTATAGCGGGCCGATCGACTGTCTCCGCAAGATGGTACGTCAAGCAGAAACCACACCTCGATTTACAGACATGCCAACTAACACATAATTAGCTTCGCACACATGGCATAAGCGGCGTCTACCGCGGCCTCTGGGCAACAATCCTCTTCCGCGGCTTCTTCTTCTTCTGGTGGGGATCTTACGACGTCCTAACCCGCTACTTCAAACAATCAACCTCAATGTCCGCGCCCGCAATCAATTTCTGGGCTGGCGGTATCTCCGCTCAGATCTTCTGGCTCACTTCCTACCCGTCTGACGTCGTTAAGCAGCGCCTCATGGTTGACCCTATGGGTGGGGCGCTGAATGACGGCGAACGCCGCTTCCGCGGATGGAAGGACGCTGCTAGGGCTGTGTGGCGTGAGCGTGGGCTGAAGGGGTACTGGCGGGGCTTTGTGCCGTGCTTCCTTAGGGCGTTCCCGGCGAATGCGATGGCTTTGGTTGCATTTGAGGGTGTAATGCGTACCTTGCCCTAACTTTTTATATGACGCGCCATTGGGCGCGAATATGATCTTGTACATACATCTAGGTTCATTTATCGCATAGACTTATATAGATACCAGGATATTGTCTCATGGATTCTTTCTTGGAAAAAGTTAGTTTGCTAGACAGGAGTTGCGATAGGTGGGTCTTGATGCTCAGGAATGTCCTGACAGGCCGCATTCGGCGATGCAGGGCGAGACCCTCATTGAGGTATCCCGCGATAACACGTAGGAGGTAGAAAGTCCGAACGAATTGAGATTCGCAATTGGGCCATGCAGTTGAGATGAGATAGTGGAGTGACATGAGATCCCACGTCTCTTTCCGGAACTGCGATGGAATAAAATTGAACTCCAGCCTGACACCGTTTCTCCAATCTCTCCCTTTCCAAAAGAACAGAGAACAGAACTACTCAGGAGTTTCTCATCTCGGAGGGTAAATTGGTGTACGTGAATGCCTGAGGCAACCAAGGTGATCTCCAACGGTGTCACGAAATCACCAGACAACAACACTTCTCGATAAACCCTCAAACCCACCAAAACGGCAATGGCCGTCGCACGCTCGATGCGCCGCACGAGCCCAATCAGCCTCCTGCTAGCAGCACTTTTAGCATTCGGCTTCATTTGCTACATGCTCAATCCCATGACACCCTCCGCATCAACATCCGCATCCGCCGCATCCTCACAACAACGACAAGAAAACGCCGCCGAACACCCCCTCTCCCCACCCACGAAACCCTTCTTCAAATCCCCAGCCATCCGCAGCGATGGCCACCAAGCCGCACCCCCAGTCGTGCACTACAACCTCAACAGCCTAACCAGCACGGCGAATTCCGTCGCCAACGGCGAGCGGGTCCTGATCCTCACCCCGCTAGCCCGCTTTTATCAAGGATACTGGGATAACCTGGAGAAATTGAGCTATCCCCACGAGTTGATCTCGCTGGGCTTTATAGCCCCGAAAACAACCGAGGGCAATGCTGCTGTCGCCGCGCTGGAGAAGGCTATCGCGAAGACTCAGTCTGGGCCTATTGATAGTCGGTTCGCGAGTATCAGTATCCTGCGCCAGGATTTCGAACCACCACTCACATCCCAGAATGAAAAGGAACGGCATAAACTCGGCGCGCAGAAGGAGCGACGTGAGTCGATGAGTCGGGCGCGGAATAGTCTCGTCTTTACAACACTCGGTCCGGCCACTTCTTGGGTTCTCTGGCTAGACGCCGATATTGTTGAGACGCCTGCCTCTCTCATCCAAGATTTGACGAGCTTCGATCAACCCGTCATTGTGCCGAATTGTTTCCAGCGGTATTACGACTCCTCGAAGCGGAAGTGGGATATACGGCCGTACGACTTTAACTCGTGGGTTGATAGTGAGCAAGCGCAGAACCTCGCTGCGGGAATGGGCCCTGATGAGATTTTGCTGGAGGGGTATGCGGAGATCCCGACGTATCGCACGTTGATGGCTTACCTGCCTGATTTCAAGAAGCTTAATCCTAATAAGATGCTTGCGCTTGATGGGGTTGGGGGCACGGCGCTACTGGTTAAGGCTGATGTGCATCGGGATGGAGCAATGTTCCCTGCTTTCCCTTTCTTTCATCTTGTTGAGACCGAGGGCTTTGCGAAGATGGTTAAGAGGTTGGGGTATGAGGTTATTGGGTTGCCGGATTACTTTGTATGTGCTTGCTCTTACTCCTCTCCCCTTTTTACCTTTTCGTCTGATGAGTTGGTTTTGCTAACATGGTGCTCTCTAGGTTTACCATTATAACGAGTAAAATGATGGGATAATCTTCCGTCCGGTTATCGTGAAGTCCTTGCTTTTACTCTTCTGCATTAACCTCGCGCTGCGCGCTTCTCGGTCTCTCATTTCATATCATTTCTCTATCCCTTCTCATTTGAGACGAGATTTCATTAGCAACTCATCTTGGCGTCCGTGCTTCATGGGGGTTTTCTATCTACTTTCATACGTGCTACTTTGGATTGTTTCCAAAGTACCCAAATTGCCATTGCATTATTCTATGTATTACTAAAGAACATGATTGGGTATTTGTTTGGCAACGGGAGTTACCAGTCGAGTTCTATGGGGGGCGTTGCTGGCTTGTTGATTCTTTTGCATTTTTTGGGGGTTCTAATGTGGCTTACTGTATTGCCATTTCCAATTCATCACTTTATTTGTTCGGTTAGATCATAGATTAATAGATTCTTTATTCTTAAGCCTCCGGATACTCGAAGACTATGGATATACTGTATACCAAACGGGAAAGTAGGGCTCAGGGTCTCGGATAGACAGTCTTCCGGGACAGCACGTGACACAGGTACAACGATGTGTATTGCCGGCCACTCTATAGGCCGGCGCAGACATGCAGAAACATTAATACAATCACATGGAACCTGGTCGATACCCAAGCTAACTATATCAAGTTATACTTTCAACTATACGACTATCAGAATATACAACTAACTCACATATACACACCCCGGTCCCTGTACATTCTGACTAGAACAACCAATACCCGCGTAACCGCAATACCACTCGGCAACGTCAGCTTCCTTGAGTGGTCCGATGTCTACGGTGCCGCTTGAACTCCAGGAAAATGTGGCGCCCCCCAATCAACTCACTCCTATATGGACAACAACGTGTCCAACAGAGTCGGAAGGCGGGTAAGAAGCCTCCCGTCGCTTAAAGTAAATTGAGCAAATGAAGGATATTTAAACCCAGTAATCCAGATTTCAGCCGTAGACTTCCAACCCAAACCGCTCTCTCTCTCTCTCTCTCTCTTGTCACACACACTCTTACTTGAGTACCCCAATATCAAAAACAAAATGCCCGACCAACTCCTCAAAGGGAAAACATGCCTCATCACCGGGGGCGGCGGCGGTCTAGGCAAAGCAATCGCAAGCCAATTCCTCGAAGCAGGCGCCAACGTCGTAATCTGCGATATCAACGACGAGCGCCTCCAACAGACCTCAACTGAATTATCACCCAAGGGGCCCCTGAAGGCCATCAAGACAGATATCACCAACACTAGCGAAGTAGAAGCTCTATTCGAAACCCTCATCGGCGCATTCGGCAAGATCGATGTCCTAGTCAACAACGCTGGGATCATGGACCACTTCGATCCTATCGGCGATCTGGATATGGAGCTTTGGGACCGTGTCATGGCGCTTAACCTTACTGCTCCGGCTGTGTTGAGCAAATTTGCTATCCGCAATATGTTGCTGCAGGAAAATGTTGATGGAAGGATTATTAATATTGTTTCTGTTGCTGGGAAGGCTGGGTGGGCTAGTGGTATGTATTCCTTCTCTTTTTCTAGTTGGAGTTTTTCCACTGGTGGGGGACAGATCTATAGAACTTGAAACTAACTATACATACTATCTTCCAGGCGCGGCTTACACAACCAGCAAGCATGGTCTCGTTGGCTTGACCAAGAACACAGCCGCCTTCTATGGGACCAAGGGGATCAAGTGTAATGCGTTGATGATGGGTGGTATGAACACCAACATCGTTGATGCGTTCAAGACTGGTATGCATATGGAAGGGTATCAGAAGATGGCATCGATTCTGGAGTCGATTCAGGCTCCCCACGTTGATGTTGACGAGGTTGCGGGTTTCTGTGTTAATATGACTTATGGAAAGGGAGCTGGTCAGATTAACGGGGCGACTATCGCTATTGATAATGGGTGGACTTCTGTTGTTGGATAAGAGGGCTACATGTATATGGATGGTTTTCTTTATAGCGACGCTTCCATGTTTCCTCAATATACCTGTATTTACTGTAAATCCTCGGACAAAAGAAGAATATGACCCATTTCCAACCGTTCTCTAAACACATCTATCTAGTTTACCAACGGATTCGGCTCAGGAGGCGCCTCCTCCCACCTCTCCACACCCTCGGGAATATCAACAATGGCCTCCTGACACCAAATATGAACAGCAGAACTCAACATCTCCCTATCAAGATCCTCCAAACAACCACCTTTGACATTGGTAATAGCCGAAAAATGCGGCTGTTCACCCGGTGCAGGCACGGAATCCCGGAAGCGATGGAAAAGCCGCGAACCACAATTCTTGCAGAAAATGCACTCCATGTCACGGCCCTTGAGCGTAACACGGGTATAGCTGCCCACCAACTCCGAATGCGATGCTGGGAGCTCGAAATAAGGGAATGTTGCGGTGATGCCGAAGGCTGAGGAGCTTTGGTGTTGGCATTCTGTGCAGTGGCAGATCCATAGTTTTAGGGGTTTGTCTGTTGGGGTTGTGAATTGGATTTTGCTGCATTGGCAGCGGGCTTTCATTCCCATTTTGGTTTTGGTGTTGGTGCTGGTGTCAGGGAATGTAATGGCTTGGGGGTTGTGGTGGAGGTTAGATCATTTAAGGTTGGTGGGGTTAAGAGGGGAGACATACGTACATTTGAAGGCGAGCACGGGTCTCGTGACTATTCAGACAACGGAGAAATGGAAGGTTGGGTTGTGTGATGTGAAGCAACACGTAGATAGTTCGATTTCTCTGGGATTTCACAAATAGTGGACTTCATTTGTTTTCCAGATTGCGCAATCGACTACCCCCGCTATAATGATACAAACAGCTACAATTACTTCTCACGCGCTATGGTTTACTAAAAGAGACTGGATATTTATGCTATCGCGATCAATATAGATCGTGATGCAAACAGAGTACAAAACAACCCTAATGCACGGTCCTAAGCTTATATCCACCAAGGTATCCCAGACCCTATAAGTTACAGGCAATTCTCAAAAACCAACAGAAACCTCAACCCCCCTCAAAGTCCGATGCGTCTCAAACCCAACCTGCCCAACACAATCCCCATACTCATAAGCATCCTTCAAAGCCCCAACCCTTCCAGGAGAAACCGGCTTCCCAAAAGTAACCGCACTCCTAGGTAAATCCTTACAAGAATGCCCTCCAGCAGCATTCCAAGGATAATACTCCACGAAACCCATTTGATCCCCCTCAATACCGCCAGACCCCTCAGGAAGCGTATAAGAGCCAACGCGAGTCTCATTCCCGCTAACAGCATCAATCAATGTGCCTGTCCACGTCGTGCCGGCTGTATTATTCACAAGTAGCAGATAAGTGTGTGCATACGAGCCCTCGATGTCGATTGCACAGCTTACGCCTGCACCACCGTCTGCGCCATCGCTGCAGTTTGGATCTGTTGAGGTTGTTCCAGCTATGAAGCTGGAGAAGGCAGCGTGAAGTTTGGGTTTGGAGTTCGTGTCGGGACGCGGTTGGAGGCCTGTGTAGCCTACGTCTTTTTGGTTCTTGAAGCTGTATTGTTGGGCGAAGTAGAAGCCGCTTTCGTGGCTTGTGTTCGCTATGTTCATTGGGAAGGTTATCTCCTGGAGGGTTTTGCTGCTGTTGCTTACGCTCCAGGTGATCCCGACTAGGGCTTGGGTTGGTTGGAGGAGGAGGGCGAGAGTTGGGATGATTGTGGTGGAGAGCTTCATTTTGGGTGGCTTGTTGGATTTATTCCTTGGGGTTGATGGTTTGATGGGTAGACTTGGGTGTGATTTTGGGACCCTTTATAGTCATTATGTTGAGGTTGCATTCATAGCCATGGATGTACATAGTTTAATAGTTGTGGTGCTTTATCAAGACGAAACATGGCGGCGTTTCAGTACACATGCTGTTCTGCAAACTTTATTATTGATCGGATTGTAGTAAGATTGGAGCTTCATTTTGAGGTACCAATTCTGGTATTCGATTCCTCAAATTGAGTGCTAGGTCGGAGTATGAATGTCGTCCGATTCTGACGTGCTATACGTTGGTGGTTGGGTTTGAAATTATTTTGAGCAGACATAACAGCACCAAGTCATCAAATTGATCACTAATAAGGCATTAACATGATACTCTTCCTATCTACTTGTCGATATGCTCTGTAATATATCCATGCATCCTGATCACAGTCTGGCTATCCTTGATGCTATGTTATGGTATCCAACTAGAGAAGGAGATGGGCCCCAACATCGGGATATGCCGATTGAAGCTGACTATTTCGTAAGGTCGTCATTGACTGGGGCACGGTCAGGGGTACGACGATCCCTGCGACCAACCGATGACAGCTGCAGGGCGTGTTACAGGGGTAACGAGATCTGTCGATGTCTCTATTTGTCTCAACCATGACCACTGGCACAGACGCAGACATCAGCATGTCACAAATGCCAATAAGATCGGCAAGATCTTCTGCGCCAGGGCCAGGCAATTAGACAGGGTTGTCAGTGGAGCCGCTGCCGCGTGAAGCGGGTGTGTCGAGGTAGTTGACCCGAATTATCCGAGAACATCTCTAAAGCTGTGGATTTGGATCCTAATAAAAATTGCTAACCTAGGCTCTGTGGATGAGGCTCCGTCCTAAGATAGAATACATGTATACTAGCACGGTGATTAGACAGGGAGTACTACTAAAGTCCAGCACCAATAACGAAACCCATGCGGAGGAGAAAAGATTTCAGAATATGAGATTTTCACCACAGCGACTGGTCTTCGTTGCGCCTACAGAGAGCTGAATATCACAATCTGCTCCTAAAATACGGTATACACAACCGTGTGATTGACCCACATGAGGTGTTTGACATCGACAAAAATCGCATCTCCATCCGAGAATAGACACAGTATCTCCAATTCCTAGATGTTGACCAGTTTCAGTTCAAGTTAAGCGAACTTGTTCTGGCAAGCGATGTAACTTGGCAGGGGAGTTCTTTAGGTTAGTCCCCACATTTAGCATTTCACGTTTCACACTTCTAGCCGATCTGGGTCTGTGTCATTTAGATTAAATCTTGGTTTTGTTTGAAATACACCATATATAGGTGCTCGCTTAGATGGATGTAAGAGTGTAATCGTACGCAGTACTCGTAGGAGTGAACCATGTGTATAAGCAAGCTGTATATAATTTCATGTTGTAGACACATGGGAAAGCGAGACATCCCGGTCCAAGAAAAAGGTCACGATGTCCTTCCAAAACCTTATACTGCACTCAATGACAACAATGATCTGCATACAAGGAAGCGCCATACCAAAAACTTCAATAACCTCTGCACCCCTAAGACTCTCAACATCACCACAAAAATGGACCCATCCAGGCGTCCTCCTAAGCGAACCCCCAACTCCAACACATCCGCACAAAACCCGGGTGTACTGCCGTTCAATGTATTGATGTGACGGATCCAGATGAGCCCTCCCGGCTTATTAATGAAAGCGAAATATCGAGAGCCTCGGATGCAACAAGATGATTATAGATGAGCTGACATGGCCTGACTTGGCTTTTGACAGTGCCCCGCAGTACTTGATTGACACGATACTCTCACCTTCCCTCTCCCCGCCTCAAGATTATATGAAATCCCATTGCCAACGTCAAAAATGGTCGCCCCCACGGACCAGTCGTCTGCCATCTACGAGAAAGCGATCCGAAAGTACCACGAAATCACGGGGGAGACTTTCGAGGGAGATCTTCTCACAAAGCTTCGCAGCGTCAGCGATCTCACGAAAGAAATTGACGAGAGAAACAACGCCTTTCGCGAATTCCGCGAAAAGCGAAGCGCCTTGTTTGATGTGCTCGAAGCAGCCCTGATCCCCGTGCAATTATTCGGCAACCTTGCAGCTGGGGGCGCGTCGATGGTGTTCCCCCCAAGTAGTCTCGTATTTGGGGCCGTCATGCATTTAGTGGGTGCTGCAAAGGGGGTATCGGCCTCGTACAATGCGATTCAAGACTTGATGCAGATGTTGCAGGTATGGTTTACCTACAGACAGGCAGAAATATGGGAGAGGGTGAAGCTCTGAACGAAACTAGGACTTCACCATCCGACTCAGAGCGTACACGCAAGAAGCCATCTCCGAGGCTCTAAGCGACAAGCTGAGCGATATCATCGTTACCCTTATCGAGATTTTTGCCTTGTCATCTAAGACCATCCGGCGAGGCCGACTGCTCAAGTACACCCGGAATATTCTACTCGGTAACGATGATGCTATTCAAGCCGCGATGGTCAGACTTGACAGGTTTACCCAGGTCGAAGTTAACTTAGTTGGAGCTGAGACCTTGACCGAGTCGAAGAGAGCTGGCCGTGTCGTTGATGGTATATCTGTGACTGTAAACGCCACCAACGAGACTGTCCTCGAGACTGGGATGACGGTGAATCAGATAAGCGCACAGGTACACGAGGTACAGGAGACCCTAGAGAAACTCATTGTTTCCGGGAATGAAGAAAAGCAGGATACCCGTGAGAATCAAGAAGCTCTGCAGGGGCTCATCAGCCAGGTCCTCAGGCCATCCAAGATTGATTCAGCCCAGGAATGGTTTGACAAGATTGACAAGGCCCGTGTACCGGGAACAGGAGACTGGGTTCATGAGGATGATGTTTTCCAGTCGTGGATCAATAAGGAAACGCCAGTCATTTTTGTGTCTGGGAATCCAGGTTCGGGAAAGTCATTTCTGGCGGCGAACATGATCAGTTTCCTTTTCGATCGGTTTCCCCCGGGCCTTCAGCGCAACCCGCTGATTTCGATCGGCTACTTCTTCTTCAAAGGTGACAAACCCCAAACAAGGTCCTTTCATCAGGCTTTGCGAGACTTAGCCTTTCAAATCAGTAAGAACGATTCAGGGTACCGAGAGTATCTCATGACCATCGAGGAATTTGAACAGATTAGCACGCTTGAGAGCGCGTGGCGTCTCCTCTTCGGGGAATACTTCCTCAAGAGACCTAACACTGAGAGCACCGCGTATATCCTGCTGGATGCAGTGGACGAGGCTCTGGATGAGGAGTGGAGGGTCTTCGTTGATCTCTCAAAGCAATTATATAGCAACCAGTCGTGTTTGCAGCTTGCTATCATTGGTCGACCTTATATCAGTGATCAACTGCTCGAAGGTCTAGAGGTAAAGGTGCCAACCCTTCACGTCACCAAACAGAAGAACTCCGGCGATATTACCCAGTATATCCACATCAGCATCAAAAAGTCCTTGCTTCTGCGAAAGGTGTCAGCAAAGCTACGGGATGAGATCATTGAGAAACTCTCGGCTGGGGCGGAAGGCATGTTTCTTTGGGTGAACCTCATGCTGCAGGAGTTGGCTAAGAAGCGAAATGAGACCAGTATGCGGAAAGCAATGGAGCAGGCTCCCCGGGGGCTCAAGGAGATGATCCGCCACGTTTTGGTCACTTTCTCCGAAAGATCCAACGAGGAGGAGCTCGAGTATCTCAATGAAACGTTACTCTGGGTCACCTGCGCGAACCTACCGTGGAGACTGGGAGAGCTAGAGGCGATCCTTAGATTGAAATCATCCGAAGGCGATGGCATGATTGACCTTGAAGGAGCCCTACGGCGCCAGTGGGCATCATTCTTCTCCCTGGACCGAGAGGATGGCCTTACGACAGCCGAGCTAGAGAATGGATCAGCCCATCTAGATGTGTTCGACTGGAAGGCCGACGAGGACAGACAGGATGTATACAAGAGTTCCGACGAGGACTATTTCATGGAATTCAACTCAAAAAAGGATACAACTACCGTCACTTTCTGTCATGCATCTATTGTCGACTTCTTCCGCGATGAGTTAGAGGGCAAGGTGTCCGCTGCAAGGGGCCACATTGGTGTCGGCGTCGATTACCAAGTAGCCAAAGTTCATATCCTCAAGACTTATTTAAGGTTGATCACCAATCCCGACATTGCAGCGAAGGCCAGTGACTCAGGGCAGATGCTTCGACACGCTGCACGACATTGGGGCGATCACCTGCCCACCACTCTCCCGACCAAGGGCTCACCAGAGGATAGACGAGAGATTGCAAAGATGATATTGGTGGCTTTTCGATCAGAAAAGTCAATGTCGAGCTGGCTTGGGGAATATAATTGGGCTCTTTCTACGGCTACCATCAAAGCTGTCCGACAATGGTGGCAAGAGCAAGAAATCTTAGAGTCTCTATCTCCGGAAGAGAAGGAATTTATCTCGACAACGGAGGAAGAGCCAGTCAGTTTATTCAAGCCAATGGTAATGTACTGCATCAAGAGGTGGTTGTGGGAAGACCTGCCTAGTCCTGTTCCCATGCTCTCTATAGTCCGGCGCTACCAAATGCTCGTTAAGGGCGAGGACATCGATGATTACGATAGGAGCATGACCGCAGAAGACGTGGTCGAGGCCGCTGAGTTTGGTGGTTTTGAGAAGACCAGTCAATGGTTTCAACGATGTGCGATCGCTTTGCGCCAGTCGGGATGCCACGAGGAAGCCTTACAGTACCTCAAAAAGGCAATGGAACTCAATCCGGATGATTGGCGAACCCTTCGTGAGCTAGCACAAACATATCAGGATCAAGACGAATGGCAAAAATCCATTGAGCTTTGGGAACGGACTCGAGTTAGTCTGTTGACCGCAATTGCGGAGTCACCAGAGGATGAACCATTGAAAGGACATCTTCATGAGTGTTTGGAACGTCTAGGTCAAATCTACGAAGAACAGGAGGATTGGGAGAAGCGGTTTGAGACGGTTCAAGAGGCATACCAATATGCACCTGCTTGTTGGAACTGTATCTATGCCCTCTTGCAATACCATAACGACAATCACGCTTACGAAACAACCATGGACTTGCTGAAGAAGCTAGCCGACACTCCGGCACCGGAAGAAGATTTCTCAGAACTCACCCGATTCTTACTGGAAAACGTATTTGGTGTGGACGGCAAGTCAAGGTTGGCTGCCGATGCCGCATTGGCTACTAATGACCTGGAATTTGTGTTGGAAAACTTGCAAACGGCGGCTAGGGCAGCTCGAACAGCATCGAGAACGTTACTTGCCGCAGAGGTGGATATGGCTATCGCTCGAATATATGATGAGCTACTTTTAGACAACTTCAAGGCAATCAGGTGCTGGGAGAAGATCATGGATACATACTCATCCTCGTCCTCCGGGACCCTGATTGGGATGATCAAACAGCTCGCCTCCTCAAACTTAGCTCGCGCGTTTCTCTGCGACGCAGTCGAAACGGGATTTGGCACTCCAGAGGCTGAAGAATCAGTGGCCAAGCTCGAGAAGCTCGCTCACCAAAGCCAATATTATCCCTTGGGAAGCTGCGCCTTCATGCCGGCCGTCTCCTTGGGCGTCTGGTGCCGCCTCGGAGGGCAAGACGGACGGGCGCGGGCTCTCTTCCAACCATCCCTACAACGAATCGTTCAAAATCTCCCCGATGACAATCCCACGAACGAGGAGCTTTCCGATCTGAAAAATACTCTGATAAGGGCCGGAGATATCAAAAATGTTGCTGCAATTGCCCACAGGCGGGAAGAGGACAACAGCGATCCCTGGTACAAATGCCGCGGTCCATGCCGGCGAAAAGTATTAAAACGTGATGGCTCTCACATTTGCCCCATCTGTTTAGGGGGTGAGTTGTGTCCGGACTGCGTTGGCCTGGTGGGAGGCGCGATGTCCAAGCAGAGATGTAATCTCCGACACGTTCAGTACTTTATCTCCGTTCTTCCACCGTTAAAGGAGATCCGCAGCGGCATGATGCTGGTCGGCGACGAGGAGATGGTGTTTGAGACGTGGTTGACCCAGTTGAAGAAGGAATGGGTTCTTGGTGATTGTAAACCTCCGGCTTCCACCGCAGGTCATTTTGACTTTGGTGACTTTTTACTCGGCCTTGTGGCGTAAATTCAAGAGTTAGTGTAGATGAACATTGTTCACGGTAGAACTCAGTGCCACACTTTGAGAGCTCTGAAGTCGTATCAAATTACACGCTCTACGGATCATCTGGGTTTAGATGAATCTGCTTTTAGCATGAACCAAGGCCTATATGGTACTCGTCGGTAGACTATTGCTGATCTGAAACATTGTTTCCGATATATGTACAGTCAATCTCAGTCTTCTAAAGAAGCTGGCATTATCTTGGGACAAGACGGCCCTATCAGTGCTTAGAAATATCATGTATATTGGCATATGCAAGCATGACTGTCGTGTTCAACATTGCATTCAATATGCGAGAAAGCGCCACACTAACTGCTGTCAACATGACTACAGTATGTGTGGCGTGGCCATTTAGATTGCCCTAATGGTCAAGTCATTGTTCTCAACAACGCTGATACCATTCTGACCCCAGTGAAAAATAACATTCTGAGTGCCGAACAACGGGGGTAAGCGAAGAAGATGCGTATGATATTGGATAAGGGCTGACTTGGCTGTGTCAATGGCGACGATGAATGAAGCAGCCATAGGTATGGCTGTTTTCCTCGAGAATGCTGACAGTTACCAGCATGCAGTGGGTTGTTCAAGGCTCGTGTTCCTAGACGATTTATACGACTAGTGATGGCGAGTACCCCGTTGCAGCGCGTGGGGAGAGTTCATCCCACGATGCAATCGTTGAATACTGGTTCGATCAGGATACTTTTAGGGGGAATGAGCAGGCGCAGGAGACATGTCGGGACCTTGAGCATACTGGACACTCGCTAGCGTCCATTTCGCACATTGTATACGGCACGGATCCAGGGTGATGATCTGTATAAAGCTGAGATTGGGACGCGACTCCGCTATGGACTTGAATTCCAGGCGCAGTTTTCCAATGGCGAGGCGGTGCCTTCTTGGCTTTGTTGGGGGAAGTTGGATCTGACTGTTATACCTGTGACCGAGGTTGGGTTCAATGCCCTGTCACTCCGGATGGGGATTAATATGCCCGAAACACGAAACTGAACGTTGGAGAAACGACCTGTCGGGACTAATGGATCGTTTGTAGCATTTGAGTCGTTGTCGCACACGCAGAATCCAGCTTGAGTGGGATTATCGCGTTGGAAAGCCCTTTATTCAAAGAAAAGAAAAAGTATGTATACATGAAAGGGATATACACAAGATCCTGTGGCAGTAGCAGGTCCCTGTGTAGAAAGAAATCCCGAAACTTTTGCGCGTAAAGGATCAACAGCAAGCAAAATCCGCAGTCCTATAATAAACGACTTTTTTATCCAAGACCGTATCTGTCATAACCATTATAGAAACATGGTGTTTTTACCAATCGCAGTTGTCGCTCAAGAAAGTAGCCAGCTGCTCAAGGTACTTTTTATCTTCCTCGTCAAAGCCGGAGGGCTCGGTGCAATCGATGTCAATAATAGCGACAGTCTGCGAAAACGCAAGTTAGCACCCATGACCCACAACAAACCACCAGGCAACAAGAACGAACCTCTCCCCGAACCAAAATCGGCACAACAATCTCACTCCGACTCTCAGCGTCGCATGCAATATGCCCAGGGAACTTAAGCACATCCGGCACAACAACAGTCTCCCCCTTTGCAGCGGCGGTGCCACACACACCCCTCCCAAAGCGAATCTCCTGGCAAGCAGGCTTACCCATGAAGGGGCCTAGGAGCAGAATCTGGTTCTCCGATGAGGAGTATGTGGTCGAGATGGTCACGCCAGTGCCGGGCGCTCCTGACAATGGCGGGGACGAGACGGGCGAAGCCAGGGCGGGGAATTTATCATCGCGGACGTAGAAGCCGGCCCAGTTGACAGAGGAGGAGGGCGCCGGGATGGAGGCGTAGGCGTGCCAGAGGAGGGATGCGACGTTGGAGAGGTTGCTGGGTGGTGTGTTAGTAGGGTTCTGGTGTAGTCGCATTGCTTGCGGCGGAGCGATCGCGCGTCACTCACCTGACCCAATTCCGTTGGCCGTCCAGTAGACCTTGTGTTTGCTCCAGGAGTTGTGTGTAGACGTCAGCCTTGCTTAGGCCTGGCGCGAAGTAGGAGGAGTCGGCGTGAGGCTGTTTGCGATTGGGTTAGTCTTGGTTCGAGAGACCATTGCAAAGGACCGGGGGATCAGAGTGCAGCTCTGGGGATCGAAGCGATCAGGTAAACATACCATGATTGAATATAGCAGTGAGGAGAGGAGGAGAGAGTGCGATCGCGTGTCCAGGCATAAAAATGAGGCGTTTAGGCGGGGCTCGTCAAAGAAGCCGAGCCGAACTTTCCAGACCTTCCTTTGTAATCACTCAATGTTCACTTGGGGGCGTTCTGTTTGGTTCTGCGAGATGCCTCACACTTATACTCAAAGGTCGGAATGTAGAGGACTGGAAATGAGGGACAACATCAACGGGTGGCTTCAAACCTCCGACTTTTTCTCGTCAAATGTGCGGGGGTGGAACTCTATGGACTCAATTACCCCGAGTACCAGACGTTGAGAGAATATCTGAGACTGGAACATCGTCCTCCACATCGCCTCTGACTGGATTATGGGCACGCGAGAGTGGAATGAATGGTGGAAGTCTCGCACTATACACCTTATGCACCTGGTGCTTCTCGATCAGACCACTGATGATCTGATTGACCTCCACCCGGATCAAAGACCGAACTCGAGATATGGACCGCTTCCTGATTTGGAAATGGGTATGTCGCAAAGGACGACCAGACTCCAAAGCTCGCGTGCCCTTGATCCAGCTGTCGGCATAGTTAACAGAGTTGAATGGCTCTTGGACATGGACCTCATCGGGAGTAATGCGAACCACCGGACCTAGAAAGCGTCAGATTGGAGTTCTCATGGTACCGATGTAGTATACTGACCATATTTCTGGTGCAGTTGGTCGATCTCATTCTCAAAGAACCCAGGACCCCAGGCTGAAAAGTAGATCTCGTATAGCCCAGTCGCAGCAGCGAGTCGAGGACCAGGAAATCGACTGAGTGAATGGAAATGAAGACGATAAATAATCATGACGAGGTTATAGGCCACCGCACTACCGAACAAGAAACTGGCGATCATGGTGTATGTGAAATCGAGTACGGTAACGGAGTACTTTGGAGACTATGGGGTATAGCTTCGCTTTTCACTACCTTAATATAAAGAAAATGATCTTAAGATAAATCTAGCCTCTCAACCCTGCCCAGCCCCACGAACAAGCCCCAATTGGCTATCTAAACGCACGTTGCACCGCAGAAACTTTTAACAGCACGAACTCCCCATATCTCTTGCATCGTCGATCCCACAGAAACACTTGGTATTTATCGTCGTCATGTCCCATTTATCGGATAGACAGAGACCAAACCATCTAAGCGTCTCACGATGTCCTGCCAGTGATCGGAAATAGACACGAATCTATCTGGGGAGTCAGTATGATTGGCGAGCTGGCACACCATACCGCCTCTCTTGACGAACCCGAATACGCCGACTGTGAGATCTAATGTTGATCTAGTGTTGTCAGTGGGGGTGAGGGCTCAGTCCTGATTTGGCGAGGCTGGGAGGTGGGGGCTGATCGCAGATTCTGACCGCCAGTTAGGTGTGCCATATCCCTGTATGCTGTTGATCTGTCGATTTTGCTTAGAGGTCCATCGAAGCGAGGGAATGGCGGTAGGCGTCATCTTGCATGCCGGCTCTGTCCGTCCCTTGCGAAGGTTTGTATTGTGAGGGCTCACACGAAGTTGATACCCTAGGATGTCCCAGAATGAGTACCCAATCTTTCAGATTACAGTAAATGTATGATTTAATGTTCAATAGAGTTGAAGCTGAACATGACATTGGGTTACACGATCTGCGAGATAGAGTATGGGGAAGTCGATATTGCTTCGGCACACGTAGATATGACACATGAATCTCAGGATCGTCGAGGTTCTACTATGAGTAACGTGGTCTATTCCCAATCTTATGACCAATACAGTCGTTGCTGTTATCGTTGTTGTATTTAACGTCCGTGGATGCGGGCGAAGTCTGTGTCCCTGACCTTCCTTGGGGTATATGGACGTGCTAAGCTAAGGAATTACCTGCATTATACGCTAAGTCCATGGATTTGCTCCCTTAGAAAGCAACTCGGTTAGAAGAAATGACGCTGCGACCAAGGCGCGCACGTCTATCCCCGACATGTAGAACGAAGTGCTCATTTAATGTGGGCAAGGTGTAGCCTGTCGGCTGTGCGCTTGGCGGAGGGCTTGCGTCCACCAGGGAAAACAGACATTGTAGTAATATGAAGCGATCATTTTCACAGGGATTAGTATAAGATCCAACTGTACAACCCAGGTATGACGTGTTCTAATCAGCCTTACAATCGTAGTTTACATTCTACGTCAACTCGTACTAGTAACAATAATTTTGGGCTGAGGTCTCTTATCACAGGCCGTTATGCGTCCAATCAGCATGATGCCTTCATTATTATATTACACGAGATCCAAGGTCTCTGAGGTCATCAAGTCACACATGGGAAAAAGAAAAGAGAAGGAGGGGCGAAATGGAAACATGGAAATGACGAAAGCTCATGATCTGTGTCGCAGGATCTAGCATGGGAACAGCTCTGGTTTCACTATATTATTCTTCGGGTGAAGATCTATTTGGTTTCCGGCTGTCCTTGAGGGTTGTATCATAGTCTTGGGGCTCAACCATCCCACCTATGGGGAGCACAGCTTGATCTCGGAACAATGTCAACAACTGACCAACACCATTTACATGCAGGTTTCGAATGTGGGAATTAAAGACGTAATAGGAATTGAATAAATGAAATCGATTTATTGCATCATGAACAGAAAAGAAATCGTTGTCTTAGAGTATAGCACGAAATAATGCAACAGTCTATTTCAGATTCGATATCTTTCCAATAAATATCAATGACATAGACACACGGCTCGAATACAGAAATTTATATACAAGTACATGAGTTTTTTTCATGAAACATCTAATCAACTTTTCTTCTCAGCCGCTGGCACATCTGCTCCGGTGATATCTTGTGCTGTGTTCTGTCCACTTAAAAAGCTCACACCACCAGGGCCAGAAAATTGTTTTCGTCCTGTAGTAAGCCAGGTGATGAGGCTAATGACGCCAACGACGCCAACAGCAGCACTGGTATAATTCATGGATTGTTGATCGACAGGATTTGTGCTCGGGAAGTTAAAGGTGATAGCTGCAAATAGAAGGAACAAGAGTCCGATAATGTTGAGGGCGATGGAGACTGGTACCGAAAAAGAGTAGGGGCCGTCAAGCTTCGTTACATGACCGGAGAAGTATCCAGCCAGGCGACTGATAAGTGCCATTGCGTATGATAGGTCTGATGACGACAGATTAGTGAAGGTGCCGAAAGAAGGGAAGAAAGTAACTTACAAAAGCCTTCCGTTGAGATAGCAATGACAGTCTGGAATCCAGTGGTTGTGCCAAACTCAATAGCACCGAGCGCAAGCTGCACAGCAAGAGTAAGGAGCACAGCGTTCACAGGAACGTGGGTCTTGCTTTCGACCTTGCTGAAGAACTTGGAAAAGGGCAGGCCATTGTCTCTTGCAAAGGCATACGCAGCACGCGATCCTTCAGCAAGAATGTTGTTTCCAGCCACAATCACAATGACCGAGATCAAGCTTGACAAGATAACAGTGGCAGCCTTGTTCCCAGTGGAATCGTAGATGATCTGAATCACGGGTACACCAGTGCTCGTGCCAGCCGTTGACTCGATATCACCGATGCAGAAGCAAAGAGAGATAAGGAAAATAAATCCAGTGACTGCGCCAAGGACAACGGCGAGAACTATAGCCTTGGGTGCCTCTTTCGAGGCAGATTTCATTTCTTCTGTCATATGTGACGGGGCGTCATAGCAGCACATGCCGAAGCAGGCCTGTAAAACACCAACAATGGCGGCCATGCCAGTTCCGAAACCGGTGCCGTTCTGGAAGTCTTGGAATACAAAGGATGCGGGCTGCTTGTGGTCGTTTGTGGCAAGGATCGTGGCTGTAACGATAACGAACGATGCGACGTTCCAAATCAAAATTGCTTTCGAGATTCGGTGGAGTAAATGTGAGCCCCAGAGGTTGACAGCCGCTGAAAGGAATGCGACAAGGTAGGCAACTAAAACGGTTTGCCATCTTTGAATTTCGAATTCGGGGAATATAAGGTTGGCCATTCCGAGAACGAAATTGGAGGCAATGGAGTTATTGGTGGCACCCATGGCCAACAGACCTATACCGATATTAGTAAATGCCAGGGAGCAACAGCATCGGAATAAGTACCAATCAACATGAACCATCCAGTCACATAGGAAAGACCTCGAGCTATACTTGGAGGAGCCAGAGCCGCAACCCATGAGTATTGACCACCGGCCACTGGATACATCGAGCACATCTCTGCCATAGGAATTGCGACGGCCAGTGTCAACAAGCTGACACCGATAAAACTGAAAATCATAACAGGAGGACCGCCGGAGGTCACGCCGACGATAAAAACACCACTCAGTGCAGTCCATCTTGAATGTTGTCAATACAAATCAGAAGCGATATAGCAAAATGTTTCGATACTCACGATGTTACCACACTGAAACTAAAGCCAATCATACTAATCAGACCAAAAGATCTCTTGAGCTCTGCAATAACATATTAGCGGCCTATTGGGTAACTTTCAACGAGTAGTAACCTGGGTAGACTGACCTTGCTCATATCCCAAATTCTCAAGGCGCGCATCTTCATTAGGCGTGCCTTGAAACACCTTCGGGTCATCTTCTATAGTCGTCATGGTTGCAGCAAGAACAGTGATCCAGTTCAGGCAAATGCTGCCTAGCAAGGGGTAGGCGATACATCTTATACCCCTCGGTAACATCCGCTTTCCCCATACTTTGTCACCCCGGAGTGGCCAAACCAGCTAACAGCGTGATAATAGATATTCTGTTAGGGTTTCCCTATTGAGAAGGTCCGCGCGATGGCTGTGGGGCCGGCTCTTACTTACCAACCGGGACCGACAACCAAAGATTCGGCTTTGTTGCGGGGGAACCTATAGAGACTGCAGATAAGACAGTCACTTCTACGCTATTGGGCAATTCGAGGAGAATTGCTTTGTGTCATATGGATTGGTATCGCTATTTTATCTATAGATTTATAATGTTCATTATTCTTAAGGAGATAATATCACTTCTTGTCGGCCCGGTGGAAGCTTCCTAAGGCCGGTGCTTGGGCCTTGACGCTACGTTCCTGCCGAAATTTGCTTTTCTCTACGACATACTCCGTAGTTGGTGAGGGCTTTCTAAACTGATGTTGAAGTTTATAATGCGATTGTAGGTGGTTTAGAAGATAGCATTCAAGACGCATTTCAAACCCAGTCCTTGAAGTTGCCTACACTGTATGAAGCTGACTTCTTTCCAACTGTGACACACAACATGATAACCTTATTTCCCACTTTCTCCTCTGGGCATAGCTTGGTATGCTTGCTCTTCGGAGCCCCGTTCAGACCCAGATATTGACAAGTGTCACACGCACCCTTTAGGGCGTGTTGACACGACCCGAACAACTTCCAGCAGCCAGTATAGGGATATAGTGGGGCTCGAAAAGGTCTCTTCATGGTTCAATTGAATTCTGTAAGTAGTTGAAGGATTGCACCACTGACATATATGCTCCCTATATCGTAAAATACAAGGTGTCGAATATATGTATACAGTGCCACTGGTGAAGTATTAAGCAGTCTCTACGCGAAAGCCTCAAAGCAAGTATACTGTTTCATGTATTATTTTTGCCCTACTTTGGCCTCTCTTTCTTCACCTCTTTTTTGTCCATTTTTATCTGGTTTAAAATGGTAGGTTAATCACGTAGATTATATAGAGGTGAGGTTTGAAATGACTTATAGCCTATAACTGTATGGCGGAGAGAGAAAATATCGTGACAAATTAGACACCAAGATTAATATCAGACATCTCAATTCTAAAGCTAATACGGGGTAGCCTCAATGTCAATGATGAAAGGAAATAGACTGTTGCTAGCGACATGCAGATCCTCGCTGGTGTGTGGGTGTCTCTTATTTCGTAATTCGAGTATATGGACCAAGAGGTGTGTATCCTTACTCAAAACGACAGTTGTGCATTTGACAGTATTTTGATTGCAAATGTGATGACAGAAACGCTGTAAGGTCATATATAGTAGAGGCTGAAATATACATTCCGCGAAACAGCACTATTCGTATAACCGCAAGGAGGATGAGCCCTTTAGTCAATATAATAGACAAGCCTTGAAAATAAATAGTTCCAAAGCTAAGATATAACTTCATACAACCCGAAATAAAATGAAAATTCTCGCAGAAAATCAACCAAAGCAACCCGCCGAAGCGCTCTATCAGCTGTAGAGGCAACATTTCATAATCTATTGACAAGATGTTCACATAAAAAAAAAAAAAAAAAAAAAAAAAGGAAAAAAGGAGACATGATTCAGCCCAGGCACCAGGCCTGTCAAAAGCGAAAAAGATAGATACAATGCGAGCCGAACGCCAAGCAGATCGTGTGACGCTGATAGTGACAGATGGCAAGGGAATAAGAGATGAGCTATTCCGGAACAAAAAACAAGTAAAAAGGTATAGAGCAACAAGAAATCAGAAATCGCTAACATGCACTTCGGAGATCACATATTGAGCAAGCTCATTTGCCGACGCATGGGGTTGGGCGACAATGCATCTCCATCTTCGCTGGGACCGATACCGCTATCTGTACCGTTGATGCCGGCGTCTGTGTCGATATCCCATTCTTCGTCTTCGTTGGGGTCACAGTTGAGGTCGGCGCCATCGCCATCCCAGCCTTTTTGGATTGCACCACGGGTGTTCCAGCGCAGGGCGCGTTGGACGCTTGAGAACCATTCGTTGTTGTTGGAGACAACGGTTGGGAAGGGGTACTGGCTTGCTTCGACGGTGACACAGTCACCTTGGCGGAGTTCGACGCGGCCCTTGCCGTCGAAGGAGCAATAGGCGGTGGACCGGGAGGTGTTGGGGACTGCGATGCGGAGAAGATGGGAGTCTGAGAGCACCATTGGGCGGAAGGAGAGGGTGTGGGGACAGATTGGTGTCAGGAGAATGCCGGGGATAGAAGGGTGCATGAGAGAGCCGCCGGCTGAGAGGGAGTATGCTGTTGAGCCGGTCGGGGTGGAGAAAATACAGCCGTCTGCTTGCACGACGGTCAGAAGCTCATCGTCGGCATATAGCTCTAGATTCGAGACGTAGGGGGAAGGGCCACGGTCGATGACGAGCTCGTTCAAAACTTCGAACTGCTCGCCTTCCTCGACCGCACCTGCCTCTGCGCCTTTACTCCGGTCCTTTCGGAAGACGGTGCATGTGAATCGCATGCGCAGGTTGACGCGCATGCCCACATCACCCATGACACCATTCAGTTGTGATTTATAATTGGAGAATTCGAAGTTTGTGAGGAAGCCGAGGCTGCCCAATGAGAAGCAGAGCACAGGCGGTACAACGCGCTGGAAGAGCCAGGAAGTGAAGAGAACAGTGCCATCACCACCTAGAGTCAAGACCAAGTCAAATTTATCCGGCGATGTCCAGCAAAGATCTGGTGTCCAGAAATGCAGCATCTGCGCAAACATCGGGTCTTTTTGCAAGAGCGCCGGTGCGTCGAAGCGCTTGGAATTCCGCAACTTCGCATCAACATAGACATTGACTCCTTGTTTGTTCCCATATCTTGGTGTTGAAAGCAGCCACTCAGCAACTTCCCGAGTCAAATGCACCAGGCTGTTATCCCGAGCCTTGGTGACAATCATGACATTTCGCACGGCGCGTTTGATCGGCCGGCGTTGGAGCTGCTTGGAAACCTCGCGTACTCCAGTTGCTGTCTGAACTAGCCGTGAGTGGGACAGCCACTCATCATCGGCAATTTCCTCTAGCACCTTCTTTATATTGACAGCGTCGTCGAAACGCTGGTGGAAATAACATGGCGACTGCAATACTAATCGTGCAGTTGCCGGTGATCTATCGAGGTATCCGCTTAATTGTAGGTTGGAAAGTGCTGTGGAGAGGTTTTGGGAGGCATTGCTGCCCCGGCGCTGCCGGTCGTCAGAAGGCGGGGAAGCCTGGGTGGACTTATTGAGCAAATTCGACCACGAACTCGCCGACATGGTGTTGGGATTATTGGTGACGATCGAGGATCGCGAGGCCAGGGCTTTCAAAATGGTCTGTCGCGGGATGCAATCCGTCGAGAGCGCTTTCTGAGACCGAGGCTGAGAAACGGACTTTTGGAGGGGCCGTAGCGTCAGAGGCAGCGACAAGCCTTCTTCTTGAATCGGCTCAGTCTTCTGGAGGGAGAGAGTGCTGGCGTGAGGGGAGTCGTGAATCTCGGTGTGGGTTTGGGAGGGTTCTATATGGAGGGCATAGTCGCGGAGCAGTGCCGCACCAACTGGGGAGCACGAGGAGTGAGATGAATTGTCAGACCGAGGGATATCGCGGCTCGCCATAAGAAAGATCAAGAGTAATCAAGGGTGACTCGGATGTAACGGGGATTGCGGATCCGACGTCTCGAGATCTGTCGTGGGTCAGAGATGGGGGTTCTAGCGTCTTCCACTCTGTGTCTGTAAGATGACAAGGATGCGCCCGGATAAACTGCAGATGGGATTAAAAGGGAGGGAAATGCGAAGAAGTTATTGGAGCAAGATAAAGTTCCCCAGACAAAGAAATTTGTGGATGACAATTAATCATTTTCCCGCAATAGTCGAACTACAGTATTCTCGCCTATGCAGTATGCAGCCATGTGCGCTCAGATGCTGACGTTTATAATTATCTCTCTAACTACGTCAATCCGGACGTTGGATATTGGTTCGTTATTCTGCTCACTTTACACGTATGCTAGAGCCTCGATAATCCCCGTAAATCGCTCACCTGCGATCTAGCATACCTTTTTCCATTCACCGCTCCATCCCCCACCATAACGACGTAACCGAGTGGTCACCAAGAGGCTAACCATAGCCATTTCGGACTACGAGGATCCGGGGAGCGAAACAAGTCTCTGCAGGGCTGTCGCTTGTGGCAGGCAAAGCGTGTTGTATATGCAGCGACAGTCAGGTGATGGTGCCTCAATCGGGTGTCATACTCAGGCACCTAGTGGGTGGCACTGTCGCACCCTAGGTGAGCGGGAAACGTAGTGAAATCCCTAGGAAAAAAGGTGTGTGTGGAAAGAAAGGGACCAGGTGTGACAGCAGCTCAGGGACAAGGGTGTTGCACTCTCGGCCCATATCACTTGTAACTCTCCGTGTATTGCTGTGCTCAGATCGAGTCAAGTTTGTAGGCGTAGTCACTGTAGATCTGGTCCTCCACTGCCTCCCGGATGAAACCATTCAGGCTGCCGTCCTTTCCTCCGCCCATAGTGACATCGCCGTCGGAGCTGTCAGAGGCACCCTGACAGATGGAGAGAGCGTGTTGGCGGGCCAGCTCCCACGTGTCAAAGTCGAATCGGCCTTCGCTTTCGTTGAGGAGAAGGTGGCTCTTGGAGGAGATCGCAAAGACGTGGAGGGACACGGCGGCTTTGGCGGCGGTCGGGGAGGGGTCACGCACAATGTCACCAGACTTTGTTACACCGAGAAGAGTCGCGGCAAAGGTCATCGACAAAGGAACCGAGGCGGACATCATGGCGAGCAAGCCAGCGTGCAAAAGAGCTGGGAGGATGGTAAGGTACTGGATAGGTTAGTTTGATGGGCCAGTGCAGCGAGAAGAGAATGAAAATACTCACTGAGTCACCGCGTTCAATGTTTTCGCCTCCAACGATGGCCAGAGTGAGGACAACACCACGACGAGGGAATCCTTTCTCACGGCCCAGAACCACCTTGCTCAACACAGAGCGCAGGATTCCTTCGATATATCTCTCTCCGACACCAGCAGTGGTAGTACCAGGTTTGACAAACACCTCCACGGTTGCTTCCTCGGGCTTCAATGCGTCACGGCGTCCTGGGAGCTCGACGGGGGCATTGACGGCACCCAGGATATTGTAACCCGTAGCGGGGCATGTGTATGACGCCGAACCATCGGCACGATTTAATTGCGAGAGGGATGCTGTTGGACCGACCATCTTGAAACGGGAATGGCGAAGTGAGAAGCTGTTGTTCTGTTCTGCTGTTCGCCTGGAAGAGTTGAAGCTTCCCGCAAGTTTTTATCGCCGGCCCGTTTTGATTGGCTGTGGGAGGTTGTACTGGGTACTTTGTTGATGGAGGGCCCACCCCATACTTCGCAGTATCTTCTACTTGTAACCAAATGCTATGATCTACTTTGTATTCTGTTTTTCTATTCTTTTCTCTCAATATGTACCTTCTTACCTACTACTCCACCAGTATATCAGTCTAAGCCAAAGTTAACCCGGTTATCAGCCTAAACGCCTACGATTCCTATAGGTCGCCCCCGACAAATGGACGTGTCAGTCCTAAGATGCCGAACTCTTGGAATGCCCAGGCCCGGCTGTGCTAATACAGTCTGGTTTACAGCCACGCTTTTCAACAACAGACGTGTTGTTCGTTCCAGTTCGATCCATTTGATCTAACACTATTGAATTCAAAGTACTGCCGGAATCCGAGAAGCCGTCGCCGTCGCCGTCGCCAGCGTCACCGATCTAGGAATAGAACGCCACGACTGCCGAGAAACCAATGAAATTGTGGCTTAACCCCGGACTGGTAAACCATCCAATCCCACTACAGCTCAGCCATACCCCAAGATCCGACTGGACTACAAACCAGGATCGTGAGCAGCTATCGCCAAGGGTCCCAAGAGCCAAGAGTTTACCTGTATGGGTTGCCCCAATGACATCGTTGCCTCATGAGATGATTACACCCCCACTCACTGGGGTATCCCCTCTTCTGATACAACAGGAAGCTGGCCATATGCCGATGTTTGGCACTAATTCCCTACAAAAGCCACGCCCAAAAGCCTCTTCCAGGTTCTACCTACCTTCTTCTCATTTTTGATTCTTCCCTTTTGAAGACAGTCCGTTCCTCTGACCTGGGTAGTCATCAGGGTGACAAGCAATCTTGGATTTAAGCATCTATCCCATTGCCCCTTCTTCCTTTTCCCCTCTCTTCTATTGAATGGGCGTGAACGTAGAGTCTACTCTCGATGTCGAGGAATCGACGGAGCCTCCTATATGTGGTTATACGGAACCCAGCTCCAAACCCAATGTTGCCAGCACCCTAGATATTAGGCCCTGTGCTACCGATGAGAAATCTATATCGCATAAAAGTGATCATCCCGCGCCGGTCGATCTACCCCCTACTAGAGAGGGCTCCGATCAGAGTGCCCACCTCATAAATCCATCTGAGCTCGCTACTCTCCTCAAGACTGACCTTCGGTATGTTGGCCCAGCACCTACAAACACAAGCATTGCTAACGAGTGAAATAGAAATGGTATCTCTGATTCAGAAGCGGCATCCCGCCTCGAGCGCGATGGTCCGAATACCGTGCGTGAAATGGAGAGTGTCTCCGTCTGGGGGATACTGCTAAGACAGGTGTCCAACAGTCTGACTCTAGTACGTGCCTCAATACTGCATATCACCATCAAAGGCAATGAATGCTGACACAGATCAAGGTCCTTTTAATCACCATGGCCCTCTCCTTTGGAATCGATGATTACATAGAGGGCGGTGTTATCACTGCAGTGATTCTCCTAAACATCATCGTAGGGTAAGAACCTGGTGTTTCGTTTATCATATGTTAATTATATTAACAACCACTCTACAGCTTCATCCAAGACTACAGAGCCGAAAAGACAATCCTCTCACTACATCGTCTCTCCGCTCCAATATGCAAAGTCATCCGAGACGGTCGAATCGCCTCTGTCAAAGCCGAATCTCTCGTCCTGGGAGATGTCGTGCAACTAGCCGTTGGCGACATCGTCCCCGCCGATCTCCGACTATTCGACGGCATGAATGCTTCAATGGACGAGGCGCTTCTCACCGGTGAATCACTCCCAATTCTCAAAACTCCCCAACTCACTCTCACCTCCCGTGATATCCCCATTGGTGATCGGACCAATATGGCCTATTCGGGCTGTAGTACCACACAGGGTCGAGCAATGGGAATTGTCACGGCGATCGGCATGAACACCGAAGTCGGGAAGATTGCCCAGTTGCTACAGACAGAGTCTGATCTTGGTGATTCGGGTCCTTTTGGTCGTGTGTGGAAACGGGTCAAGTTGTTCTTTATGAATATCTTGGGGTTGGTTGGTACACCGCTGCAAGTGAAGCTGAGCAAATTTGCACTTCTACTCTTCGCACTGGCAATTCTATTGGCCATAATCGTTTTCTCGGCCAACAAGTGGCATGTCCAAGGCGAGGTTCTCATCTACGGCATTTGTGTTGCTGTAGCGGTCATTCCAGAGTCGTTGATTGCCGTTCTTACCATCACCATTGCTGTGGGTACAAAGGCTATGGCAAGAGGGAATGTCATCGTGCGCAAACTTCAATGTCTTGAGGCAGTCGGTGGTGTCACAAACATCTGCTCTGACAAGACTGGAACATTGACGCAAGGCAAGATGATTGCCCGCTCGGCTTGGATTCCTGGTGCTGGGACTTTGACCGTAAGCCAGACGACCGATACCTTTGATCCGACTAGTGGAGTTGTTCAGTTGGATGAAATTGATTGGAACTCAACTCGGCCTATTGAGGATCGTCCCGCCTTGCATACCTTCCTGCGAGCGATCTCTCTTTGCAATCTCTCTACTATTCATCATGATAACAAGTTATGGAGTGCAGTGGGTGAGCCCACGGAGATTGCGCTTCATGTCCTGGCTTTGCGCTTCAATTTTGGGAAGAGCTCTGTTATGAAGAGGCGTCAACTTCAACTGCACACAGAATACCCATTCGATTCGGCTATCAAGAAGATGACCGTTGTCTACAATAATCCCCAAGATAGGGCAATGGAGATATACACCAAGGGAGCGCCAGAAACTATCATCCCTCATCTATATATCGATGAAAGCGAGAGACAGACCATTCGAGATACAGCCGATCGGATGGCAGGTGAAGGTCTCCGTGTCCTGTGCATTGCGTATAAAACTGTTCTCGGAGGGGATATGTCTCAAGTATCTCCCCGAAATGCAGCCGAGTCAAACCTCCGCTTTGGCGGCCTAGTTGGACTCTACGATCCCCCTAGAGTCGAAACAGCTGCAGCAGTGCGCCGATGCCAAATGGCAGGAATCACTGTACACATGCTCACAGGAGACCACATCAAAACAGCAACGGCCATCGCCTCAGAAGTCGGAATTCTTGACCGCGTAACAGCTGTCGTAAAGGCGGGCAGACTGGTAATGGCAGCCGACGAGTTCGATAAACTGAGTGACGATGAAATCGACGCTATCGAAGAGCTGCCTCTTGTCATTGCCCGCTGTAGCCCCGCTACAAAGGTTCGCATGGTAGACGCCATGCATCGGCGTGAGGCATTCTGTGTCATGACTGGCGATGGTGTCAATGACTCCCCTGCACTCAAAAGAGCAGATGTCGGTATTGCTATGGGGAAGAATGGAAGTGACGTTGCCAAGGAAGCGGCTGATATGGTCTTGACGGATGATAATTTCTCATCTATTGTTAAGGCGGTTGAGGAGGGAAGGCGGCTTTTTGATAATATCCAAAAGTTCCTCATGCATTTGCTCATCTCGAACATTGCCCAAGTCATCCTCCTTTTGATTGCGCTCGCCTTCAAAGATGAAGGCGGAGACTCAGTCTTCCCATTATCTCCACTCGAGATCCTCTGGGCGAACCTGGTCACATCCTCCTTTCTAGCTGTAGGTCTCGGGCTAGAAGAAGCCCAACCAGATATCATGTACAGACCACCCCACGACCTCCGCATCGGCGTCTTCACTCGCGAGCTGATAGTCGACAAAATGATATACGGAACGTTCATGGGCACCTTGTGCCTCGTTGCATTTGTCTGCGTGATCTACGCCGCTGGCACAGGCACTTCATCTCTAGGCGATGGATGTAACTCGGGTTATAATCCAACGTGCGATAGTGTCTTCCGTGCTCGGGCAACTACATACGCAACGCTAACTTTCCTCCTGCTTGTCACGGCTTGGGAAGTGAAACACTTTTCTCGTTCCTTATTTAACATGGATCCCCTTCGGTATCCAAAGACTCTTTCTGTTTTCCCTACAGTCTGGAAGAACAGGTTCTTGTTTTGGGCTGTTATGGCTGGATTTGTTATTGCATTTCCAGTTATCTATCTTCCTGTTGTTAACCAGCTTGTTTTCAAGCATCAGGCTATAACTTGGGAGTGGGGTGTTGTCTTTGGGTGTACGCTTGTTTACCTGGTCTGTGTTGAGAGCTGGAAGGCTGTCAAGCGGGCGTTTGGGATTGGGAGTGGGAAGAATGCTACTCTTACCTTGGAAGATGCTGAGATGAGGGCTGGTCTGGCTACTTTGACGCCCCTCTCGCTGAGTGCGAATGCTAGTGCTAATGCTAGTGTCGAGTTGAAATGATGATGGATGGTTACCATGGCTAGCTAGTTCAACATTATGTTGGTCATGTCATTTTGATTTGGGGCTTTCAACATCCCCCTGCTTGCATGCATTTCTTTTGTTATCTATCGAGATTCAGAATGAACCTAAATAGCCTGCTGAGTAGGTTATCTGTGAGACATGGCTACCTTCTTTGTTTAGTCTGTTTCAATTCTAGGCAAGTAGATCTATGAGGACCTCATTTATCCAAGCACTATAACGGGTACCTCTGAACCCTAGGCATAACGTGGCAGTCGGATATCAGTAAATACCGGTACATTCTGCTGGTATTACAGAGAGAAGGACCAAAGAATAGGGTGATCATTTCGGGGCCACAGGGGCCAGGGGTGGCGCTTGCTTACGAAGCGTGTTCGTCGTGCAGCTCTGGGAACCACTAACAACTTCAGTCTCGACATTCCCCAACGTGCATCAAAACCTTGCATATCCCCCAAGTCGCCTAAATTCAGGGGAAATCTGTAGCCAAAGAATGCCGTCCGATCGTCAACCAGTGACCTTACGCCGATACTGCCAAGCCTGCGTGAAAGGCAAACGGCGATGTGATCAAGGCTGGCCCCGATGCAGCAGATGCGTGACCAAAGGAGTCGACTGTGAATACATCAACAGTGAGGAACAGCCACAGATTGCCAGCAGGGCAAAATTTAGAGCCAAAACGCTCAATGGTTAATATGCCCCCTACTCCTCACATCCATGCACCACTACGACTGGAAATCGCGAAAGAATATGATCCAAATATCGTCCGCTTCCTTGTAGCAGGACTGCGTGATCTACCTGTTCAGTTCGTGACAAGTCGGAAAACGCTATTCATCCACACCCTGGTCTCTATCCAAGTGGCCTGCCGGCTCCTGTTCGCGAGATTCATAATGTCTGTAAATTGAACCTGCATCATGATCGAAATGGAGAGACAGAATTTACTCTATTTTCGATGCTCCGAAAGCACTAGATAGAGCTTTGTCGCCGATTGAATCATAATCCAACTTTCGAGGAGCTCTTAGCTTGTTCCCAGGCTTTGGTCTTGATTCAATGCATTCTGGTCCTCAATGAAGATGGCAATACAGGTCCATACTCCGAAGCCATTAGTACAATGCTAGCAGGCGTTGCTGGGAAACTATGGCAGCAGGCACCGATCCAATTTCCCCAGGCGCTCAGCCATCGACATGCATGGCTTCTCGCTGAGAGCGTCGCCGTACAATTATCGTGTGCTTTATGCTACAAAGCGCTTATTCGTTGAACACGAGAAACTATTCAGTTCGAGCGCCATTTGTGGACTCTTTGCCATTTGATCTGCGAACTAATTTGTAGGATGATGATTCACCGGCATCTTGGGAACATGCCCTGTCTGATTCTGATGCATCTATGGTTTCACTACATGAGTGGTCGGATAGCATGGCGGCAGGTCGTGTTCATAACGTTTTCAAATTTCAGTGAGCTGATCTTGGCGGCTTGTAAAGGACAGGCGGTTTCGACTATTTCTTCTCCGCCATTGTGACCTCGCCTGCTCGAGTTGCACGACATCGAATGCCTTTGCAGACACTTTGTCGCTTCCATACTTCTGGACAAGCTCATCCAGGGTTTCCTGTCTACGACCGGAGACAATCAACTTAGAGCCATTCTGAATGACCTTGTCGGCGAGAGTCTTGCCAATCTCGGAGGTGGTGCCAATGATAAGGATTTTATTGCACCCAAAAGACATTGCAATGAGTGGTGCTTGCAAACAGAATGAAAGGAATTGAAATATCCTATCTCCCTCTGGAAAACTATGATTTATATACCCCAGCAACGTGAAGGCGACCCTCGAAAACCATCATGCAAGCTTCCCAGGGCTGCGGAGACTAAACCCAAAAAAGACAACCTTGAAGCACCCTGATTGGCCGGCAATCTAAGCTTAGCAGGTGCCGGGGGTTCCGCGTCGTCGGTGGAGGTTAAACTTAAAGCGGTAAAGCGCGTCTGCAGATATTAACTGTTTATTCATCTTTTCGTATTCGATTTTTGCCGACGGATATACGGAGTAAAAGACTAATCATTGTCGCTATTGATTTGAAATCAAACTGGGCTCACACACTTGCCCAGGTGGTTTGATGTATCTGATGCGAGGACACGAGCCTCTGAGTTGGTGGAAGGATCGTGCAGCTGGTTTGATAATCGAGGACAAGATATGTACCGCCTGGACAGGAACAGGTGATTTAGGGTACAACACGATGACGATATTAACCGTGTTGTGCAGAGTGGAGGAATCAAATGTTTATTCAAAGACAAGTCGCACAACCTGGAGACTACTGCTGAGAATTGTGGGTAGGAAAAGAAAAAGGAAAGTGGTATTTTGGAATTCTAAATTGGGTTTCATCGTAGACAGAAAGTAGTGTCCCAATTCAAGGAGTCTCGGAGACGTTGTAAACCAGCTTCTCGCCGCTGACCTTGTCCTCCTTGAGCAGCTTCAAACCCTCCATCACACCCTGCAAGCCATTCGGGCCAACCTTGGGAGGGTGAACCTTGAGCTTGCCCTGGTTGAGCAGACCCTCAGCAATGGGGATGAACTTCTCGGCGTGAGCTCTGTCCTCCGGCTTGGCGGGGAAGGGAATGTCGCCGAACGAGAACGCCTCGCCAAGGGTAGTGTAGGCCAAGGTAAAACGGTCATTGACGTTTTCACGCTCGATCTTGACATTAAGCAGAGCGCTGTACTCGCCACCCTCGGTGGACAGGGCATTGTCACAGAATGCAGCGCTAGCCTCAAGTGAGATACAGTCAAAGGCAAGCTTCAGCTTGTTATCAGTAGCCTTGCGGATCTCAGCAGCGGAATTGGCGTCCTTGTAGTCATAGACCTCGTCGGCTCCAAGGCTTCGGACCAAGTCGAAGTTGCGAGGCGAACAAGTGGTCAGCACCTTGTAGCCGGACAGCTTGGCGAACTGGATAGCTAGGGTTCCGGTCGCGGTGGAGCCACCGTAGATCAGGATCGGGGTGTTATCCTTGATCGGCTCGGTGGGCAGTGCCAGCTTCAGACTCTGGTACAGACCCTGACCAACAGTGCTGATACCCACGCCGAGAGTGGCGGCTTCCTGGAAGCTCATGGCCTCGGGGATCTTCCACTGCAAATCGCCTTTGACGGCGATGTACTCGGCGAAAGCGCCGTCTTCGGGCTGGACGGCGTTACCACCGTGCGTAAATCCGCACACGCGGTCACCCTTGGCGAATTGCTTTCGCACGTCTTTGCCGACGGCTTCGACGACGCCGGAGTAGTCACATCCCACCAGGACACCTGGAGGAGAGAGGTAGGCAATGTGCTTCCAGTCGGTGGGGTTCAAGCCCACACTGACGGTCTTGACGATCATATAGTCATCCCGGAGTTGAGGGATGGGGCGGTCGGTGACGAGACCCTCCTTGCCCTTCTCCACGACGACAATTGCTTTCTGAGTAGACATTGTGAGACGATGTATGAGTTAGTTAGAGAAGCAGTGGATCTTAGCAGTTAAATAGTCGGATGCGGTGATTACAAATAAACCATGACGTTGTTCGGGAAGTCCCACTCGTCCCAACTATTTCGCCGGCTCCGTTCCTTTACCTCGGCTTCCTCTGGTACGGATAATCTGCACTGCCTTGTCCTCAAGGATGAAACATGAATAAACTGGGAAACGGTTCCACGTAACTCGTGTTCCTAGAAAGAATGGGCAACCCTGCCCGAATTGCATCCCTGCCTGGCGGCTTCTCCGGATGATCGCTTAAACCCTTTAACATGGAACAAGGCTATATTGAGAGCAAAAGAGGCAGCATATAATTTAAGCCCAGATACCGGTTCCCGAGGATCCGCTACAGCACCTAGTAGGATGCTCAAGTCACGGCTCAGGCAGAATAACATGTAAGTCTTCGGTGTTTTGACTATACAACATCGTTCTAATATACAATCACCGATGGATTCTCAACAATCAGCCGAATCTGGTGAACTCCTCATTTCAAAGAGAACACACTTTAAAACTCTCCTTCTCAGTACCTACTACAACTTTGGGGGGCCTACACGCTACTGTCGTCTCTTTTCCCAGGGAGCAGCAGGAGAAGGAGACAAGGAAACCTTCATTGCAGCCGCAACAGCTATGGGCGACCCATTTTACTCAAATCAGCGAACCTATCTGCGCTATTGGTCATCGAACAGAAGGTGGATTAGCCGGGTCTGCAATAGTCCAATTTGACCCAATCGAAGACAATACACTGACCTAAAAAGGGGAGTGGCGTGTGAAAGGGTCATTGGCACTTACCCCAGCAACTGTTTTCTCAAAACAAGCCGTCAATCCTGCTTTCAAGCATTTGGCTTCGATGTTGAGAAGCAATTCTGGGCGGAAATTCTTTGGACAGCCTGTGAATTGGATATCAAATTCAGAAGCTGGCAGAATCCAACAGGAACTTGCAATGGCGTGAAAGGATATTGGGACGCTCAGTTCGTATCGAGCTGGGGGTCCCGCCCAGAATTTGATACATATAGTTGAAAAGCCCCCTCTTCCAGAAGAGCACTCAATGCCCCGCGACAAACGCCAGGGGAATGTATGGATTCCCGCTCTTGCATATCTACAGGAAATAAATACCCATAAAAGTAGCCAGATACAAAGTAAGATATGCGAATCTCATAGCGTTCATTCGAATTCCTTAGGTCTTCTAGAGAGGAAAAGTCGAGGGTCCATTGCTTTTCACACACGCCAGCTTGAATACCAGAGTTTTCTCCACCGCAACTCACGTACATGTCGCTAAATTTTGTCGCACTATTCGGCTCACGACTTTTGAATAGATTGAGGACCGCCTGAGAATGGTACATTACCAGAGATCGACTCCCAGCTGAGCGCGGCTCAAATTGCGAAATTTTTGCGTCCGATTGGTAAATTCAGAAGTCGAGGGTTTTGCACAAGTTGTCAACTGAGCGCATTGCCATACTGTTCGGGATACGCAATAGTTGACTGTTATGTCAACAACGATAGCTATTGGCGCCAGAAAATTGATGTCCTCGGTCGCATCGTGATGATAGGTCCCCGGTAGAGCACCAGGTGGGCGGTACTCTATAGAGAATCCGGTCCATCCTGGCAAGTACAAAATCTTCGCAATAGCGAGACTCAATGTGACCACTCGCGAACCGCGCGGACATTCATACTCAGATTCGTCACAATGGTGGCAGAGGAAGGTGCTTGATTAACTAGGACAGTCGCAGAACATAAGACTGCATTTGGATTATCCCGGAACGGTACAAACGCATGTGGATCTGCTTTAGCGTTTTGGCGATGGCAACCTACAGAATTCCTTGAGATCATCCGGAAGCAGCCCGGCGGGTTCTCGAGTTTGACTCGGCTGGGTAGAGCAGCAATGTCTTCTTACAGCTGATTGTACCTGCCTACCTAAATCTGATAAGGACCTGCATTTTTAAATTGGTTAAAATGAAGTTGTTTTTTATTTTCCAAAGTTGATTTCATGTTTGCATCCCTGGGAAATCGAATCTCGGTCCATATGGTTACCACGTTTCCGGATGCGGAAGGCGAGCGGACGATGAAACATTGAAGATCTTGAGAGTAAGCTCTTGGCTGTTCGAACTGGACGCTGTAGTCTTATTTTAACCTATAATTTGACTTTCCATTCTTATCCCCTTCCCCATGATAGTTCAATAGTAGCCGCAAGATCATAAATACGTCAAACAGTTGCCCGCCGTACACCTCAAACTGCGCCAGACTTGTGATCTCGGCTCTGGGATATAAAAAGCGGCCTTTTGTTCTTCTCTTCGGTGGAATTGGCCATGATCAGGTATGTTCTGCCCTTTGGACAAGCGTGGTTGTATTTACTGAGTATGATGGTAGGCCACTTCTCATGCGTTTCAGGATATTCCACACCTTTATTGTTGCAGCCACTCTGGTCGGCTGCTTCGTGAGTGGATTATACAAGTTCCAATGACGCCAATCTCTGCTAATGCGAAATAATTTAGTTAACGTGGAAGTCCTTCTCTCCCCACCGACCACAATGGCCATCCTGGGAGGCCGGAGTAAAGGGCGTCCCGCATGGCACCTCCTCTAGCAAAGCAGCATACGAAGAAATGAAAAGCAGCTTCCATAGAGGAGCAAGTGTCGCATTAGGGAAAGTGATGGACGAGCTGATGCCCGAGTCGTTCATAAAGAAGAAAGTCGTTATGGTTACCGGTAGTTCCGGCACAAACCGCATGCTTGGGATGCCGCACATCAAAGAAATGATCTACGAAAACCGAAAGACATACGCTGAGAAGCACGGTTTCGAATTCATGTGGGCAAACATGACAAGCTACAACTTGAGCAATGGGGCGCCGATCTACTGGAACAAGATCCCCATTCTCAAAGAAGCCTTCGTACGCTACCCGGATGCTGAATGGGTATGGTGGTTAGATATGGACATCATCATTATGAACATGACCCTCAACATCTACGACCACATCCTATCTGAAGAGGGATTAGCACGCAATATCCTTCTCGGTCGCGAGATGACTGGCCCTGGCGGTGGAAAGACTGGCTACAGCACCCCAACAACCTATAAGCACGACGATATCAACTTTGTCATATCGTTGGACTCGTGGGGTATGAACGTGGGCAACTTCCTGATGCGCCGGGGTGAGTGGAGCGAGTGGTTACTGGATATGTGGATTGAGCCGTTGTACATCTCTCAGAACTGGGTGTTTCCGGAGAACGATGCTTGGACACATCTGTGGCAGTACCACGATGTTGTTCGGGATCATGCAGCGGTCACGACTCAGCGCTCGATGAACGCGTATCCGGATTCCAACGAACTTGGAGAGCACTGGCAGCCGGGTGACCACATCGTTCACTTTGCGGGCTGTGGTGGGGATGCGACATGCGAACAAAGGTGGAATAAATATTGGAATATGCGCGAGAAGATTGAAGTGCCGATGTCTGTGCAGAGGAAGTTGGAAGATGGCACGGCTGAGATTGAAATCGTTCAAGCCGGCGTCGATTTGCCGTGAACTATATTCTGCGTTATACAGGTTCATCTAGGCAAGTCTCTTCACATGTGGCCGTCGACCTTCAGGTTCGGCATACGATCGTTCCTTGCCCGTACGAGACGCCGATAATATTGCTGATTTCAGGCTTTTGTTCGCAAATTCGCAAATTCAAAAATTGGTTGCGGCCTTGCGGTCATTGGAATGTTGACACTCCTCTGGAATGCGTCCATCTGGGACAAGGTAATCCTGACGAGCTGGATCTAGCGATTCTTGGCCTAATTTTGAACATCGAATTTCTTTGGCTCAGATTCAAGAACCCTACAACTGAATGTCACTCCATCTTTGAAGGAAAATTCGGGGACTAAACTTCCTAAGCGCTGTTATGGCTATACATGCGCTATGGCCTAGTGATGACTCGAAGGCGGTATATATAGGGACCGTAAATTTAATGCAATTAAAACCCTTTCATTCTATGCTTTTCAACGCTTACTATTGGACATATTATTTACCCCTACCTGCATATATTGGGATATGCACCATCGCAAATGCAAGGGTCTTTCTTCAGATCCTAGAGACAAGGCATACTAGGTAGCGGTAGTGTATGTGGTTAGCACTCCTAGGCAACCTGCAGGATGACTCCTGCGGGGTTGGGTTTGATTCTGAGCACCGGGCACAACAATAACCACCATCACGTCTTTGAGGAGAGACACACAAACCCGTGGTAGCCACGGTGGGTAACTATAGAAACGTATTCCTATACTAGTCTCCACGGGGCGAGGAGTTTCATCTGAAGGCGCGTATATGACCTGATTCTGTGCCTGGGACATTTCCAAAGGACGCCAGGGTATTACTAGGATTCGTTTGAAGAAAATATGATGAAAGAGAGGGCGGAGAACACGGGCTCGAAACATCAGCCTGCAAGGCGATTTTTCTGTGAAAATTGTCGATTAGGGCTGACTTTCTTCCAACTCGTGCAAAAGGCGGGGGTTCACTGATACCCTTCAGTATTGTCGTCGGGCGCCAATGATTACTTAGTTGGCTTGGTTTTATAATAATCCAAAGAAAAGCTTGCATTATGGATGCGATGGTATGAGTGAGGCTCTAATTGCTTTACTTTGCAGAAGGAAGCTTAAAAAGAGAAGAACGGAATCGATACGAGTAGATCTACATCTGATCTACTGCATTTGTATAGATGCTGATCATCATAGTGACGGACGTCTACCTCGCATAAATTTAACAAACCTTACCAGCCTGGATGCTCGCCGCCTCCGAAACATCCTGTTAAGTGATGAGTAGCACAAACCTTACCTCGTTCTGTACTGCTAGAACGAGGCTGAAGGAGTGGATAGACAAGAAGCGATGCTTGACTCCCTGATAGGCTGCCTCTACACCGAGGGCTTCTTTCTCTGTCGCCTGCCGCCAGGTGAAAGATTAGAGGTGTATCTTTACGAGATGGTTACACGGCCTCTACAACGACAAGTTTCGAGAGGCGGTGTGGACGTTGGAATTGATTTGGACATGGAGGCAAATTGAGTAGAGAAACGCGGAGTTATCTGGATAATGAGGACAATTTATGTTTCAGAATACAAGAAAACCCGAGGCTATGGTGACCTCAAGCTGAGATAAGACTGAGAGTACTTTTTCACATTACATCGAGTGCAGTGGAAGAAATAAGCGCGGGGATCGCGGGGTCAACGCTCTCCCCACCGACTATCATCCCTTCCTCTCACTTCTCTCTCAAACCCACAATGAAGGTTCTCTGTCTACACGGGAAAGGCACAAGTGGAAGCATCTTCCGCTCCCAAATTTGTTTGTCCTCCCGCCAGCCACTCACCGTAAAACGCTAATATCACCAGCCTCATTCCGCTCCAGACTACCCAACGAATCTATTGAATTTGATTTCATCGACGGTCCATTCCAGTGTAACCCAGCTCCAGGCATAGATCTATTTTATAGCCCACCCTACTATTCCTTCTGGGAACGGGATGATGTCGACGCCATCCGAGCTGCCTATAACTGGCTGACCGAATACATCGCCAAGAACGGCCCATACGATCTCGCGCTTATGTTCTCCCAGGGCTGTGTGTTAGGCTCTACTGCTCTCCTACTCCACCAGGAAGAGACACCCCACCTCCCGCCACCCTTCAAAGCTGCTATTTTCGTCTGTGGAGGCGCATCCTTGATCATGCTGGAGGAGCTGGGTTTCCATGTATCAGCCGAGGCACGCGAGCGCGATGCTGCGTCTAGGACTGCTTTGGCTTCGCAGGCTGGGTCCTCGGCTGTGCTCGCTCAAGGTTCCAGTCGCTGGACTGGTCTCGAGTCGTTGGACAGTGGATTGTCGGAGGATGAATTGCGGGCTGAGATTAGAAGTCCATTCCATATTGACATTCCCACTGCGCATATATACGGTGTCAAGGATCCTCGGTATGTGGCTGGCGTGCATCTTTCTGGAATCTGCAATCCGGAGAAACGCCGCACCTATGATCACGGTGGTGGGCACGAGATTCCGCGGACGGGTGCTGTCAGTGATAAGATCGCGGAGATGTTCCAATGGGTGGCTGCGCAAGGGGGTGTTTGAAATTGAGCATTGCTCATTTTGGATGCTGGGTTGGGCTACTCGTCTTGTGAATTCCGTTAAGTTTCTTCATTCATAGATTCTGGATAAATATATACAGGGAACCAATGCATAGTTGGCATTTATACCCCAGGCATGAACCAGTTGCCAGAATCTCATCATCTCTCGCACTCGAACAAGACAGTTTACCTGACTCTTGGTCTGATAGCGATTTTGGATCTCTTAGATCAACCGTGCGATCTCCTCGGAGGCTCTAGAGTGGGGCTTGGCAGTTATTCAGTAGAAAGCGACAAAGAAGCTGAATTACTCAGCTGTGTAAGCTATTCAGTGCCCAAGCTGGCAATTAATCTGGCATAAATAAATTCCATCTCAAACAAAATCTGCTACACTAGTATCGATGATAAATTCTCTCATCAAGTATCCTTTTCAAGGCTCAGGACATCCATTGGAAATGACATCAAAAAAAACAGCTGGGAGTCACCGAGTTCGGCTATTAATCCATGAATCTTTTTGATCTCCGTCCCAAAGTGCTTTCCAAGATACCAGAGATGGTCCGGCAGCGTGAGAAGCAGGTAGATATGTGCAAGAATAATGAAAGAGAAGCCAATGGGTATATCTGGGTTGGAATCTGAATCCAGCGACGAGATGAAAGGTTGAGGGACAAGACCTGTTCAAGATGCAACAGCCGCATCTTCAATCTCAGCATGAATGTCACGATCTGATGAGGATGATTCAATACGTTGTAGCTGGAGCACGTAAATGATCCGAAGATACATCTGCTCAGCAACGACAATTACTTGATCTTGTGCCGCAAAAAGTTCGTCTAGTTGGGGATTTCCCTTAGACCCAGGGCTGGTCACAGATATCGGAGACTGAATATTGCCATCGCCAATTTGGCAGTCTGTTGATTTTAGAAAATTTGAAAATTCCTTGAGATGTGAAATAGCTCGAGATGCACCCAACGCAAATACACAGATACTTTGCGATCGCACGCAGCCAGGTGGCACACCTGTCGGTAGTGGCTCCGGCCCGAGTAGCTTCCAGTCTTCGTTGGCATTGTTGAACAACAACAGAGGCCTTAACCGGCTTAGTTTTAGAGTCGCCGAAGAGACCTGCACAATGAAGGTCGTGCCACGCACAAGTTGCAGCCACTAGATATGAGGCCTGTCTGAGCGATGAGGGGTGCCCGGAGATGTATGTTCCTCAGTAGACGTAGATTGGGACATCTTGGCCAACTAATCGAGGTTGCCGACTCGAAGTGAGCCAAATGCAAAACCAACAATTCACATGGATCCAGCAAATAAAACTTCCGCATTCGTATGCTTAACAGCAGCTAGTTGCTCCTGGAGACCTTGGAGACCCATTTGATGATGCTCAACCAGAGTTTGAAGCTTGGCTGCGTCCAAGTTCGCATGCATTTGCTCGTTTGGTTGCTGGGTTGTCAGGATATCCACGCCAGCAAGCGCAATAAGTAAGTGCATCAGAAAGGCGTTCTTGTCAGCGATATCTGGACTAACACGCCCCCAGATCAATGCTTTGCCAGGATTCAAGCTCAGTTCTTTCGAAGTGTGTAAAATATAGTGCTGTAAGAGAGTCAGATCATGCATATTTAAACTCCTGGAACTGCGATCGGGATTTGGTGTTCCCGTTTGAGGCACATTGAAATCCAGGGGACAAATGGGATCAGTATGCAAATTCGACGGGGCCACCGTCTGAAATTCATCTTGAGGCGTTACAACGCGACAGGCAAGAGGTTGTCTTCGTATCTGGACACGTGTCCCATGTGAGCTTGGATAAATTTAATTCTAGCAGCTTACAAATGGGTTAGAATGGGCTATAATCGGGTGTGCGCCGGTCATGCTGCAGTCTAAGCATCACCTTGCTGCATTTATTATTTTCGGCAATTTGGGGCGTGGGAAATGACCGGATTTCTATCAGTCCATGATTCATGCGCAAGGTGAAGCTTTGAGGCAGGAAACTGAAAGATATTTCGCTTTGACAACGATAGAGAAAGAAAGTTCACAGTGTTAAGCTAGTTGAGATGCCTTGGGCCCCGAAGTCCATGGCAAACCAAGATTGAATACCAATGTGGTCACCACCTGGACCAGTTCTCCAGGGCCTTGACAGCAAACGCTGTGCTGGCCCCTCTATTCCCAACTTCCCGTTTAGCCCCGGGAACTAAATACATGCAGGAGGCTTCCCAGCCACCGTCTTCTTGTTGTATGTCAACGAGCTTCTGCCGATCGACGGAATTGTCAATTCCAAAATAATTGCATGCCAATACCCGCATCCCAAGACAACACGCGTCGCCCGTACTCCCGACTTTCTCGGCCACACGTGCGCGGAGAGGAGCCTCGAGGATCTCTTTCAGGGTCGGATCACTCGACTCACGGAGAAGTCGGGTCAAACAGTAGAGAAACCACTCTCCATTGGGATAGTAGCGCGTGCCTTGAACGTATGCTCTGTTGATGAGGATGTTATAGATCCACTCCATTGTGAAAGGGATCTCGTGGCCGCGTCCGTATTTATAAAATAGGGTCAGAACATTCAGAGCTACGATTGCGTCGACACGGGGCCTTGATTTGTCGAAGTATGTCTAAGAGCTAACATCAGCTCTGCTGTTTATATGCTGGGGCAGTTGAGTGTACTCAACGGCGTACCTGTACATCGCCATCTTCGTCGATAAAGTCATGCATTTCGTCTAGAATAGAGTGGACTACTGTTAGATCTGGAGGCATTACTAATAGGCCGAGGGAGGTTGTGTCCAAGTCATCAGGGTAGGCGTCACTTGTATATTTTGGCTCTCCTAGACCCGATTTAGTGACTCAAGCGGATGCACAGAGTGTGTTTTTAGACTGACCAGCAAAGAAGTTCCAGAGCCGAGGTGAGGCTTTGAGATTGACCAAGTTCCTAGGTGGACAAGAGTTAGCAAGCGGTAAGTGCTAATGCCGTAGTAAAACATAAGACATACGGGTCCTTCAGCGCCTCTAGGATCAAAAGAGGAGCGTAGTTTTCAGATATCGGCTCGCCGTATTGAGTGGTCGTAGGAAACAGCCCACGCTGGCGTCGTAGGAACGCTAGGCCTCGCTCCACGGGATCGCCGACGAAATTGGTGATTGTTCGGTAGAGCTTCGTCGTGTCAAATGTTCCTTTCATTCCAACAGAAAGTGCGGCGAGCACGTTCTCTGGACTGTCATCCACGAAAAAGGTCCGATAGGGCAGTGCCCTTGTGGCTCGGAGAACTTGGCGATAGAATCTCAAATTGGGCTTGCGGACGCCTAGAGTGGACGACGTAAAGACACCGTCAAAGATAGACCAAAATCCATTATCCAATCTGTTGCGAAGTGCCGCGTAGTCTTCCTTGGAGATGTTAGACACCAAGAATATGCGCGCTCCTAAGCGTTTAATTTCCCTAAAAATGGAAGCAGCCACTTGATCATAGGTAATAGTCTCACGAAGATTCTGGATCATTGCCGCCAGGTCACTCGCCTGAAAGTGGTATTCCTTAGCTAACTGAGAGAAACATTCTTCATCGCTGAGCTTCCCGGCCTCGTAGGTCATCCAAACGGAAGTGGACATGATTCTTCGCAAGGAAATGGTAGAGTCGCGTGTAGCGACTTTGCTTTCCATTTCTGGATGCACGAAGATACCCCCAAGATCAACTAGGATAGTCGCCTCCTCGCATTTTATCCTCTTAGGTGGGTCCATCATTAGGTGGGCTGGCGGTGGTTTATAGGAATATGAGCACGCCAGAATGGCATACGGGTATAAGGAAGGCAATGGCTTAAGATATATGAAATAGGGGTGTCTAAATTTTGTCAGTCAATATGGATTTAAATACTTCAAGAGTGAGGGGGCTAATTATGCCGAGCTACGGAAACGGATTGCCTCAACAAAACCACTAAAGTAGCTGAGGGTCTTGACGCTAGGATCCATTAACGTTATACTTTAGAGAAGGCAATACGAAAATTAGGAGCATCTGAGTTAACGGCCAAGTCATGAGAACTTCACCGCTCATTCGGCTAGACCAGTAACTGTCTTCAATTTCCGTATCCGATGGCACGCACCGTTTCCTGTCCCCAAATAGCCCACCATTCGTTAAACATCGAATGGGGGTGTGAGGCGCGAATGTTGCATTATAAGTCTAACTGCTTCCATATACGGGCTGCAAACCCGTAAATGAGCTGGCTGAGAGGGCCTCCGGACGAAGCAAGAAGCGTTTGCACTAAATCGCCCATTACTAGCCTGACGCAGTAGAGCTGCAGCAAGAGACTTCTCAGTGTAAATAGAAATTTGAAGTCTAATGATTCGTATCCATGGTATTCTATTCATATTATTCAATTGATATTATTCATATTCGCAAATAATCATGAATAATCATATTTCTTCGGAGCCCTAGCTACTGGAACGACCAAGCATGGACAGGCATCCACACTCAACCACGTAACTTGTCCAAAGATATGCGATTCTATCACGCGTCCAAGAGCAAAGTCCCTAGAATTTTGGTCGCTCCAGACGGCGTTCACGGCCGGCAGAAGAGGGCCATTCTACGGGCATTTTCAGTGCTTGCGTCAAAGTCGCACGAGCGTCTTATGCGGTCTTTTGTAGACACATTTATTGAAAGCTCAGCATGAGAGCGTAAAGACAAGAGGTGGTACCGTTGACGTGGATAGTTCCAGCGCTTGACCTCTCCTGGACGATCTCCAGCTTAGACAAAAGTCCAAGGAGGGAGCACCCGTCTTGCAGGATGCCAGAGTACACTTAAGTTGGTCGCCATGGTGTCATCCCGCACCGGCTATCAAGTGGCTGCCTCTCCAGTACCGAATCGATAAATCTATCTAACTTTTTTCACCGTGAGATCGTCCATTGCCCACGAAAGCCCAGAGCAGACCGCCCGAAACAACCGCGCCCATCACAGCCTGACTTCCAAATCTCTCCACGAAGCTGAAAGGCATCACCGCGTTGGTGTTAACAGGCAGCCTCAACGCCGCATACGCAAACCACGGAACACACACGTAGAGCCAGGCAAGTCCCCACAGAAAGCCTAGAATACCCATTCGTCCCGAGTGAGTTGTGCCGCCTACCCGATCTCTGTAAACATCCTCCAGCGTGATCATGAGGGGAATTGTGATAAAGAATAGGAATATTGCTCCCAGGTTGTCAGAGACACCCGCATACACTGCACTTAGTAGGTGGAGAAAGCCAGACAAAGAGAAAATCAGGAAGAGATCGGTAAGATTTTGTACTTGGCGAGAAAACGAGTTGCAGAGGCTAATATGTTGTCGAATATACCTGCCAAGGGTTACCAGGGGCCAGCGCAATAACTGATGCCAAAATTCCCTGTAAAACAACAAACAGTAAGCAAATATAGTAAAAGTATTTAAATAATACCGTTTCTCCGGTGTAAAATAGGGATTCTCGGACGCAACTTACCCCCAGAATCTTCGGATGCTGAACGTTCGGAGATGTCGCATGCTACCAAATAGCGGTGGCCAGTCTTTGGGAGAGTTAAGATTCAACAGAACAGAAATCGTGGCAAGAAGTCCGTAGATCATAGCAAACAGCAAGCGCAGGTTGGCCACTAAAATACAGGAGAGCGGAATCCGGGCCATCAACTGCTCCTTCGTTGATCCAGGGCTAAGAAACTCCGCCCCTGCCGCTAAGGTGTTGGGCCAATTGCGGTGAAAGTACTTCAATGCTCCGAAATTCAGGAGGTCAAGTGCCAAATACTGCCAACTCAGAACAACTATGGCTTTTGCGATATATTGGCCCTTGGGAGGTTCTCGGCGACGTGGCCAGGTTTTCACCTCCCACGGCGTCCCAATTCCACGAGTACTACTCACGCAGTTCAGGCCCGCACAAAGGCGAGTGAAGAAGGAGCTGGATGCTGTTTGGACTAATTGGTGGATTTCCACCTGGAGGACAAGGAAGAGGCTGATGAAATGGAGAAGTTTGACGATGCAGAAGAATGCAAAGACTCCTCGCAGTAATTCTGATCCCGGCAAAAAGGACAAGCAGTGAATTTCAAGAACTGCCAAGACGTGGAGGAAAAATATGCATAGTTGCCGTGAGATTGATTCGCGGGCAGTGAAGGCCAGAGAAATGGAGGAGACTAGGTACTGGGAGAGCAGAACAGCCGCCAACATCCAGAGGCAGGACATGGTAACTTTTTTGAAATAATGTGTAGTCTCCTTGAGCTCACGGTAAAACTGTAGATTACTATATGAACTGGGCAGTCGATTCTCCGTGTCTTAATGTATGTAGGATATATTGCATCCGCGAGTCTTTGATTATCATTCATTACAACTTTTTCCCAACCGACCTGTGGAATGCTCTAACCCCTTGCTGAATATACTCCCTTGCGGAATAAAATCCCTCGTGTATACAATTCCTTGCAGGATACAGCATAAGTCAAAGTTGTGCACCTACTTCCCTGCTGCATCTGAGAATCTACCTGAAGTCCGTCGGGCGACTGCAAAGGGATGGAATACTCAACCAACAGCTCCTGTCTTTCAGGTGGACAGCCAACTCCGTTATCTTCCAATATTTCGTGCCAGGATGGATTCTACTGTATGATTCTTTTCTTTCGCATCTGCTCCAATGTACCTTTGTAACAATTTTCCAGGCCCATCAAACAACAAACGACGCAAGCCGGTATATTGTCCTCCGTCGCCCGACTGCCTCTTGACGCGGCTCCAGAGCAGTGGCAACTTGTGCGCTGTACCGCAAGGGGATTTCGAGCCGGTTGTATGTCCACCAGGGTTCTACTGCCCGCCTGGCAAACAGCAGCAAATTCAGTGCCCACGTGGGCATTTTTGCCCTATAGGGACGGTAACACCATTCAAATGCACTACCATGTCAATATGCACGGCAGGCAGCTCTCATCAAACCCCACTCTTGGGAATGTTTCTTTGTCTGCTGCTTGACGTGTTGATGATAGGGGGGTGTATTATTTTGCGATCTTCGTCTCCGTCAAGGCTGACGCGGTACCTACACTTAAACCAACTTCGTTCCCGTCCTCAATTCGATAAAAAGGACGCAAACTCCAATTTTCCACGCTTGAAACAATTTCATGAGTATTTTGCCAATGATGGCACCCCTTGCTTCCGTCTGGAGCTTTCTTTTACAGACATTTGTCTCCATCCGCGACGTGCGCGACGCAATATCCTGTCTGGTCTGCGGGGGACGGTCCATTCGGGCTCAGTTCTGGGAATCATAGGAGCTTCCGGCTCTGGTAAATGTGAGAATCACTAAGCTCCTGGGTGGTAACAGAAGTTAACCATTTTTTGAATTGCAGCAAGCTTTGTTAACATCCTATCGGGCAGGACCCAACCTACCGAGGGATGGATCTCTATGAACGGCTTAAAAAGTCAACCTGCGCAGTGAATACCCCTTCCATCGCCACAGAAGATAGTCCAGATACTAACAGTACCGTCCCTGCTCTCTATCGTGCAATAGGCTACGGAATTTGATTGGGTTTGTTTCCCAGCATAATACAGTCCTCCCCGATCTGACCGTACGCGACAATATTCTATACTCCGGTCGTGTGCTACTTGGTGGGCAGCTGTCTGATCACGAGATTCAGGAATATGTCGATTTCCTGATTTATTCGCTGGGTCTAGAAAGTACGTGTTATCGACTGGTCGGCGGCCTTCTGGAGGGAGAAGAACGATGTATATCCGGGGGCGAGTATAAACGCGTGAGTATTGCGCTCGCTCTCGCTGCCGCACCAAAGGCTTTGATCCTGGACGAGCCAACTTCCGGTCTGGATGCAACAGCCGCGCATTCCCTGATGAAGCTTCTGCACTCGATCTCCCGTCAGGGGATTATGGTGGTTTGCGTAATACACCAGCCACGAATTGAGATATTCAATCTGCTGGATGATGTTCTCGTTCTGAACGATGGGACGCAGGCATATCTTGGAAAAGCATCCAACATGCAGTCGTTCTTCGAAACATTAGGCCACACATTTCCCATCGCATCAAATCCAGCGGATGTTATCCTTGATATCTTACAGACTCATACCCCTACCCGGGGTGGAGAAGAGATCGCCCTACAGGTGCCAATAGAAGACAGCTCGTACTCCGGAAACGGAACGGTAGAAGTCCTGAACGCGCTCTTTGAGAGAGTCAAGCAAAGGAGAATGTCGTGGCTCCGTCAGCTTTGGCTCGCCTTTTCCCGGAGTGTCGTACAACAGAGCCAACAGACCACAGGCCTTGCTTTGGAAATCGGATCGAGTGCAGTAACTGGCCTCATGATCGGATTGGCAGCTTTTGAATCCAGAGGCCACTTCTTCCAAGGAATTTATCACCATCCATTTGACCTTCTCTCCAGTGCCGTTGATTATCGACTGGTAGCCGAGCAGGGTCTTTTATGTTGTCTCGCGATAGGTAAGGCTTCGGTTCTTCTTCTTTCAACCCAGTCTCGTTGGCTAATAAAGTGACCTAATCCAGCTTGTGCAGCTGGACCCCCGGGAGTCAAGATATTCGGGGAGGAGAAATTAACCTTTTATCGAGAATCTCAGTCGGGACATTCTCGCAGCGCTTATTTCCTAGGGAAAAACCTGGCGGTCTGTTTCCGCATGTTGGTGTCGTCTTTGCATTTCACTGCATTTTATTTGGTTCTAGCGGCCCCCTTGATCCAGTTTCATTCGCTGTTTGGTCTTTGCTTCTTATACTTTTACTGTAAGTTGGCAAGACTTCAATCTTCCTTCCCTATCAGTTAATCTTTATTCCAGGTATCTACGGGCTTGGATTTGTCGTATCGGCCGTCACGCGACGAGAAGATGGACCACTACTGTGCATGTTACTGAGTCTCATCATCTCAGCCATGAGTGGGTGTGCTCCGCGGCTATCAACTGTGCGGAAGTGGCATCTGGAATGGTTTTGGTACTCGTGGCCAGCAGTAAGCTATATTCTTTCCAAAAAGGCATCAATCAGAACTCAAGCTTAACTTACTTGCCACTGTTCTCAGACTTGGTTCTCCGAGGCATTTTATCAGGAGAACACAGCTCCAGTGGCTTACCTCTACAACATGGAGGACGCTGCCACCTTCACTGGTTACAGGACAGGTAGGACGGTGATGGATATGGGGTACGTATATACAGGTTGGTTAATAGATTTTGCGGCAGTGACACTAACCTCAACAGATTTCTTGTAGTGATTGGAACTCTGTATAGAGCATTGTCTTATTTCCTTTTTGTTTTCTGGGGTTGGAGAGCACAAAAGGGATAATTTACAAGGCCTCCTCCTGTGGTTCGTTGCCTGCAATGTGTTTACGTGTCGCTAGCCTATAAAAGTCTCGGGTGAAAATAGGTTGAGGTGATGGGCTCCCAACTTCCAGCGACCTCCAAGCCGAAATCTCACAATTTGAAGCCCTAGGTGTGTGGAAGACGGTCACTCCGCCTAAGGGTGTCCGCCTATTACGTGGCCGCAAGGTCTATAAATTGAAGACTGTTTTAGCGGGCAAACCCGCAAAAATTAAAGCTAGATAGGTAGCACGCGGAGACTAGTAGGTGTCGGGCATCGGCTTTAACAAAGTATACGCAAGCACCTAAAGATACGAAACTTTCAGTACTTCTAGCACTTATCGCGTCTTAAGACCTCGTCGCCACGTATATAGATGCCAATTTAGTATATCTAAATGCAGTACTGGACGAAGAGACATATACATTGCCTAGAAGACCCTAATGACTGCGGAGCATATTGTAGACTCTATAAGAGTCTACGGCCTCTGCTAGTCCGCCGCGATCAAGGAGGAGATGTCATCTATCTATTCGTATACGTAGATGATATTCTGATAGCAGCGACGTCCGTTAAGTTATTGCAAGAGAGTAAGGATGCGATATCCGTAAAACAGTCTATATCAGACCGTAGCGAAGCTTCGCATTACTTGGGTCTACGTATTACTTGGGATAGGAAGAAAGGGTTACTAAGTATCGACTAGCGAGTCTTAAATGCTTACTGTATTTAGGGGGTACGCTATAATCTAAGGAATTTCACTAATTAAGCTATAGCTCGGCTGAAGCTCTATGGGTGAAGCCAACTACTACTAGGGTGAATGCACTATGCAATAACCCTTATCTCATGCGATTGAGATGAAAATTCAGGTTCTACTGCAGGTGTATTTTACCATTATAAAGAGCTGCAGAGATACCTCCATTTTCAGACTTGAATAGTCACTTTTACTGCCATATATTATGTCGTTCTCTCTATCATACATCGTAAATTACAACAATTATCAGTAGTGGTTTAGTTATTACGAAGAATATACCTTAACGATCCAAAGCTTCAGATGACGACACGTCCGGATGCATTTGAGCATTCACAATGTATCAGTAACGCACTATGCTGTATTATTATACACGCTAGTCCTGTGTGGAAGACAATGTACAAAATCACAGCTAAAGAATGATCTAGTTTCTGGGAAGCCGAGGAAGGCTTGATACCTATTGTAGTGGTGGAACCCGTGACAGTAGCGTATTCGTGGCCTGAGGTATCACAAATGCTTCAGGAAGCTTTCTTGCAGTCTTCTCCTTCGAGAGAGAGCATCCTACGATCATCAATATGACTACAGTTTTTCCACCAAATTCTTCATTCATGATATAACCTCAAGATTAGTGCAGTAGCAGCTTCCTAAGACTACTCTCTACGCCTACGGAGGGCATGGGAGTTGTTGGTTGTCTTCTCTCCATTGATATCGACCCGTCTGCTATGTCAGACTGCCATCGTGCCATTCCCATTTCACTATCTAGAAAGTCCTGTAAGGATGACCAGATGGATCCGGGGGTCAGGAAATGTCAACATCTTCCTCTTCCGAGCTTTCGTTGTCGCCCTTTGCTTTCTTGGGTCGTGCGCGGCGAAGTCGATCACCGCTAAAGGCTTTGCTGCGCTCAATGGCTGTCTTGTAATCCTGAGCTGCAAAATATTCTTAGCGCATTGAATATCTAAATACTCGATTGTAGCAGCCAGCTACTTACTGGTTCGTTCATCTATATCATTCGAGCCGGGTTCCGTAGGATCTGGAATTCCTTGGCCATTGACAGGCTTTTCAGACTGGGACTTTGTGTTCTGCATGTCCGACCGATCTGCCAAGTCTGAGATTAAAACAGAGTTGAGAAAAAGTGATTTTTTCGATCACAGTAGGTGGGGGAGATATTTAATGCTCACACTTGGAGGCAATGGTGGCTGTACTTATACTGTGACCTTTCAACGTCACCATGATTATTGATGACATGGTCAGGGCATTTGCCCCTGGCACTATCAAATTTGGAATAAGCCTTATAGCAAACTTTCATTTTCTGTGGGTTTCCATATGCATTTAGTTGTTAGATATGATGGATGTGCCTTACTAGTTTCTTGATAAAAGGTATATTTGCAGAAAAATGGTATCTTGTATTGCTATGGGATACAATGCCAAAATCTCTAGATACTTGCGGCGATCGCCACCACAAGTGCCACCATTATTGAGGACATGTCTTTGATTTTTTGAGGATTCCTAGAACGGAGTAGCTATTTACTACGTCTTGAGGCAGTAGAAATTGATGGCTTTCTCTTATTGAAGGGAATTTGTTCGTGCGGGCTCATAGGACTTGAACACTCTTAAGGTCCCTGGTTTATTTTAAAATTGTCAACTTGCGCAACTTTCCTTATAAATATCATGCTGCCGGAGCTTTACTCCCGAACACAAAACGCGGCGCCCAGCACCTCGGCTTTTGATCTCGGGGATTGATGCCATGCTAAACGGCCCCACGTTTACGGCAGCTAACTTATCACCGCAGATCAACTACATACAAATTGGTTGCCAAAAAAGCATATCTCTGATCTCGCGACTCAAAGCCACTTTCTGACGTTAATTTAGAGATGGGCTTAGATCACCGGGCCATGACATACATGTTTCTCGGTCACTGAGGTAGCATAAGTAGCTGACTTATCCCCCCGATCATAGACGCGGTTTTCCGGCGTTTGACGAAATCGACCCCACTTTCACGACCTTGCAGTATGTAATCGAGCGGTAACGTGAGTTCTCGCATATAAAACAAATAACTTCTCTTCATCGGTCTCAGTCCGGCTTCAGTCTTTTATCAAACCCTGAGAAATACCACCATGACTGGAGAACCAATTTTCCTCGTCCCAGCCAGTGACGAATACTATGATCTTGGCTCATTTGGCCACACGATAACTACCACCAGCGCCGATACCCAAACTTGGTTCAATCGAGGCTTAACATGGGTGTATTCATTCAATCATGTAGAAGGTGCCTATTGCTTTGAGCAGGCTATTGCGCATGACCCGGCTTGCGCGATGGCATACTGGGGTCTGGCGTACGCAGTTGGCCCAAACTACAACAAGCCGTGGGAGAAATTTGACCACGGAGACCTCAACACCTGCGTTCAACGAGGCTACGATGCCTCGCGAAAGGCCAAAAAATATGCAGCGAATGCGAGTGCCCTTGAACAAGCTCTCATCGAGGCCATTCAATTCCGGTTTCCGACCAACCTGCCGGCGAAGGACTACCCAGCAGTCAATAAATGCTATGCTGCCGCTATGAAGCCTGTCTATGACATTTTCGGGCGTGATCTCGATGTTGCCACGCTCTATGCAGATGCATTGATGAATGTGCACCCTTGGGCATTGTGGGACCTCTTTACTGGCAAAGCGAACCCCAAAGCCCCCACCATGGAAGTGAAAGCCGTGCTAGAACGGGCGCTTGCGCAGGAAGAGGATGGTGCATATTTGAATCCCGGCCTGCTTCACCTTTACATTCACTATATCGAGATGTCGCCGGCCCCAGAGCTAGGGATCAACGCAGCCGATCAGCTACGTGATCTCATCCCAGATGCTGGTCACGTCCGTCATATGCCCACGCACTTGGATATCCTCATTGGCGATTGGAGGCGCTCCATGGCATCAAACTACAAGTCGACTCTGGCTGATGACAAATATTTCCAAAAGAAAGGCGCGAAGAACTTCTATACGTTCTATCGCATGCACGACTATCACTCTTTGATCTACGCGGCTATGTTTGCGGGCCAATCTAAGACTGCTCTCGACGCAGTCACTCGCATGGAAGCCACACTGCCCGAGGAAGTCCTTCGGATCGAGTCGCCTCCAATGGCCGACTGGTTGGAACAGTTCATTCCCACTCGCTTGCATGTGATGGTTCGCTTTGGTATGTGGGAAGAGCTTAAGCGCAAAGAGCTGCCCCACGACCAGGAACTATATGCAGGCACTACTGCAACTACCCACTACGCGAGAGGAGTAGCATATGCCGCCACCGGAGATTTGGCTGCAGCCAAAAAGGAGCAGGAGCTATTCCACGAAACGTGGGCGCGGGTCCCTGAGACACGCCTCTCCTACAACAGCAAACTCGTTGACGTGCTCAAGGTGGCTGCAGCAATGCTAGAAGGGGAAATTGAATACCGTTCTGCCAATTACGACAAAGCCTTTGCTTCCCTCCGGAGTGCAATCGAGATCGAAGACAAGTTGCAATATGCCGAGCCTTGGTCATGGATGCAGCCTGTCCGCCACGCATATGCTGCCTTGCTGATGGAACAAGGCCATTTGGAAGAAGCGGCGCAGACGTATCGCGCGGATCTAGGTTTTGACGAGTCTGTTATCAGGCCGCGCCGGCATCCTAACAATGTCTGGTCACTCCAGGGATATCATGAGTGTCTGGTTCGCATGGATAAGACGGAAGAAGCGGCTGGGATCGAGGCGTCGGTCAAGCTGGCTCTTGCTGTCGCGGATATTCCGATCGAGGCGTCATGTTTCTGCCGCTTGGATAACTCTTACGCGCCGCAGGTTCTTAATGGGGCCCCTTCTGGTGGAAAATGCTGCTGAATTTTTGATTGAATCTGCTTTGCGGTTCTCACAAAACGACTCCATTTCACGAGATCAGTTATCTCATGGTTTTGATAGCATTATCAAAAAGTTCATATGTTCCCCGAAGAGTCAAAGCAAAGTGAAACGTAGCAATAAAATGCTTTGCAGTGCATAGATATTGATAAATCCAAGCGTGACTTGCATTTCAAGGAGTTTGCGCCGCTTGGCCGCGTCAACGAACCGGCGGTGCCTAGTCCCCGAGAAATCTTATATATTGGGCCGGCCAGGTTAGGTTTCTCCGCCAGCCTATCTAGTAGCCCGCGGCCCGCAGCCCGGCAGGGCCCGTGGGCCCACAGTCCCTACAGTGGACCCTCGGAGCCTATTCAAAACCAGGCTGTCGCTCTATTTTGAGTCTCCTTTTGGATTACATTGGGACAACCATACAAGAAAGTCTCTGTTATGCTAGCAAAGTGTCCCAAGGTTTCGTAATGGGTTTTACAACGGGTTTTCTAGGCAGTGTATGGTGCGTCTCACGAATGCGGTGCTTTCTGTCTCAGGTCTGAGGAACGATTCATTGCTACTGTGAAAGGCCAGATAGGTCTGTGGAACCATCTTGATATTGTACCCATTCCTTTCGGTGGCGAAAAAGAATCGATCCTGCAGGAGTTGCATTTGGATACTGGAGGTTGTCCATGCCAAAAACTGCTACTCAACATCTGGCTTCAACAAAAGACCCGGAACATCAAACTGGGCTTATCTCTATGTCCTGGCTCTAAGGCCCGTGATTCTGTTGCAATTCCAAATACTTGAGGCACAAATGTCACCCTGGAGGCACTGGGACCGGGGGTGGATTTGGAATTACAAAGGCCCCGAAACAACGAATCCCACATGGTGGTATAATCCCAGTGTAGCAGAAGTCTGATGGTGGGTCCCCAATATATTGCAGTAGTAACGCGATACTGTATAATGAAGCAAATGGAGAAGTACGTTTTTTTTCCTACTCATACTTATGTACTTTTATGTGGTCTTTATACGAGGCTCTTACGGACAAATATGTACCACTAGAGAATATCTCTCCTAAATCTAGAGTTTGCAAATGCGGAAAGTAGCTTTTGGCGGTCATCGGTAAGTCCCAGGAAGCCCGGGGTGAAGAAAGTTTCGATTGTTCCGATGTCGCAGTAAGTAGGTATTTGACGACACGGAGCATCCATTTGATAAATCAACAATACCATAGCCGGCTACAAGTTTCAGCTTTTAAGAAATACTGACTTCGACTAGCCTCGTTCTTTAAATTGACTCACAGCTAAATGTCTGGCGCTCAGGTGATCCATCGTACCTGGCATATTATGCAGTACCACATTATTCCGTCCCTCCATCCAAATATAGTCCTGCGAATGCAGGCCCATTATTTGCTCTTGCTTATGATCAAAATGATCGAGAGAATGCATGCCTCAATCTTGAAGCCTGCAATCAGTGAGTCTGGACTACAAGCCCTGTCCAATATCTGATAAAAAAGTCCCGGGTAGATTATGGAAGTATTTGAACACTTGAGAAAGGTTTCGAAGCAAACCAATGCCTCTGTCAGCCTCGGTATATTAACGTACGTGCTGAGCAAATTGATAAGACTGAACTCTGTAAAATAACCGCGCTGGTCTAGCTGGTCAAACGTCGATCTCCTCTATCATTAGGGGGTTTCCTATATAAAATCATATGATGAAAAGCATATTCTGTCAATGTCAGTCTTTTGGCAACAACCAGTCGGCATGCTCTCTCTGCACAGCAAGTCTCACCGGGGAGCAAAAAACCTTATTGCCGGTCAGCAATTACCAATTTGCTCATTTCAATGCCGCACGTGGTGACTTGTGACATCTATTGAAAGCAATAACTGACAAATAGAAGCTAAACCCCATATATTACTAACTGCCGATTTTTCCTCCCGGTGCGCACGGTGTGATTGGAACACAAGCCTTCCACAGAGACACCTATCACCAGGATTCTGGGTCTCTCCCGGTACACAATCGAGGCAAATAGAGTTCTTGTTTCTTCACACGCACGAACGGAGATAGCAGTGGCTCCATATAGAATCACCTACCAAGCTTTATGGATTGGCGCAATGAGAACTTATTGCATGTGACGCCGATATAAGTGGTAGGAAAAACAGACGTAATAGAGCTTGTGCCAAACGCTAAGAGCTACAGTGTTAAAACTTGTCGAAAAATGTCTCTGAGAAGCTTGGAAGCCAAATATGAGGTTTATCTGCCGATATCAACGTTAGATTGGCTTCACACCACTTGAATTTATATATACCCACACTGAATACCTGTCTCATTGGCTTGTTCAAGAGTTTTGCTTTCTCAGGGCACGATAGACCCTGAGGATCAACCCTATATCGTACATTTTTCAGCTTATCATGGCATCCGCGTCACGACAACAACCGGGCCTCGTAAGTTTATACATACCTTACAGGCTGCTTACACTCTGTGGCCTTCTGATCTGACTTGATAGGCGTGTGAGGAATGCCGCAAGAGGAAGCTACGATGTGATAGACAGCAGCCTCGATGCGATCAATGCGAAGACTCTGGAGCTATTTGTTACGTGAATCAGGATCGGTCTCCAAGAGGTCCTAAAAGAGGACATTTGAAAGCTTTACGGAGTCGTATTGGTTTGTAACCAGAATTCACCTTCTATACACCCAAGTACCTAATAGCTGTTCCAGCCACACTTGAAAGCCTTGTCAACCGCGACCAGGTCAGCCTTGACATCAATGCACAACACACATCCAAGAGTGAAGTGGGTCAGTTTCCTACTCCGCCAGAGAGCTCTGTCGATAGCACGAAGAGAGAGTGCCGTAGTGTTTCCCGTTCTGTGGATGAATCACCTCCAAACATGTCCTTCGCGCCCACTACAGCCCCAGAAATTGAGATATCTGATATAATCGAGGCAGATTTGTGCGCATAGTCTCTGTACACGATGGTTTATTACTAACGAATTATACAGAGACCAGCTCTACTTTGATAGAGTGCATCCTGTCGCCCCCATGCTACATCAAGGTCGCTATCTGACTTGGTCTCAACAATGCTACAAAGCAGAACCCTATTCCGGCTTGCAGGCTGCGATGTGGGTACTAGCCGCAGCCGCATCTGCACATCTGCAGCATATGCGGGAGCCACTCTACCTCTGTGCACGCTCCAAGCTCGAAGCGTTGGATAATCAAATCGACTGTGCAAGCTCTGCTTATTTGCAGTCTGCACAAGGCTGGCTTCTACTGTCCCACTATGAGTTCCGGTACATGAACTACAGTCGAGCGTGGATCACTGCCGGAAGAGCCTTTCGTATCATCCAACTGATGAAGTTGCATGAGATTGACCGCTTCCACACAACGGCACTTGATCTAGCATTTACTGAGCCTTGGGCCGAGATAGAGGAGAAAAGACGGACTTTCTGGCTGGCATATTGTCTAGATCGATTTCTTAATATCTCAGACCAATGGCCTTTGACTCTACATGAAGAGCCTGTAAGAAAGCCTCACTCATTCCAGATCCCTCAAGCACTGCTGATTTCGTCCCGATACTAGCTTTGGATATTTCTTCCAGCCCCAGAATCCGATTTCCAACATAGTAGACCTGTCCTCATGGTATCCATGTCAGATGCCATTGAGACATCGGGACAGAAGACGCTGCCACCTTTCGCTGAGGCAATTGTCTTGACAACACTATGCTGGCACAGTATTAGCCTAAAGCAAACCCCACTTGTCAGCAAAGTACCCGGACTTGATACTGGTATTGACTTCTGGGAGCACCACAGACGACTCTACCATATAGCTCAGCAGCGGCTGATGCTGCTGTCCCTACCACCATGCTCGCCAGAACTTTTAGATCCCATGCGCCTATTCACAAACATGCTAGCAAATTCAGCTATCATCTGGTTCTATGGCATGATGGAAATCCTAAGAGGAACATCGAATGATCAAGCCATCCTCGTCCCTCTTTACTCGGCGTACGAAATAGCAAGCCTTGCAAAACCACTTATTCGATCTAGTTTCTTCACAGTGAGTAACCTATTCCTTTTTATTCTTGCTTCCGGGGCTTTGGTAGCTTGTCTCACATCTCACGTGCGCATCTAGGCACATACATTCTCCCCTATGTTACTCTTTCTCTCCGCGAAGTTTCTCCGTACACATGGAGATCAACTGCGTACAAGTGGCACGGTGTCGGAGGATAAATATGGTAGGCTGGGCGAGCTCAAAAGGGCTTTGCTGGTCTTACAAAATGGGAATAATTTAGCAATGAATTATTTGGATCTCCTTGAGTTGGATTGGTTCGATGAGTGGAGTGATTTTCCTTCTGTGCAGGGTATTCTCTCAGGTGGCACAGAGCAGCAAGAGACACCATGCGTCTTGGATATAATGAATCCTTTTTGAGGCACTTCGAGTGTAGTTGAAATGTTAACGTTGGGTGTTTTTAGTTTGTCCCGTCATGTATTTACCCAGGTACTCACTTGAATACGGAAATACCCATTTCTTTTTCTCCAAGAAGCGACTAAGAGCCATTATCCAATATATTCGCCATGGACTCAGCGGCCCGTTGAAGACTTCATCCTTCTTACGTCAAATGGATTGTAAAAAGGGATTAGAATAATTGTATTACTGAGTCCTTGGTCAGTGAAAAGACGATACAGGTTCGTAATGGGAAGCCGATTTCTCCATCTCCCAGATATCCCGATCACCGAATAATTCCAGTTAGTCATGAATCTTGCCCTTCACATCCTCCTTGGCTCTAATAGCCCGTTGTGTGCGAATACGTCACTGCTCAAAGCGAAACAACCACCTTCTGCGCCGACACGCCCTTCATGTGAACGTCAAGGGCAGCCTGAATCTGCTCAAGTCCCTTTCCGATAATAACAGGCTTAGGGACGACGCGATACTCCCCATTTTCCAGAGCGTTGGGTAGGAACCTGTTATAAATCATAGCACCCACTTCGTTGTGGACCAGGGAGCTACCGAAAACGAACTTCGTCACAACACCTCGTCGCACGGACTTGAAATAAACGGTAATATTCCACCACATCAAACCCATCATGAAAACGAAAAGTTGCCAGGCAGTCGTGGGAGCCTTCTCGGGAAACGGGAAGCTGATTTGGGCGACGAACTTGGAACCATCTGTCTTTGCGAGGATGTCCATGCAGGCCTCAGTGGAGTTGTTACCGATTGCGATTGCGCCGACGGGCTTCTTGGTGCGGAGAACATGGATGATGTCTTCGACAGCCGACTTACTGTTATAGTCAAACACATTGGTAGCACCGAGTCCCTTCACATACTCAAAGTTCTTGGGAGAGGATGTGGTGATCACATCGTATCCTGCAGCAGTGGCCAGCTGGATGGCATTGCTTCCGACACTGGTCGATCCACCCCAGATAATAACAGTCTTGACAGTTGATTTTGCGGCTTTGCTTATGGCGGTAGGATAGTCAAGAGCCAGGAAGTCAGTTTGGAAGAGTGCAGTTGCAGCGGTTGACAGGCCGAGGGGGAGGACGCAAGCCTCTTCGTAGGAAAGAGAGTCAGGAATTGGCGAGGTCAGGTTAGAGTGCACGACAGTGTACTCTTGGAAGGCACCTTCGGATGACTTGTTGATGGTGGGGTCCATGGATATCGCGTGGGCAAGGACGCGATCTCCAAGCTTGAAGCCGGTGACCTCTTCGCCAACCTCAACCACTTGACCAGCGAGGTCATTTCCCATCACAAAGGGGGATCTGATCCACTCAAAAATGTAATTTCCCATGACCTGCTTGGACCACTCCATGGGGTTCACGGCAATGGCGGCGTTCTTCACGACGAGCTGGTTGGCTGCGGGAGAGGTGTATGGCGCAGACTGGACTTCGAGAGGTCGCTTCGACCTGGCAGACAGCCATGCGGCTTGGTTGGGGGCTTTTCCATGATAATATTCACAGATAAGGGACCTGCTGATTTGTAGAGGCAAGCCTGGTTGGGAAGATGGGAGAAGGCAGAAGTTGGAACGGTGAAACCAGGAGCTCTCACCACAACACGGCAATCCGATGCGATAACTACATCATACGTGCTAGTATGTCCATCTCGTGGCGTTCGCCACATCTTGATTATAGGATAGTCTGATGAGCTCAACTTGTAAGTGTCTGCCACCCATTAGTCCAAAATCTTCTTGAAACAGGGCTGGTTACATCAACGGGCTGGTCAAAAGGTATATTCGGTAGCATACGATAAATGACAAGGTTAGGTACTACTTGTTGGGCTTTTGCCTTCGAATACAGGATTAATAGGTCTTTGTCAATTATAAGAAGCCAAGTGAAGGTGTATAGTTGCAGCTCATACCTTGTCTTCCCTTTTCGGACCGTCGGCCGAATGCTGAGTCATTGCATTTACTCGCGGGCAATTTATCATCTATCTGCCAAGACATTCCCGAAAAGGTAGACAGCTTAACAATCTAATGCATACGACTAGGTATTGAAGATGGGAAGGACCAGTATTTATAGTTTGACCTTTTGTCCCGAGTATTGTCACTCTTAGTATCTTCATCCTCTTTCCTTTCTGATCCTCTTTGTATCACCGACATCTCCGATCTATAACGCCCGACTATTTTCAACATGGTCAAACTCCTCCAGCCAAGGGTCACACCACTGCCAACGGGCATTGACCTAACAGGCAAGACAGCCGTTGTCACGGGAGCCAGCTCGGGACTGGGTCTCGAATTAGCCCGACAGTTACTGCAAATGCGAGCGTCGACCGTCGTTCTGGCCGTCCGCAACGTCGCCAAGGGTGAAGCATGCGCCAAGGATCTCCTTCAGGACCATGAAGTCCAGAAGCTTAACCCCAAGCCTAGCATCAAAGTGATGGAGCTAGACATGGACCGGTATGACAGCGTGCAGCAGTTCGCCAAACAACTCCGCGATGAAATCCCGGTGGTCGAACTGCTCATCCTAAACGCCGGAATCAGTCCTGTAACACTTGAGCGGAGCCCTAACGGCCATTCTCGAGCAGTGCAGGTTAACTATCTTTCCAACGTACTGTTGATAGCAGAGCTGTTGCCACATCTCCAAGCGGGTGCTGAAAAGACCGGCTCGCCCGCGCGAATCAGTTGGGTTGGAAGTCGGATGCACGAGAGTCCGAGTCTCGAGAAGAAGATGCCTATAAAGGCTGATGAGGGGGTGTTGGAACACTTGGATAAGGAGGAGACTTTTGTTCCGTTTCAGCATTATGGGGATTCGAAGCTGTTATGTGCGCTGTTTATGTATAGCCTGACACCGCTTCTGGATCCGAAGAAGGTTGTCATCAATATGGTGTGTCCTGGTATGGTGGATACAGCTCTGAGTGATGGGCTCCCGCTGCATATCCGCTTAGTGGCGAATGCTATTAAGGCGATTCGGGCCCGTGCTGTGGATGTGGGTGCCTGGTTGATATTGAATGCGCTGTTGGTTGAGGGCCCGGAATCTCATGGCAGGTTTTTGGGCGATAAGATCATCATGGAGTAAGTCTACCCCATTTGCTACGTTTCTGAATGCAAAGGCTAATATGCTTTCCCCTTTCATTAGAAAAGCCGCATTTATCGAGTCGCCGGCGGGTCAGGAGATACAGAGCAAACTTTGGGCAGAGACGATTGCAGAGATGAAAACGCTTGTAGATCTCCCTGTGGAGTATGAATAAGCTTGAATAAGCTTGATGGCTCGGTCCGACCATTTACATGTAATTCATTCCCCCAGAAATGCAAAATCACATGGTGAATCTGCTCTCCGGGCAATTCCGTAATCAGTCACGTTTCGCTTGCGATACCAGGCCACGAGTCACTGAGCATAGTGCAGTGTGGAGATTCCACGCCCCCAATCTTTAGAATATCTGGGATAGCGAAAATGCCGCCCATGACTCAAAGTCAGACTGTGCCATGTTGGAAATAGACTCTAAGTCCAATCCACCGTCATTACCCGTTAAGGTGGTATATGCCGATGCAGAAGTGGTACTACCAAGGGCAGTTTGGGGCCGTGGGGTAGATTCCAGGGAGAAATCCAGGCCAATATGAAGGTCGATGAGAGCTTGCATAGCGAGTGGCATCCTGTCTTTCAATTGGCCTTGGCCAGCGCTATCATCATCGGCCGTCTGGTTTTCAGGCGAAGAACCCGGGGCTTGGTATTGTGAGAGAATGAGACAGATATAATCATCAAGGCATGATCGGGCGTTCGGTACTTCGCTTAATGTGTGAGATTGTTGGATATATGTCAATGTAAGAAGTGCGCATTGGAGGGGCCCGTACTGGCTATGCCAGTACCATGTGTAGGGCGAAAGCGCAGGGGTATCGTGGAGCCATATAAAAAGACGCAAATAAGCCACGCAGAGGTGCACAACTCTGAAAGGTTGATAAGTGATCTTGTGATGTAAAGGACAACGAGGTTGATAAACAATCCATACCTGGTCCATAGCTTTTTGGAGTTTGAGTCTTTGTCTACTGGGGAGACCAATACCGGCCTGTGTAGCGTGATAGCTGTTTCGAGCTGCATTAATGTCAGCATGGCACGCGTCCACCTTGTAAAATCGGTGGACTGGCTGGTTCCCTCCGCTACTGTATGTGTGGATATATGACCGATGAGCGTGTCAATTGTCTGCTCAACCCGTTTCGCGTCCGTAGCGAGCTCTGAAAGCTTCTCCGTAGTCATTTTTCGTGAGCTCTGCAGGTGAGAAACGATATTCCATTGCAGGCGAGTGCTTTCGGATCGCCCGATGGCGAACAATAGTGTTAGGTCCAAGACTTCGGAATCGATGACAGCTCCGCCATTGTCACCATAAGCAACCACGCTTACTCCGTCTAGTACATCGTCTCCACAGCAGGGCGGAAGGCCGGTAGATACGCTCGACTGCAGATCGAGCCAGACTATATGCCACCAAATCCGACGCCTGGTTTCTTGATCTTTATGATTGAGAGCCGACCATGTTGCTTCACGGTGAAGTCCCATACTCTGGGCTATTCGCACCGTAGTGCTGATGGAGACTAAACTTTGCATCCACTCATGGGGTGGGTCAATGAATGGACCTGTTAACAACGTCGAGACGAGGGTGTTTATTGTCGGATACTGCAGATGACAAGACTGGAAAAGACTGGCTGTATAGGCGGTTTTAAGCTGCTTCAAGGTCGTATCTTTACACTCGTCCTGAAGCAGATCGCTTGCCCAGTGAGCTTCCGGCGCAGCTGATGCACCGCAGTACAATATTGCAAATAGTAAACAGAAAAACGTTGGGTCGTCAATGAACTTTTGCGATGGCAATGACTCGTCATTATTTCCACACCAGGCCCAGAAGTCATCGTAATCTGTCTGCAGTGAGGACCGGTCCACGAGAGGGCAAATGGGCCACACTGCGATGAAGAATACCTCAAGCAGGGCGTTGCTAACGGGTTTTGTGGGCAGAGACTTCAGGAGGCTAAACATCTTTGCAGCAGAAGCATATGAGGCCATATCGTGGGGAACATGACGGCACTTGAAAAAGTCATCGCTTTGGGTTTCCTATAACAGGCGCAATCGCGGTCAGCTACTCTTACAGATCAGGTGCCGGACGAGCTTTGGAGCCTTTACCTTTCCAGCAATGGAACCCCAAAAGGCTCGACCAATGAACCTTGTATGACCGTTTCGCTGCAAATTCAGGTAGTCATTGCAGATTGGAACTGGCCTATGCGCAGAGGACGACTCGGATGTAGAAGAGGGGTTCAAGTTAGCATCCGGCACATTGCTTGTGCCTGTAGAAGGCTTATCATTATGGACTAGATCTGCGACTCGATTTGTGGAACAGGCTAGCGGGGGATCAAGCAGTGAAGCAGTTGGGTAATTCGCTTCAGAGCCTGGTGTACCCACTATCCCTGGAGCTTGAGTGCCAGGCCATGCTCCCGTGTCCGGCACAGCAGCATGATTGGACGGTCGGCTCTCAGAATGGTTGCTTTCATTATTCAAGAATACATGTCGCACCCGGCCAGTAAGCTCGTCGCGAACTCCTGTGTTGTACACACAGGTCTCGTTCATTCGCGTGCAGTTGACACATTGTGGATGTTCACGACCGCAGCGAACCTTGCGACGACGACAGACAACACAGCTCAGGGCCAATCTAGGTCTTTTGATAGGTTGCTGAATCATCGGGAGATATTCAAACTTGGTGAGTTTGTACAATGGAACGAAGGCACAAAGAGAGGGTGGAGGAGCTAAGCCGAACTAGGAAGCTAATCTTGGCTTCCCACTACATGCCACCACCTCCCACTGCACTTGTCTAGTCTTCTATATAAGATGCCGCTGCATTTGCATGAAAGATTAGGAAACCCTATATAAAGTTTGAAGCTATTATGTACAAGTCCTCCTCGTACCTTAGAGTTGTCCAGAGCTCCATATTCCAATCTTGGTTGGTGGACGATCCTTGGCATGCGATCTCATCCAGCAAGTCTTCTGGTGTTCTCGATGGCCCAGGTCAATTTCGCACAATCCCAGGGCTGCGTACAGAGAGAAAATTATTTTGTTTATATTGTCAGAGAGAGCTGACTGTAGAATGGTGAGTGATTTCACGCAGCTGGATTGCGGCCTATGAATACCACGCGTCGCTGATGGGCGTATACCTGAAACAGCTCACGAGGCACTGGGTTCGCCAATAAAAGGCGTGATAATATAAGACTGGAAGTTTTGCGTACCGGTACGCACGAAGTCTCCATATTGTTCATGCAGCTTCGAAGGTAACATTTCTTCTATGTGTTTCCTTTGTCTTGCTGTTAGGTGAGGTCCCAGTCGATCTTGAAACTCGTCAAACAGGTGAGTTTTTTACATGCAAGCTTAGATCCCAGTTGCCAAGCTTCTTAGTAGCAGATTGGCTCATAGTTGCTATTGAAAGAGCAGCTAGCATTCGAGTCCAACGGGGAGAGAGAGACAGGTTAAACAAAGACTATTTAAATATAACCCCACGTCGATGTTCAAATGCAACAACATTCCTTTGTTAGCGGTGACGCAGATTCCACATCTATTTCCTCTACCCAATTTATTAGCATGCAATAATAAAGAATGGGCACCTTCATGGGGTTTCTTAAACCCTCAGACTCGGGGCGATGCTTTATACAGTCTTCCTGCGTTTCATGTATCCTCACCCATGTCCTGCATCAATGAATGTTCGACCCCCGGTGCCCCTCATGATAGAGGCACATATCTTGTAGCTCTCTATGAAATTATTTAAAAACCTAGGAAGCGTCAGTGGCCTTTTCGTGTTTCCGAGTAGTGTACGCAGACGAATTCTTCCCGGAGTGTCATGATTCTCGCTCTGTGCAGCCTGCTTCTGGTACATGCGGTAAGCGCATTGTCCGTAGAACAGCCCCAGGTCAGTAGTATCCTTACTCAAAGGCATCTACTCCAATATGCTAACGACGCCCAGAACTCATTTTACCGCCGTGATTTCAACCCTATCTGCTCCTCGTACATCGTTAGCAAAGGGGATACGTGTACCAGCATTGCCGCAAAATGCGATATCACTACTCACCTGCTCACTACCTATAATAAGGGTGTGGACTGCGCTAAAAACGTCGGAAAGCCGATGTGCTGTTCTACAGGAGGAACTCCAGTTCCACCGAGAGATGTTGGAGGTGTCTGCTACAAGTATACCATTCGGGGTGAAGATACTTGCGAGCGAATTGCAAAGGCATATGGCATCACGATTGCCAATATTGAGGCCTGGAATAGGGAGACATGGGCCTGGTATGGGTGTGGTGATCTTCAGATTGGGGGCAATATCTGTCTCACTGAGAAAGGTGTCTGTCCTATGCCGATATCCATTCCTGGTGCTGTTTGTGGTCCTCAAGTACCTGGGACTGCGCGTCCTACCGAGTGGAAGAAATTCCCCTCGTTGAATCCCTGTCCCTCTAGTCAATGTGTGAGTCTTATTAACTCTTGCTCGTGCGACTCAAACTGACAGTGATGATAGTGTAATAGAAAAGGCCAATGTGGCACCGGCGCGGACTTTTGTGGCTCGACTACATTTAAAGCTAGTGCGACCACCGTTATCAAAAAGCAGGCTGATGTTGAGCCTGCGGGCAAGACGACAATCTCATATACAACTGTGAGATACACCGCTGCGATAAGTTTAAACTCCGCGACCAGCGCTAATCCAGCCCAGTCTGCGAGTACTACCATAACGACCAGTTCCAGTTCAATAAAACCAAGCACCACCCTGACTACCCGTGCAGGCACGACCTCAACCGGCATCGAAACAGTACCATCAGGGTGGCTGCTGCTGATGTATATGGAGAAGGGTTGCGAAGGAGATTATGTGGCCCTCCAAGGCCACAATAAAGAACTACGCAATTCTAAGTGTCTTGTGCTCCATGGCGGTCTCAGTACCAATATCACAGACGAAGATGTTTCATGTCGATACTGGGTCGACGGTGGTCTGAACTGGAAAAGCTGCGACGATAGTCCGAAAACACGGCCTGCATCATGGAAGATGATCAATGGTCTCTGCACGGTAGTCGATAATGATAAATGTGACAACTACAATTCCATCGGCCAGACATATGGCTGGCGGGGGAAGGGAGGACCTTGTCAGAATGGTGGTAGACGAGGCGATCCTAGGACGTTCAACTCAATGCAGTGTTATGTCGGGTAGGAAAGTATATGTGGAAAGGCGTACATTTCATATAATATCAGATTGCCAAATATATCATTCAAATCAGATCAATTTTGTCTCATAAAAGCCAAAGAAATAGGCAGCAGAGTGGCGATACGAAATTTTCCGCTTGAGCCTCATTTCAGCCCCCAAAGGGTCTACCGTCGAAGTGCGACCTTGACATAAAATCCAAGTTTCCCCTGATTCCTTCGTTTTGTTTACTTTTTCCTCTTTTAAACATAATGGGTCGCCTCAACCAGGAAGTTCCCGCGTCCTCGTCGCACTCACTCCATTCCTTGGATGACGCGCCACCACCCTACACCGATGATCTCGAGTCCCTCCCCATTCCGCCCGATCCGCCTGTCCAGTCTCGCATTAAACCCCTCCGTCTGATCGACTCTGCCTACGTTCTTCCCGGTGGAACAGACATCAGGCCATACGACACCGTCGCTCTCACCCTCGCGCCGAATCTCTCGACCAACAGCGATGAGCTCTACAATGCCATCCGTAAGCAGATCATGCTGCCACTACGCCCTCTCCTCTACGTGAAAGGTTATCACACCGAATCAAGCAACAATGGGAAAAAAGACAAGAACAGCAGCACTGTGACCGACTTCGAGTTCAAGCTGGATCTCGCCGAGACCATGCTGACCGGCTGGGAGGGCGGGCCTATGGAGGTAAACTGGATGGAGGTCGACATCCTCACAGATGAAGATCCGAAGCCCGCCTACCGTGGTGGAATCCTGCGTTCGCGCACATACAAGCCCCCCAAGTCGCGCCAGGCAATCGCCCTTACTGATGCCAGCGATGCCCTCCTCGGCCAAGACGCCGACACCAACGACGTTCAAAGCGCCCTAAAACTATGGTGCGAGCGGTTCTGCCAGGACCCGGCGCCCGTGAAATCGTACTGTTCCCTCCCATTCCTTCACAAAGACTGTCTAGCTAATCAGACTGGTTGACTTCAGATTCACACTGCACCGCCAACTCGGAGGCTTCGACTCGAACGCAATGCGCAACGTCCTCTCTTCGCACATCCGCGAACTAAACTACCGCGGCTCCCTCAGCTTCTCCTTCTCAACCGCCCACCGCTCCGTAACAATCTACTCCCCACACTGGATCAACCGACTGCGCGCGAACCGCTATGTCTGGTGGATCGTAGTCATCCTCCAGCTCTGGATAATCACATGGCCAATCATCTTCTTCATGGAGAAGCGGTACGAGATCGCTCATATAAAGTGGAACGCTTCGCTCATGCCCGAGACCGATTCTGCTTTGGTCAAGTGCTACGCTCAGGGTCGCAACGAGTCTGCTCTGGCTGAATACTGGGCTCCGGCTGTTAAGCAGGCTGCTTGGACTCGCCGGCGTGGTGAGGGTGATGTTCTCACGAGAATGGATGTCGAGCGTGTGCAGGGATATTCTATGCAGCAGTTGCTTGGTATGCATGCTACTGCTTCTGATTCTGAGCGGGAGCGTAGGGAGCGTGTTAATAATGGTGCTGGTGGCTTCGTTGATAATGTTGTTGGGTTGGTCCGCGGCGTCAGTGAGGTTGGGCAGGATTGGAGGATGTCAATGGGATGGGGTGCTAACTGTTAGATTTGCTGTCTGGTTGGAGCTTACTCTATGGTCTACGTGTTCTGGTCAACAGTGGACCTTTTTGAAATAATAGAGGCATTCGACTGCAGCGGGACTGCAGACTGATTCTCTATAGTCCTGGATAAGACTTGCTGGTTCATTCTTTTATAATTTTCCTATATTAATATATATATTGCACTTTCTATGTCTTTCTAAAGTAACGTCTTCTCATGTAGGGCAGCACTGCTGTGAATAAGTATTTGGGCAGTCTCCATGCGAAATCCACGTGTCTCGAAGTGAATCCTGTATATGATTCTTTGCTTGTCCTTTCCTCTTTTATGCCTGTTTTCCGTGCCTTAACTGGCAGTATTCGGTACACGCTGTACAGACTGAGGAATCTATAGTTCCAGTTGATGAGCATGTCGCCATGCCATAAGTTAAGTGTAACTACTAAGCTCCCTTGGTGTCAATTTAGGGTTTGTTTTCCGATTTTGATATTGGAACTTCACTCACCACAGCACATTGTACATCTCGTGTTCCTTCCTATCTTTCTTAAGTGATCAGTTACTTTACAGCCCAACATGTCTACATCCTATGATCTTACCTCCTACGGTCTCACCATGTCGCCCACAGTGTGCTTTGTGGACAACGAATTTATTCAGAGTACCAGGTGTATCATCTGGTCCATGTTACTATTATTCACGGTCCAAATTGCCGTTCTACACGTTGCGGTTATCCTCATAGACAAAACCATCCAGCTAGTCACCCCAAGGTTCTTGAATCTGGTTGTCCATGTCTTCGGAAAAGTAGAGACATACTGCGATTATCTGAACTGGAAATGGCTAGCCTGGCTTCTCAACATCGTGGCTAAGATCTCTACAACCGAAGAAGACAGACGGCAACAAAAACAGTTGATCAAGGAAAAGGAGATAGTGATGTAAGAGAATGAATCACATCAACAGCGATACGACTATTTGATTGAAACACTCGGCTTCCTGGAAAAGCAAGCAGAAAATCAAACCCTCACAGCAGAGCAGATTCAAACCACATGCGATCTAGACTTCGAGCTGTCTCTGCTTCCCTACGTGGCAGCTGATACAACTCATAAGTTCCAACAGCTGGAAATTCATTGTCGCGATGGGGCGTGGATACGTGCTAATAGGCAAACCAGTAGCCCTATTCTACGAACAGCTGGTCGATGCAAGAGACTGGGTGGTTGTTGTGCTTTTGACTGTGTTAGTTCTCATAGAGTACGGGGTGTCTCGTTCATTGGTTGGTCATTGTCGCATTGTACTAGTGAATGCGGGTGCTGTATTCCACGAGAGGGAAAGAGTATAGGGTCCAACATAGAGGAGAGAAGGGCTTTCTCTAATCCTGTCTATCACTGCGTTTAGATCCTGATGGTTCGAGGCCAGTGTCGGGTAAATCTAATTTTATCGCTTTTTGTCTGCCTTTTGCTTCGACAGCATTTTGGGGCTGGTATATATAGTGCTTTGTTGGACTTTGAACATCCCTCTCTTTTGCTTCAATTTTGCTTTGTTTACACAATTGCATTGCTACGCATCCTTGCTTTGGTTCTCCGCAAGTCATTCGAAGCTCTATTCCCATGTTCGTTCCTTTGTCTACTACAAATGTCATTGATATCCAAACCTATCCAAACCTATCCAAACCTATCCAGGCTTTCTTTTTGCATCTGCTCTCTTTATTCTCTCTTACACTTCAAGTCATCTCTGGTTTTTTTGTCCCATTGTTTGCTATAGTCCAACCGTGGTTTCAACACCTAGTTTTCCCTTTGTATACCCGCATAGCGCTCCCTCGACGATATACTAGGGCCTTCTTTACAAGGTATAAAGCCGTTCGGGGTTCCGTTGGTTATTTCAATTTCAAGCACCGAACCACTTCCATATATACACCGAATCCCAGCATTTATTAGCACAATCGCAGGCATGCGCCAATATATCCGACGAAAGAGTCTGCAGCTGCTTCCTTGTCTTGACCGTCGCCCTCGCTGTGGACAATCCAGACAACAACGTCGCAACAGCAATGAGAATCAAAGTGGTACCAGAGAGCAAAATATTGAACTTCCTCAACAGCCATTGCCTCCTTCTGGACCCGCTACTGACGAATCCAACACAGATACCCCACAGCCCGTTCAAAATGAGAATAACCCTTCTGCTGACCTAGAGATTTTGCCAGAAGCCCCGGCTGCTACCCACCCAAAGCAATCTCCTGAAGGCTCCTCAGACGGTCAATCCGAAGTTTCATTCATTTCTAGCGCTAGACGTCGTCTAGGGCATTTTGTCCTTACTGAAACTCCTGAAGCCGCAGCAGATCCACAACCTAGACCCTCGACTCAACGCATTACTAGAAGTCGATCAAAGACACCTAGCGGAGATGCGGCATCTAGGTCCCCTATTCGCAAACAGCGTGGACGCCGCACCATATCACCAGCACCAGGACCAGAATCCCGGACAAAAAGGCCAGGCGAAGAAAGCCCTGAAGAGGATGAAGCCACGCGTACTGCCAAATTACGCCGGAAAGGAACTAACTACCAGAACTGGATAGACCGAGCAAATGATGCCGACTGCCAAATCCCATGTCCCATCCAGCGGTCAACACTTACATGGAATGATATTGCGAGAAACCCTGATGAGGCTCGGCGATGGGATATAGGGAAGGATAAAAAGGTAGGCCCCAACCAGGTGGCGATGAAGGACCAAGTCCGACCACCGGCTCTAACATCCGGAGAGAATGACTATCGCAAAACCCAGATTTCCCGTTTGGAGAATGCAGGGTATAACATGCATACGCACCGGATGGGTCGCGGCGTCATTTTCGCGGAGTTTTGTCAGAGGCCGGTAGGTAGTGTTAATCCTCATTGGTCTGAGATTGCCCTGGCTCAGTACCAGCGTGACTATGATATTGATACTCTGAGGTATGTTTATGTTGTGGACTGCGAGAATACGGAGACGTTGGGACATATGCGGGACGTGCTTTTTCCTAGACTCGGTTATTCGAAGGATAGTCAGGAGGTTCTGACTTGGGAGTATAATACTGAGGGTTATAAGGAGATTATGGGTGTTGTTTGGGGGAAAGGCGTTGGTGCGCTTGTACTTGGGGCTTGGGACAGAGGGACACATCGTATTGCGAGGATTCTTACTTGGCAGTCTAGGGGGAATTGGCACATGAGGTTTGATATTGAGGTACTTCGGAATAGCCCTAGGTATGATCTTCGTTCCCTTCCCAGCAAGCCGTGAAGTGAATTGTTTGATGCGATTTGTTCATATCTTAGATACCTAGGTATTCGCCAGCTTCTATTGATCCTGAAAGTTATGTGCATAAATCAAACGGTAAGCAATACTTTGATAGACGAGTATATTTTGATCAGACCATCATCCACATATGCAATCGTTTACAGCAACGCAAATCCAAGCTAAGAGCAGTTTATGTCCCATTGAACACTAGGCGTAGATACGAAGGCCTGCTATACACCAAATAAAGCATCCCGCCGTCCCAAAATTTGCCAGGCACACGCGAGGGTTCACCTCACGGGCAAAAGAAATAACCAAAATAAAGATACATGTCAACCAAGAAAGATACCAAGGTGAAGAAACTCAAATTCACAGGGCAAAGAAGCATTACAGGAAAAGGAAGCCAGCACCGAACAGAGTCGACAGGACAGTCACCATGCCAACAGCGACAGGGGCGAAGGTGATCTGCATGGGCTTCAGGTTGGCGGCGGCACCCTCGGAGCTGGTGGAGGTAGCACCACCGGCGGTGGCAGAGGCGACGGAGCCAGAGCCGGGGGTGGCAGTGCCGGAGGAGGGAGTGCCAGCGTTCTGGGAGCCCTTGCCGCTGAAGCCTTCACCCTTGCCGGCACCCTCGGTCAGGTACTTCTTAGCGGGGGCGGGCATGGCGGGGAGGGCATCGTTGGAGACGTCCCAGTTGGGGGCGTTCTTGACGGGGCAGCCGGAGGCACCGCCGGTGGAGTTGTAGTTTCCATCGCCGGAGGGGTTCTTGGTACCGTCGAAGGCCTTCTTGAGGGCGTCGTAGTCGTCGAGGGTCTCGACATCGTCACCGCTGATCTTGACGAGTCCGTACTTGTTGCCGGCCTCGGTGTACTCGTAGACGAGACCACCGGAGTAGACGCCGGTCATCTTGGTGGAGTAGAGAGCCTCGACCTCCTCGAACTTGCGGGTGTTGGTGTTGCAGCCGTACTCGGAGAGGAAGAGGGGGAGACCGTAGCCGGTGAAGTTCTTGACCTTCTGGTCCCAGCCGGAGGTGGAGAAGGAAGAGGGGTCACACCAGGAGTAGTCGTTGAAGGCGAAGAAGTCGGAGCGCTCGTCGTCGGGACCGCAGTTCATGTACTCGGCCATCTCGAGACGGTTGGTGTCGACATCGGCGGCGGAGTAGCCGACGGGGACCTCACGGAGCTTGCGAGAGCGAATGTAGGTACGCATGTCACGGGTAACGGCCTTGACGTAGGGAGCGGCCTTGGAGGAGGGGCCGTCGTTGATGACCTCGTTACCAGAGAAGAAGGCCAAGGTGTTGTCGTACTTGGCGAACTTATCAATAGTAGCGAAGATGTACTGCAGGTAGACATCGTTGTAGGATTGCTTGGGCTCGGCACGGTTCAGGGAGTACTTGGGAGTGTTGACATCCAGGACCAGGTAAATGCCGGCTTCGGCGAGGGCGTTCATGCACTCGTCGTGATCCTTGGAGTTGTCGACGGAGTAGACACGGATGGTGTTCAGACCGAGGTCCTTGAAGTTCTTGATGTCACGCTTGCAGCCTTCGGCGTCGGCAATGGGGTCGGCGAGGTCGGAGGAGCCACCGGGCTGGTAGTCAACACCACGCATGTAGAAGCGCTCATCACCCTTGAAGAAGGCGTTACCCTTGACGGTGATAGGGGTGATGTTGCTGTCGCGCTTCATGTTCATGTTGGTCGCGGCACCGAGAACGGTGGACGCGCCCATAGTAAGGGCAGTTGCCACGGAGGCTACGGATGCCTTCATGATGTCGTTGGAGTGGAAAAATTAAACGAAAGTCGAATAACAGTTGGTATTAACGAGAGTCGGAAGATTGGATTAAAGAGAGTAAGGAATGACAGACGTGAAGGAAACGAGAGTGGAAGAAGAAAAGGCTTCAGGAACGTAGGGATGAAGGGGTTATACGGCCAAGGGCCTTGGGCCGATTGGCACGACAAGGGTCACTGGGCTGTGCTACGCCAAGTTATTGGCTCTCGCCTTTTCATCCCGCGACGATCAGACTGCAAGGGTGCAGTGGAGTATTCTTGTGGGGTGTGGCCCTGAAATTGTTTAGGGGCTCCATTGTGGTTATTGTGGCTGTTGTTTAGGCCACTTGCAGCCTAACCATTATTATAAGTTACTACAGTACTTTATGCTACAATACATTTACCTCCCCATGTCCCAACACTACAATATTTACATAATACATTTGTCCATGTAAATAAATCCTCGACGGTAAATAAATACTCAGTGGATCCTTCGCTTGGCGATGACGCGCCACCTTTCTGGGCAGGGGATGAATCGGCCGATCCCACTTAGGGGTCACTTTAGGGGTCTATAGGGGTCTCACACAGGCCAGTCAGATTCTAGAATCCTGGGGGTGAATTAATATCCTTCATTGGCTGAAACATTCCGTTATACCCCACTGTGGGCACGTCTCGGCTCACTTTGCTCACTTTTCTATACTTAGGCTGAGACAGATGCCTCGAATATGTACCAATCACATGTGGTTGTTTGATTCAAAGTGTCTTTGAAACCATGGGAATGATCAAATTGAAATTGGCATTAGAGCATTGACGGACTGCACATGTAACAAGTATAAAAATTATAAAAATGAAGGGTCCAACAAAACAGTATATGTAACTTCAGATCGACCGACGATCACAAGTACACGAGAGATCCCCTTTAAATGGCCTCATACTGTTTCGCTATTGCCCATCTTTTTGCGATATCCCAGCAATGACTTGAAATCCATCCATAAGCCCGATGAGATTCCACGCAAAGCCCCCAGACTCTCGACCACAGGCCACACCACACAAATCAAGACACTGATCCAGATCCAAATGAAGGAAACAACAACCCAACCAGTAAAAAACGTCTTGCTATAAATATAACTGCTCCCAAACAGAGCAAACGGTACTAATATCACCGCGCCGAAAAAGAATACCGCGTTGGCAGTCAACGCAATTCGCTCTCCCCTCTTAACAAGAACCGGATCCATCGGTTCCATGTCATGAGACTCGAGATAATCAACCAGTTCATTCCTAGTGGTTGGAGCAGGTGAAACATCACTCGAGATCGGGGGTGGGGTAGTCTTCTCATCGATCGAGTGTGTTTGAGCCTTGTCTGCAGCGGTAGCCCGTCCAGTCTCAGATGTAGGATTTTCTTCTTTAACAGAAACCGCAACACCAGCGAGAGCTTGAGCATTGGGATCGGCGTGCTTTCCGGGGAATACAAAGGTAAGGACCACAGCCATGATAAATCCCACGCCAAACGAAGCCAGGTTCCCGGCTAGGGCGTTTGTCGTTTCGCCAGTAGTCGCGACATTAATCGTCCCTGACCGTTTGTAGGCCGTGACAAACCACACTGTAATGCCGCAGAGGAATCCAATCCATGGCGCTGCAACGGCTGCGACTGTTGACATTGGTTCCCAGAGTAGAATCATGCCGACGGGCAATGCGGCACCGCCGACAATAACACCCAGAACGGTCAGGACCCATGTCAAGCTGATACCTGCAGCGTTGAGGATGCAGCAGAATACGGCTAGGACGATGGCATATATCACAATACCCCAATGACTGACTCGGACCAGTGCTTCAGAGCTAGTATTGGGGCGGAAGTAAGTTTTATAGATGTCAAATGTCAGGAGAGAAGAGACGGCGATCAACTCGGCGGATGTAGAGCTGGTTACCGCCATGAAGAGGAGAATTAGCATCAAGACTGCTCCTCCCTTTCCCAGCAGGGCGATTGCTGTTGCTGGTGCTGAGAGTCCAGACTCAACTTGGGCGGTTGTCAATGCGTTTGGGTAGGTTGGGAAACGAGGATCGCCTGTTAGAGCAGCGCATCCAAGGCCCATGATTGTCGCGAAGCCGAAGGGGATTCCTTAAAGCCCACAGGTCAGCATGAATTGTCTATACTCTGCCGAAAGAGCTGAAGATCCCAACATACCGTACCAAGCAAGCCCACCAAAGATATAAGCCTTAACCGAAGTCTCAGGCTTAGAAGCAATAGCACGCTGCCAATAGGCCTGATCTAGCCAAACAGTCGTAAAACCCGAAACAAAAAGATCAAACGCAAAGATCAGGCCCCCAACAGAACGAAAAGTCAAATAAGAACCCTCAGTATTCCGATCAATAGGCATCTTCTCCGAAGCCTCCTGAAGCAACTCATACAACCTCGCCGGACTTCCCACCAAATCACTAGTGGTAATAGTCAAGAACCCAAAAACAAGAATGGCCACAAATAAAATAACAGTATGAGTATAATCCGCAATAAACGTCGACCTCAGACCCCCGGCAATAACATACGCGGCCACAACAGCGGGAATCAAAAACGTCGCCACATACACATTCATCCCAGTGAGAGCATCAACAACCTGCGCACCACCCAGCACCAAACAAGCACCCACAAGCATATTCGTCGCAAGCCCATGATAAAGATACGTAATATGCGCCACCTTTCCATGTCGCGCCAAGACAATCTCAGGCATGGTATGCGCCCCAGCTGCCTTGGATTTAATCTTGATAGCGATTAAGCCAAACATGAGAATCTGGAGGGTGCCCATGGCGCCATACCACATGGGTCCGCACACGCCATAGTTGTAGGCGAAGGTCGAGCTTGTTAGGAGGGTCGCAGACCATGTCCAGGAGGAGACGATGCCTGCGCTGATCAGGCCTGGTTTGACGGATCGCGAGGCTGTGTTGAATTCCTCGGCGGAGTGAGTTGAGAATTGTGTGTATCTGTTTTGGAGCCAGGTTAGGCCAAGCATGAATAGGGCGAAGATTCCGCCTATTCCTATTACTATGCCATAGCCTGCTCCTGGGGGTAGGACTTGGAGTTCGGAGCCCATTTTTGTTTTCTTTTCCCGTTTATGGTGGGTTGGGTTGGGGTTTGGATTGTCGCGGTGCGTAGTCGAAGTCCATTATTTATATATTTGCTTATCGAGGTAGTGAGGTGTACATTGTAGACTCTTCTCCTCTTCTCTTGGATGTGATCGCCGTGATAGCAGGTTACCCCAATTGATAGACTTATCATTGTTGGGGTAGGTTGGAGACGATAAGCAGGGGAGGAGTCACGAATTAGAGAGATCTTTGCTTCTTTAGGCCTGGAGATAAGCTGTAGACTTGTCTGTGGGTGATTCCTGTACTCTATCCTCGCAACTCGAGAATAAGCTGCTCCAAATGCTACGGGGAATATCGGCAGGGCAAACGGATAAAGGGCAAGAGTCAGGGAAAGAAGCAACATCGTTTTGGTTGGAGTATATGCAAAGCTTTGGGTATGTTTCCGAATAAAAAACGAGCTAATGACCGACTGCCTTTAATCGGTGCGTCGCTTCTCCAATTTGTTCGTCCCATGCACCCAGTCTAGCAGTCCCACGGACCCATAGTTTAAATTGAACTTCTCATGGTGCAAGTCATGCATCTTGGCTTTGTTATGGAAGAAATCATACCCACTGTGGACAGTCACGGTATTGAAGAGCTCCCAAGCTAAGAATATCCAAAATGTCAGGACGTGGCTGTGAAGCAACTGCGGTGGTAGAGAGATGGGCAATGCATTGGCAAAGATTTGCTCGAGCGGATGTGCAAACTGTGCAGCGAGGGCGATTGGAGCTGTGAAGCGGTGATGCTTCTTGTGAATACGGACGTAGAAGTATGGTATGTGCAGCAGTCGGTGGCTGTAGTAGAATAAAGCCTCGCGCATCAGCAGGCTGAGGAAAACGTCGCGGGCGATCTCGAGTATGCTTGGGAATGATGCTTCAACGCGATATGAGGACTTTGTGCCAGCTTGGCTGGATGCAAATAGCAGTCCTATATGGAGCACAGATGACAAGATCTGATTCTGGGCTACAACGCTGAAGCAGCGAAGTATCTCGCGACGTGTCGGTTGCTTGGGCGCTGGTTGGATTTTGTGACGCTCGGAGAAAGACGGTGCAATTACATCCAAGCAGAGATAACAGAGAGATGGTAGCCAGAATGCTAAGACTTGGACGAACAGCGTACCCACGAACTCGATTTTCTGTGGTGAGTGACTGTTCACGACGTGGACCCAGAAAGCCGAGGCTTGAAGTAGCAACTGGTCAAGAGAGGAATGGAGAATCTCCATGGTGGATTGTAAATTTATTTGACCTCAGATTTGAGACGTGAGATCTGGGATCAAGATCTGATCTGAGGGCAAATTTTGCAGGGTCTCGAGTTTATATATTTTCCCCGGAATCTGCCCCCGCAGTGGCTACGGCTCGGCTACCTGTTCGATCTCATGTGAACGCCGAAAACTTAGGGACTTTTCAACTTGCGATCATCGATTGGATGGTACATTTGTGTGAAATTGAAGCTCAAGAGAGCACATTTAATGAAGTACAATCCCGTTAACGGGCCGAAAACGGAAGGAAGGCAATAAATATGCAGACAGACTAGTCACTTCACACTTTCTTGTCCCTTGCCTGTGAAGCATTCTTAAACACTCATTCCTGGAAGATAAATTACACCTCAAAGTAAGTATCGCTACATATTTAAGCCTCTTTGATCTACTGACCCCAACCCAGATGAAGAACTACATCGAATACAGTGTAAGCTGGCTTTTCGCAAACAGCAAAGGCCGCGATGCCAAACTCTTCTCAAAGGGCCCTGCATTCTCCCAATTCCCAGAACCAACGATCAGCCTTGAATGCCGAGAAGTAGGCCCAACAGGATCCCAACTGGACGAAGAGCACTCCGCAGACGGGGTGGGTCGTTTCCCGGCCCTGAGCTGGCCAACGGCATCACCCGAGATCAAACAGTATCTGCTCATCAACGAGGATCCTGATGCACCATTACCTAATCCTATTATCCACGGTGTCTTCTACGGAATAGCGGCGACGAAGTCGGCCATCTCTGCTGAGGATGTCGAGGCTGCTACGGAGCAGGGTGCTCTGAAGGGCGGATTCCGATATGGCAAGAACCGCAGAGGAAATGTCTACATCCCTCCTCGGCCATTACTCGGCCATGGACCCCATCGGTACTTTTTCACCCTAGTCGCTCTTACCGAGCCGGTCGATCCTGGCAAGTTGAGTTTGTTGCCTACTGTAGAGGAGATGTCGCGCGAGATTGATGGGAAGGTTGCTGGATGGGGCGAGTGGGTTGGTGTTTATGAGAGGAAATGAAATTGATTTTCGGCGGGATTTGCCTTGGCGGGGGCTACTATACATGTACATACATAGTGGTTTTGTGGTGCTTGTTCCTGGCGTTGTTCATCACACATTCGGTGATCCTTCTTGCATTCATACCCATGCAAGAGGCATGTGATGCTATTTCTGTGTTTGGAGACGCGTATTTTTACTTTTTCTTTACGTGTTGAAGCTATTTTTATAATTGACGTACACCTTCTGACATGAGAAGTGCACTTTAAACTTGCGATGGTGTTCATCCAAGTGTAAACAGCTGCTTAGGTTGTGAAACTGTTGTGGGACCCGTCGGGTCTAGTATGACTTCCATGCATGCATACGAGCTACAGTAATGCCATGTGTGTTTCAGACCAACCGAGAAGATCGACAATGACAGTGGGGTATGACAGGGTTTGGCGGAAATATCACGACAAGGAACACTACGCCCGAAAAAGCAATGGTTCTTGTCTCGACTGCTATGGACATGCACAATGTCTCGTACATGTATGCTTTCCATTCCCGGTAATCCCATCGCTTGCAGTCCATTGGCTACAATCCATAAATGCAGTTGAAATCACGCACAAGGCATAATGCAGATGGAAAAGAGGTCAAGAAAGAGATCGAAATAGAGATAGAAAGCCGATAACAAAGTAAAAATTCCACAATTTGTAGGACTCGGGACATATCCCAACAACGCCTACCAGTTTGATGTGTATATCAGACGACACGCATTTAAATGCGAACCAATATGCCCACGGAGGGTACAGTAAATTAACACAGCAAACTATCACATACAATTGTAATTTGCAATTCTCCAAATAAAAACCGCCTGTTACGCTTCAACCTCTGACCAAATATGGAGCCAAGTATGCAGCTCGACACCCTAATGCATCCTAAGCCAAGACCATAGTGTCTAGAACCGACCCAGACCCCACGAAAAACAAAATGAAAATCACAACCAACAATAGGGCAATCGTTTACAATGCCCACTTTCAAGCTTCTCACCATGCTATAAGCCCCCTTCCCTTCTGTCGCTGCATGGACAGTTATAGTTCACGCCATTTCAATCCCTGCAGGGTGACAGCTCACACCCGCACGGGACCAGAGCCCACTTAGGTTGCATTGTCCTTGGCCCTGTTGATATTCTGGGTTTGGTTGGTGAGATAGATAGCTGAACTTTGGAAGTATCCATTTAGTTACAGATCATACAAGGGATGCAGGCTTCTGTTGTTGGGTCCGGGAGTCGAAGGACTATAAAGCATTGCCTAGGTCGGGAAATACGATATTGTAGTTGGAAAAATATTGTCCACAAATTGATTGTGGGTTGTTAGATTGTCAGTTTGACAGTATGGTTGCGTTTTCTTCCTTGCTTGTTGCTCTTTGGATGGGCTCTGTTGGTGCTTCGTTATTGCCGGATCTCGAGTTTGAGTGGTGTGGTCCGAACAATCAAGCTACTCGGAAAGAATGGTTTGTACTGCTGAATTTTCCTGTGTGGTTTCGCGTTAACTGATATCAAATAGGGGGAATTGACATCTGCTGAGCGAATTGAATATACAGATGCCGTGCTTTGTATGCAGAAGCAGCCCCAGCAGCTCCCGAGAGAGGAGTTCCCCGGTGTTCGGAACCGTTTTGATGATTTTGTGGCGTATGTTAGTCCATGTTTCTACTTTTCCTTGCGTACTGACATGAACTATCTAGTACTCATATTAACTACACACTTAACATCCATTATAGCGGTCTGTTTCTGCCATGGCACCGACACTTCCTCTGGCTCTGGGAGACAGCTCTCCAAGATGAATGCGGATACAATGGCCAACTTCCGTTAGTCAACCCTTCCGTTTACTCCAGCCAAACTGACAATATCAGCTACTGGAACTGGCCCTACTGGGCCAACAACCTCGCCGCCAGTCCCCTCTTTGACTGCAGCGCAAGCTCCCTCTCCGGCGACGGCGAATACAACCCGGAAGAACAAAGCATCCAAGGCGGCAGCTTAACCCTACCAAGGGGAAGCGGCGGCGGCTGTGTCCGCTGCGGACCATTCAAAGACATGGAACTCCACCTAGGACCCTTTTCACGGCAGGCTCTTACCTCGTTCACCGAAATCCCAGCACCAGCCTTCGACTACAACCCCCACTGCTTCAACCGAAGTCTAAACAACTTCGTCAGCACAAACTACAACAACGAAACTATTGTCGACAGACTCCTCGCCTCGACCGATATCATCGACTTCCAAACTGTCATGAACCACTGGCCCCCTAACGCTGAGGGAGTCCTGGGCGTCCACGGCGGCGGCCATTTCAGTATCGGCGTGACGTTGCAGGATTTGTTTGCTTCGCCGCAGGATCCGGCTTTCATGTTGCATCATGGTATGATTGACCGGTTGTGGGGTCAGTGGCAGGCTCGGGATGAACGGCATCGCAGGTTCGCACTTAATGGCACTAGTACTATCCTCGACCCGCCCGGTGGGATTCCTGTTACGTTGGATACGGAGATGCAGTTCGGGGTTCTTGATCGGCCGCGCTCGATTCGTGATTCTATGGATCCGACGAGGGGAGGTTATTGTTATTCGTATACTTGAGCCTGGAGCCTAATACGGGGTCCCGATTCGGATTCGGCATGGGATGATGGAGAACGCTCGGAGTATTGTACATTAATGAAAATAGTCTTACATAGTTCCAGGGACGTAATTTGAGTCACCCCCTTTTAAAATGCCAGAAATCAATAGTTGACGACACGACTTCTATTTATTCTGTGCTATTTTCAGTGAGACCAGGCCAATGGGGCCTGTGGATCCCGATACGATGAACTGGCAACTGTCGGCGTCAGAGTTTCTTGCGCAACAAGCTGCATGTAACGCCTTATTCTGTGCTTACTCGGGTAATACATGGAATATACGTTTGAGATTTCTGAGTGGAAAGCGTTCAGCGTCAAGCGTCAAACGTCAATCGGTCGATCCGAGACAATTCATAGAAGTTCCATGGGAGCTAAAAAAGCCCACTCCGACGCTAACAAGTCTTTATCGCTAGTGTTGAGAAAAGCCCGAAAACAAGAAATCGAAGCTCATCGCCGCCACTCTCGGTAGCTCTTTCTCATTTTCTGTTCCTGCTAAATCGGGACATCTCATCTTTGTTTATCTTTTCACCTTTTTCTTTTCTTCTTCGTCTCTCTTCTTCACTCCTCCTCACTTCTCCCATCTCCATCTCCATCTCCACCTCTCCGATCTCCAAATCTCCAATCTGCTTATCAGTCATGTTGCGAATCAACTTTCTGCAATTCTTCTTCGTGACGCTGCTCGTCCTGTCTGTTGTCTTTGCAGCTGACCAGCTCGAGGATGTCACCCCCCGTGAGTCTCTCCAGGAAGCGCTTGCCGATATCAAGGCCACCTCGTTCCACGATGCTCTGCATGCTCTCTCCGCCAAGTTTCGCCATGGAATTTTCCCGACTGACTTCCACGCCGCTGAGGCGCTTCAAGGCGAAGAACCTGCCATTGCTACTCTGATCCGTCTTGCCAAGCGACAGAACAATGCCACCGCCAGTCCTGAGACCGCTACCTCTGTTGCTGGCGTGACCACCAGCCAGGCAGTCACCGAGCCCACCACTTCTGAGGCCAACCCCACCACTTCGGCTTCGACTGGTGAGCCCACTACCAGTGCTCAGCCCACCACCACTGCAGAGCCAACAACTTCGGCCAGCTCTAGCTCCAGCACTACCACTCGCTCGGTCTCCAATGATACCACCACCACCACCACCGAGCCGACTACCACTGCCTCTGTGCCCTCAACCACCCAGAGTGCTCATACTACCACTACCAGTGTTCCATCCACTCTGACGACTGCCACGAGCACTTCATCTAGCTCGTCATCCACCACTAACGGTCATTCTACCACCTCCACCACTCACACTACCCAGAACACCAGCTCTTACACCTCCACCTACAAGAGCACCACTACCATGCCTGATGGCAGTGTGAGCACCATCACCTCGATCACCATTGTCCACCCCACCGCAACCGGCTCCTCTGAGGGCAGTGGCAGCACTGCCCGCCCCGGTCTGCAGACTGGTGGTGCCTCGCTGACCACTGATCTGACTCGTGAGGTGGTCGCCATCATCGGTGGTGCCGTCATGGTCGCCATGGCCCTGTAATTGTCCTCAGATTTGATATTATCTCGCCATTCTGCATTTTTATCCATTTCACCGGCGTTCTTCAGCAACATCGCATCGGCTCTGCATTTCTTATGACTATTGTCATCCTACCATTCATTAGCACGACCCGTTACGATCTACCACGTCTCTCCTTTACTGTTTGCAAGCGTTCTTGATGGCCGGCGTCAACTTTCGGCCATGGGGCATTTATCTCTGATTCTCAATGTGGGACATTTACAGCGAACAGCACACGCTAATATTTCATATGATTAGTCTTTAGCTATCTTCACTGAAGATAATGCGAAAAGTGCTTCAATATATTCTTCCAACCTATAATTGTAGATGCGTAGCACGGAACGTCGGAAGTATATAAGATGTAGATGATCGGAATGTGCAGAGGGGTATGGTATGCGCAGTCAAATCCAACCAAAAGGAGAGCCAAAGAAACAAGAACAAAAAAATGATATCATATAAACAAATCCCCATCAAAAAACATGTCATCGTCCAAGATTCCCAGCACCCTTCCACCTCTCCTCCCCAGTCCAATACCTCACAACACTCTCCCAAGCCGCAATATCCCCATCGCGCAACAAAGCAGCAACATCCACATTCAACGGCGAATCAGGCTGCGGATCTGTCAATAACTGCTGGATCGCTGTCAACGTCGCTGACAGCGTATACACAGGACTCCAATGCTCAGTCGTCAAAAGCGTCAGACAGATCTCTCCTGTAGTGAATGAAATATTGGGGTGCGATATGCGCGTCGTGAAATGGATTGTTGGCGGGGATAGGGGGTAGTTTGGGGGGATTGCGATGCGGAGATGCCAGAGGCCGTCTGTCGTGTTGTTAGTTGAGGGTTGAGGCTTGAGTCTCGGTCAGGAGAGGGAGAGGGAGTGGAATGGAATGCGGCAGTAGATTAATTCAGAGCAGAAATTGGATTGGGAAGATTGATTGCAACTCACCTTCATACGGCGTCCCATTGACACCCTTCAACACCGCCTCCCAGCGTAGTAAGTCCTCATCATCAACGGGACCGAGGTGGAGCAGCGCCTCGTTCGGGGATTTGCTGTAGTCCTTCAACTCACGGATGAGCCTCTGTGTCGTATTACCCGACGGTCCTTGTGACATGGTGGAATGGGCAGGTTTGTGTGTGTACAGGGAGTGTAGAGTAAAGAAGACCGAGGGAGGCCAGACCGGAGTTGGTATTGGCAATGCCAGAGTCGGTCTGCGGCCGAGGCTGGGGAACCCCATCCATTGCCAATCCACTCCATGTGAATTTGCCCGATCGTCGCTTTTCTGCCATTTGCATTCTCTTGTTTCTCTCTTTGATTTATCGCTATGCGCACTTCTCGTGCTTCCAAAGATACGGCTAAAGTGCTGCAGGCTCTTTCGCCCCCTGCGCGACGTCAGACGCGTGGTTCTGAGCGAAATGTTGGTGTTTTGAGCAGTTTTGCTTACAATGCGAATCCGACTGTGAATGCGCCTGCTGCCCCTACCGTCAAGTCTGAGTCTACATCTGTCCCGCCTAGTCTGTCTGCTGCTCGCAGCGACGATGAGTCTTCTCTCTCCTCAGTGGATACCGCGGATATCGAAGACCTCCTTGAACCGCCCTCGAAACGTCGGAAGCGCAACGCAAGCCGTGCCACCACACCGGTTATAAAGAAGAGTCCTCGGACACCTCGCAATGCAGCTGTGAAGGATGAGCCGGATCAGAAACCAACACCGAAACCTAAAGCGCGACGCTTGCCGGCTAGGAAAACTCGGGATGCCGATGGTTCGGTGAAGATTGAACCACCCTCCAATTGGGAAACGATGTACAACACCGTCAAGAAGATGAGAGAGGACAACCCGACTGCGCCGGTTGATACAATGGGTTGCGCGGAGTTATACTGGCGTGCGTCCTCGCCGCAGGACCGTCGATTCCAGACTCTCATTGCGCTGATGCTTTCCTCCCAAACAAAGGACACCGTCACAGCAGTTGCGATGCAACGGCTACACACAGAGCTAGGGCCTGAGTCTGTTACAACGGGCCCAGATATGAAGCAAGAAGAAGCAGCAGAAGTGAAAATCAAGCTCGAGGACAGCCCAAACGAAGACCAGAAACCACCATCAACATCAACATCAAACCCCCCAGCCAAAGACAAAGACAGCACACTAAACCTAACCAACATCTTGGCGGTGTCCCCCGAAAGACTAAACGCGCTAATTCGCACAGTGGGCTTCCACAACAACAAAACAAAATACATAAAAGCAACCGCCCTCCTCCTCCGCGACAACCACAACGGCGACATCCCGTCCACACCAAACGGCCTAATGGCCCTCCCCGGTGTCGGGCCCAAAATGGCCTATCTCTGTCTCAGCGCTGCGTGGGGTAAACACGAAGGTATAGGCGTTGATGTGCACGTCCACCGCATTACCAATCTGTGGGGGTGGAATAAGACCAAGACGCCTGAGGAGACCAGGATGGCGTTGCAGTCTTGGTTGCCGCACGATAAGTGGCATGAAATTAATAAGTTGCTTGTTGGGCTTGGGCAGACGGTTTGTTTGCCTGTTAAGCGTAGGTGTGGTGATTGTTATCTCGTTGGGAAGGGGCTTTGTATGAGTGAGATTCGGGGGTCGGTCCCTTCGTTCGGGGTTGTTAAGGGGGAGGATGGGGATGAGCCGAAGGTTAAGATTGAGGCTGTTTGAGGATGGCTGTCTTGCTTGTCAATTACGTCTGTGATCATACGGATGAAAGAAAGCTCGAATCGAGTAGACTTTCCATGTTGCATTATATGCAGATATCTATAATCGTTTCCCATTGCACTTCATTGGGCTACATATGACCGTTTTTGCATCTGCTATATCAGACAAGCAACCTGTCATTCGGGATAGTATGAAATAATTGTGACTAAATGGACCTTAGGTTGTGTTTATGTCGACTGCATTGTATAAAAACACTTCGACAACTTGCTTGCATCTCGAATTCTTCTTTCTACAATTTCAATTTTGCAAGGACAACCGTATTCCTAATAGAGTACCTCACATTGATCGATTTAATCCCAATGTAATTGTCACTGGAGAGAAAAATAACAACGCAAACCGTATAGAGCTGACTAACACCAATGATATCATCGGACATAAGCTCTTCAAGCTTCATAACCCCGTCCCTCATCCACGCCCACAACAAACTCCCCCAAGCACCAATTAACCCCACAGAACACGGGGGCAATCATTCGTTCAAAGTCCCCAAACCTTCCAACAAACCACCAACTCCCACCCTCTGACTATAACTGCCACCAACCCAAGAATGCCACCAAAACCAATCCCAATCCCCCACTTCGCAGAAACCCAACTCCAACTCCTCCTATCCGAACACGAAGCCGAAGTCTCCTCCTCAAAATTAGCCAGTACAGCCGCCTCTGTCTCCCCCCAAACCCGTCGAACACTCCAAGCAATCGGCTCCGCACTTACAGGCATCGTCCTCTCACAATGCCGCACAGGTCTAGGCGGCCGCGTTGTTGGCGAGTTCACGCCTGACCCCGCTATTACATCTGAGGAGTGTCGCGCTGCAGATGGCACGCCTAGGTTTTCGGCGCATGGACTGCGGGTTGGGGATGTCGTGCGTGTTAATGATGTTGCTGCTGGTGGGAAGAAGGGTGGAAAGGAGAAGGAGAAGGATAGTGGGAAAGATGGGAAAGGCGAAAAGGGCGGACCGGAGGGAGTTGTTACGAGGACTAGTGAGCGCGCGGTTTGGATTGCGTTTGGGCAGCAGGGTGGTGGGGGACGGTCTAGGGAGGATGACGAGGCTGTTGAGGAGCTTTGGGGGAAGAAGTTGTGGGCGTATGTGTTTGTTCTTGTTCTGGCTTTTCGATTTGGTTTTCGGGTTTTGGTGGTGATGTGAGTGGTGCTGACCTCGTTGCAGGATTAAGCTTGCCAATGACGTTACGTATAGAAGGTATACGGGGGACTGGAAATGACTGTGTGAATGGGTACTGACTTTTACTAGGATGAGGCAGACGATGGAGAAAATGGCCAAGATGGCAGATTCTGATTACTCGCATTTCATGCGTGTTGCATTTGGCCATACCACCCCGCTACGACCAGACGAGGAGGCAGCTGGTCCTGTTGAATTCATTGATCCGACATTGAATGATTCTCAGAAGGATGCTATTCGATTTGCGTTGGCATCGCAGGATATTGCTCTCATTCATGGTCCACCCGGGACTGGAAAAACACATACTTTGATCGAGCTGATTATGCAAATGGTTCAGCGAAAGAAGCGAATTCTCGTGTGTGGTCCATCCAACGTTTCTGTGGATAACATCGTCGAGCGCCTGGCTCCGAATAAGGTCCCTGTTGTTCGCATTGGCCATCCGGCTCGTCTACTTCCTTCGGTCCTTGAGCATTCACTCGAGGTTCTCACTCAGACATCCGATGCTGCGGGTATTGTCAAAGATGTTCGCAAGGAAATTGATGAGAAGCAAGCTAGCATTCGCAAGACACGCTCTGGTCGCGAGAGACGAGGGATCTATGATGATCTAAAGCAGCTCCGGAAGGAGTTCAGAGAGCGCGAGTCTAAATGTGTGGACAACCTAGTCCGTGAGAGTAGCGTGGTTCTGGCGACTCTTCACGGAGCCGGCGGTCACCAACTCAAGAATCAAAAGTTTGATGTTGTGATCATCGATGAAGCAAGTCAAGCACTGGAAGCGCAGTGTTGGATCTCGCTTCTTGGTGCAGAGAAGGTGGTCCTTGCAGGTGATCATCTGCAACTCCCCCCGACTGTCAAATCCACCGGCCAGAAGTCCAAGGAAGCACAGCCCAAGGACCAGACCGAAGATTCAACCTTCGACAAGGAGATGTTGAAGGGTGTCTCCCTTGAACGAACTCTATTCGATCGTCTACTAGCGCTGCACGGTTCCGGCGTCAAACGGATGTTGACTACACAATATCGAATGCATGAGAAAATCATGCGCTTCCCATCCGACGAACTCTACGAGGGGAAGCTGATCGCAGGAGAGGCGGTCAAGTCCCGACTGCTGGTAGACCTGCCCTACGAAGTAGAAGGCACAGACGACACGCAAGAACCGTTAGTTTTCTGGGATACGCAAGGCGGTGATTTCCCCGAGAAAGCGGAGGACGACGAGATGAGCAAGAAGGGTTTGCTTGGCGATAGCAAGAGCAATGAAATGGAGGCTTTGGTTGTTGCACGACATGTGGAAACTCTCGTTGATGCAGGCATCAGGCCCGAGAGCGTTGCCGTCATTACCCCTTACAACGGCCAACTGGCTCTATTATCGCGCATGCTGCGTGAGAAGTACCCAGGCCTGGAACTTGGCAGCGTGGATGGATTCCAAGGTCGAGAGAAAGAAGCCGTTGTAGTGAGCCTGGTGCGCAGCAATGAGCAGCATGAAGTGGGCTTCCTCGGCGAAAAACGACGATTGAACGGTGAGTCCCTTGGTAGTGTACCTGCAGAGAACTCAAAGGGGAACTAATGTTGATGCAGTGGCTATGACGCGACCCAAGAGACACCTATGTATCTGCGGAGATTCAGAGACGATCAGTCGGTAAGTACCTCATGCGCGCTGCGCCCTTGAGTTTGACATTTGATACTGATCTGCATACTCTGTACAGTGGAAGTAGCTTCCTCAAACACTGGATGGACTTCCTCGAGGAAAACGCCGACCTACGTTACCCCGACGCAGGCGACCTACTAGAATAGACCGGCTATTATGACCCAAAGGAGGGACTTCCGCGTTCCAGAAACTCCCCACTTGTCTAGATTTAGAGGTGATCGATTAGATGTGCCGCTAAGCAAGGAAGAACATCCCCGTAGATCTCGCTTGAGTACCCGAAATCAGCTAGGGCTTAGCACACCGTCTCAACCCGAAACCAACTTCCGTGCGAGACATGCGGAAGCGAGGGATATCATGTTTCGGCTGATCATTTGCAGGACTTGCACAGTCTCGAGTCATGGAAATTTGGGGGCGATGATCATTTCCAGCTGATTGGCCCAGCACATTGGGGCGCCTAAGAGAGAGGAGAGAATACGGGCTTTCATGCCACTTGGCTCGTGTAGGCCTCTCCGAAGAACAGTTGCCCGACTCGTCTGTGCACGATGACCATGTGTTTCAGACTGCAAAAACATGAAGCTTGCCCACCGTGCCAACCGTGCCAACCATGCGGGTCTTTTTCCCTTCAAAACGACCGTTCGCTGGCCGCTCCACTTGGTCTCGGAGCCAACACGGCATTTATTTGAAATTGAGACGATCCTGCAGTCTGATTCGGCTTCTGCATTTCTGCTGCAGTTTAGGGTTGGCCGGAAAAGCAAGTTGCCAGCAGCTATTTGCTAGCGCGCCTTCAAAGCGCATCGACGCCACTATCTACTGAATTGAGCTGAGCGCACAATCCTTAAGGCTCTCCCCACCCCGACCTTTTCGGTCCAACATCCACTTCTTACCATTACGACGCGCTTCTGATCTTGGTGACGGTGGGGATAGCTCAAGCTGCAGCTCTTCCCCTTTCTTGTTTCATCCTCTCTTCCTTCACTTGAGATCCCGACATTCGTTTACTACTTCATACCCCCTTTTTTTACTTTCTTTCGTTATCCAGCATTCTACTGGCAACGCCCGGCATTGTGTAGCATTTGTCACTATGAGCCTGATTATATTCTTTGTATGGTCGCGTTTGTATTATCCGATTCCTTCGTTCTTCAACTAACATGCGTTTGATGTAGCCTTCTTGCATAGTCCCACGAGTCGACTAAAACCCCCAGTCTTTATTCGAATCGGATTCCGCTGAGCGGCCCTTTGCATTTGATACCCTGATACCCTTCGGTTTTCTTTTTCTCGACACTCGCTCACACTCATTGCTTTTCGAATTTCTTGCGACGATATATACCCCATGTACCCGTGACGGATTTTGCTTGTAATGATCATCAAATTGGAAATCGCACGGAGTCCTATACATTCACTACTTGTCGCGTGTGACCCTCCGTACCACTATCGCAGATATGTCGAGAAACACTACACGATCAATTGCCAGCACCGGTAGCGAGTCGGTCGGGAGTATTCGACAACGATCCTTGCCCGCTCGCGGAGAGCGTCCGGCCTCGAATCCTGCATCTTACAGCGGAGATAATTCTGACACGGCCCTACCCTCAATGGAATTCCACCCTCCACCGACGATGGCACATCGCAGAACGGGAAGCACTTTGAAAACAGTCATGCGCAAGATCTTCAACCGGAAACGACAAAGCCAGACCGATGGATTGGAAGAGACCCCCTACGAGTCGACATTTTCAACACTACCGGCCAGGAGGTCTGGGCCTACAGGTACTAGGAGACCATTCTTGGCTGTTCCTCCTCCTTTGAACCTGAATTCGAATCGGAGTAGTCCACTATCTGCAGAGAACCTCCAGCTCGCAGAGACCCATCTCTCTCCGCTCTCTCCACTATCTCCAGCCTCCTTGGGCGGGTCCTTACCGGGTGCTATGCCGCCGCGCCGGCGACGTGCGACACTTCCTAGTATTATATTTTCCGATGATGAATCTCGGTTTGCTGTGGCTTCAGCAATCTCTGACCCCCATGAGGATAGAGCTTTCGCGCCAGATCAGCGAAGACATAGTTTGCTCTCGGATAGAATATCAAGGAGCGCAGAGGCCATGCGCGAACTCGAGCAACCGCCGCCAGTCCCTGCTTGGTCACCTCCGCCGCCAGTCGATGCTTGGCCACCGCGCACAACATCCGCTCCAGGTTCAACCTCCCAGTCAAGATCCCCACAGGGTGAAAGCTCCAACAGCGGTCAGTCTGCCAGACCATCCACTGGCACTACCGTAACAAGTGTGACTCGAGACTCTGCTGCCCCTTCCCTAATTAGCTCCGACCAACGCCCTGAGCCGGTTACTACACCGCCGAATGTGGCCAGTTTCGTCAACACTATGCAACAGGACGACAGCGTCACCCTAGACCAGCGCCTGACCACCCTGGAGGTGAAGATGATTGACCTAGAATTCGCCATTGCACGAATGCAAACATCTCCCACAGACAGCTCCATGGACAAGGCCTCTCGTCCAAGACCTCTCCAACATGCAGACTCATTCCCACCCCAAACACACAATAAATCACCAAGGCTCCGACCTGCAACAGACAGCAGTGACTCCCCAAGTCCTCTCCCTAACATCGATTACCGCCCTTCGAGCACGAGCACAATCCGCCAAGACACCTTGAACGCGCGGACGCTCCGCCCCGCCCCATCAGCAACCTCCCTATCGGACTACCAGGGTGTCTCAATTGAGCAATACAGCACACTGGTCACGCTACTCCGACGTGAGCAGACCGCCCGCAGGAACCTGGAAAGCCAAGTCACTGGTTTGAGAGACGATATCCGTCATCTGCAGCGTGCAGCCCTCGAGTCTATACAGGCAGGCACGATGCAGCCAGCACATACAATGGATTCAGAGGAGTTCATCCGCTTCCGCCGCGCTCTCGATGACTCGGGGACTTCTTCACCTCTACGCTCAGATGATAAACAGTCCACCATCGACAGTGACCCTGACTGGGATCGATCGGATATCTACTCCCGCGATGATCCATTCGGACATCCCAAATGGGAGCGTCAGCGGATTGTGACAGCTCCCATGATTTGATCCATTTTGTTCTACTTTTTACTATTCCACGCGCCCCTGGAACGTTCACCAGGTCTTCAATCCCTTTCCTACAATACCATGCCACTGCACTCCTTTTCATTTCCAGTGGCATCTACATACGCGACCGGATCGCGGCACCGCGCTGAGCAACATGTCAAGTGATATATCATCATGTGCTAGCACGCGCATTTTATGAGACCGACACATTGAAAGCATATCTCGCAATTGGACGAGTGATGTGATGACTGGCGCTGTTCTGTACCTATCTTCCAATTTTAATTTCAATTATTTCTCCATTCACATTCACATCCAATAGTTTTGTTACTTGCAGATTCAGTCCTTTGCCCCTTTATCAAAGTCTCAGCCAAAAGGAAAAAACATAAAAGTAAAATAAAAAGTTAAAAAAAGCAAATGTCCCGCGCTAGGAGTGCAGATCGGCGCCACCGCGGGGGACGTGACTGACAGATGTCCAATTTCCAAAAGTACAATCAGGGCATTGTAAGTAACCTATCTTACCCCTCTATCCAACCTACAGTGGAAAATGGTGGCGCTATAAGCCGATCTTATATCCCCTTCTATCAATCTATATGTAGATGTAAAACCCTAAACTTAATCCCATCAAGCAAAACCGGCAATTCGGCAACAAGGAACAAGGAACAACGGCCTATATTTACAACTAAAATCGCTAAAACAAACCCCAATCCTCAACTCTCAATCCAACCCCAAACCCAAACCCAACCTCCCATCCAAAAATGCCACCCAGACCAACAATAACAATAATAGGCGGCGGAATAAGCGGCCTAGTCCTAGCAACAGGTCTGCTCCGCCGCGGAATCCCAATAAAAATCTACGAAGCAGCCCCCTCCTTCGGCGAAATAGGACTGGGCCTCTCCCTCGGCCCAGCCGCCCACCGCGCAATGCCCCTAATCGACCCCCAGATCCGAGAAATATACGACAACCTCGTTACCACTCATGCTGATAGTCCGGGCTATGAATCGTTCCGCGAGACGTGGTTTGAGTTTATCTGGGCTGGTGGTGTTAACGAGGGTAGCTTGTTGATGGATCTTAAGGCTTTGCCGTCTGGTCAGACGGCGGTGCGGAGGGCCGATTTTTTGAAGGAGCTCGTTGGGCTGATTCCGGATGGTGTTGTGCGGTTTGGGAAGAGGCTTATTGAGTTGACGGAGATTGAGGGCGATGGGGTTGGGCCGGGAGGTGGTGGGATTAGGCTTGTGTTTGAGGATGGGACGGTTGAGGTTGCTGACGTTGTTGTTGGCTGTGATGGGATTAAGTCCAAGGTTAAGGAGGCTATGTTGCCTGAGGAGTCGATGCCTGCGCAGCCTAGGTATAGTGGAATGTATGGGTATCGGGCTGTTCTTGATATGGAGGATATGGTTGAGGCTGTTGGGGATCGGCGGGCTAGGGTTTCGACGCTTTATATTGGGAAGGGGGGTTATGGGATCTCGTATCCTATTATGAGGGCGAAGAAGGTTAACGTTGGGTTTTATGTTTTGAGTGAGGAGTGGGAGGGCGAGAGTTGGGTTCGTCCGGCTAAGAGGGAGGATATGGAGAGAGATGCTGGGGGGATGGGGAGATTTGTGCAGGCGCTTATTGAGGTGTGTATTGTATCCTTCTTCGCTGGGTGGATGGTGAGATATTTACCTTGTCTCTTTAGCGCATGCCTGATCCTTCTCAGTGGGCTATCTTTGAACATCCTCCTTTATCTACATATACCCGGTCTCGAATTGCCATTCTTGGTGATGCGGCGCATGCTTCGACGCCGCATCAAGGTGCTGGTGCGGGACAGGCGATTGAAGATGCGCATGTTCTGGCTGAGCTGCTAGATGATTCCCGAGTGGATTCGGTACAAGGCATCATGGCTGCTTTCAAGGCATATGACGAGATTCGAAGACCTCGCAGTCAGAGAGTCGTTACTACCAGCAAGGAAAATGCCTATTTGTTTTCATTGTGTTTGGATGGAATCGAGGATGATGCGGAAAAGTTGAAGGAAACACTCCAGGAGCGATCTCGGTGGCTCTGGGACCTGGATGTTGAGGGTCAAGTGGAGCGAGCGAGGGAAAGAATGAGTGAATATTTGCTGGCTCAATGAAAAATGAAGCTATCTGAGATACGGTGTCTCATAATACCTTGAGACTGCAATTCGGGATTCTGTAGTGATGGATCAACACCATTGACCGCATATTGGGACTGTTGACCTGTAAAGTTGAAATAAACATTGCTTGTTGTAAAGTAGTATGCCGCCCGTAGAATCGTTACAAATATTTTGACATGATATAATATACAATAGATCGCCTCTCCCAAATGGTTCCAAGGATATGTTGGTCATTCGTCAGCTGGCAAAACAGTGACCTGATAATCTTGTGTGCTCGTAGTCGAGAGATTGCGTCGTTTCAGCGTCCGATCTTGATCAAAATAATCTTCGTACTGTTTGAGTTCACTCGGGCTGAGCAGTCCGGTCTGCGCAGGCGATTTAGGATTGACTTTTTGGGCTCCCGGGTTGGTGTATATAGCTTCGCAGGTCTTTATACGTAACGGAGCTCGGGGACGTTCGATTTCGAACGGGAAAGCGGAAGAATTCCGTCTTGCTGTGTCCCCGCGGTTATCGCCTGGATTTTGGAGGTGGGACGGCGACAGATAGGAGGAGCGGCAGGGAGATGAACAGAATAAACGTCCAGACGTCTTTCCATTGCACGCTGGGCACTTTTCGAACAAGGAGGACATTTTTTGATGTAAGCAAATATATGTAAGTATAGGGAGGTATAAGAAGGTTGAATATTAATATAAAGTTGTGCCTCGAGAAATTAACCCCGGACCCTGGTCATCCCCAGCTTAAATGTTTCTGATCTACCATCCAGCATCTTGCTTGGAAATCGATCGAATTCAATCGGAACCGATTTACGGCCGGTGCCACAGATTGCAAGAAAGTCGATGACAATCACTCAATCTTGGCCGATGCAGGTTCACAGGACCCATGGTTCGAACATGAGTGTCAGGTAAACCTTAAAATGAAATGAAACTTAAAAAATGAAATAAAAAGCAAAAAAAGGATGCCCTCGTCCAGGTTCGAACTGGAGACCTTCGGATGTCAATCTTGTTACCAAGAATGTCATAAGAAAGGATATATGAGACCGACGTCATAACCAACTAGACCACGAAGGCTTGTATAATAAATTCGAGGCTTCGGGAGATTCATGACACTGTCACTACTTCCATTACTTAGGATCAGAAAGGTGTAACTCCTACTATGGTATCCTTCGTCATATAACCCTTATTTAACACTTGGATGACTTACACGGACTGATCCTATTACATGATAGCGTAATACGCAGAATTGTACAAAATTCCGCCAATAACATGTCTAATTCTCTAAGAGTCTCGCAGAGGTTTCCTTCTAGACCAACGAAACCTGAATTTTGATGCTACGTTACCCGGTTCACGCCAACATGGTTGATTTGACTTGGGCTTAATAGCTATGGTGCGAGATCGCACTATTATCTAAACCGGCTGAAAAGAAGTGAACCTGAAAAGATATTGAGGCTGATATTGGCCTTCCGGATGCAGAAGCTGGGGCTGAAACGGTTTCGGTGATTATGATTGGTTCATGTCAAGGGTCTGTTTGCATCTAGAAACAGCTCGTATTTAAAGTTAAGTGCATATACATCTGATTGGCTGTTTCGCACGTATCTGATTGGCTGCTTGTCTCTTCCGATGCAGATCCATTCTCTACTGTTTGCCGCATTTAACCTGATATACCAGCAGAAAGAACACCAATCGGCTTGGAAAGGGTATCGGTAGGTTTAAATTTCATTTGTGGAAGCTCCTATAACTGAATACCCAGAATATCAAAGGTGTAGATGAGCGTTGGGGGGAAGATGCGCTCGGAACACGGGGCTGAGCTCTGGCTGAGCTCTGGAACACGGAGGCTGAGCTTGGCCTGCAGCCCTTGGGACGCCTGAATCCCCAGAAAATCGATACAAAAGTCTCTCAATGCGGTATTCTTCCTTGTTTTCAAAAAGCAAAACCAGACTATCAAGCACCCGGCCATTGAATTCTCGACATGTCTCGCAAGGTTGATCAATTGCCGATGCCGGCAGAGGCTCGAAAAATGAAGGTCATTGTAGCCAGTCCTAGCCGGTATGAGGGAAATGATTCACCCATTTTGGCAAAAAACTGATCCTTATTGGTTAGATCCGGTACCCTGGGTCTCTATAGAGCAATGCAAATTCTGGGGTTCAAACCATATCATCTCTATGAGTGCATTGCCGTTCACGGCTTGCCACACATGCAGGTTTTCAACGAGGCAATCGTAGCCCAGTATAATCGAATAGCTGGGGTCAAGAAATTCACTCAGAGCGATTTTGAGAACTGGCTCGGGGACTATGATGTACGTCGGCTTGTGCCTTTTTCGCGAAGTATACAATATGAGCATTAGGCTGATACCATGCAGTGTCTCATCGAGGTGCCGAGCTATATGGGAATGGATCTAATTCAAGCATATCTGAAGGATCCCGATGTGAAGTTTATCCTCACTGAACGAGATCCAGACAAGTGGGTGGCCTCGGTCAACAACACGGCAGGGGGCGTGGCCAACATGGCACGGCAGTTTCCGTTTTCGATCCTCAAATATTTTGATGCCACGCTTCACGAGTTTCTCTATCTGAATGAAATCGCTTATCGGGCTCTATCCGGTTGCACACTGCTCGATGGCCCAGATAACAGGGAGAACCTCCGTCAGTACTACATTGACTAGTATGTATTTCCAACGCTCGTAATTCGAATAGTATGGGACTAACAGCTCGCGCAGCATCAAAATGGCAAAAGAGACAATTCCCTCAGACCGTCTATGTCTTATTCAACTCGAGGACGGTCTCGATTGGGAAAGTATCTGTCCTTTTCTTGGTCTTCCAGTTCCAGAGGAGCCTTACCCCGATCGCAACGAACCTGAGAAGTTTCAGGCTATGGTCCAAAACTTCCTTCAGCCCAAGATTATGTCTTCAATTATGAGACTCAGCGCCGTGGCTATGCCAGTAGTGGGCATTCTTGGATGGGCTGCTGTCAGATATGCACGGTTTTTTGTGGCTTGAGTGAGACGTCAGCCTGTCAGCATTTAGATGCGGGATCAAGTAGGCAGTCAATTTTTGTTCATACCCTCCATGTATATGAGAGATTTTATAAAGGCTTTCGAAATAATCACAACGAAACAACAAGAATTTAGTTCAAGTATAGCCGAGCCTCGCTTTCCATAGCCCGCGTGGTCCATGTATAACCCCGCTGAGCGTGGAGCTACCCCTCAACACCGGGATTGGCGACTGCCTAGGCATCAGCTCCTTCTTGTTTCAGCCTCGGGCATCATCGTGGAATTAGACCTGCGGGAAATGAAGATATATTCTCGAGCGCCCGATTTCTCGTATCAACTATCTAACCATGGCAACCATCCAAATTTCAGACGACTCTTTGAGCCTCCTTCAAGATAAAGTTGTCTTGATTACCGGTATTTAAAGCTCTCACTATATTTCAGAACTCAAACTCTAACAAAAATAGGCGGCTCATCTGGAATCGGAAGAGCTACTGTGGAACTATGCCTCAAGCACGGTGCCACTGTCATCGCCAGCGATATCAACCCTCCCCAAGCCGACTTTGAAGCAACAGACAAGTTCAAATTTGTGAAAGTCGATGTTACCTCATGGGAAAGTCTCCACAATGCATTCGTTCAAGCCGAGAAATGGTTCGGTCGAATCGACCATGTTTTCGCCAACGCAGGCGTGTCAACAACAACCGATTTCCTAGATGGCAAGCTTGATGATAATGGCGAACTTGCACCTCCTAACTTACGCACAATCAACGTTAATCTCATTGGTGTCCTCAACACCGTGCATCTTGCTGCGCACTATATCCAGAAGCACTCGACCCACCGTGCGGAAGGCGAACTTGGAAGTATAGTCGTCACCGCATCTACATCGTCTTTCCAAAATTTCAGTGCTGGCGACTATACTGTTACCAAACATGGTGTTTTGGGAATCATCCGTGGGCTCGAGCATCAAATTGAGGGGAAGGTGCGACTAAACGCTGTTGCACCGTCCTGGACTGCAACGGGGATGATACCGTCGGATTTCATTGAATCTCTCGGCGTTGGAGTCCAAACACCGGAAGCTGTAGCCCGAAGTGTGGCTCTATTGTTTACTGACCAGCAGCGTCATTCTGAGGTTATTTACAGCTGGGATGGGAAGTATCAAGAGGTCAATAAGGCAAAGGGTGGGTTGCTTGATGCTTCGGAGAAACTTTTGGTAAATATAGCCAACGAGGAAACGGTTATGAGGAAGCTTAGGAGTTAATCGTTCAAAGGCAGGGTTAAGAGTGCTATGTACTCTGTGGATTGAGAAGTGATACTGGGTTCAACATACTCTTTTTCTTTCTTATTGTACATGGGTGTCCTTAGCTCTCCTAAATGCATCACTCGTGTACTTCGTAGACCTCGGAGCATATAGTTCCCCGCCTTCTCCGCATCTTGGTTTGGCGCATGATTCATGTTAGCCGTGAGTGTAAAGTTGCCTCGGGAGACATGACTCTCCTCTCTCCACTATGGCTTGTAGTGAGATTTCAATCTAACTGAGACTGCTCAACTTGTTTCTATAATTCCATAATGGAAGGGTTTTCACTGCAATACCCATCGGATCGTGAACTGACCGGCGGCGATTTGTTGGCTCAGTCCCTGAAACAGGTCGGTGTCGAGGTCGCCTTTGGACTCCATGGTGGACATCTCGATGCATTCCTCATGGGATGCGAGTCCATCGGCATTCGCCTCGTCGACACCAGACATGAAACCGTCGCCGTGCAGGCAGCTGAGGGATATTCTCGAATCAGCATGAAGCTGGGTGTTTGCTTTGTTACTGCCAATAGCGGGTCAGCTCTTTCCATCGCTTTATCATTTCTTTTAGGTCCTTTAGCTTACTAGAATGTAGCTTCTCCAACGGGATTCCCGGATTGGCCACGGCATACAGCGATCGAAGTCCCATCCTCTGTATAACTTCGTCTCCACCACTGCGGGATACAGAGAACAACTCACTCCAAGGTTCCATCGACCAAGTTGTCGCTGCCCGACCTTTCACAAAATTCGCGCATAGAGTTTTGGCACCTGAGGAGTGTCCAAGGATCGTATCGCATGCACTCCGGGTTGCACAGTCCGGTGCTCCGGGTAGACAAACCTATGCCATAGCCAGTTACTCGCGAGACTAATAACTATCCAACAGGGCCTGTGCTGCTCGATTTCCCTATCGATGTGCTATTTTCGCCCGTTCATGCCAAGCTCATAGCCTGGGGGTCGATCGCCTCGCCGCCCATGTTTCGTCCGGGTCCTCATGAAGAGGCTATTAAGGTGGCCGTCGAGCTTCTAGCCATTTCCAAACGACCGGTAATCATAACTGGGACTGGTGCAAAGCATCCCCATGTGAGTCTTCTTAATGCTTGTTGGACCGTCATTCTAATCCACGGTCAGACACGAGAAGTGATTAACCAATTTGCCGAAACTTGCAATATTCCCATTTTCAACACATCCAAATACGCATCGTTCATTCCCAAGTCTGCTATGCTTAGCAAGGGCACAGCTGGGAATCTAGCTAAACTGTCATTGCTACAAATCCCAACTCCGGACCTCGTCATCCTTTTGGGTGCACGTACAGGAATGTTCCTAGGCGGCCGAAGTGGCGCCATAATTCCAAACGAAGGCTGCAAGCTGCTGCAAGTCGATTGTGACGGTAGCGAGATTGGTCGGTCCCTCCCAGTTGACCTAGGTATTATCTCGGATGTCGACGCATTTGTGAGTGCAATGAACAGGCAGGTTACAGATGCTTTCCAGAGTGTGATCGATAAATCTTGGGTCCAGTCACTTCTTAGCCTTGACTCCCTAGAGCCACCGTTTGAGAAAGAGCCCACAGAAAATGCATCAGGAATCCTCCACCCATACCATGCAATGAAGGAGGTAATGTCCGCCATCGAGCCAGGAAGTATTATAGTTCTGGATGGTGGTGAGGCCTCTGCATGGGCAGGAGACCTTGTCTTGCACTCCAAGCCCAGTGTTGTCCTTACAGCCACGGGATATCTTGGGTTTTTAGGTAATGGATTTGGGTATTCCCTAGGCTGTGCCATAGCGGATCCTGATCGCAGGGTCATCAACATACAAGGAGACGGGTCTGCTGGGTTTCATTTGATGGAGCTTGACACGTACAAGAGGTTCAACCTGAATATAATGACAGTTGTTGTAAACAACTCGAGTTGGGGTATGAGCTTCAACGGTCAGGATATCATCTACGGGTCCACGAACCCAGGTCGTCCCATCAGTGCTCTCAGCTCGGCAACCGAGTATGATGTGGTGGCTAAAGGACTGCAGAATTCAGCCGCGAGGGTCTCACGTCTCTCGGAGATTCGAAGCACAGTTACCAATCTCCAGAGTCAGGTTGGCCCCAGCCTTCTGAGCCTCATTGTTGATCGAAAACCTGTTCATCCTATTACCACTGCAATGGTTGGATTGACGGATGATCCACACTCGGTTGTGGTGCCTTATTATGATAATATCCCGCGAGCATACTATAACCTATAGCATGAAGAGGCTAAGACCTATATCATTCTGTCCTGGGTTGTATGTAACCGTTGTGCCTTCGCTATTTATTTCTATTCAGCGACTTTCATTTAGGTCTACCTTGGCTCAATAGGCTAGAAGACTTTGGATTCGTGAATGCAGGACTTATAGACGTGACGAATTTCTGCCCTTTAGGTTAGACCTGGTTCTTCTTCTTAGGGACAACCGGCCTTATGGCTTTCTAACGGGAAGTATTAATGAAAGGCTGCATGCATTTCTTGCCAACAGAGGGATCAAGCGTTGTTTGCATGTGGATGGTTTCGATGTTAGCTCTCCAAGCCTTGCGAGAATATTGAAAACGCAACATCATTGGAGGTAACAATACTTCTAGAGTTCGATGGATATAATAACTGCCCAGGGCCTTGTGGTTATCAGGATAACAGCTCTTTGGGGATGAGAATATTTCCAGACAGACATCCATGGTTTGGTGATTATGGAAGGGGTAGTCTGTAGCAATATAAAGCTGCAGCTGAACAATGTGTTTATTTAATCCTCCGGGAGAAAGGCGATGTAGTTCTTGGATCAACGTTATTTTATGCATATCAAGGGGATTTAAATATGAATAAAATTAGAAAAGCCCGGGCGAAATATAAATCTTAAAATTCTTGTGCATTCATGAAAGGGTATTAAAATATACACATAACAGAAATAATCCCACAATATAAAAAAGGCCGAACTAGAATCAATCCCACTACCGACCAGTAGTACATCAAATAAACTGTAAGGTATGGAAACATGAACCATAAAAGAAAAGAAAAAGCCGAGTTCAGCAATATCCGGAACAGTAACGGTAAGTTATACAACCATACCCGACACCACCACATACTCACTCTCACTCTCAAGCTGGAGTTCAAGTGTTCGACAAATCAAGACCAGTCTCCTTAAGCGCCTGATAAACATTCAGGTTAACAGTCAAGTTATTCGCCGCGAGAGCCTTGGTGAAGTAATCCAGATTCTTCCCGTGATAAACGCTGGAATTGCCGGTGATCTGGAAAGGAACAATGCCATCTTTGTATGGGTTATCGCTTGAAGCAAACATAGTAAGGATAGCGGCTTGGTTGACGTTTGCTAGCATAGGGATGGTATTGTTTCCTGGTTTGAGGACTAGGTCGTTGAGATAGGTTTGGCCCATTGCTTTGCCGTCAACGGCAAGGTTGAGGGTTAGGTTTCCCTGTTTCGTGTGTTAGTACTAGCCCAAGTATCATATCAAGAGAAGAGTTGGGATCGGTGTGTTTGGGATTGAATGAACGAACCATTGAGATAGTCATGACAGAGGGGTTCGGAATGTAAACCGTTCCGTTCATGTTATATCCGTTCACAGCGGGTATCATAATGTGGAAATCGGGGACAGCGAAGCCCTCGAGTTTATTCAATCCTGTGCATTGGAGCCATGTCAGTCAATCTCGACCCCAAAACATAAACTCGAAACCAAACTTACCCTTCATAACAACAGTCTTGTTATAAGTAACCGTCGTCTTAGGCAAACCCCCCTGCTTCAACCCAGGAGTCCCATAAATATTCAACGAAACTTCCTCATTCAACATAACAGCCGTAGCATAATCCCCGAATGCGCCAGCATCGCTTAGATCAACCTTCTGCTCAACGTGGATCTCAACACCGTCAACAGACTTGACGCCGGGCACACGCACAGTGGTGAAAGGAGCCGCAGCGCCGAGCAGGGAGACTGCCGCATCGAACTCATAGATCTGCGGGTGGTAGGGGCTCTTCGAGCCGAGGACTTGAGTCTGGTTCAGCTGGAAAGAATCCGGAGTTGGGTCGCTGATGACCATCTCTGTGATGTCGAGGGTTGAGTCGTTAACGGCATCTTGGGCGATTTTGGGGTAGGCGACGTAGACGCTGGATGGGGTTGTGTGTGGTTAGTTTTATGTTTGGGGCTGTGGTTGGCCAAGGCGACAAGGAAAGACAAGAATCAAGGGATGTTGGTGTGGATGTGGGGTTGGGGTTGGTGCATGGGCTTGGCGGTTATGTTACTTACACTGGCAGCGAGATCACCAGTACGCAGATCACGAAGACGATGAGATGCGCCCACCAGAATCGCTTAAAGTGCGCGCCGACTCGTGCACCGAAGGATTGTTTGGCTGGGGCGACACCACCTGCGCCTGTTTCGGCTTCTTCCACGACTTGGGTCTTTGTGACAGACATTTTGTCGAGTCTTGGGGGATGTGTGTTAGTAGGAGGAAGAGTCAATTGTCAACAAGATGTTGAGTTGACTTGGATATGACAGAACTTACCAAGTCACGCACCACAAGTAAGGGGGAACGAAAAGGAAAGGGACAACAAAAGAGTGAAAATAGAAAAACGGCAAGCGTAGATGAAGTAGTATCTTATACTAAATGGGGCTGCATGTCCGAAGTCGTTAAAAAGCAAGCCGAGAACGCCCTTGGAAGGGTCTATCACATGTGCAATCTTAACAAAGGGGACAACGGTGGCGGATAGACCTTTTGCTATGCATAGAATAGATTAATACAGTCCAAGATTAGCCAAGTGTAGTTCCTGGGGAACTCCGGAGTTCCGCTGTGGAGAGAAGCTGGAGAAATGGGGTCTAAATCTGGAGGATCGACGATAAAATCTAGGGATGTTTCAGAAGGACACATTGAAAAAGGAACATATGAAACCCAAATGGGCCGAGGTGAGGTTGAGACGAGAATCTCATTTTACGCCCAAATCAACTAGTCGTTTGGGCGTTGTGCGACAGCACATATGGGAACTGGATGGTTGCACTGGCTCAGAAATCCTGCAAGAGGATAACAGTCCCATTGGCTGCTGGTGAAACTAGCAGCTTAGACGGCGCATGCCAAGCAGGGAGGCGACCCCAAGATGCAAGGAGAGGCCCCGTATTGAGCTTGGGAAACGAATTGGCCCCGGGACCTGTGGCGTTTCTAGAGGGACGCCAGTATTCTTTGGGGAAGTGTCAAGCCCATTTGTTGCGCTCTAAGCACGTTTGGGGTCAATCCCCGGGGCCGAGCCAGGGTTAGGTGAGGGGTCAAAGTCCGGGGTCAGCTGAGTTGATCGGCTCTATATTCTTATTTATATATCTACGCATGTGAATATTGCTAATGCCAATGGCTATACGAGAAGGTAGAGATCGCGTCTTAATTCTGGCATGAGTTCATGGGTCGCGCTAGTAGCGCCAGCCGAAAGAGAAGTAAATAATGATGGGATCCAAAAGGGAAAAAAAAGGTAAGGGGGGATCAAGTCCGCCAGAAGATATGGCCAAGAAGAGAAATGGCAAAAGAATCAGACAGTGAAAAGGGAACAAAAATGATGGGGAGAAATAAAGGGTATCCACGAAGAATTGAAGTATTAAGCCTGCGAGATAGAGGGACGGAATTTATTTCCAGTCCAACGCGCTCGAAAACAGCTGCCCAGGCGGCTCGGATGAAATGGAAAGATGCAAAGAAAGGTGAAAATGACAAAGTAAATATGAGAAGAGAAAGGAATGTAAGAAACGAAAACTCGGAAAAGGCTGGCGAAAGCAAAAAGAAAATCGGCTCAAAACGCTCCAAGCACTTTGCAAGATGCAAGATGGATGGTTGCTGCATAACAGCCCCGGTAACGATTGAAGCTAAAAAGAGAAATGAAAGGACAGAGCCAAGCAGCCTACGCCTCTGGGACGATAGATTTCTTCCGCTGGAAGATACTGCGAGTACGCGACTTGCTTCGTGGTTTCTTATCCTTCTCGCCGCTAGCATTTCGGCCGCGGGAGCGTGGGTTGGCTTCGGCCTCAGCCATGTATTTGTCTTTGTAGATCCTGAAACAATGTGTTAGTGACATCCGAGTAATGGATCGTGTTTCCTGTGACGTACCAGCTGTTTCCAACCATGCTCATACCCTTGGACTCAGCCTGACGGTAAAACCGCGCAGCCTTCTTCATGTCCTTCTTACAGCCAACACCCTCCGCATAGCAGAATCCAGCTTCGGCCATGGCATCGACATCGCCCCATTGACCGGCAATCTCGAAGCAGCGCAGGGCAAGAGACTTGTCCTGCTCAATACCCCAGCCATTCAAATGACTGACGCCCAGCTCGTAAATGCTCAGAGCAAATTGCGCTCGATATGCCTTTTGCAGCTCCTTTGCCTTGGAAGCGCCAGGAGCATCGGGATTGGCGAGCATTTCCAAACCGACAGAATCCACGGCTTTGCGTAACCATCGTACACCCTCCTGCTGATTAGACCGCATGCCCCAGCCGTGCCGACAGGCCAGCGCATAAAGCAGCATTCCCGTTGGGTGATTCTGTTTCGCGGCAACCCGCAGGTGATAGGTCGATTCACTCAATGACCCCTTCTCGTGGCATTCGATACCCTTGGCTACGTGGTCATCAGCCGTGAGGCCAGATGCCGTCACCTGGGTGGTAGCAGTCTGGGGTCGCATGGTGCTAGCTGAATCGGCAGAAGATACAGTTTCATCCTTCTCGTTTGTCGTTGGTCGGGTCGTTTCAGCAGAGGGCCGTGGCACCACCGGCCCTAGCTTTTTCTCTGTCTTCTTCTCTACCGAAGTAGGCACAGGCGGGGGTGGTGGAACTCGTTCAGACTTGGGTGTTTGAGGCTGAGGCGTAGTAGAGGCTGGAACTTCGTGCATGGAATGAGGCTTAGGTGAGTGGTCGAATTCAGGGCGCGGAGAAGGCGAAGGTGTCCGTGTCGTCCGGGGTGGTTCCTCTGAGTTCCGAGGAGGCGTCTTCTCAAACAATGGCTCTGACCACTCGAAATGGGGTGTTTGCAAGCCCGCAAACACCACTGAATCTCTGGAAATTCCCCGGCCACGGGGGAGCGAATAACTAGCATATGTGTAGGATGACACAGCAGAAAGCGGGTCGCCTTCACCAGGAGGGGCTTTGTCTGCTTCTTCAGTCGCCAATGGCAGGAGGATGGGAGTCGGCTTGCTGCGCCGCTGCATCTGGTTGGGTTGGTGGGCAATGGTGTGCTCGGAAACCGTTGAAGTCCCAGGGGCAGACTGGGCAGACAAGCTCGTGCTGGAGCGACTGAGAGGCCGGGAGAAATTGAAAGAAGGGCGCGGCAGATGGTGGTTCCCCGTATTCGAGGTTTCCGAGCTCATAGATGGTGATCGCGGGTGTGGTCTGGTGGGATACGTTGACCCGGGGGAATACGGCAATGACACCGCACTTCCAGATGACATCTTGCGAGGCTTAGAGAACGTCGATCCGCCGTTGGAGCTGCTGTAGTCGTCATCAGAGCTCTCGGGGTGTGCAACTTTGGTACTGCTGGTCGATTGCGAGTGCGGCGACACTGGTGGTGCCAAAGTCCGGGGGATGTGCAGGCGCGATCCGGAGTCGGTCGATGAGCCTCGTGGTTCTGTCAATGCAACACCAACAGACGCACCCTCCGCTCCGCTCGCAAGCGACCCATCCTCCTCGGGGGATTCAGCACGGGGCATCCCAAACACCTGCGGGCTGGACTGGAGCATCGATGTCCGGGGCGTCGTAGTGTCATCTTCCCAAACGCTAGCATCGGTGCTAGCATTGGAAACCGAACTGAAGCGTGGGTGTTCGGAAACAGGGCGATACTTGGGCTCTTCGAATTCTGGGAGGCCTTTCTGCGTGGGTTTGCGGGTGAGCTCAGTGGTTGGCTCGCCGAGGTCGGTGCGACGTTCGGTAGATGAATTAGAGCGGTAGAAGCCCGGGCGGCCTTGTGAAAGCGACCGAGCCACGCTAGATGGTGGCAGCCGGCTCATGCGTCGGTCTCCGCGGCGGGACTCGTCGAGCTGTCGGGCCAGGAAGCGGCCCTGGGCGGCGAAGGCATCGAGGGGGGAGAGGGCGGGAGGAACTTCACCGTCGAAGTGCGCTACCCGCGGCGAGGGCATGCCACTCCGTAGGGTGTCGTGGGATGTCGAGCGATATTCGCTCAGTTTCCCACGGAAATCCATGATCACGGGGTATCGAGGGGCCGGATTTGTTTATCCGCAACGGTTGTCGGGGTGAGTCTCACGATCAGATCATTCCAGAGTCGGATCGGAGGAATAAGACACAAAGGGCGGGGGAGGCGAAGCTTAAGCCGAAGGAATGACAGCCCTAGAGATGAAGAAGGGTAGAAAGGAGAGACAAGGGGAAAAAACGGAAAGCCCTGACGATCACAATGGGAAACGACACGATGACAACGTAAATAGAGCGTCCCGTGCAAAGCTCCACTAGGTCTCGACATTCATCCAAGGGATCTCAGGGGGAGTTTTCTACACCTTCAGGGGGCCGCCAAGAATTGTAATTGACGCCATCTGGGGACTGCATTGTACTGCTTCCATTGGCTAATTCAGTTTTTCACTATTGACTACTCCTGTATTTGGATATTTCGTGCGTGAAGTGATTTGTTATGACCCGCAATCTTCTAGAATTTCTGGTCTCCCCACACGGGTTTCATGGTCCTCTTCTTTGGCCTATGGGAGAATTCATCCTGGGTCTCTGTATATGCTGCCCAATTATATTGGACAAACTGACAATATTTTGAGAAACAGGAGACACATTGACAAAACAATAATCATGAAATTGGGATAATAATAGGGATAAGTCTATGTGGGACCGTTGGGGTAGAATGGCATTGTTCTAAAAGTCCAGTAAGCCAAATATCCATATTCAAAAAGTTCCAGAAATTCTATGTCAGCGAGACTGAATCACTTCCAACTGAGGGTACACACTAACTGTTACCGTTTGCTGATCAGCGCAAAGATCCCCACCATGTTTCATGATACAACGCTGGTCTAGCCTAGTCGTTGTTCCAGATATGCAGATCATAAGATAGTTGCTCACCTACGTGTGTATCAAGATATTGAATTCTATCAGTCTTATTGTAGATCCATGTGTCAACCTGGAGCTAATCATAGACAAGATTCCCTTGTTATTCACCCTGGAGTACGTATCTAGTCTACGACTGCCAAGCCAAATATGCCGTGCCTGCTGGACCCATCCAAGGATCTGCAGATGACGTGAGGCATGTCCATTATGATACTGAACAATGTTATTCGTCTAGAGGCTACACATATACATGTCCTAGATAGAGATCTATGTACCAGATATAAATAAATCTCCCTGCCTGAGGCCGATCGGGTATTCTACCATGGAATGTGCATCCATGTGTCCACGGATGCCAGTTCTCTCAGCCAATAAACAGCATCCTAGTGGAGCAGCCTTTCCGTTCTTAATTTGGCTCTGGGAGGGTCGCGTTTTGCTTCTTCTTCTTCTCTCTCCACTGTGTCTCTACATACTTTCAATGCTTTTTCAATGTGATCATGCAATGCATCTGAAACCCACACTGTACAGTAGCTGATCAGTACATTTATTCTCTTAGCATAATCTCCACAGCCCTACGGAGGTCAAAACGCTAATAATCGGACAATCTTAAATCCCGATCTCACTCTTAATACGAACACAGACCATTCCATGACTCGAGCCTAGAGCTGGCTGATTCTGACTCTGTCTCTGATTCACCACTTCACTCTTTCGGTACGTACCGCCGAAGCCAGTGGGGCAAATGGACCTAAGACTAAGGCTAAGAGCCAAGTTCATGCACCACCTACTCTTGTCGTCGTAACCGAGCCCTACCACAGGCGGCCGAGCTTGCATTCACCTGGAGCTGCAGTGCAACCTATCCCCTCCCCTAAACCCGAACGAGCGATAGCTTGCAGCGGGAAGCACACTGAAGTCATGTAGACCGGATCCGGCCACAACCGGCGAGTATACAGAAAAATAGAAAATAAAAAAAAGAAGAAAAAATCATGCTCTCCATTTTTCGTATGTACCTTTTTGCTTCCTCTGCAGCTGTTCCCAGCAAGCAGTAAGCACAGCAAAACGGCTCCTCGCCATGCGCTGCATCCCACTAACAACGCTCTTCGGAGTGGACGCGCCTCGTGACGACAAGCACCACTTCGAGACATCATGGCTCCTTCCACCAACCCTCCTCGCCTGTCTGCGCGGCCTGATCTCGCTCTATATTTTCACCAGCATCTTCACCATCTGGGGCTGGTACGGATCCCACGATGAACGCTATGTGATCGGCCAATCCTTCAGCTTCTTCACTTGGTTGACATACTGGGGTCTGGGATTCTACATGCTCTTCGCTGCGATCCATACAGCCTGCTACGCTCGAACGGGCCGTTCGGTCCTCTTCGATCGCTGGCCGCGGGCCTGTCGTGTGCTCCATAGCTTGTTGTATGCGACGATCACTACCTACCCGTTCCTTGTGACGATCGTTTTCTGGGTGATTATCTACAGCTCGCCATGGTATAAGGTGACATTTACGGGCTGGCAGAATGTATGTGGTTTGTTTTACGTTTTTGGCCTTTTTGATATTTCCCCAGGGAAAATTGAGGATTCACTGTGAATATATCCGAACCTCGCATCTATACATCTCTCCCCACCCTGCTTCCCGCCCTCCTACATTCCACAGGATAATGACAACCGCAATTCAAAATCGAAACTAACATGTCCGTTTTTGTATTGTTTTCAGATCTCCCAGCATGGCCTCAACTCCCTCTATGCCCTCCTTGAAATCTTCTTACCTGCTACTGCACCACACCCCCCTCATCGCAATCCCGTTCTTAATCCTCATCCTCCTCTTCTACCTCTGCGTTGCATACATCACCTACCATACCGAGGGTTACTACCCCTACACATTCCTAGACGTCGGCAACCACGGCCAGAAGAGCGGTCGTGTAACGGGATACTGTTTCGGGATTCTAGCCGCCATCCTGGTCATCTTCTTCATTGTCTATGGACTGATTCATCTGCGTCGCTGGTTGACGCATGGGAAGATTAAGCGCGCGAGGAGAGATCCGCTTTTTCGGGGTGACGGGTTGGGATTTGGGGGTTTGACTAGGGGGGTTGGGGAGGAGATGGTTGAGACGAAGGAGGTTCCTGTTTGAAGGATGCTCTGAAGTGATCTGTCAATCCTTCTGTAGTTTGAAGGGTTGATGATGGGTGGCTGTACAGATGATGGCCCTGCATGATACCTCTTTTATTCCCTCTTTCTACTAACTTAACTGTTAATTGGGACTATGAGTCCTGACTTACGTCGATATGCCATAATGTGAATGATCAAGTCAATATCAGAATCAAATTCTGTTGAAACATCATTGAGAGCGAAGAGTATTTCCAGGATATTATTTACATAGATTAAGCAAGCGAGTGCTTTTGGTGATGGGAGAAGAGGGAAAGGAAAGGGGATATATCCGAATGTGGCAGGCCGTGCTCAAACTCTTTCCCAGCTGGTTTCACTGCCGCTGCCACTCGGGCTGTGTGATCCCATTGTGCTGCCGCTGCGGTACCCCATCATCAGGGCCACGAGGCCGCTAGGAACCCAGTTACCGATCAGGCTGTACGAACGTGCTCCGCGTCCCACGTACATGACGGTTTTCTTGGAGGTTTTCTGGCCGAACATACCCCGGCTTCTAGGTTCCAGGGCATCGAGAAGAGCGTAGTGAAGATTCCGCGCGGGAGAACCGCGTACGGCGCTGGGACCGGCTGATGCAACGGGTCTTTGTTCAACGCTGGATAGGTACTGCGAACCGTAGAGGGCCCGCTGTTGTGTGCTCCAGGCGAGGACTTCTGTACCGGCGATCTGGCTCTGACCGTGTCGGTATGTAGGGCCCAGATCGATGTTTCCAAGTCGCAGTTCGACGACGTCGACGTTGCCCTGCTCGAGGAGACGGAGTTCCTGACGAAGTGAAGCTGCAAAGCCCGAAATTGCTCGGCTCGTGGCTACTTCAGGTCCTGCGAAGGGTGCGGACAGGGAGGAAGAGATAGATGGGTAGGCGAAAACAACAGTCTTGCTGTTACTGCGGAGTGTGAGGAGAGGGAGGAAAGCTTGCACGGTGAGAATGGGCGAGAGGATACGGGTGTTGACTGTGTCGGCCCAGGATGACGGCGGAATGGTTGCGACAGGGCCTGCGCTATAGTTGGTCGAGGGCACAATGACCAGGCCGCTCAGCTGGCAGGTGTGAGGAGGCACTCCGGCGGTAGGAGACTGGGGCTGGGTTATCAAAGAACGAAGTCCATGCAACGAAGGGTGGACTTCGGATGGCAAGGGGGATGACTATTTCAGTTGATTAGCTATACTCTACTGGAGATCTTCGGAGCAGAAGCTTACCGTTGTGAGATCCAACCACAAAGGCTTGATATCAACACGGTTCTCAGACTGAACAATATGCTCTTCATCCGCGGAAGAAACAGTCACGTATACAATGTATCCGCGGCGTTCCAAATCCGTAGCGATAGCTCTAGTCATCGGCTCATGCGGCGATCCAGCAACGACTATCATCGCAGTTAGTACTCATGCACCTCGAACTAGCACCGATGTATGACACATACCAACAATCTCTTTTCTACCACCGTTGCTTGCTCTCTTGGCCTTTCTCCGCTTCCCGTGCAGCTTCTTTCCGCCATAGTATAAAACGACGCCAGTGCCGACAAAAGCGAGGATGGCCGCTGTCCATGCGCGATTCCGAGAAACCCAGTTTTGCACCCGGTCCGTCAAGCGTTGCGGGGGGCGCATGCGTTGGGAGGCGCGGGACGGGCGAACAGCGGGAGGTAGCCAGGACTGCTGGGCGATGGCATCTTTGATCAAGCTCGCGGCATGGTCGACTTGTCGGTCGATCGACTCGGCGACTTCGAGCGAGTATCGCCTTACGTCATGGGGTATAGACGAGAGCTGAGTAGACCGAAATCAGCGATGTCTTATCTGGAGGTCTCAGTTGAACCAAATACTCACGTAGTCGAAGAAGAACTGATCGTCGCTCGTCATTTTGTTTGTTGTTTGGCGCAGGGAAAGAAAAAGAAAGACAAAGTTGATAAGATCGAGTCACGATAAGTGTTCTTGGCGCTATCGGTCACATGAGCTCAATCTATAAGAGCTGACTAGAACTGATGGTTTATATCCTTTCTATATCTGGCTCTTAATCAATTTGTGTTTAAATATAATGTCAGGTATTGAGATGGCAAATAATTCGATGTTTGGGTCTTCTTCACGATCAGATTCTACGGTGTTGCCAATGTATATATTTGCCGAATCAAGAGACTTGCCATGCAAGAGAAACAAAATATCACACAATGACGGTCTCCAAAGTCGTGAGCTTGTAACTCTACCTGCCGCTTTCGCTTCCCTAAGAAATATCTACCTACCACCAGGTGACGGATAAGCAGGCCAAACCAAGCAGATCTGGCAAATAGAACCACGTGATGATACACAACCTGATATATCAGGCGGCGAGGGTGCCATGCTTTGATCATCAATGCGAAGGACGATGAGCCTGGAACTATCCTGTCGCTTCCATTGCTGGCAGACCTGGTGATCATTCGCATCACATACCATTCTTTGATCCATGATTTGATGCGAAATCTACTTCTTCAGGACCTTGGAGTATGCTATCCTGACGGAGGCAGCGACATCTGGCCTCCGTCACACACTGGTGACAATACCCTCTGTTAGACTGCCAGACTATCTAGGACCAAGGACTGCAAGATGAGAGAGCTTGACCCGTTAATATCTGAGTACCGCCATGAAAAGAAGCGCCCACGAGAGTCGGAGGCACTCTTCATCCTCCGCAAAGTCGCGTCCTTAGTCAAACCGATTATGCGACAGCGCGCCTGGAGAGTGGGAGCGCTATGTGAGTTCTATCCACAGCAGCGAAATCTGCTGGGGTTGAATGTCAACTCCGGTCAGAAGATCTGCTTGAGACTACGGTATCCCTCTGACCACCGACAATTTCTTCCCATCGAAGAAGTCGTGGATACAATGCTTCATGAGTGAGTAATATCATGGTTCTATATCTTATACTACCTAGACTTATCAACTACAGACTCTGTCACAATGTGATTGGCCCTCACAACCAGCAGTTTCATGCGCTGTGGAATCAACTCCGCGACGAGCATGAGGAACTCATCAGAAAAGGCTACACCGGAGAAGGCTTCTTATCTCAAGGGAAGCGCCTTGGTGGCCAGAGAATCCCGCTGGATGAAGCTCGACGCCAGGCTCGCGCTGCTGCTGAACAGCGAAAGGTACTTTCCAAAAACTCCGGGAAAAAGCTCGGCGGGGCGCCTGTTCTCCGCGGAACCGATATACGCAAACTTCGTGCAGATGCTGCCCAGCGGCGCGCTGAAGTTACCGCAGGTTGTGCTTCTGGTACAGACAGAAGCACAGAGCTTGCCGAAGAGGCATCTAGGAACGGGTTCAGGACTCAGGCCGAGGAGGACGACGCAAACGAGCGGGCTATTATGGAGGCCTTCATTGAATTGATACAGGAAGAAGAACGAGAGAAGCATGGCTCTTCATATCTTCCACCCAGTCAAGAGCATCCAGCTGGACCTCGAACGGAATCATCACCACCTGCTCGTTCCAATACTCCGCCTGCTACTTCTGATACCCCTTTTGTGCCAACGAAAGAAGCTCCAACTTCGAATCAGAGTCATAATGTGGATCACAAAGCTGATAACAGCTCGTACGACAACCCGTGGACCTGTCCCTCATGCACTCTCGAGAACCCTCCCAATTTCCTATGCTGTGATGTTTGTGCAGCAGAACGCCCACCTCCCACCAATATTAAACCAGAATCTACATCCACCCCAGGGAACACTTCCAATCAACCTCAGCAATCAGTATTACGGGGTTCGACGAAACGATCTTTACCTCCCGATCAACCGGACAAGAAGAACCCCAAAGATACATTTGCCTTCAAAAACCGTACCCGCGCGAAGGATTCCCTCAAAAAACTGGATCAAGGTGTCAATAAGAAACCCCTTGGATGGGTTTGCACCTCGTGCAGTAGCTTTATGGAAACCCAGTGGTGGACATGCTCCTGCTGTGGAACCATGAAGCCATCCTCTTAGATGGGTCCCAGGATCTCCCATCCTATGTACACACGCACTTATGTCCTTATGAACAACCATGTAACATGTTAATTGAAAAGAATTATATCCAAAATATGAGACCCGAAGCTCCATCCACCTGCCTACTGACCATCTCTATAGAACCACAACACGTGATCATGACAAAGCATAAATAGCTCCACCCAAATTTCTTCCACAATTTTCCCTTGAACCTCCGAGCCAAACTCCTTTCTTTCTCGAACAACCCAAACACCCAATTCCAGTGTGGACAACAGACCAACAATGCAACTGATCAGTTCTCCACACTGGAATGAATTACTAACAGGTATGTATGCGTCAACACTCTCGACAGCGCCGCAATCGAGGTAAAGAAAAGAGACACAAGCATCGCACCAAAAAAGACTCTTATATGATGAGATATTTTCTCAAGAACCGGATTTTTTAGGAAGAGCCGGAAGAGGTATGACGGGAGACCCCCGTTGTCGATGCTTAGAATGGTTCTTCTGAAAGAGTCTTTGATGCTTGCTCTTTTTCCCCTTGATTGTCGTCGCTGGAAGGGAGCAATATCATTTGCCGTGGAGCATTTGCTAATGTTTCTGCAATACAGAATCCTTATTTTGCCTCTCCTGATTGGACGTGCCCGCTATAGAAATAGTTAGAACAATGGACATATGTTACCGTGATACATTTATCTTCCCTCTACCTGATAGACATACACACATAAATACTCCTAAGATAAATACATTCGAGGCAAAATCTATGTTACTCTTGAAATCGATCTATGATACATCCCCTTGATATTCTCTTGAAACTCCCAAGGATATAAAACTTTTGTATGGCAACCAGATAGAGAAGACCCTCCAAGGTAACAAGGTCGAAAATGAATAAACAACGCCAATTGACATGCTTGTACACAACCAATTATATCCCAACCTAGGCAACGCTAACAAACTGGCGCTTCTTGCCCGTTCCCTTGTGCGTCTGCTGCTGCTCCCAGGTCTCCTCATCGACGTAGTCCGTGGTGCCCTGCTCGCGGATCCGATTACCAATGAACTGCAGCGCAGACAGGTTGAAGCCCATTTCGTCCTTTTGGCGGGCGAGGACCCGACGCAGCGAGACCCGGATGCTGTCCAGCATTGGGCGCATCATCTTGCTTGCTACGATCTGGCGGTGGTGCGTCTTCAGGATGAAAAATAGCACGCGGCAGGTGAGGGGGACGTTCCATTCGCGGTCGGCCCAGATGTTGAGGAAGGTGAAGAGGTTGGGGAGGGCTGAGAAGGGGAGGACCAGTAGGGCGTCTTGCAGTGCGGCGGCCGGGATCTTTTGCACTGTATTCAGGACGTGCTGCTCGGCGGAGACGTTGTTCAGGGCTAGGTAGACTGGGTTGCGGTCTGGGGCGGCGGCGTTCGGGTTGGCGGCCTTGACTAGACGCCATTCGCGCACGACTTCGAGATCTTCGATACCGAGCTCCAGGGCCTCCATGATCTTTTCTCCGGCCATGAGGGTGCCAGTTGTCTGCTTTCCAGCGTCGACAGCTTCGGGCTTTTCGCCATCTTCACCCTCCTCGTCTTGCTCGAGAGATGCGGTGAGTGTGCTGTCGTATTGCTCTTCCATTTCCTTCTCGCGTTCTTCCTCCAGGAAGAGCGGCTCGTCTGTTTGTTGCCAGATGCGCAGACTCTTGTCATGACTGGCGCTGACGATGAATTCACCGGAGCGACTCATGGCAAGGGCCCAGATCTCGCCGTGGTGGCCAACAAGACGCTGGATTTGCTCGAACTTGTCACCGTCCCAGTACTTGATCTGTCGGTCCTTGCTTGCACTGAAGAAGTTGTGACCATTTCCGTCCTTGTTGTGGGGAACAAAGGCCACGGACATGATGCTGTCTTCGTGAGCCAAGAAGGCCTTGTGGCAGTCACCAAAGTCCAGACCCCAGAGTCTGACTGTCTTATCAGCTGAGCATGTCACAATTAGTTTGGTGTCATAAGAAATGTCCATGCTCAGAACGGGAAGTTTATGTCCATAGAGGTTGAGGAAGAGCTTCAGCGAGTCGACGAAGAAGACCTTCACTGTGTTGTCCAGCAGCGAGACTGCCAACAGCCGAGCGTCGGGAGAGAAGCGAAGGTTGAGGATATCATCATTAACCTTCAGAGTTCTTGTGTGTGACAGCTTAAGACGCGGGGTGGTGCGCTTGGTTCCAGGAATCTCTTCCTGAATCACCTTAAATTCCCAGAACTTGGCAGTCTTGTCCGCACTTCCACTAACCATCGACTTTCCGTCTGGGTGTACATGAAGTGACCAGACAGGACCGTCGTGTGCCTTGATAGTATCCAGCAATGTTGAGGATGCGATATCGAATACCTCTAGTTCTCCGTTCTTGTTGCCGACGACCACGATCTTATCACCAGGAAGGAATGCAGAGCAAAGGGAATATCCACACTCAAGGGTTCGTAGACAGCTCTCTGTTTGAACGTTCCAGATCTTGAGACTGCCGTTTGAGGCAGAAGCAAGCATGCGGTCGTCGGAACTCAATGCGATTGATCGAATATCGGTTCTGTGACCAGGGATGTCAACAGCCAAACTCCGGGTGTAGTCGGAGTCTTCGCTGTCGGTGTTCTTCTTGTTTACCGGCACAACATTGTATGCCTCAAGCTGGTTATTCGTCGTAGCAGCCAGGAGGTTCAAGCCGCTTGATTTGTTGAGCATCCAGTCGAAGGAGCGGACCTTTCCACCAGTCCGTACAATGACGTGGGGAACAAAGACCTCGGAAACAGGAGCAGTGGCGACATCATCAGCCTTGTCAGCCTCCTGCTCTGCAGCGTTCTCACCGGCCTTCTGTGCCTCCTTCTCCTTTCTTCTCTTCTTCTTCCGTGCCATGCTCTTTTGTACTTCTGACGGAGAGCGGATTCGCCAGACCTCGACCGACTTTTCGGAGCCGTGGATTCCAATGTAGTCTGAGCGGGGGTGGAAGCGAATGCCAATTGTGCGGTCCTTGCCGTGTCGGTAGAAAGTTCCTCGGTCAGTGAGGATTCTGCGACCATCCGCGCCAACCTTTTCCTTGGAGATCTCCACCATAGCCGCCTCATCGATCGACCAGACCTTCAATTCGCCGTCATTGCCGGCTGTAATACATCCGCCCTGGTCAGGCGAAAGGCCCAAGCTCCAACACTCGCCGTTAGATTGTGCCACATGTGTTTCAATGCAGTGCTGTGATGCTAGATCCCACACCTTGATCAACGCATCCTTGCCGGTGGTCAACAGGAAACCCGCGTGATCACCCAAACCGGAAGCAGTGAGCAGATCCGCCGAGGGGAACAGGAAATGCAACGAGGTAATCTGATCGGTATGCCCACGGAGTTTGAAAAGACCAACCTCGGTGATCAGATCCCAGACAACGATGTCCGTATCCTTGGAACCACTGGCGAGGCGCACGCCTGCATTGTCGAAGACCAGCTGTGTAATGGCGGATTTGTGACCGTTGAAAGAAATGATAACGGTGGCGGTTCGAGAATCCCAGAGACGAATGCTTCCGTCATCGTAGCTGCAAGAATAACGGCGTTAGAGAGTGCCATTCGGGTTAGGCCGAATTGGAGGAGACTTACCCGACTGCGAAGATATCCTCATCTGTCTTGCTTTGCGTGACCACGCTGACCTGCGCTCTGCAAGCAGAATCGCGCCATCTTCCCAGAAGCTCTCCCTTTTTCACATCCCAGCAGAGAACTTCCTCGCTGGCGCCGACAATGGCCCGTCCGGCGCCCGTCTGGCGTGCAGCACCGGTCTGCTCCTCTTTGGCCCAGATCGCATTCGACGACGCCGAGGCGACAAGCCCGAACGTATTCGAATGCTCGAATTTGCTGTAAAAATGTTAGCTCATACGTCAGATATTTCAAATAACCGGAAACCGCACGTACAAGTATGATTTCACCATCGTTGGGGGTGGATGGGAAAATTTTTGGGATCTCCGACTGCTATCGATAGGATAAAAATAATACGGGCGGCGACAGCGACCGCTCCGGCTCCCCCACCGCCCATGACGATCACGGAACCTCGACAACAGCCACTCTAACACTACACTCTAAGCCATTGTCCTGCCCGTCATGCTCCTCTTAGATTATCAGAACGTTTTGATCCAGTCCCTTCTGACGGAGCGGTTCTCTGAGTACGAATTGCCCTCACCCCGCACCTCTCCCGCGCATTGTATACACATCGCACCCAGGCATCCAGCTAACAAGCTTACCCCAGCGCACCCCCGTTTCCATTGACCAAGTGGTCTCCGACTTTGATGGAGTGACATTCCACCTCAGCACACCCGAGTCCAAGACAAAGATCCTCATCTCGATCCATGTGAAATGCTTCAAGGAGCTGGTTCAATACGGGGCGCAGGAGGTTCTGGCCAGAGAATATGGCCCCTACATCGTTTCCCCCGAGCCGGGTTATGATTTCTCAGTACAAATCGATCTTGAGAACCTCCCCGCGGAGGAGGAAGCTCGGAGTGACCTGATCATGAAGCTTGCCCTCCTGAAGCGGAACGCAATGGCTGCTCCGTTCGAGAGAGCCTTCGACGAATTCAATAAGCTTGCCGAGGAGGCTTCCCAATACACATCAGAGTCAGCACCAGCGGGTATTCAGGAGGGTGGTGAGGTCATGGCGATCCACTACCGTGAGGAGGAGGCCATCTACATCAAGGCCAACTTCGACCGAGTTACTGTGATCTTCAGCACTGTGTTCCGGGAAGAGACGGACCGAATCTTCGGAAAGGTGTTCCTTCAGGTGCGTTGACTGCTTCTCTGTCAACCCACAGCGACATGTACTAACAGTTTCTAGGAATTCGTCGATGCCCGGCGACGTGTCTTGACGCTACAGAACGCCCCTCAGGTTCTCTTCCGCAATGACCCCCTCTGGAGCTGGCCAATGTGCCTGGTATTAAGGGCGCCGGCGAAGGCGAAGTCAGCTATGTTACCTTTGGTGAGGTGCCATCCGTGACGTACTCCCGAGTCCCTGCTAACACAGCCTGCAGTCTTGTTCCCTCGTCACTTGACCCCCCAGCGTCGCTATGAAAACATCTCCCACATCCAGACTTTCCGTGATTACTTCCACTATCACATCAAAGCCTCCAAGGTAGAATACCCACGGGCTCCCTCACAAACACTGGCTGACTAATCACGAACCTCAGGCCTACATCCACACCCGTATGAGGAAGCGGACAGCAGACTTCCTGCAAGGTATATCTCACCGCCCACATATACACTCGATAAATGCTAACATTCATCAGTCCTTAACCGAGCCAGACCTGAGAATGAGGACCGTGAACGTAAGACGGCCAGTGGTCGTACTTTCCGAGTGCAGGCTTAGACTTGTGACGGTGTTGATATTCGCTTGAGAGGTACCTTTCTGTATAAGCCAATCTGATCATTTCACACTACCCTGTATAAGGTAGATTCCATGTGCCTGGTCCCTGTCGTGTGAGTAGAACCTCGCTGTCGTCCTTGGCTTTGCCCGACGCAGATAAACATGAACCACAGGACATGGAAATGTAGGCAAAGCTTGTGCCTTTACTATGATGTAGCACAAAGGTCATAGGATTATGCCTTGCTCTTTTGACTAGCTTTCATCCTGCTTCAAGGTATCCAGTATGACCCGAAATCGTTGGACTGTGCATAGCAGGAACTGAGAAGTAGAACATCTGTATTAACGCAACTTAGATACTGTGCACGGTGTTATCCATGCATGTTGTATATGGAAAAGAATGTTCCCTCTGCCTGCCCTCTACCTGCTACCTACCTGTCACCTAACCTGTAAAGTGCCAGGACTGTGACCAAGGGGAAGGAGCTGCCTCCGCGCCATTCGCCGATTAGTTGGACTCGGACAGTCAGGATAGTACTTTCCTTCTATGAGTCGTAGACCTCAGAGTAACATAGTCAATGTTTGCTTCTACGCTTCTATCCTTCTCTCTATCTCTGTTCTACACTTTGTTTACGTGATGGTTCCAGACGGAAAATGGGAGACTGCTCTCTCCAAGCTGGGTCTGAAACCCAAGCGCAAGATCTCGGATCCCATTCCTCAGGGCGATGTATTTAGCGTGAATGCATCACAGCTGTGTGTTATGAGCAGACACTCTCGCGGTTTGCACGTGGACCCTCATCATAGATCCCCAGCCAGCTCGATCCCAGACAACATGAACCCTCACACGCCCACCAGCTCGAGTTCCCTTTCGGGGTCCTACATTGACCACATGCCCATGACTCCTTCCCCCCAATCAACTTTGACTCCATCTCTGGATCCAGTTTGAACCCCGTTGCAATGGCGTCTCACATTGCCCAGTCTCGTCTCGCTACGCTTTTCTCAGACTCTGAAGATCGCATCGCTACTCATAAGAAACTGTCCAAGCACTGCCTGAATGTCCATCTCCAGGCCAGCATGACTATGATGGATGATGTTGTCGTTAAAGTCACGCCGGAGAACATTGTGAGTTCCAAGCTCGCTCTTGAAGATATCAGGGATGGGTTTTTCCGATATGCAGACTCCCTCGGGGACGAAGCTAAAACCCTGGAGCTGGAGACCACTGACTACTCCAAGCCACTGCCCGACAATGGGCCCATCACTTATCCAGCCAAGGCATTTGGCCTCCCAAAGAAGCGCCCTAGTGGTATGTTCATGGACGAGCAGGTCGAGTTGCTGCCGCCTCCATGGGGGAAGTCTGCGACACCCAAGCCCTCTGTGCCTCAACCAGGCACCCCGCAGTACAACCTGAAGCAACAAACTGACGATCCCTACTCGGGCCTTGAGCCCAAGGTCATGGAGCAACAGACCGGCGGTTTCTTCAGCAATGACCCCAATGCCCTGCCTCGGAAGATACCTGACTACTCTATTCGTACCAACTACTCCAGCTCTAGTAAGGAGCCACTGGCTCTGAAGCAGCAAGGAAGTGGGAACTTCATGAACCAACCAGCTGCCTCGCTGCAGCAGACAGCCAATTACTCTCTTCCAACAAAGGAATCGAACCTTAACAACGAGAAAAAGACCTTGAAGCAACAGCCGAGCAGCTACTTCATGGATGAGCCGCAGCCCTCGCAGCAGGAGATCAGCCACTATTCAAGCTCAAGCACATACTCTGTCAGAGAACCAGATGCTCTGGATCAGCAGTTGAGCGACTGCTCTCTGCCAGCCGATGATTCCAAGAAACTTCCGACTGGCCCAACCAGCTGCTCAACTCCTCTGACCAAGTCCGCCATTGGCTCGAAGAAAGACCCATTTGAGGATTTCGACCCGGAGTTTATCAAAGCTTTGAACCTGTCTACTATTCTTCCAGCCAACAGAAGACTGCCATCGCATGGTGGGCCTCTGAACCCCACTGCTGACGACTTCGTGGTAAGTGACCAAAGCACAAGGATTGACTATTTCTCTTGCTCTCGAGCTTAAAACCAATGACTTCTCTCTTCTAGCCTTCGCTTCAGGGGTCCGGCCCCCGTACCTACACCGTCAGCAGCGATGAATGGGTCATGATTCAGTCGACCCCTTCGCCTCTATCTCCCATAAAGGTTGTTGCTCATGGAATGGACAATGTCGATGAAATGATTCATCGAGGAGTTGTTATGCGCATCTTTACCAAGATTTACACCATGGCAAAGCTCATGCAAATGATTCTTCTGAGCTACGGCGTTGAGGTATTTTCCTCCTTCCCTGTGCCCCTCTATCCCTCTCACCTAGTCCCAGTAACTAACAAATTTCCACCCATCTTAGGTCGATGACTCGCCAAATGGCTTGATGTTCTGGATCAGACGCAGTGAGGAACATGTGAGATGTCATGATATTGCCGCGCTGATTGAAATCGTTGAACACCTCTACTACGTGCTCTATGCAAGAGTCGTCATTGAACTCGCCAACATTGAACTTTGTTCTTCCGTCGAGGACGAAAACTCCCAGAGACGAGCCCATAGCCGAACCTTCCTCCTTCCATCGGCCGACCATCTTTATCGCATCATACTTGCGTTCAAGGACGTGATGGACTCACGGGACATCTGCGCAATCCTTCAGAAAGACGTCGTCGAGCAATACCAGAGACAATACATAAGTTACGCGACTGAAATAAGTAATAAGAAAGGAGAGGCACTCTATGATCGGTTCGGATATCGACGTTACGTGTTAAACATTGTCAGCAACCGAGAGGGATCATATTGCATGAAGTGGAAGTCGCTTATCCCATTCTTTGATACCATCGCTCCAGATGTCATCGTGCTACTGTCCGACAAGTATCGAACTTTGGACCCGGTCATTGTGCTCCCTGACGATATTCCCTACGACGAACTTCCTTTCATCAACCCAATCCAGCTGGGACCGGTCACCTGTGAAGAGGAAACGGTCAAGGATAACCGTCTGGCATCATTGGCAAAACTGAATCAGATCAGCATTGGAGAGCAACGTCTCCAGGATCCCTCGTACCGACCTTACTGGCTGGCAAAGGAGCAGAAGTGCCTCTGCCCATCTACCTGTCGCTGTTCTGATGAATGTAGTTGTGATGCCGCTCGTTGCTGCCCTTGTTCTGAGCGACATGTGCGACTCATGACAACCATGCGCCGTCACGACTACAGTGGAGCTGGCTTCATTACTCGAGTCAACACTGCTGCACGCATGCACTTTTATGGTTTGAGCTTCCTGAAGCACAACGTTACGGAAAAGGTCATCATGGATGAACTGCAGACTGCGTTTGATATGATCGAAATGCTGATTTGCAAGGAACGTCATGAGCCGGTCCCCCGACCAGTCTTGCGAGCCGCATCCCGCGACTAAAGCTTGATCGCTTCGACCACCACGTTCGTATCATGTTTTACGATTTACGATACGCAAAACGCAACTTTTACGAGAACTTCATGAGGGAAATGGAGAAACGGAAATATTGTCCACAAACGAAAGACGGAAAAGACAAAAAAATGGGAACCTTCCTGGATTACGAGGGTAGTTCATAGGACAGACAAGTGGACAAATGCAAAGGGGTCATATTATGAAAAGGCTTACGCCTGGTTTCCAACCTAGGCACAAGTATTCTAACCAGCTTCAATTAAATTGAAACAGTTTAACCCCATACCCTCGGTGCACTGTAAAATCTTTCCACACTTAGTTTACGTGACTCTTCGTCATCGATCAACGGTTACCGGCGCATTGTGATATGTATTCAAAAACGTATAGCAAGCTCTGCAGGTCAACTGCCACGCTCAATCATGGTACTTCTATATTTATCTATTTCGATGAATTGCGCGACATTCGACATGGGTTTTAGGGCTGCGGCTATGAATTGCCGAATACAGTTTAGCGTGGAATATCACCGCGAGGTACCCTCTATCAACAAGTTTAACCCCTACCTTTGTAACCACCCCTCCGAAATAACCTAGTGGTAGTTAACTGTGTTCGGATATCGTGCAGAGAGAGTCCGCGTCCGACCCGAACCTCGGATCTCCCGGGGGGATTTTTTTATTTACTATTTTTTAGGGACAACACGAAATGTTTCTGTTGCTATTGCTTGGTCGAGCAAATAGTATTTGACTTCAATAGGCTCGTACATTTCATGTATACTAGGACCAGGTTCTGCGCTGTATGAACTTCATAATTGTCTGGATCTCTAACAATACACTAATATGCCACTTTCAGTGCCCGTGAACAGACGCCTGGGATCATTTGCTGCGTACTCGAATACCAGGGTTGTAGACATATGAAACAAATGGGATTGAAATGAGAGCAATTGTCACAAATCCAAGCAAACTCGATCCCCTGGGAACTCCCATGCGATGATACAAGATAGTAGCAAAAAGTGGAAACGTGCCACCGAAAATACTGCGCAGGAAGATATTGACGGCGCCTGCACTTGCAGAGAACCGGGTGAAAGTGTCAACCAGATAATTAAGGGCCGACTGAAAGATGGTAAAAATCCCAGTCCCATTGAAACCGCTCCAGTAACTGGACAGACCCAGAATATCCCCTTAAGACTTGTCCAGCCGAGTATAAACATGCCTGCAGCAAAAAGGATCGAGTTGAGTATTATAGGTGGGAGACGTGCCTCGGGTACAGCTTTGTTGCCATTTGCTTGGAACTGTTGACATAGAATTTCTGATTTAGGAGATTGATAATAGCTTCTAAGTTCATGCCGGCTAGGATATCGAGGAACGGCAGTTTACTACAAGGAATTCCAGCCTCGAATTTCTTGATATTCCACTGGAAATGAAGCAAGGATGAGATATAAAATTCAATACACGAATGATGCGTAGGATGCGACGCAGAAGCAAATGGGTGTTACCAAGAGAGGGAATGGTCGAAATAAGTATTTATCTGTCATGTCCTCGAACGTATAATCGATTTCTTTATGGTGGGCGTGTAGAGCCCCGTTTCCGGTTGTGATCTGTAGTCGGCGAGCCTCGTGAACCAGCAGGGCTGGGGGATACGTCTCGTCGAAGAATATAACGCCCAATGCTAGCATCAATACCCGGAGAATGCCTGTGATCTTGAAAGAGTTAGCAAAGTCCCAGAAAGCAGATCATCGGCCTACTTACATACTCCGTCCATCTCCACCCAAAATAGCTATCAACAATAACACCGCCTACAATTGGATCTAAGACCGGACCCCCAACCAGAGCCATCGCGTAGGCCACAATCGCGGCGCCACGTTGCTGAGAGGACCAGATGTCGGCTAAATTGAAGGCCATTGAAGGTCCATTGGCAATAGTGGCTGCAGAGACGGATGGGATGTTCCCGGCTACAAAGGGGTATGAAACAGAGGGAATTTTGAAAAGGCTAAATATTCCATATCAGATCAATCTGTATAGTAGCGTGAAGCAGGGCTTTGCGGTTCGAGGTGATCCAGCAATTCCGGATGTGAAATTGGGCATAAGGCTTTCCTTCCAACCGCCCTACGTTCGACTTTCTTAACATCATGATATGCCACTTTTTCTCCTAGAACTTCCTTATAGCTGACATATAATAAGCAATACGAAGTATTTCAACGAACATTTGATTGAGTATTTGAACGCATATTTGAAGGAACATTTGAAGGACCATTTAGACGAGTATCTTAATATACCTTAAATCGAGTAATAAACATCCTTTAATAATTTAATAATTGAATACAGTATAATTTCTTAGGTTTTCATTCACATACTAGTTATTACTATCCACACATTATGCTTCCCACTCTGATTCGCACCGTTACACTCTCGAACGATAATCTTGCCGTGTTCATATCACCATCTACATAACATCAAACCTCTCCTGTGGTTCTTTCATTTCACCTTAAAGAGACTTTTGAGTTTGTCCTCAGTAGAAACGAGATGATCAGACCTAATACTAGACAGTCTTCTATCTAAACTCACGCTCATTGGTATATGGCTGGGTTGTCTGAATCCGTCAGTGAAGATTGAGTTGATCCCGCCCAGAGCAATTAAGACTCTGCGAATGTTCCTGGGATGGTTAGAATGGCGTCAAAAGTAACTGCACCAGCTCTTAACGGTTGGGTGGAAAACCTAGGAATGGCCAAAAAAAGGAAACAACTATGTAGAACTGTACCGAAGTACCAAACATTCTCTTTCCGCTTGTCGGGAGGTGCTTGCGAGCCATCTAAAACCAACATATGCGATAGGAAACACGTAATATATCTCCATCGGTGCATTCACTCAAACTCTTGCAATAACTCGATTGAATGTTCCAAACACGGATATCCTAAAAACTCTACTGCTCCCTAGCATATCGATAGCCTCTACTATACGAAAACGCCCAAAATAGATATTTTAGAGCAAAATTTAGCAGGACAATAGTAATAATTAGGGGGTAGACGTTCTCATATAACGTTACCAGAAATACCACATAAGTTAAATATATCTAGACCTTGAAGGGTGACCCACATATGGAGACTATTGCTAGGTGTCGATCTTCAGAACTTTAGGAACTAGAGTATGGGGTATATTTCTGATAGTATATATAGTCATTTATTTAGTTATTTCCTATAATTCCTATAATTAGTATTTGTTTTGATAGTATAGTAGATACGCGGTAGGAATGTCACGGCAAACTCCGATGATCAGAGATACTCAGTAGTGCAAGGAACAGTCGGCGGCGCAGACCAGTGAAATCTTGAGATACCTCGATCGGCCCCGGTGAGAGTGAGCACAAGCCCTTAGTCAGAACACCTGCAATTTTCGATTTCTCCCTCTTCATGACTTAACATAATCCTCTTCGCCGAGTCATGGTGACCAAGGCATCACCTTGGACGTCTATCAGCAAGTGGATCGCGAACATAAGCAATCCTCGGCATCCGAGCACGGCACGGCCATACCACGCGGCAGTGTGGCCGTCCTACGGCGTCACCACCCCGGTTCCTCAGCCGCAGGTCCGAAAATCGCCCTTTAGATTCGAGACTGGCTACGCCCTGTGTGCGAAACGCCCGCCACGGCCATTTCCCCCGCCGTTTCTGTCTCCACCGTCCACATCCTTCTCCGATCCCTTGACCACTCAACTGAGCCAGGATAAGAGATTATCCGTCAAGGGCGAGCTAGTCCGTGGCTTGAACAATGGAGACGATGCGATCCTTGTCTCGGAGAACTTCCTAGGCGTTGACGATGGCGTCGGCGCTTGGGCCACAAGACCTCATGGCCATGCTGCGTGAGTGATCCCGTTCGTTTGTTGGATGAGCGCTAACTTTCTTCCAGCCTCTGGTCTAGACTCCTTTTACATTTCTGGGCCCTCGAGGTCGAGCGCAACATCGATAACGGCTCCAGCTGCCTTGATCCGGTCGGATACCTGCAGTCTGCATACGAGGAGACTGTTCGCGCGACAACGTCACCTACACAATGGCTAGGAACGACCACCTCAGCAACCGCTATTCTACACTGGACGAATGAAATGGATGGCAAACAGAACCCACTACTGTACGTGACGAACCTGGGCGACTGCAAGATCCTCGTGATCCGACCAAGCGAGGAGAAAGTGCTCTTCCGAACTGCCGAGCAATGGCACTGGTTCGACTGTCCCATGCAGCTTGGAACCAACAGCGTTGATACACCGAGGAAAGATGCGGTCCTGTCGAAGGTTGCGCTACAAGAAAACGATATCGTCCTGGCCTTGTCTGACGGTGTCATGGATAACCTTTGGGAACACGAGGTCTTGAAAATCATCATCGATAGCATCGAGAAATGGAACCAGGGGCATGCTGTGCCTAAGGAGGTGGCTCGGAATCCTGGGTTGTCAAATGATTGCAATGTCTTCGTGGCTCGGGAGTTGCTCAATGCTGCTCTGGCCATTGCCCGGGATCCTTTCGCAGAAAGCCCGTTTATGGAGAAGGCCGTGGATGAGGGGCTGGCTATTGAAGGAGGTATGATCTAAACTCTGCTTCGCGGGCATGTTTATTCTCCTTAACTGACTTCAAACAGGCAAAATGGACGACATCTCCGTTGTGGTTGCATCCTGCAAAAAGCGAGTCGGATGAGATGCAGCCAGCACTATCCAGGAACCTTTGTATATTACATCGCGCCAGTCGGGCCAACTGATTATACCACACTCAACCGTCAGATCGGATCGATACCGAACTTCGAACATCCCGGATACTGGGTCTGGCCCCGATGCCATATCACCAGGTCCCCGCCAGAGACATATCCAGACAGCGCGTTTTCCGCGACGCTTCCTACAAAAAGGGCTGACGCACGTGCTGCAGTCATGATCGTCCCTCATTTGAAGAGCTGGAGTTTTCAATCGCTAGTCTCTTAAGCGCCATGCCCTCGCCAAGATTGTGGCCCATCCAACCCCGATCGCCAGTCAATCTTGTCCATGGCCTGGCACCTAGAGAACCTCCACCCAGAAAAGAGAGCTGTACAGCGATGCCCACGAACACAGTGAAGGTGTGTCAGTCGAGCCGCCATCTGCTGGCGTACCATACCCTCTGCTACTATCTGGTGAAACGGAAGTCACATTCCCTTGCACTCACTCGAGCACTTTACCATGGGCAAGAGCTGGCTCTCCTGTCCACTTGGTGGTCATCATTTAGATCTGCCCTGGTCAATGGAGGCCTTAGTATCTATTAGAACAAGAGTAATACTTATGTCTTAATGTCTCTATGGCTATGTATCCATCCCATAATGTATTGCCCTCCTAAGGCTCAAGTAGATAAACCATGAATGACAGGAAGTACATGGTACATCAATTTGGTGGCGATTTCGCCACTCAAACTAAGTACTGGATACTTCCTCAGCACAGACCACAACACCGCCTCGGTCGCCGCCCGGCAAAATGAAAAAAGTTTCGGTCGACGCAACAGCTCATGCTCGACACATCAAATCACCGATATCTTGACCTTCAACATTCACAATGAGGGCCAAACGTTCCAAGAAGTATCGCAAGCTTATGCATCAATATGAGCTCGCTTTCGGGTTCCGAGAGGCTTACCAAGTGCTGGGTATGCCGATTTCAAGGTTCTTCTCCGATGTACAGTACTGACTTGCGCTTGAACAGTGGATTCGAACTTCCTCCGCGCCACGGACTCCTTCAAGATGGACCTGATTCCCGCACTTGAGCGAACAGTCCAAGGCAAAGTCAAGCCTCGTTAGTTCCACCAAAACCGAACCCCAATCTTCAAAGATGCATCCCAACTAACATCTCACAGTATTGACAAAATGCTCGCTCGCCGCTATCATGGCCGCGCAACCTATCAACCCGAAAACAGAAAAGCCCTACAGACCTTTGTTCCTCCCACCACCCACAGAACTCCCACTCCGCCACTGCTCTCACAACGCGGACCACACTCCAATCGACGAGATCGAATGCCTCCTCTCCCTGCTGTCACCTAATGCGGACTCAAAAAAGAACAAGGAGCACTACATCCTCGCAAGCGCGGACCCAATTTTGAAGAAGAGAAACGCCAACGACGAGCAGCGGAAATACAAGCGCGAAGACGAGCGCAAAGAAGAAGAGGCCTTGCGCCGTTCTCGAGCTTTGCGTTCACAAGCCCGCGCCATCCCCGGTGTGCCTATCATCTACGTGAAGCGCTCGGTCATGGTCCTCGAGCCTATGAGCAACCCCTCCGAGATGGTTCGCGATGGCGTGGAGCGAGGGAAGTTCCGCGCTGGTTTGGATGCTGATCCTATGCTCGGCAAGCGCAAGCGTGATGGAGAGGGTGAGGGCGAAGAGTCGGCAGAACCTAAGAAGAAGCGGGGTCCTAAGGTCAAGGGCCCGAACCCGCTTAGTATGAAGAAGCCAAAGAAGAGAAATGATGCGCCTGGCCCGACACCGAAGAAGGAGAAGGTCAATGCGGATGCTGGCGATGTCTCTAAGGATGTGGATGCTATTGAGCAGCCGGGTGGTGATGAGTCTGCCGCTGCTAAGCCGAAGCGGAAGCGCCGTCACAATAAGAGTGGTCCTTGGCAAGGAGATCAGCTCCCTGATGAGCCAAATGAAGTGTCTGCCTCCATGGAGGTTGATGCTTGATTAGATCTTTACGGCCCAGACTCATGATGCTGGTTATCATTATGCATTCCATCTTTCTTTCATCCTAGGGCACGGCGTTCATCATGGATGGGTTATATCTAAAAGTCCAGCGGGTGTAGACTAGCTATGTACATCCAATATCATTTACCACTACATTGAGACCTCAGCATCCCCAATGCTTGTCATTCCGTAGTCCAGTGGAACAAGTAATATAGTACATCAAACGTTGGTCATATGTACAGTTACATTTTCGGATATCGTACAAAGTATCCCGCCGGATATAATGAGAAGAGAGAAAAAGACACGAACTGGATACTCTCACAGAACGGCCATAAAAGCAAACCAAAACTCCAGTTCCAAGCATAATGCCATGTAGTCATCCAAGCGCATTTATTGCTTCGCGCCAGCATTCGTGGTATTTGCGGCGGCAGCAGCGGCATTCGACATACCCTGCTCAAGCTCTCTCTCCCTTGCCCAGATCTCTTCGACACGCTTGCGGTTGCCGCGAGCCTGGTCTCGGTTGCGCTTTGCGCGCTCGTAGCGCTCCCCGGAAAGACATTTGTTAACGTCGCGCTTGATATCGTTACAGCTCCCGATAGCTTTGTGGAGGAATCCCTTGGCGTGGCATTCGTCGAGGGCAGTCATGATCTCCTCGCAGTCTGCGGTTTATCAATTAGTATCTGCATTTCGGAAGGAGACTTGACAATCTCCCGGGGCGAGGGTTCAACGTACTGACGTTATACGGAGTGTGCAAGTGAGAATGCATTGTTGCGATAGGTGTATGTTAATCAACGCAGGAAACAACAAATCTCGATACGCAATGAAGCAATGTCAGAGAGCAATCGTACGATCAATCACCGACAAGCAAACGGCGTCTGCAAAATGCCCGGGCGGTAAGAAGATCGGTCTGGTTCTGCCGGGCGGAAAGCCCCTCTACACCGATAAAAAATTATCGGCGATAAAAAAAGTTGAGATTGGAGGTGATCGGTTTTTTATTCAACGCTTTCATTATGTCTTCTATGATCACGACTACGGGGTGGGTGCGACGAGGTGTCGCTGCCCAGTTCCCCACCAAGTATGAGATTGACGAGGCGGAAATGAGCCGGATATCCAAGCTTGCGCGCATGCAGCTTGAGGATGCGAAGGAGGGTTTGAGCGCTGCTCAGGATGAGGTTATGGATGAGGATGGAAAGGATGGTGCTGCCGAAGCTATGGATGATGATAGCGAAAAGAAGACCAAGGAGGGCGCCGACTCCAAGTGAGTCGTTCGAGCTTGAACCTCGAAACTTGACACGTGCTAATCGGTTTATAGTGAGGATGATGTTCTCAAGGAATTCGACATGGACCACTATGACAGCGATGAGAAGGATGAGGATGGAGAGAAAATCACCATGTTCGGCAATGTCCAATCGCTGGCCTACCACCAGCCCAACGAGGCCGACCCTTACCTCGTGATGCCCGAGGACGAGGATGACGAGGAACGCGAGGAACTGCAGATCATGCCCGTCGACAACCTTCTCTTGGCTGGAAAGGTGGAGGATGAAGTTGCGCATCTGGAAGTCTACGTCTACGAAGACCGCGCTGACAACCTCTACGTGCACCACGATATCATGCTTCCCGGCATCCCCCTCTGCCTGGAGTGGCTCGACATCCCCGTTGGCAAGAACCCCGACAACCGCACGCAAGGAAACTTCGTCGCTGTCGGAACGATGGAGCCCGACATTGAGATCTGGGACCTGGACGTCGTGGACTGCATGTACCCCAACGCCATCCTCGGCCAGGGTGGCCAGGATGCCGAAAAGGCCAAGAAGAAGCAGAAGAAGAAGGTCAAGGCCAACGACGAGTACCACATCGACTCCGTCCTGGCGCTGGCCGCCAACCGTGCCCACCGCAACCTACTCGCCTCCGCCTCCGCCGACAAGACCGTCAAGCTCTGGGATCTCAACACTACAACCTGCGCCAAGTCCTACTCCCACCACAAGGACAAGGTCTGCTCCCTAGACTGGCACCCAACCGAGTCCACCATCCTCCTCAGCGGTAGCTACGACCGCACAGTGGTGGCAGCAGACATGCGCGCACCGGATGCGCAAGCTCGCTGGGGCGTCGACGCTGACGTCGAGGGACTCCGCTGGGACCCGCACGACCCCAACTTCTTCTACGTAACCACCGACGCTGGCATGGTCTACCGCTATGACATGCGCAACGTGCCCACCAGCCCAGCCGAGTCCAAGCCCGTCTGGTCCCTGCAAGCGCACGACTCCTCCGTCTCCTCCTTCGACATCAACCGTAACATCCCAGGCTTCCTGGTCACCGGCTCCACAGACAAGACTGTCAAGCTCTGGAACATCGAAAACGACCGCCCCAACATGGTCGTCTCGCGCAAGCTGGACGTCGGCAAGGTTTTCTCCACTGCCTTCGCGCCAGACCAGGAAGTCGGTTTCCGTATTGCTGTTGCTGGTAGCCAGGGTAACGTGCAGGTGTGGGATGCTTCGACTAACGGCGCTGTGCGTCGTGCCTTTGTGTCTCGTATGCCTGAGTTTGCTAATGAGGTTGAGGAGCGCATGGTTGGTATCACTGCTGATGATGAGGAGTCTGATGATGAGGGTGAGGAGGATGCTGATGAGGATGCCCCTCGTGGTGGTGATGGCTGGGAGTCGATGGATGAAGACTAGATGGACACTGATACCCGTGGATCATTCTGTTGTTTATGCGTCAAAAAATAGATTTGTTAGGTTTTGCATGTTAATGACCACTTTGTTATGAAGTATAACTATGAGAACAATGTCAATAGTCAATATGTTCAAATGTATCCTGTGAAGAACTCTGAATACAATTAAAATGTGTTGATATTCCTGTACTTCCAGGGGTGTAGGACTGACGTTCAGTTCCGGGGTTGCTGGTTGGCTAGCTAGGGTGGGTGGGAGTGAGCTGGAGCTCTGAAAGACCATCCTGATATAAAAATCACCTACGACGAACCATTCTGGTCTGAAAAAATCTTACGAGAAACTATTTTTTTTGGGCTCGAAAAAGTTCAAAATCCAAAAATTTTGAGCCGAAATATTTCGTTCACCAAATCGGAACCAATGAGAAAAATAAACCCAGAATAGATAAGGCGCACGAAAGCCTTCCCAATATCAAAATTGTTCCCAAGATCAACGTTCAAGGTCGGAAAAATTTTTAGGAAATGCTTTGTTTTCTTTCATTCCTTAGGTGTTCACATCCCTTTTTGGAGGAATTATCATGGGTATTGCTCATTATACATAGATTGAATTAGGGATATTTCTTATTCTGGCTCGTGATCGAGTAGCTCCGCGGTACACGGGTCCCTCCAAACTACAGATTAGGGGCTTGATACTGGCGGTTCAAGTCACGGGTATAAGGTTTCAATAAACCATATCAAGGGCTAGTCCTGTGTATTTGCTGTTTACTGAAGGATTCCTTACGCTACTTTCTCTCAAAGTTGATGTCCGCCGGAACCTATCTTATTGGATGCTGTGCTAGCTGACCTTTTTTGGGGTTCCAATTTTGACTTAGAACAAATAGCAGCGATCCATTCCGTTCCAATATCATCCCATCGGGGCATCCCATCCGTGCAGGGTAATCAAGTCCCACTCAATTTCCCCCCAAAGCAAACTACCCAGAAGCAGCCTTAGCATCTCTCGGCTCCTTGGCCTTGCACCGAGCAGCTCGTAGAGGCTTGTGCATCAATCGCCACAGATTTGGCGCAGATGATAATACATCATTGCCTCCGACATGAGTTGGGGAGTACCGAGAATGACATCAGCCTTGACTGAGATGGGAGTCATTAGGAGGTCATGGCAGCTGGATGGTAACATGGGGAGGTGGAGGATGAAGAAGAGGCAAGAGATGCAAGAGTAAAAAATTAAGTGATTTGGGTATTTATAGGGTTTGATCTTACTTTATAGACTTATATTTGAATACTCCGTCGAATACAGATGAAATCGAGGAAGGAGATAAAGGAAGAAAATTGATGAATTATCTACTGAGGAGCGTGGGCTTTATAGCCCATAGACCAAGGGCTAGTTAAGCAAACAACAAACAGGGCCTGAAACTCAAGGCAACATATTGCCTGCCAAAGACTCCCTCAAATCCTCGTTCAAATGCTTCATAAAAATTACCTTTTGCATGGTGCAATTGCGTCGTAGCCCGTTGCAAGTGGGAGACCTATGAGATTTACGTGCTAGTGAAATTTGGAAAACGTGAGCCGGTCACATGTTGCTATCTCATTCGTTTTATTTGGTTTCATACCCTGTTATAGCAGAAATTGCCTTGAAAAGTATGTATTTGCTTTATCTTGTCATTATCATTCTAAAAGAACACAAATTCTATGTTTGTGTCAATCCCAAGAACGCCATTCCTTATGCTAGACGGTGACTCAAACAGCCTCCTGGGCATGCACATGAGTCGTCAAATCCAACAATCGGTTCGAGTATCCCCATTCGTTGTCATACCAAGCCATGATCTTGAAGAACTGCAACAGAGTCAGTAAAGAACACATATCTAGCACGCATTGGCAAAAGCTTACCTGAGGGTTCAACTCCATGCATGAAGGAGCATCGATAATAGCACTGTAGGGACTGCCATTATAGTCGCTGCTGACAAGCTCGTCATCTGCAACCTTGAGAACGCCGGCCATATCCATCTTGGAAGCTCGTCGGAAGGCAGAGATAACCTCGGCCAGCGAGGTTGGCTTCTCTGTACTGATTGTCAAGTCGATCATTGAGACGTTGGGGCTAGAGTTTGTTATGTTAGATAAATTTCTTAGGTTTAGATTCATGCGGAGAATTACTCACGTTGGGACACGGATGGAGACACCAGTCACCTTGCCCTTCAGCCCGGGGAGAACAGCAGCGACGGCCTTGGCTGCACCGGTTGTTGTGGGAATAATGTTGTTGAAGACACCGCGGCCTAGTATATGATATTAGCTTAATGCTTTTCCCTCAAGTAATCCAGAATCCCTTACCCAGTCGTTTGTTCTTCTTGCTATAACCATCCAGAACCTGCTGCGACCTCGTAGCAGCATGGATAGTAGTCAAGAATCCCTGTGTAATACCAAAGGAGCTATCAAGCACCTTCAGGACAGGAGTAACGCAGTTGGTAGTGCAGCTAGCATTCGAAACAACGCGGCAGTCCTCGGTAGGAGTATAAGAGTCCTCGTTAACACCGTAGACAAAAGTAGGCGAGTCCGAGCTAGGAGCGGAGATGAGAACACGCTTCGCCTGGCCGTGGGTGACGTGATCGAGGGCGAGATCGTGCTTGGTGAATTTGCCCGTGCATTCGAGGACGTAGTCGACTCCCAGGGCAGCCCAGTTGAGTTTCTTCAGGTCACGTTCGGATGTGAGGGCGATATGCTTGCCGTTGATTGTGATGAGGTTGTCGGAGAGCGCGTGGATGGGGGTCTTTTCATCTAGGTCACCCATCGACGAGTCGTAGCGGACTAGGTAGATGAGGTCTTCGACAGTGACGCATGTGTGGTTGATTGCGACGACTTGGATGTCGGAGCGGACTAGGGCTGCGCGGAGGACGTTGCGGCCTGTATACTTGATTAGTATGGGGACAGCCTTAGAGTTTTGAATAGTTAATAGTTCACTGACCGATACGACCGAAGCCGTTGATTCCAACCTTGCAGGCTGAAGTTGCCTGCACATGGCTATGGGAAGCGTCGTTGATTGAAGGAGCCATACGGTAGGGTTATGAAGGTTAATAGTGAAATAGAAGAACCAAAATTAAGTGGATGCTTTGTTCTGCTTGATAGAAGCTTAAACTATTTCTCCCAAAGCAAGTCCTGAATCGAGGACCAATATCTATAAGTATAGCTCCAGCCTCAACCGACTCCATTGAATCCCCCACGGTGTCAACCCGGAGCCACCCGTCTCACGGATAATGAATCGGCTTCCAACATGCCCCGCCTACTTGATTGCGAGGTATTTATTTCGTTTCCTTGACACTCAGCCATCTAGAACGAACCGTGTCTCCGGCGGCGACCCTGCCGTCATCGGATACCAGAGCCATGTTGTCAGGAGACAGCCAATAAAAATGAGGCTTTCCGCCGAAAATCCCGCGTCCACGATCCGATGGTAGCGGAGATGGCCAAGTCCGTGACGCAAGGGCCCAAGAACGGGTTTGCCGTGGTATTGTTGGGGCTTTGACTCCGGGGTAAAGTACCGATAGACGGAGGAATGTCGTTTAATTGCTATTTGCGGTTGGGGTTGACTATATTTGCACGAAAAGGGATTCAGCCAATTATGAGTGTCCATTGTCCTTTTTCCAAGCTATCGTTATAACGCCGAAGGTGTGGAGATTCATGCTGGGCAATTGCTGTTTTCTGATTTGTGGATGAGGCCGGCATTCTCGTCCTCCGTATCGGCATTCCGATGGGGTTTGGAGATGCGCTTCCGATTGCGCCGAATCATGACCAACCATTATTTTGTATTGGTCTATAGCGACGAGTTTTCCGATTTTTCGCGGAATCATCACGCTGAGCCGAGAAAAGCGGGAAAATTGGCGTGGAGATGGGATCCGGTCATTGCTTCGGTAGTGGGCATCAAACTATCTTGGTTCTTCCCGAGGGACATACTCCGGTTGTTTTACGTAGATCGCTCTGACGAGGATCAGGAGAAACGTACCGGCAAACAGGTCTCTATGATTATAATTCTCTAACAAAGTATCTAACTAGTAAACATATCCTCGGACATAGATTCAAAACTCAGGCGCTAATACGAAATACCACAACTATTCTCCGGTACCCTCAGACATTCCTTTTCATCTGCACCGAGCAAGAGTCACCTTTTTCCTTTCGAGCAATCAACTATGCTGGGTTAATCTCACCCTGGGACAAATTTTGCGCCATTGAAACAATCTGCCACGACGACAATGCACCTCGGAAAGCATGATTCAGCATTTCCAAGTTCTGGTTCACGGTCTCAGGGTAGAAGAAGTATACCAGTACAGGAATGCATGCCGACAGTACTGCAATACATGATGTAGTACTGGTATCCGATCGTATCTAGAGCCACATGGGTTCCACAGCCAGTGGTTGGCGGCAGAGATTGCTTCCATACCGACTCGCAGGCGTACTGGAGCAACCTCGGTGCAATGTAAGAAGTTTCCACCGAGGAAGCCGATTGGGTAGAAGATATTGAAGAGGAAGATGAAGAAGGCCGACGCGATGGATGCGTGCTTATTGTCGGAGCCAAAACTAGTTGTGACGGCCATTGCCGCCATGTACATTGACATACCGGCTCCGCTGAGCATGAATACGGCCCGCTCCCCAAGACGGTCGATTGAGAAGAAGGCAATAAAGCAACATAGAGGCTTCCATGTTCAGGCTGGAGGATCTTGGATAGATCGGAACCAAGGTTCAGATTCTCTTGGAAGATTGTAGACGCATACACGGAAATGAGATTTCCACCGCACATCTGTTGGAAAAATTGAAGGGCAATGCAGAGACAAAATAGAGTACGCGTTCATCATCGGTCTTGGAGAAAATCTCACGAAGCACTCCTTTAGATTGCGCAGTGAGTTCGAACGATAGCTCAATGCAGGAGATCTCTGACTTGATTGCCTCGTCATCGGGGTGGAAATTCTTGAGTGCAGCAAGGTTGATAGCGGCCTCCTCTGTCCGGTTGACACGAACCAACCAACGGGGCGACTCCGGCAAGAGGGATACAGAAGCGACAATCACAAAGAGAAGAAGGAAATAGCAAGAGGTCCTCGCCATTGACCAGTGTTTGTTCCAAGCAGCTCACTGAAACCGAAGTCGATCCAGTTGCAGAGAGAGTACCCGAGACACATGAAGATACCATCTGCCATGACATGTTGACCTCGACTCTTTGCAGCGGAGCATTCCGACTGCCAGACTAGCACAGCAACACTCAATTGACCAACTCCCATACCAAGTATAATGCGACCGACGGTAAATTGGATGAGGGAGTACGCCGAACTTGCAAGACTTGACCGATAATAGTAAGAACGATCCGAGGAATATAGTCTTTCGACGACCAAGCCAATCAGACAAAATAGTGTATGATAGCGCACCGATGAGAGCACCAATCTGGAAAGAAGCAATCACAGCACCTTTGCCAGTAGAGTTATGCGCCTTAGCAGCACCCTCGGTGTGGATATAGTCAGTATAGCTGTGGGTGAATGGTCTACTTTGTGAGATGACTTCCCCGTGGTGATTGATCTACGTGTACCGGAGGTCGAATTGTACGATATTTGTCCAATGGGTACGTGGTTTGGAAGATTACATCAGAGCTTAGGAGGCCTGATGCTTATATTTGTGGGTACTTTGCAATTTGCCGGAAGTCAAGACAAAATATTGAATATGCTGTAATGACCGCTGTCCAGTCATGAATAATGGGTTTCAAATATAGTATCGGATTTATGAGGCTTAACGTTGTGGCTGAACGATCAAAATATATAGCGGTACCTTCAGGCCAATAATGAGCCTACTTTGAGATACCGAGGACTCAGTAAGATCTTTTAGCCTCAAACGAGTTCAATTTCATTCTAGTTCAATTTGTACAGATTCATTGCTCATTCCAATTCAAATCCCGGCCCATGATACACTTACTTGCTGCCTGCAAGCTTCTGGATCTCAGCAACCACAGCATCAGTGACCTGCTTGGTAGTAGCATTGCCACCCAAGTCGCGAGTGAGAACCCCCTGCTCGCAGACATTCTCAACGCAGTCCAAGAGCTTCTTGGAAGCATCCTCCTCGCCGAGCCAGGCAAGCATCTCAGCCGCAGTCCAGAAGGTAGCCACAGGGTTAGAGATACCCATGCCAGTGATATCAAAGGCAGAACCGTGAATAGGTTCGAACATACTGGGGTACTCCCGAGTAGGGTCGAGGTTCGAGGTGGGGGCAATACCAATGGAACCAGCCAGAGAGGCAGCAAGGTCGGACAGAATATCAGCGTGCTAAATGATTGTTAGCCTAACCTACGTTTGATTACCATTCCCGTTCAATTCACCCCTTACCAGGTTGGTAGCCACAATAGTATCCAGACTCTCGGGCTTCAGAACCATGCGAGTGGTCATGGCATCAACAAGCATCTTGTCAACAGTAACATCGGGGAAGTCAACAGCAACAGCCTTGGCGACCTCATCCCAGAGAACCATTCCATTGCGTTGGGCATTGCTCTTAGTGACAACAGTCAAAAGCTTGCGAGGACGCTTCTGGGCAGTCTCAAAGGCAAAGCGCATAATTCTCTCCACGCCGTGGCGGGAGAAGATCGAGACCTCAGTCGCGACCTCCCAAGGCTTGCCAGCGTGGGAGCGACCACCCTGACCGGCGTATTCTCCCTCGCTGTTCTCGCGGATTATCACCCAGTCAAGGTCATTAGGACCGCACTTCCGCAGAGGAGACTCAGTGCCACGGAATACGCGGGTTGGACGCACATTGGCATACTGTTGGAAAGGCTGGCAGATGGCCAGACGGAGACCCCACAGAGAAATGTGATCGGGGACATCTGTTGGTACGTTAGATCTGCATCTTTTAGATCTACACCTCTAATGCGATCGTGATATCTACTTACCAGGAGCGCCGACAGCGCCGAAGAAAATCGCGTCGTGCTTCTTGAGCTCTTCGAGTCCACCGTCGGGTATGTATTTGCCAGTCTTCTTGTAAGTTTCTGAGCTCCAGTCGTAATTCTTGAAGTCCAACTTGAAGGTCTTGAGAGTATCAGTCAAAGCATTGAGGGCGGTGATTCCAGCATCGATGACCTCTGGTCCAATTCCGTCGGCAGGAATGGATGCAATGCTGTAGGTCTTTTGACCGGCAACTGAGGGAGACATGGTGACTTTGATGTTCTTGTCCGGGCTTAGAGTGTTGACAGGAATAGATGAAGTCAGCGCGTCCAACGGATCTTAAAGGGTTTTGATTCTTAGCCCAAAGAATTGAGTCTCCACATCAAATTTGTTCAGAACCTATCGCATGACCGCTCAGAGCTCATCCAACTTGATCGCGGGGTGCGGAGATTGACTTGTCCGGCTGTGTTGTGTCTGGTTCCACCCTCCGGTGGATACATCGGAGAAAGACATGTCCGGCAAACCCTAACTCTGACCAGTATACACTCGGTCGAGAGGTGCCTTTTCAATTATGTGGCAAGCGTTGAAGAAAGATTAGAGAATGAACTGGGATGTGTGAATAATGCAAGGTACAAAAAAGCGAGTGCATGCAGGAATGAATCTACCCCACTCCAGCACTCAGCACAATCAAGAATCCAAGTGAGAGTCGAGTAACAACAACTCTGTCACAATGCCGACGTCCAAACATGGAATCGAGAGTACTATAGACTATCTCGTACCATATATTGATCGTCATTTTCAAGCCCAGTCCAGCAATACAACCAAACGGCCATTCATCTTCGGGCTGACAGGCCTTCAAGGAAGCGGCAAATCAACATGGACCGAGGCATTTGTGAAACGACTGAATAACAAGCACAATTACCACACCATAAACCTCTCACTCGATGATCTGTACCTCGACCACGATGACCTCGTCAATCTTCGACTTGCCAATCCACACAACAAACTTGTCCAAACTCGCGGCCAACCTGGAATCCACGACATGGAACTTGCACGTTCTTTCTTTGAGAATCTGAACAGTGGCTACGAAGTTCTCATTCCATCATTTGACAAGAGCAAGTTCAATGGAGAGGGCGGAAGAGCACCAAAAGAGACGTGGCAACGCATTCCAGCAGGAACGCAGATTGATGTTGTTATTTTTGAAGGGTGGTGCATTGGGTTCAAGCCGCTGGATGAGGCTTCTATCCGACAGAAGTGGGAGGAAGGATTACGACAAGAAGCAATTGCCGGATATCCGACCAAAACTTTGAAGGAGCATGCACTTGAGCACCTGCTAGGAGTAAATGAGAAGCTGCGTCAATACTGTGACCAATTTATGGGACCACAGCATTTGGACTTTATTTTCCATTTAGACACATTGAGTTTGGTCAATGTGTATGAATGGAGAATGCAGCAGGAGCATGCTCTTCTTGAGCGGACGGGCGAAAGTATGACGGTTGAAGAAGTTGTTCGCTTTGTGAGAGGATATATGCCGGCATACGAGCTGTATCTGGATCAGATGCGCGATCAATTGCAGCAAGGATTCTTCAATGAGAAAAGCAAGGGCCGGGTGCGAGTCTTTTTGAATCTGGATAGAAATATAGAAGACTTTCTTGTGTACGTTTCGTAAATTGAAGAATATCCAAAGATTTTTACTTAATTTACATGGTTTTCTCATCAAGTATCAAAAATCAAAGGAAATTGTTATGGATCATCCAGGGGCCATCGGCAACACTCCATAAATCGTTCATGGACATGGATGATGTCAATGGCAACCAATCTTGGCCTGCAAAACTCGGATTGAAGACGCCATAGTTGTCAGCTGTGCTGCCGAATATCAGTTCAGCTGACGATTGCCCGTTGAAGTTGTTTCCAGTGGAGTCCAGCACCTCACCGAAGTTGCCCATATTGTCCGAGGGTGAAAAAATAGCCGATTCGTAATTTTCTTCGGGGCCAAGGCCCGCAGTCGAGCGAACAGAAGAATCGAAAGGTTGGATTCCCATAGAAGCTGGACGCTCTTGATATGCTCCTGTCCGTAGTTTCTGAGGACGGACTGTTGTGAGGTTTGTATCGCCTACCTCGTGAGTTCTGTCCTGAATTGGCGACAATTGGGACATTCTTCTGTCGATGGAATTTGAGGTTGTAGCGGGCCTTTCCGGTCTGTTTGGTGTTGGAGTACTCTTGAATTGTGCACCGTCGGATGTCTGTGTCAAGGCAGACTCCATGCCCTTGATCGCCTCGATACAGGTTTCTGGCCAGCTGCTACCGCGTAATGATAGGTTTTCCAAAATTGTGATCCCCATTCTAGCGTATTTGATAGCGGTGGGCGCGGCAAATTCTTCTTCCGATGCTGCATACATCAGAATCAGACATGCCATCCAAGTTGACCACGTAAAACATGGCCAGGAGAGCGGAGCTTCCGACGGAGAGGATACATGCTTTTTCAAAGCTGCAAGTATAGATCGCGATGATCCAATGCAAGTCTGCAATGCATTTTGATAATCGGCGCTGGAGTTTTCGGCCGCTAAAAGAGGACGGTTTAGTGAGATAATAGCTTCGTGTCGTAGGATCATCAAAAGCAGCCGGTGATAGGGCAGCAAGAGTACCTCATGTTCGATGCCTGTATCTGCAGGCTCCCCGAACGGGTTTGCATCATCGTAGACTTCGTTCCACCATTTCGAAAGTTCTCCAGAAACGTGGGCTGCCTCAACCTGACTGGCATGACTGTGCAGAATAGACTTGTTGCGAAGTTCCACAATCAGGCCTCTGACCCGTGCAAATTTTGCGAGATGGCGTAGTAATCGCAGTCGCGGGTTATCCAAATTTCTCGGAACAGTAGAAGAGTGCCGCTCAGTTCCTGGGTAGCAGACATCGATATCATCGTCCCGAATGCTGAGGGGGATTCCAAGGGCTTGGGAAAGATATCTCTCAAGAGAGTAGACCGACCAGAATAACCGACATCTGATGTCCGCCTCTTCACTGCTGAAGCACGAAAATCGCGCTGGGCAGCGATGCAACCCAAGGTGGAATGCAGTTCGAGTGATGACTCCCCCGACGCGCGAAGCGGCGTTCAGGCGGAGAAGCGAAGTGAGAGCAAGCTGTGCAGTAAATGCGGCTTGCAGCAATGGAAGTGTGGTAGGCTCTTCAAGCAAGCTTTGTACTTCATGCGTCACATGAGGAATGGTGCGAAAGACCAAGACTGAAGGAATGGGACCCAGCTTGGATTCTGATGCTGTTTTTTGCCGATTATCACAGAGGGATATGGACATGATAGATCGGAGGATCATCGTCTCCAACCGGCTAACTGAATCCACTCCTTTCTGGCTCGCTGTCTCCATGAGTTTCAAGACTGTCGGGGCATGGAGACACGGGAAAATCGGATGCCAATTCTCAAAATAGCTGCGCGTCCACTTGACAAGGTCATTGAAATCGAATGAAGCATTAGGCGCGAAATTTAGTTCTTCTCGAGTCCACAAATCATCGGCACTATGAGCATTTCCCACATTTCGCCGTAGACGGTCTTCTTCGCCTGGGACCGAGGTACGGTCACGGGTTCGTGTCTGGTCCAAATCCGCTGAACGGCGCGCGAAAGCATTATAAACGTTCCTAACGAAGTGAATTCCACTAGAACTTCCGAGGAATGTAGCGGACCCATCGTTTTGGGACTCTCTCATGAATCCGATTTCACGAGGCGACGGGCCTGAAGTACCTGCAGCGGAAGGGCGCTTGCGTCTTTTAGCTGCACGAGTTGGGTATGGCCATTCTGCTTCATTTTCTTCGAATCGGGTGCTTGCAGATGAAGGTGAAGCCATATTCCTTTATCACATTTTCCGAAATTGAGGTATTTACCATGTCAACTTTCCCAGCACCCGACTATCCTGGGGACGGCCGGCGGATTTTAGTCAGGCGTTACGTCAGCCCCCAAACTGGCATCTATAAACTCGCCTCGCTTCAACAAATACGTCTAGTCGTCTCTATAATCACCTGCCAACATCTGTATCTTCTGTTTTGGCTTTTATAACTATTAAAATGTCTAAAATGCACCCTTTCCGTGTGTGCTGTTCCCTTTCAAAGCAGCACAGCCCTTCTCAACATCCGAAGGTTTGAGGAACTGAGCGTTCTTTCCATTTTTGTAAGCCAGTCCGACTAGTGTACTGTCTGTGAAGGCGTTAGAAGCATGAATCTAGCAGAAATTAATGGCAAACTTACCATCAGAGTTATAGTGTGGCCATCCAAATTTGGTCAATCCCTCATATGGATCACTTGCGAAGGCTACCCAAGCGGAAGCCATGTAATGGGCAAACTCGTTCTCTTCGTGAGAATTTCTAACTCCACTGACATACTCAGCAGTTCCAAATAGCATGAGAAGATCAGCTCCGTGGTAGGTACCACTGCCAGGGTAAAGACGCAGGTTGTCCCAGTCACCGAAGTAGTGGGACTGCCAAATCGGAACACCATTGGCAGCACGGCCTCTTGCGGAAGCTCCGCTAGGACAGGTAAATGCCGCGAGATTGTACTTGATCCATTGCTCATCGGTGAGCGAGACGTTTCCTCCGTATGCGCTGATGCGATAGTAGCCTGCCTCGTAGTTGTTGCTGTTGATAAGGTAAGGCTGTAATATGTCAGCTTTTTTATCTGGGGTTTAAATTGAAAATGCCAATCTAGTGCTTACAAGGTGAGCATATTTTCCAGCTGCAGTTCTCTCTGCGTAATCGTCAAACACGGTCACTCCATCCACCGTGGGATGGAAAACAGGCTGTGGAAGTGCCGGCGAGGATGCTGCCGGGACCTTACCGGCAGCTTTAACCACATCAGTGAATGGCTTCTGGCGAACACACTTGACCACCTCATCAGCATCACTGTCAGCGTCTCCACAGTCCAGAGCCTTAGAGACGTAATAGAAGTAACTAGCGGATTCTTCAGCAGTATTGGGCACGAAACTGAGCGATGTTCCAGAGTGTGAGATAAGTCCAGCAGCAATGGGATTCTCAGCCCAAGCGTGTGCGTAATAGTCAACCGATGATCCACCGGCGGATTGGCCAAAGATAGAGATGCGTTCTGGGTCTCCACCGAAAGCAACAATATTGCGATGAACCCATTCAACTGCCATGCGTTGATCAAGCAAAGCGACATTCTGAGGCAGATTTGGTGCACCCGAGAACCCAAAGATGTTCAATCGATAGCTGTCCTCGATTTAGAATAGTGCAAGTGCAGAAGTAAGACAACTTACTTGATGGTCACCACAATCACATCATGTTCATCTGCCAAAGCTTGTCCATCGTAGTATGGGTTGTTAGCGCCACCGTTGGTAAACCCTTTGGATCAACGTCAGTCACCGATAGTGGAGTAAATTATAATAGCAAACACTTACGACCACCGTGGATCCAGAGAAGGACTGGTTTCGGCTTAGAAGCTGTCGGCCGCGTCCACAGATTCAGGTAAAGACAGTCCTCACTCTGAGAAGTCCTTAGTTCTTGTCTAAATGACTTCAAGATCCTGGGGCCCTGCGGGGTATACCCAGGGTAATCTTTTGGGGTTGAGCCGGTGTTTGCAGGACAGTCACTATTGCTTGGTCAGATGCATTCTGTAGTTCATATCCGCGACTTGGTACACATACGGACTCTGCACGGAGCACGATTAGCCTTGGCGTCTGGTAAACAGGGGCAAATACATACATAGGAGGATGCCTCAATTGTTTCCTCAGAGTCAAAGGCAACAGGAGGCGCGAATCGGAGGTCCCCAGTTGGCGGAGAGGCATATGGGATACCCAAGTACTCGGATACTCCGGGCCTGCGAGGTGCAGCATGACCCTTGATTAACCCGCTACTAGTCCGCACAGAAGCACCAACGTGCTCTTCCGGATGAGATGAAAATTTCTGGGCCCAAGCTCCGGGGAGACAAGCTGCTAGCAAGATAGCAGAGCCGATTGGTTTCCAGGACCCAATCATATTTGAAAATTAATTCCGGTAAGGGAAGTAAAAAAAATTGGCTAACGCTGCGGAATGTTCGAGGAATATAAGTGCTGCACACGTCGCTTGGAACCAAACTGATTGAGAAATCAATGCCCCACGGTCGCTTAACTCTACAGCGAAGTTGCCGATCGCGGTTTGAGGTGGATAAATGGGGAATTCACCGGCAATCGCTGTTCATAAAATGAGAAGTTTGGGGGCCAAGGGCCAAAACATACAGGAATCCTGGCGACCAATGGGAGATTTGACCATCGATCTTCTACCACATGATGCGCTAATTAAGATATTCCAGTTGCATTAGATCCATTATGCCAAGAGTTGATTTGCCTAGTCCAAGTCTGGCAAGTTATAATCCTAGGTTCATTGAGAGACCTGCATACATCCCTACAACGCGGCAACGCCGGTTTTCTAGGAACATTGGAGTACCACTCAATATATTATTACGTAGAAACCCGAGTAATGTTAGGAATTGCGCCCGGGCAGCCTTTTGTCGTAAGTTTGCAATTGTTTTTCTTTCTCTTTACCCCACAGTGATTGACATCTTTAACGTGAATCGTGGTTTAAATTAAGTCAAGTCAATAGGTATACATGTACTGTATTCCTCTCAATCCTTCCAACTTTAAACACAGACCCATAGTCCCCCAGTGTAACATAGGAAAAACTAGAGCTGGCCCCAGTCTAGTCCCAAACCGTCAAGTATCTCAAGACCTAGCAAGTTCGCCCCCGGCTCTGTAGATCAATTGTGTGATCACGAACACTTCAGATTTGGGGGCCACTGTGCATTTCGATTTATAACAAATATCGTGCCGGTTTCTTCTTTTCAGACTTGCACTGACCATCATACTGTGCCATGGCCTACGAAATCGGATTGAGCACGACTGAAGTACCCAATCGAGGCTTTCCGCTGTGGCTATGTAGTGTCCTGACGGTGATCATAGCAGGGAATCTTTGTGCTATCCAGACTGACTATTCGATATCATCATAGTCCCTTAGGATCGAATGATTGGATGATTTTGGCATCGTTGGTGCGTTTATCCCCGTTCATTGTGATATCTATATCATAGCGTTGATATTTGACAGATTTGCTCCGTTCTCCTTACTGTTACTGAATGCTCAGGTGAGTCGTCTCTTTTAATTGTTTCTCAACTATCTTAATTGTCTCTAATTCAAAGCTAGCGGTGCACTATGGCTACGGAAAACACGCCAAAGACCTTCCGCAATATAATCGAGTAACCGCCCTTAAGTGGTTCTTCGGCGCGCAAATCATGTACAAGATCGTCATCGCCGTCAACAAACTCTCCTTCCCCTGTCTCTACCTCCGAATCTTCCCGCAGCGAATCTTCCGGTGGTCTTGCTATATTGGCTTTGGCTTAATAACCGCATGGGGTCTTGCATATATCTTCGCTACCATCTTCCAATGCAAGCCCATAGCTTCATTTTGGGATATGACAATCAAGAACCCGCAACGTCAGGATAAAAAGGGTCTATGGATGTCATATTCCCTCATCAATATCGGTTTCGACCTGGCAATTACTGCTTTGCCTATATATCCGTTGAGTCGACTGCGGCTACGGCGCATTAAGAAGATTGGCCTTCTGGTGGTTTTTGGAATGGGGGCATTGTGAGCAATCCTACTTACAAAAAGATTTTACTCAGAAGCTCACATATTCAGTGTATGCGTGACAATGATCGGGCGCACTACAACTCTCGTCCAATCAGCCGAGGACTCAGATATAACCAGTAAGCCTTTCTCGCTTTCCACTGAAAAACTGCACAAAGTATAAACTAATACTGGCAGGCGGCCCAATTCCCGCAACGATTTGGAGCGTGATCGAAGCAAACACAGGTATCATATGCACATGTCTTCCGGTCTTTAGACACCCGCTACAATTCCTCTTTCCCAAATTCTTCGCCTCGCAACCTAGTACTAATCATTACAGTCCATATGTGGCACGCCCGCATCTCACCGCGTCCGAGCGCAATCTCAATGATACCCAAAATGTTGCATGGCGGGATGATCATTCGTCTAACGATGGATTCGAAATGCATACCCCGGATGGTCACAGGAATAGTCATGGGATCACGAAGGTAACAGACATAAAAGTCTCGTATGACCAGAGGTCAGAGGAATTATCGCAGCCGACTCGATCGAGGGAATTTTGACCACAATTGAATCCTTTATATAATGGAAATTGATAAAAAGGATATCTGTGAATGTATTCAACTAGATTGATGGCGGAAGATGGGACAACCAATTCGTGGGGCGTCACGTGCAGGGGAATATCTCCCGGAGGTTTCTAACTCCGAGACTTTCAACCGTCATACATCAACCAGATCTATCAATGGCTTGGCCAGCCTGATATCTTGCGGGTATTTCGGGCGTTTCACTTCATTCTGCATCACATAGTCCGGTCATAGCCAGATGGGGCAATTACGATCGAAGCGGGCTAAAGCGTCCGAAGCTACTATCTCAGGTGAGACTCGAATACCTCCACATTAAAAGCATAGCTTGACTGACGCGAACATACACATTTAGAAGAAGAGAATCTTAATTCTATCTCCTGTGAAGTATGCAGACAGCGGAAATGCAAAGTAGGTGGACATTTGCATAAAATTTAGAAAGAAAAAAAAAAAAAAAAAACAAAAAACGCTGACTGGCAAAGTGTGACCGAAAACTGTAAGATCAAAAATATTGATATCGAGAAGAGACATGGGTCATATCTAATTAGCATTGTCACCAAGGCCGTTCTGTTCTCAATGTGCAAGTGAACCGTCCAAATGTGTTTACCCAGAGAGTGGCAAGAGGTAAAATGCCCAGCTCACGCAGGTACCCATAGAAAACTGATCCGTTAATCCAGAGGCTTACCGCTGGGATATCTAAATCAACTTGAGCAGAGGTTAGCAGAAACCGAGTCCGCGCTGTACGGAGCTCTCATGGCCCTCCGATCAATGGGATCATCAACAGCCGTACAAGCCTCAACAAAGACCGACACAGCGCCGAAACACAAAGCAGCGCGCATGGAGGAGTGGTTGCAACTCCCACTCCGAGAGTGGCCGGATATGGAACGTTGGATGACAGTGATGTCAGACCAATTCAGCATCGAGCAACCGAGAGAGAGGATTCCAGACACATCAAGGGGCGGTTACGCAATACCTGTGACTCCTATTGATGATGATGAAACGCGTACTTCGGGGGTATCTGATGAGCTGTATTCAGGGACCAACCCGCATGGATGGCAGCCTGGGGGTAGCAGGATCAGTACAGGGAGTCTGTATGATGCTCATCAGCCGCGCCCTAGGATGATAACTTCCCCGGCTTATTATGGGCAACAGGTTGCGGTGGAGCCGGAGGTCCTGCCGTCTCCCTCGGCTGGGAGAATCCGGCATGAGGTGGATGATGCTGTCGGTGTTTCTGTTGTGGATCATGCAAATGCAGGAGCTGTTGTGGAGTCGCGATCGACAAGGGCTGAAGAGTTGTCACACAATTATCCTAGTCTGTATTTCTGAATCGATGTTTTCAAAATGTTCTGAGTAGAGGTGTGGAAAGCTTGGACACTTTATCTGTAACGGGGCCGGGTCACGGGCCATTTTGGCCTCAGGTATCACTAGTCAATTATCACGTGGAAGAGAAAGGAGACGTTTGTCACATTCTTCACTCCTTGAGGGCATTGTTTTCAGCCCAAAGCGCCAGTTGGACACACTCTATGCAGGATAGAGTGCAGGTAGAGTGCAGGGTTCCTGGATAGGGCCCTGGCGGGGCTCGGAGCGCATCACTCCACAAGCCTTTGTCCGGTGGAGTCCGAACAGATGAGGTTTTAATCACCGCTGCTCCACTGTGTCCCCCGAGTCCACAACGCTCCGCCCAGATAACGATCCCACAGAATCTCATTTGGTCTCTCTTCAGCTGAAGGGCTTCAGGCAAACAAGCCCTTGTGAATTTCCTCAAGCGCCACCCTGATTGGATATGCGGCAGTCCCTGGATTCTAACCTACGGGCCACGGAGCTTTGCTTTAAGCAATGAACAAGTCTAACTGGCTAGTGAAACGCCCGTGCCATCAAACTAGGGCCCGGACCTGCGTTCGACTGTTTCAGCCAAATTCTACGCGGGAGAATAATTGCATCACACAATGAGGTATGGTATTCACGTGGATTGGGAGATCCTTGAAGGGTCATCTGCCAGCGCAGTACACGTCAATTTTGAGTGTCCGACGACCATCACGCCTGACCAGGAGCGCCCCTCCATACCCAGGGACATCCAGGGTCGACCAGTCTGGACCTTCACTGTTCGGCCGGATGGCGACAGGGACTCAAAATTCAGAAGCAAATCAGCGTAGAGAAAAGACCGTAGAAAGACGCAAAGTGTAAAAGTCTGGATGAACCACTGGGAAGAACTCTGGGCCCCCAATCCGCGATCTTGTTGGGCTCCATCGGTCCTCAGTTGGTTCTCGGAGTGGCCAAACGTGTTAAGCGCCCGACCCCCATCACTCATCCCGTAAGGGACCCCCCTTCTTCTTCTTCTTCCAACCTCATCATTTTCAGTTCCTTCATTCTCTCCTTTTCTGCTGGTCCTTGATATCCTGTGATCTGTGATCACTCCTGTCTTGACCTAGCGCCTGGTTGTGCTCTCCATTCCTTTTAGCCCACAAAGAGGCTACACTCCCCTCCCATTTTGCTGCGCAAAATTACGAGACCTCGACATTCATTTGAAACGACTCAGTTTCATTTCTGCACAGTTTCTGGAATAGAATTCCATATCTGCCACCGGGCATTCCTGGAGTTGATCCTCCATTCCTTCCATCCCGCGATCGTCTACCACGCGAGACGGATCCGATCGCAAAAAGCGAACGCCCAACAATACGCGACATCTTTAAATTCCATTCTTGATTTGGACGATCGTACCGTCACCATCTTACCGACTCTTCTGAATCCATCATGTCGAACCTCACGAGAGCCTTCACCCGGCGCAATAAGCGCCCGGAAGTGTCCGCACCCATGCCATATCGCGGCGAAGGACATGTGCGACTGAATTCGGGAACCATCAAGCGTGGCAATATATCTGGCCCAGTCCAGCTGTTGTCTACGACCAACATGCTTGCCTACAACGCACCGGATCTTCACTCAGCCGTATCCACGTCTTCTTCGTCTTCGTTGCGCTCCGACTCCGACGCTGTTTCCCCGCAAAGCTACGCTTCGTCCATGACTTCACCAGACGTCTCTCCCTACGAGAGCTCCCCTGTTGAGGCGAACCCTATGGCATCCTATTTCCCCAAGCGCTCAGCTACCGTGACCAGCCATCCGCGCTCCTCGACCTCGTCTTCCCAGTCAAATATGGACGCTCCGATGATTCCCAAGCGCGCTCTGTCTCACACCAAGCGTTCGCACCAGGAGCTCGCTCACAAGCGTTCCGTCTCTAGGATGTCCCCGCCGCCTTTGAATGCCCCGCGCAGCACCCCTGCCATCCGCGCGTCCCAGGACTTCTTCCAGCCTGAGCCGCATCCATTCAGCAAGGAGCTGGAGCAAGTCAACGAAGTGGCCGAAGAATTCGGTGGGTTGAATCTACTTGATGACGAAGAGCGCATTCTGTATGACAAGGGGCTTAAGAAGTTCTCTGTCGAAGATTACCTCGTGGAGATTGAAGATCTCTACGGCAGCATTTTTGAGGACACACACGGATCCATGCACACTACCTCTTGGTTCTAATTTATCCCTAATACTGCCCCGCCCCGGTTGATCTGGGGTGATCGACACGAGATTGCAGCTTGCAAAGAACTGGATCTTCTTTGCTGAGTCTGCCGCGACGACCAACTATTATTCTCTCTCTGACGACTATTTCCCCTTGTTTTGCACGATACCATGGGAGGACCCTTCTGTTCTGCGTTCGGTCTTTGTTCTATCCCTTTTGCCTCTGCCATTGTTCTTTTCTTCCCGTCCTGGACGGTCTCTTTATCTCGGTCATTCTTTAGTCTGTGACTGGTGAGATTCGCATTTAGATTGTTTCAGGTTCTATTCAAGTTTTCATACTTGTCAATAGAAACACGATAAAAGCTTGCATATGTGTTTCCTATGCTGTAGTTCGAGTGTCTTGCTTGATTGCCGAGACATAAAGTAGTCTTACACACAATGTTAGACAAATCTAAAGCCATTGTCATGAGAAACACTCGCAACACCGTATACTTCCACGCGATGCGCGATGAGAACATGATGACATAAGTTAATCTTGCCGAAAGAGGACTAGCGTAGGGCTCACCGACACGGTCACGGGTTCACGGGTGCTCCGCAGGCTCCACAGCGAATGAAGGAAAAATTTCGCTTTTGCTTTGCTTCAGACCTGGCCATTTCGACCATTCGTTCTGTCTGCATCTGATTTCATCTCCTCCAAGCGACTGGAAAACCTCCAGAGGTGCAGACAGATGTTTTCCCTTTTTTCCGGCTTCAACCTGTAGCATAAACGTCAAGTTCGAGACGTGAGAGTGTCGTGTGCTTGGACCAGGCTTCGATAAGCTCTGTCCCGACATTGAATCAACGTCGACAGTGTTCTGTGTTTGAGAGCATAGAAGCAAATGTCGACTCATTCCTCTCTCTAGAATCTGTTATTGTTCAACACCCGGTCATGGTCTCCCTTGTCACGACTTCACACAACCCGGCGCTACCGCCCAACCCTGCTGTTTCTCGAGCGAAAATGATCCCCAACTCCTCTCCCGTTCCTATCCTCAAAACCTCCAAGCCGGCTCGTGCGGTCGCCGGCACAAAACGCAAAATGAGCGACACCGACCTCGCCCTCTCCCCCTCCTCATCCCAAGGCGATGACTTTACCGAAGAGCCCCCCAACAAGAAACGACCACGCGTTCAATTCGACCAGGATGTGAAGCTGCACGATGCTGCTGGACCCGATATCTCGTCGGAGAAGAGCCTGGCCTTCGTCCGGGAGGAAGTGCGCAGTGCTATCCACCGCCATGTCACGATGTCAGAAAGCGAAGGCTACGACCGAATCAAGGGAATCTTTACGGCCGACCCCAAACTACAGGGCGATGATTCCATGCTTGCGTACGACTTACCAACACATACGTCTTTGAAGAACCATCTCCTCGGTCTTCTCTCACATGTCGCTTCCTTGGATCGTTCATGCAGCGGACTTGTCCACGCTATCATCAATAGCGAGTGGCTTGGTCGTGATGAATCATATGTGAAGCTCTACATCCGGTTCATGGGCAATCTTGCTGCTGCACAAGGTACTTACCTTGGCCCTGTCTTGAAGATGCTCGCCACCAACTTGGGGACTGTCCCTCGAGGACTCGGTCGACTCCCTGGCTACGCTGTTGTTTCACCATCTGAAATCCACACTCGCGTCCACATGGCACTCCGTCATCTGCTACGACTCATCCCGGCTGCTAGCGGATCGCTCTCCCCAATTTTGTCTGCGCAGTTTCCCTTCGACTCAGATCCCGCTAGCGCTAACGTGGCTTACACTCGCAATCTTGTTCAAATTATCAATTACACCCCTGAACTGCAATCCGACATCCTGGCTCTGATTTTCGAGAAGCTTGTCAAGGTCGATGTACAGATTCAGGTGGATATGGAAGACTTTGAGGAGGAGGTTGGCGACGAGCTCATTCACGACATCGATGACGACGAAGTCGACGATGACAATGAGTCTGTTGCAAGTGACGATTCGGAAGAAGACGACACACAGGGTGCGAAGAAGATCAAAGACAACATCCTCAAGGTGGATGGCATGATTGATATTCTCTTTGAATACTTCGCTCCTCCTTTCACTTCGGGCAGCCTGGATGACAAGGAGAACGCTTTGGACCTGCTCTTGAGCCACTTCCAGAGCATTATTCTTCCAACATACCGGTCACGACACACTCAGTTCCTCCTGTTCCATTTCTCCCAGACTTCCCCTGTGCTAGTCGATCGTTTCGCCTCGACCTTTGTGCAACTGATTTTCAACAGGCTGCAACCTGGTATTCTGCGCCAGTCAGCAGCCGCATACCTTGCTAGCTTTGTCGCTCGTGGTGCTCACATTTCTGGCGATGTGGTTCGCGACGTTTTCGACCTGCTTCTCACCCATCTGAACAGTCTGCGCATAGATTACGAAGTGAGCTGCCGCGGCCCTGATCTCCGTCGCTACGGACCCTTCTACTCCACCGCTCAAGCCCTGCTGTACATCTTCTGTTTCCGCTGGCGCGACCTGACAACCGCTGCCGTTGATGGCGACACTGCAGACCAAGTGGACGAACTTGAGCCAGGCCAAATCCAATTCCCTCCCAACATCAAAGAATTCCTCCACAAGTCCATCTATTCGCGTCTGAACCCTTTGAAGGTGTGCTCTCCAGCCATCGTCTCTGAGTTCGCACGCATCGCCCACCACTTCCAATTTCTTTACGTCTACCCCCTCCTCGAGACCAACAAGCGCATCCGCATCACAGCCTTCCGAAGCATCTCCACTCTCGCCGACTCCCGCTTCAGCCAAGTCGGCCGTGAGATCCGCGCCGGCGATAACAGCGGCTACCAACTTGACGCATACTTCCCCTTCGACCCATACCAGCTCCCCCGCAGCCGACGCTGGCTGGAAGGCGACTACGTCGAATGGCGGGGTATTCCCGGTCTGGATGATGCTAATGACTCAGACAGCGGTGCCGACGAGGAATCCGATGAAGACAGCGAAGACGCAACGGAGACAGACGAGGACTAAATCGGTTCAATCTCCACATGTCCTATTACCTTGCCGAAGAAATCATCACTTTGTGAGCTTGATATTTGATTTGAATTTTTTTGTTACTTGAGCGTGGCGTCCGGATTTCCAACCATTTCTGTGATTTGTTTTTGTTCTTTTTCTTCTCTTATTTGCCACACAAAAAAAGTACTGATACCATGTTTCTCTCTTACGACTGATGACATTGTGCTTCATTGCGGAACTGTTTCGTGGGACTCTTTGAGTTTTCCATCGCATATGTACTACTACAGTGTAGATACTTTCTACCTAGTTGCTCAAAAAAATGGGAAATTATTACATTCAATCCTTTTCCTTTATGTATGGCTGCTGGTTCGGCCGTAGCAGTTGACAAACTCGGTCAATGTTAAAAGATATCAAGTACATTTTGATTCGCCAATGAGATATAGAATCAGTCTAAGCCTCTGTCCCAAATGTATACGACCCCCATTCTGCTACCCGGTGGATCCACATAAACTCCGCCAATCTTTGACAACAATCAAAAATCAAAAATCAAAAATTGGGTAACAATCCGAAGCAACCATAATCATGGGGTTCGCAAGCTTGCACGCGATACCTGTGTCTGGAGCAAGCAAGCCCATTCTTGCAGATATATCCGTATGACCGTTCAAGTCTCTGCAGCCACGAATGTGCCATTCTTCTCTGGCACGAACGCCGATGATGTCTTCGCATTTAGATCCACATCTGGTGCAGGGTCAAATGCCACCGGATGATGATTCTCCGGCACACCCATTCTGGAGGAGTAATTATAAAGAATGAAGAATATGCATGTTAAGATGAAGATAGTTGGGATTGAGAATTTGTGGAATTGGGAGAGATGCTTGGAGGACATGACTTCTGTCTCTAGCTGTGAGGGAGAGGGAGTTCAGGGGGAGAAAGCACAGTACATAGAGGACGAGCTTTTCACCGGGCTTTAGCACACTGCCAAGGAGCTATTGTTAGTTGGCTGTTGTAAGCTGCCTTGGCTGCTGTTTATAGACCCTGCGTTGTTTGCTCTCCAAGTAGGAACATGGCATCCAATCAAGCGGCTTGCTCTCTCGGTAAAATCTCATAGTGGGATTCATGGCGCGGCGGCTAGACTGGAATAAGCTGAAGGGACTTGGCTCACATAAGCATATGCAATATGTCTTCTGTATGCGACTTCGGGTATTCCATGGTCAATGTATACATTGTAGTTATGGAATGTTGATGGAGTGGAATTTGGATGTGGCGTTCGGCTGTAGATTTACGTTTTGTTGGTATTGGAGCGTGGACCGTGGGATAATGGATGGCAGTTGAATAAGGTAAGCCGTTGTATAGAGGTCGTACGGGCATCAATTGGTGTCGAGGGGTCTAAGGGTGTAGTGAATCATATATTATGGCACAATCTGTACTTACGAAATAGCCTCCCACATATCCCGACACTGAAAAATGACCTTTCCACGGTTTAACCGGTTCAACACAGCCTGCATATTCTAAATCATCCCAGATCAGTATAAATCCCTTTCTTTTGCCGCTCTTGCTTATGTCGTCGTCGGACACGTTCGTGAGAACCAAGAATCCTTGCGAGAGCGGTACTCTGGGAGCTGATGTTTGGCCGTACCGAGCTGCTTGGTACGTTTCGACTTCGTGCTCGCGATTTTCACGGTTTTAACCGATGATAGACAGTTCTCTATAGTATCTCTTTGCTGGGACACTAGCTTTTTCACAAGGGGCATGTATAGGGCTGGGAGATTCCACTTTGGTAAACTCAAAATATGCACACCAGGAAGTGTATGAGAATATAAAAGCTGAAGAAATGATAGGACTGAGACGCACATACTACAGAATATTCAGAAGCACGGCTCTTCGACGTCTGCGTCAATAAGTATTTGTTGCGACATTCATGTCGTTACGTATCCATCTTTGGGTCGCTATATTGTCATTCTTAACACTACTAATAGCCCTCAAGTAGCCATCGAACGCCTGCGTGTAGTTATTAGGCTCCAAGCTGAAGAGGTACTTTTCTGTAGCATTAAATTTGAAATCATATTCGAATACGGCCAATAAATGGCCTTTAGAAGGGTTGGAAGGAACCTGTACATAGGACCCCACAAATTATACTGCCTATTCGTACCTAGAGATCTATTCAACTTGAAGGCGATTTCGCGCTGAAATAAGAGACATGATATTCTGTAACCTTCCTGATGCCATTTGCATTTGGATCCTGGGCTTCACTGACCTGGCTAAACGGGAGGATTTGGCCCGTGCTATCCTCCGAGGGGCGGTTTTGGGAATCGTTGATTTGGTTCAAACCGTTGCTGCTCTTTGTATCAAGGTACGCATGAAGCTGTGTCCAGTTGTTTTGAGACCGGGAGGTGGCGATAGGTTCGGAGCTCTTGACAGCCGAGTTTCCATAGCTATCGGCTCCGTGATCTACGGAAAAAAAGGAGGGAAAGAGCTTCGCAAGCGGCGTCCACATCATTGGCAGGCAGGCGCAGGTGATCGCTACGTTTTCTTCTGTTACCGTCCATACTGAGGAGGCAAGATCGTCTGGAGAGGTATTTCGTGAGTGCTTGAGCAACAAGACCCCGGAGGGGCTATGAGGACACTTACAGGTAGTGTCAGGACTGGTGGACGAGAAGTCCAGGGTCTGCATCCGGATAATGCTTGTAACGGCGACACTTGGAAATTACGGGTCAGTCTTGAGTTGATGCCTTCGGCTGCGGCGAGGTATGAAGGACTCACAAGGCGCCGAGCGCAAACACAATCATCAGGGCGATTTTCCGCCTCAACATTATCTTCGTTTTATAGAGCGGATACATTGGCAGCGCTAATATGATGATGTCGGTAGCGATCGAGAAGCCGGCGTTGGCGTACCAGTTGGTGGTTATGTCAATGCATGATCCTGGAATGGTCTTGTCCCAGGCTCGGGACACTGGTGTGCATTGAAATACGGAGGCGAAGAAGGCGGCCACCATATAGGAGGTGATAATAACCAAAAGCACATGACAGGTGATGCGGAACCAACGCTGGATAAAAATGCGCAGATATAGCAACAGGATGGACATCTTTGTCATGTTCATGGTGAGCTTGTAGAATGCTTGACTAACGAAGAAGAGCTGACAAGACTGAAGTTAGCAGCCCATACGGACTAAAACGGCTAGCGATCTGTAGCCATAGCATGGAACTGGAGGACTGCGCCGAGGACAATTCACAACGTACCTTCAGGGTCATTCGCCTATGCGGTACTGTGAGATTCGCGATGTGTTGGCCAAAGCCATAGGCACAGGACGCCAGCATCAAGGCCATGACGATAACGGCAAACACCTATCGATAGGAGTGTTAGGTCCGCATGAGGCAACTCAATCTCAAGCATGAAGAGCTCACGGAAGATGCCAAAATGCTCCAGTCGTCCCAGCCCAGGCCCGATTTGGACCTGGCTCGGGACCACAGTCGGATCGCCACAAAGGCCGGCGTGGTGACAAGGAAGGCGATACATGGTGCTTGGATCTCTAAAGCCCTGCTCGGCCCTGGTGTGTTTCCCGACATAGCAAATTGCTGGAGGTCGCCTGGAGGTAGGTAGTATGGTCTTGTGAAACCGATAGAGGCGAAGGTCGATACGTATGTACTAACCTCGAGGCCGTGCTCAGTAGGGATGTAGCCTACATCCCTGCACCTTCCTCTTCCCTGCAACGGTATATTACCGGTGGAATAGCGTGTTATGCGGCATAGTTTCGCCGACGCTGACAAGGGTCATATTAGCGGCAGTTTCCGCCCTCTGGACATCGAGTGACATCGCGCGGCCTGACCGCAGCATTCACCCGTTACATCCGAGACCCTCATAAGAAATAAAGGGCTAGACAGTTGTTTTCCTTTTTTTGTTGACGAGGCCGCAAGATGTACTCCGTATACGTGATTAATCTCACGTTGCATGGCGTGGAAGTCGCTAGTTTGAGAATTGTTGGGGGCCAACTTGACCGTTGGTTTTGGACAATCCTATTCACTTCTACAACCAGTAGGCTAGTGCATAGTCGATTGATGCCAATATTATCAACTGGGAAGATTTTAGCTGTCGGATTGCTTAAGAGCAAGGCCTGAATCCCTGTCATGAACTGGCCACTACTTCGCACAGCAACCCCCCCCCCGCACGGTGCCTGACTACACCAAGTTCGTGTTAGTGAAATTTGCAGTTGATTAAAAGGCCCCTGTCTCGGTGGCGTCGATAAGCGAAAGAGGAAAGGCAGTAGGCGGCCTCTAGGTAACTACATATAGGTTAGCAACGCAGAATCTGTGCCCCTGACTCTGGTGATACCCAGGAATCCACTTTTATTTTACACTAAAACAATTGCCCATCTGGTTTATATTTATTTGCATCAGGAGGCGAACGGTCAAGTCTGTATTTCTCTCAATCGATTGACGGAGAGCAACCGTGCTCTTTAAAGGGTAGTCACTGAAGAACGTGCTTTTGCGAGTAACCACATGATGAAGTTCTTCTCCGTCTTCAGTGCCTGGTCAGCGATACTGTCATGTACGGCTGTCGTGTCCGCACAGTCCGACCCCGACTCAATTGGCACCATCTACGATGGCCATGTGCCAGCCGATCTATACGGATCCAACTACACCTACCCTTGGCAGGTGAAGCTGTTCAACTTCTCCAATCAGCGCCAGAATCTTACGATGGCCTTTATGGACATACCAGCAAGGAACCATCACAAGAATAAGAAGACAGCGGTCTTGCTGCACGGCGGGAACTTCTGCGGTGTTACATGGTCCGATACGGCGCGCCACATGTCGGCCGCCGGCTACCGAGTGATCCTGCCCGATGACATCGGCTTCTGCAAATCGAGCAAGCCCCAAGGCTATTCTTACAATGTGCATCAGCAGGCGTTGAACATCAACAGCCTGCTCACTGCGCTAGGCATCGATCAAGTCACCGTAATCGGCCATTCGATGGGTGGCATGATCGCCGCCCGCTACGGTCTCATGTACCCGACCAAGGTTCAGCAGCTTATCCTCGTCGATCCCCTGGGCCTGGAGGACTGGGTGGCCAAAGGCGTGCCCTATTTATCAATCGACGCGACGTACAAGAGCCAGGTTGTGCAAAACTTTACCACTCTCAAGCAGTATGAGCAGGTCAGCTACTTTCACAATGCGACATGGAAGCCTGCGTATGATACCTGGGTCCACATGCTAGCCAACATCTATTCCAGCGACTATGGCTCAGACTATGCGTATGTGATGGCCCTCGTCACCGACGCCTTACTCTCCCAGCCTGTAATCTACCAGCTGCCTCTCCTGCAGACACGTACCTACCTCATGGTAGGAGAGAACGACGTTACGGCGCTTGGCAAAGCATGGTCATCCCCCGTCGTCGCTGCGAAGCTAGGCCATTACGATGAACTCGGTCCTGCTGCCGCAGCCATGATCCCCAACTGCACTTTCCACATGTTCCCCGGCCTAGGCCATGCGCCCTTCCTTCAGGACCCCGAAGCATTTTACGACGTGCTATTTTCTTGGCTGGACTAGATGGTATTGGCAATTGGCACACCATAGCATCTGATACATTATCTATTTGTCTTACGAGAGTGAGGAGACATTATGCCAAACAATGTACATAGTAGCGCTTTATAAGAACGGCGGCTATTTGTGCGATCGAAGAGTAGGTTCGGCAGGCCTGGTAGAAAATGACTGAGAAGATATCATGTTAAATGTAAAAGACGCCTTAACTAAACATACATAAGTCTGCATGTACCAGAGTTGGTCTTTGTTTAGGAATTTTATCCAGAAGCTGTTCGAGCCCCCTGGTAAAGAAATCCTCTAACCATAGATTAGCCAAGTGATTACCTACGGGTCAACCACCAAGACCATGGGGCAACTGGCCCAGTTACTCAACCATGAGGCATATCATAACCGTACGCTCAATCGCAGGGTTGTACTGGTTAGATGCCAGGCCGGTGCTACAGGATGATTGTAGCCACCAGTGCACTAGAAATGGGGTTGATATACCCAACATTCGCAGTATCAATCACATTTGGCTGTCCCGCAGGTTATTGGGTTACGCGCAAGAGAGTGGGTGAGCTGGCCGGGAGGGGAAACGCACCGAGGCCATTACCATTCAGCCGCACGGGGTCCATCGACCGAGATGGGACCCGATACATGAGAATCCCGTGAAAGCTCAGGCCAAGAAAGGCCGGCTAGACGATATATATCGTCTGGGTGCCTATGGGTAATACTGGACGGATATTTGGATGGCCATCAACGACAGCACTGCGGTGATTCCGATCATAGCGAGCAGGTTTGCGATGGCTGTGACTAGGAGTGGCAGGCTAATGAAGTGTACAAAGAGAGTGTACAAAGAACGTGAGGTAGAGCGAGGTGGAGGTGGAGAGTGTAGGGGATGGCCCATCCCCCATGCATCAAATCAGGGGTATTCAATCCCATGGTTTTACCTTATGTTTTATACCATTAGGTCCAGGGTCCCGTCGATCCGCCTGCGGAAGTAGTCAATGGTGGAAGCACTGCCGTGGACGGGGAGAAGTTGGTCGACCAGCTCGGAGCTGAAGAATGCAAACAGAACACAAAAGAGAGGTGAGAGGTGAGCCTCGCGCGAGTCCCGCGTAACTCTGTGCGATAGTCGTCCTACCCTATGCCAGTGTGGCGACCGCTTCGCGAGAATCCTCCTGGCCCGAAGTCAAGAGGCCATTTGTTGCTAAGCAGGACCAGAAATAATCCACAATTTGTATTAAATAGGGACTAGCTAGGGTCTGTATCTTCATCAATACCTAAGTGTAGCATAGCGAGACTTCGTTTCCCGGATATGATTAACCTCTATTCAAGATGAGAAGATAACGTCCATGTACCTACAGGCAGTCGCCATCACAACTCCTGGTTAAGCTTTAGGTTCAGCTGGGCCTCGATACGACTCATCTCCTCCTCCGGGTCATCGATGGTGTCGTCACCATCATCATCAGGATCCCCTTCGACGGGCCTCTTGTTTTCAACCCTCTGGAATCTATTGTCAATCCACAGCCAGGCTAATGGCAGCCCTACCAAGCCAGTGGTATGGTCTGCACGCGCCAGCGTAATGTGTTTCACCCGCGTCAAGGTTTTCAACCTCCACTTGGACACCAGGTCTTTTGTGTCCTTAATAGGCTTCGTGATTTCGTCCTCAGCGCCATTGAAGATCAGGAACGGATACCGCGGCCTATTTTTCCATGTAATGTTTCCTCCCATCACACCAATCTCGTCCAGTGTAGTCTTGAATTTTTCCAAGAAAGAATCGCCGTTTTTGAAGAAGGATGAGACATTGACACCGACCAGTTCCTCTGAGTTGATTTCACAAGGCCTATAACATTTTGTGAGGGGAGAGAGAAATAACTCTCTCTTCTCATCGAAGAGGTCATCACGTAAATATTCGTCTATCTTAGGGTAGGCATTCATCACCCCGAGCAGAGCCGCGACGTTCAGCTCAGACATATTACCATTGTTGGCATTATGGTAAGTGTTAACAACATTAGGGGGAGGGGCACCCATAACAGCACCGATGATGGGCAATTCTGGCGCATACCATGCACGTTTCTCAGTAGCCCATTCCGTGGCAAAGGCGCCACCAGAGTAGCCGAACATGATGAATTTCGCATCGGGGCTGATCTTTTCAGAAGGGCTGATATCGGGGTGCTCTATGGACTTCAAAGCTGCGCGGATTGAATCCAAAGTCTGGAAGGCGCTCGTCGGTCCCACCGTAAATGTTGCATTTGAGCCCTCGTAATCAGGGATATTCATTATAGGACCTCGGCGAAGGTAGCGGAATAAGAAGGCCAGGTTCATCCTGTTCCAGCTGGCGCCCCAGCCATTAGCTCGAAATTGGAGCCCGTACGAGGGACCGCAATTGACGTCGGCGGAGTCGTATGCGTTCTGGACAGAGAGCACTCTCTTGAAGTTGGGATAAACAGGAACAAGAATGGTTGTGACTGAAGCATCCGGTTTGCCGTGCACATTCTGTGTGCGATACAGTAACTGATATGCTTTTGCCTTGCTGGGAGCGTATGGGAGCAATGAGCTGATGGTGACATTGCGGACTTTCAAAATCGTCCCAGGTTTCTCATCTTTCCAAGAGTCGCCATCTGGCTGGTAGAAAGGATCGTCACTTGGCCGCTGAGGTGGAGGTGGCACAGTGAGTCCAGGCGAACCAAATGCATGCTGAACCCCGAAGACCAGAAGCGGTACTAAGAGCGACAGAAATCGCATCACGAATAGGAGAAACAAAAGGCTCGTTTTAAATGGAGGCGTACAATCAGTAGGAAGGATGGTACTTCAGCTCCTGGTTTGTTCGGTAGTGGTAGACTTCAGTTCACAGCGGCGAATGGCTCAGATTTATAGTCGTCAACTTTTTTGCATTTTTGGTGATCAATTTTGCATCAGATCATTACCGACGGTAGTTGCTCGGGAAAGGCAATGATAGACTGCCTTGAGCGCCTTAGAAGGTAACTAACAGGTCACTTTTGGTCGGGCTCACGACTACGAGCCCCGTGGAACTAGCCAAAGCCTCTGCCCATTTCCTTGAGATCATCAGATACGACGATCAATTCAGCTGGATGCGTTTCAGCTGAGTTCATTGGCGCTTTGATGTTACACAAATTTCAGCGACCTGCAGATACATTCCAAATCCTTCCAAAACGGTATAGATTAACGTAGTATACATCTAGCTTTTCTTCTCTATTTACATCAATAACACTATGTGAGATCTATGTGATTCAGTCAAATATTTAAACGCCGATAAGACCATTTTGTGGATCATGCAAAGCAAGAGTAGAGAAGGATATTACCCGACAGATTGGGACAGAAAGGCACTTGTGGGGTTCTGCGACAGTATGTACACAGCGAGGGGATGAATTGGTGGCTGGCTGAAATGTATTATCCAAAGTGTGAGATGTCACTCTGCGCTGTTTCGTTGCATATGCTATACATGACCATTATTACCTTCTTGGGTACCCTACATTGTAGTCTGCAGTACACTTGCTCTATTTTGGCGTTTTCTTTTTCTTTTTTTCTTTTTCCTTTTTTTTTTTTTTTTTTTTTTTTCGAGAGCGCACCTACCCTTCCTTACCTAGGATTATGTTATTTTGAAGGACGTGGTACAAATTGTGATGGCAGATGGATCTGTTGTAATTTAGAGCAATTATTTATTGTTCTATTTCTGAGGGGGTACAAAAGACTATATACATTGTGGAGGAACCATTTCCGATGATGCGGCTTGGTTCTCGGTTTGCACCAGCCCTGTATCACACAAGCGACGTGCATACGTGCATTGCAATGTGTGGGCTGATTGGGTGGAAGACTTCCCCATATTCACACTGAGCTATGTGCACTGTACAGCCAGGATGGCTACAGTGCTAAGGTACGGTGGAGCCCAAAGAGCATAAGCAACATGCGGGCCGTGCTGCAGCTTGGGGGCGTATTGATCTACATAATTGCATCAGCTTTGTTACACGGCCTCGAGTAGAGAACTATGGGAAGAGCTGTGTACTTGCTCCTGGCCACTTTTGCATGGGCATGAAACATTCCTCTGTATTTCTCTTTCAGGGCTTGCAAGGCTTTTTTAATAGCCCAGTCAGTTGTCTATGATCATTCGGGGACGCGGCTGGGCTTGTTCAGGTGAAACATGCTCGAACAGTGCCCTAATGCACCCGCTTGTATTGCATGCAGTCTGAGCAACAACCAAAGATGATGCTCATCTCTTGGTTGTATATGCGCTACCTGTAAGATCAGCAGTGTTCGGTCTCTCTATTTGCAAATCTGAATGTTCTCTCCAGCCCAAGCATATTATAGAACCTGTGACTTCGCGTCCCACTACCACTAGGCCTGGGTAGTTGATGAGCCCCATCAATATACGGTAATCAAGGTGAGGTATTTTTTTCTGGTTGGATAACGATCTTGAAAGCTTTCTTTTTTGAATTGTTATGATCTATCTCTCTATACTAAATGGTACCGTGATGATGTGAAATCTCAGTAAATTTCAGCTTTCGGTGTGATGTGCGTTGATGGGGGAATGGGGTGCACACCAATTACTCGACCACCGGGAGTGGTAGTTGGGTGCTGAAAGCAAGAGTATATGCTGGAATTGACAGAAGTTGCCTATGTCTTATTGGTCGACTTGAATCGTTAATCAAAAATGGCGCAGATAACGTATGAGACACCTTGACCGAAGTATCTATTGCAATATCATCACAGTTGAGACTACTCGTAAGTCGTCATAGTTGTCGTTGGTATGGGTAGTGAGAAATATGGAGATGGAGTTAAGAATCAATGCATCTTGAGCTCTTTGCTCCTATGATTAGATCATGCTAATACGCTAACCAATATGTCGTAAATTTGCAAGGTCTGCTTCTTTTCATGATATCGAATAAATGGAATGTGGCATCAATTTGTGCACCTCAGCCGATGATCTCTGCCACATCGTTTCACTCATGTACCCCACACCCCACATTACAGCAGCATCATATCAAAGGAAAACCTCAGCCTGTGTCGGCTTCCAGGATTAGAACCTGTGAGACCTGCTAAAAAGGTCTACTTGCAAGTTTACATTATGGAGTCAGTTTACGACTACTCTCACCCTCACCTGGGGAATTTTCGTGGTCTTACCTCCGAGTCCACGCAACGTTTTCTAGGTGTCCGATACGCCAACCTATCGGACAAATTCTCGCCTGCCAAGGTGAATGAAGAGGCAGGTCATTTAACCGATGCAACAGCTTTCGGGTAGGATATTCTTTTTTTGAGAAAGATGCAGTTCTTCTGCTGACCCCAAAAGACCAGCCGCTCCATCGCCACCCAATGGTGTAGAGCACGAATTCCAGTTGATTCAAAAGGCTCTACCGTATTCGCCAGTAACACAGTCTGACACTGAGTGCCTTAATCTTAATATCACTGCGCCTAAGGGTACCTCACCAACCTCAAATCTACCTGTAATTGCTTATCTTCATGGTGGAGGATTTGTCATTGGAGCGAACTTCTGGCCTCAGTATGACTTCAGAAGAATAGTTGAGCAGTCTATACGCCTCGGAAAGCCTGTGATTGGAATAAATATCAAGTATTCACACTCATCAATGGTTTCCTTTGGTATATACGCTGATTGGAATGTACAGTTACCGACTTGGAGCGCCAGGCTTCCTAACTTCGTGCGAACTGGTTTCCCACGGGTACAAGCCTAACAATGGCCTTCATGACCAACGAGTCGCACTGCTATGGATCCAAAAGTTTATTTCTGGGTTTGGGGGTGATCCCAGCAATATTACACTGGCTGGCGAGAGCGCCGGAGGAGGTACAAAATCACCCGCTACCCCATTCATTGACCGTCACTGACTAGGTAAATCTTACTAGTCTCTGCAACAACGCAACTACAATCAGAAATCCCCCTATTTCGTCGAATGGTTTGTCTCGGAGGAACAAATCTGCTCATGCAACCTTTGCCTGATGTAGTTTCCGAAAAAACATATCAAGAGGTTATCGGTCGGCTCGGCCTTACGCAGCTTGAGCCATCTGCCAGAGTAAAGGCTCTTGTACAGACCCCAACAAAGGATTTGCTATCAGAGATTAGTCCCAAAGACCCTCTTCAGCCAACACTGGGGGGGGATCTCGGGATTAAGTCTCGTACATATGCAGAGATCTATGAAGGGTCATCCGAGCTTGACCTACCAGGAAGGGAATGGTGCGAGGAAATCATGGTCGGCGACAGCCAGATGGATGTGAGATCTTAGCCCTTCTGCTTTCACAGACTAATGCTAATGCTAGTCAAGGCTAGCATTTTCGCCAGTATGTTCGACAGAAATCTCGCAGGGGTAGCAGAGGCGTTTTACGACTCTTTCACGAGATCCCTTGGCTCTGAAGATAGAGCGATTCAGGTATCTAAGGCGTACAACATTTCAGAAGCCCTGTCCGACGAAAAGGCACTGGAAAACATCCTTAACTTTGCGCAGGACCTGAAGTTTTTCTTCCCTGTGCTATGCTACGCACATTGTTGGTCAGGTCGTGCATATGTTTTCCACTTTAATGAACCGAATACCTGGGATGGCCCACTCAAGGGTCATGCAAATCATATACTCGATGTTGCATATCTTTTTCAAAACTACAATGAGCATGTGACAGATCGCCAGCGGGCCGTAGCGACCCAGTTTGCCGAAGATCTGATTTTGTTCGCCAACTCAAAATCGCCCTGGAGACCCTTCAAGTATGAGAATATGGACTTATATTCTCGAATTTATGGTGTGGATCTACCAGTTAATCCTAACCGAGTCGCAACAGTGAAGGGTCCGGTAGAGCTTTCCAAGCGCCGTGATGTGATTTTCGAAATCATGAAAACAATTCCCGCGGACGAGCTATCCAAGGCGTGGGGTATGTTTATGACAGGGATGTAAAGGGGAATCGTGCATTCGTGGGATCGTGGCGAATTCTCTCAGAGATGAGTTTATAACGACGTTGATGAACTCAACTCAAAAGCCCTGTGGCTGAGTTTATGGGGGAAAAATCTCTTTTTGAACAATGCCTCAATACATAGATGGGTTACTTTTGATGACAGCTAGGTCTGGAGTCTGCCTGTTTTCGCTATCTTTGTTATATTAAACTCTACCTTGAATGTCCAATACAAAATTGCAATATACTTTGATTGTCACTATTATCTGAAAAAAATGAAATAAAACGACTATGGTTCGCTACACAGTACCACACTTCCCCGATGATCCAATGAATATAATCAATGACTTTTGATGGGTCAGATGATGGTAGCTATCTCTAGTAATCATCTGCCCACATAGACCCGAGAATCTTTTCTGTCGAAGGCCGAGAGGCAGCACCTGAGCATAAAATTACTAGGCAATAATGGCCACACGCAATCGTTCTCATCTAACCAGATATACCGATCCGTTACATAGCCCTATAGCATTGTAATGTCGTATAAAACCGTGACCGAGGCAATTAACCTGGCGAAGGACAGCTTGAACGTCGGTCGCGTACTTCTTGTTGAGTACAATATGCAATTTCCACGGATCATAGTAACCTTAATGCTGGCCGCTCTATCAGGGCTTCTCTTCCACCGACAATATCTCCACCAATTCGCGAAAGTTCTTGTTCCATTCGTTGCGCGATCCACATGTTAATGGCGAAATTGGACTAATCCAATGGCCAGTGGTACGGTGGGATCTTAGGAATTTTTGAAGGCTGCAGATGAGTATGACCTTTCACCAAAATGGCCTAAGTATATGTATTGAGTTCAATATCGCTCTGGTTTGCTGCGATACAATTCCTTCGATTGCACTAATAACGAACGCGTATCTTGGAAGATTAACTCGTTCTTAGTCTTGTTATATTGATAACTTTAATTCTTTTTTTTTACCATCCAAACACCTCCCCCTCCCCCACCCTCTCTTTCTCTTTCGCGCGCGCGCTCTCTATGTTTCCGTCTAATTTTAACATAAATCATTCCAACCCGTCCCTCCACCGCAATAAAGGGTAGGATACGTTGCTTTTACGCCCGGTGGACATAACAGCGAAAATGACTTGCGTTATTAAGTTTTTCTTAGTAGGCCGCACGAAGAAAATTGCTCAGGGGATTCATTCTTTCTATCCAAAACTGAATTTCATGCAGAATTACTGATGGAGCTGGAGTCTATGTCTGAAAAGAAGTCGTGAACAGCGTTCAAGCAGTCTTTGGCCTTGTCAGTGTAGATTTCATGCCCAGCCCCATGAATAACAACTAACTTTGACCCTCGCACCTGCCTAGCAATCTGCAGCTGCTCCTCTAGTCCAGTAGCGGCACTTTTCGCTGGAGCGAGGATCAGCATAGGCACGGAGATTTCCGAAAGAAGGTGCCGTGTATCTAGCCCTGATAGGAATTCGGCGTAACCAGCAAGGCCATCGCTGGAGCTCGCGGCGATCTGCGAAATCCACCAAGATTGGTAGTTTTGGTCTGTCGTCGAGAGAGTACCTGGAACACGGGCAAGATGCTCTCCCCAGCCCTGGGATCCGAGCTTCCGGCATGCCTCTGGCCAGCTGAAATGGCCAAAGGAAAAGAGACTAAGCGCTTCAGGCGGAAGATGTGAGGGACTCGAGATGACGGTTAAGCTGTACAGTCGATTAGGGAATTTCGCCGCGAAAGCTTCCCCTAGCATGCCTGAGGTACTCTCGCCAATGAAGTGAACCTTCTCAATACCTAGCTGATCAAGAGTGTCGACGATTTCGGATAATATTGTATCAAGAGTGTACTGGTACCCATCACCTAGCATTGGGGTGGATGACTTGCCATGGCCTCTGGTGTCCCGTCGAAGAACTCGGTATTGTCGCGCCAATGAGGGAATCCAGTGATACCAAAATGCAGAGTGCCTTCCAAATCCCCCTTGTATGAGTACTGTCTTCGGGTTATCCCAAGGATCTGTGTAATCATCAACAATCAGATGCGTCGTTTGACCGTTCGCATGCTTCAAGAGACGTGAAGCAGAGTTCGCGCTAGCTTCCATATTCTGAAATTGTGTATCTTGGGAGTTCTGAATTGATCGACGGATAATAATCTGTGGGCTTGAAGATATGGCCATTCTAAATTAGTCGTACAAAGCAAGAATATTTGATTGTATGGTGACCTGGCAACTCACATAAAGGTGAGCAATGCAAATAGCATAGTTCTCACTAAGACCGCTCCCAAGAGGTTGGAAGGAAATCAAGTTCTGAATTAGTCAGTTATCTCAATATGCTTAGAAGGAACCACCATCGGTGTCGCTTTTACCCCACATACATTCCCCAAAGTATCTGCACGCTGAGCCCCACGAAGCAATTTTGTTCCAGGTAAGCGAATTCTGTCACCGACTGAAGGCATCAAAAAAATGACTTTGACCAAAAGCATCGGGAAAGATGCGTGAACTATGTAAAGCTGTTATTCTCGCCTCGTAATATGAGTTTATGTCCACAAGGCGGGCCTATTCTACAGACCCACGAGGTCGTCAGGTCGCGTATACGACTCTATTCCCCCACCTGGCTCAACCCCACAAAGACACCCGATTAAGATGTGCTGGAATATCTGCTCTTCATTTGGTGTAGAATCCTTCAGCTGTCGCAATTAACATGGATGATGATACACTGCTGTATGCCTCCGATGGTGGCGATTATGTCACTGTGATTCCGATCAATGGCGGCGAGATCAGCCTGCCTGAACGATCATTTGTTTCGCCCGGTGACCCAAATAATTCGGTAACAGTTCCGTCGCTGAGCTTCCTGATAACTCATCCCGGCGCCAAGGGTCAAGACCGGCCCAGAAACTTTCTCTTTGACCTAGGGCTCCGCGCCCGACTGCAAAATTATACAAAGGAGAACCAATCACACCTACAATCGCGCATACCTTACCGACTTGGCCCTGGAGTCGCTCAATTGCTGCGTCAAGGTGGTCTGGATCCAGCTGAAATTGACACTGTGATCCTCAGTCATGTCCACTACGATCACCATGGTGATCCAGCAGACTTTCCCAATGCACAGTTCCTTCTTGGATCTGGTTCCCTTTCTCTGATTCACCAAGGGCTTGGGACCAGTGCTTCACATCAATTCTTTGATCCGAACCTGTTCCGCGACGTTTCACGAGTGAGTGAGCTCCCAGAGCCCCAGAAGGCCCCATGGAAACGTCTTGCGCCGTTTGAAGCAACATTCGATTTAATGAAAGATGGCTCCATCTTTATTGCTGATGCCCCGGGCCATCTTCCGGGACATATCAATCTCCTTTGTCGAACTGGACCCCGAGAGTGGGTCTACTTAGGAGGTGATAGTTGCCATGATATACGACTATTAAGTGGAGAGCGTGACATTGCAACCTGGCAGGATATGCATGGACAAGAGACCTGCATTCATATGGATAAGGTACTAGCGGAGGATACTATTTCTCGAATCCGGAAACTGCAAGAGATGAACGACTTAAAGGTGGAAGTTGTCATGGCGCATGATGTGCAGTGGTGGGAGAAGAATAAGCATCGAGCGTTTCCGGCATCATTTCGGTAAATTTTACGTGTGGGTCGATAAGAGCTCATGATCCAGGTCAAAAAACCCTGTATATAGTAAAATCTTTACGCACATGAATCGTTACTGTTTCAAATGACCATGTCGGTACAGATAACCTGGCTGAGGAATCTATCAAATCTATAGCTCAACAGTCTCGATATTTCAAATAATATCCCCTACTGTGAAAGCCCTAGTTTCTCTTTCCAGTCCTCATCACCCCCAATATAACGAAACACCACTCTTGAATCTCGATCTCGGCATGCCTTATCCTCACTTGCCCGCTCATATACCGTAAGACCCGAGTCTCCAAGACACAGGTGAGCCCCAACCCTTTTTGCTGTCTCAATGGCGAGAGTGAAATCTTTTTTCATCAACTGCACTTTAAAGCCACCACGATAGTCTTTACTAGCTGGAGCGTCCGGACAGATACCGGGTACCGGGTTCCATTTATCGTTAATGGTGCTCTGAGCCGTGCTCGTCGTGAAAATTCTGGATAACAGGGAAGGATCCATGCCGGACTTGATGCCAATATTCATTGCTTCTGATGTCGCAATGGCAATAATACCGGAGCAGTAATTATTGCACAACTTCGCTGTCAGACCGAGTGAAAACCCACCACATGGGAAAATGGATGATCCCATGCTACTGAGTAGGTCGTTCAATACCGGCATGTTGTCGTCGACTTCCTTACAACCCAACATGAATGTCAAAGTTCCAGCAGCCGCACCTAGGGATCCTCCGGATACTGGTGCATCGTAAAATGATGCCGTCGGATATTTGGTGCGAATGGCATCATGTACATCAATTGATGTCTTCGTGTCGATGGTGGAACAGTCGACTAAGATTTTGCCATTTATCGCCGCAGATAGCACGCCATTGCTTTCTTCGAGATAAACATTCCGGACATGACTTCCTTCTGGGACAATTGTAAAAATGATATCCTAAAACCGTGGTCAGTGGTGCATATTGGTGGCGCTGAGTCTTGACACTGTACAGATCGTTCAGAGACTTCACGTGCACTGGAGCAAACCACAACGACGTGGGGGCTTCTTGTTCGAACTTTTCCACAACCTGGTCGGAGATGTCGTACACATGCAGTATTCCTTCGTCGTCGAGTTTCTTCAACAGGTTCACCGCCATGGGATATCCCATGACACCCAGACCAATGAACCCAAGCATACGTGGCGGCATTGTTGAAAATTTTGCTCCTGTGTATATCGCAGCCGTGTATTTGTGTTCGTTTTGATTCTTGCTGTATATAAGGGCCGCCTGTTGACTAACAGGTGGGGGAAACCTATGTGGGGGAATCAACATTCAGAATGTCTACGGTGCGCGGCAATATAATTGGGTTCAACCGTACGTTGATTTTATCAAATCATAGTTCTCAGTTACTTTTTCTCATTTTGGGTTACAGAAGCAATGGCCGAAAAAACCGCTCCCTCTCTCGAAGAGGCCCACAAACGGCTCTATCAGGAAGGCTTACAGATCCGGTACCAGGTTGCCGGAAAGCCATATGTGGACCGTTCTCTAGCTTCTGCTTCTTCTTTTTCTCAGCCTATGCAAGACCTTGTCACAGAGGCTTGTTGGGGTTCCGTCTGGTCTAGGCCTGGTCTCGATCGCAAACAAAGATCCTTGGTGAACATTGGGATGCTCTGTGCTCTCAACCGGGGTGCTGAATTGGGAGTGCATGTGCGAGGTGGAATTAATAACGGATTATCCGAAACCGAAATTCGAGAGATTCTGCTTCAAGTTGCCGTCTATGTTGGTATGCCGGCCGGTCTAGAGGGATTCAGAATTGCAGAGAAAGTATTGCAGGAAATTAAAGACCAGAAATCACAAAGTGCAGAATGAACGTAAGTGTCAGTCGGGTGGTTTTACTCGTTTTATCTGCGTTTACTGAGAGATGCTATGGACAGAATACTGGCAAGAGACTTGTCAAATTTGAACCCAGATTCCAACCGGATTTGCGTTCTTAACAAGGCCGGAAACGATTTCATCATGATGGCAACGGAACCTTTAGTAGCCTTGCGATTTACCTCAAGGGTGTGAAACACTCTCCGAGTCTCGCTCCATATATATCAAACACTGGCATAAAGATCATGATCTATCCTTTTGAGACATCCTTCCTAAAATCCTCCAGTACTACGTAGCCATAATACAACAGGTCGGCAAAGCCAGTCTTCATAAGTCTAAAAAATCACCATGGATGAAATGGATATCATTCAATATGACCACTTCACAATGTCTTACGTTGAAGCAATTTGCAAGTCTAAGAAACCCAGCCTTTTCATGGGGAACTCTGCCTTCATTGATGGAGAATGGACCATCAAGGACAAGACTTTTGATGTCTATGATGGGTCTCCATTCTTAAAAATGATATAAGAATGGAATATAACTGTTTCCCGCGACTCAGAGCCCTCTGTGGCGACAATACTAAGCACCGCCGCAAACTGCGACATGAGTGCCATGAAAACTGCCATCCAGAGCACACACGACGCGCAGTTGAAGTATTTTTCTGAGACCGCGGCTACTACCCGCGGCCAACTGCTCACCAAATGGCACGATCTGGTGATGTCCAATATAGATTATTGCGTGGAGAACTTCCTAATAGAAACGTGAACATGTTTCGGATTGCGTATATTGCATTTTGATATGAAAACTCAAGTTAATGTGGTGAACGATCCATAAATGTTATGGTGTTTATGGTGTTATGATCGTGATTGGCAGATACTAGGGCCTTTCTGTCAGGAAATGTTAGCTACCCTGAGAGTTTATCAAATATGAGCATATAATCGAACGGAATTTTGTGAAAGAACGGATCATATGTTGAAAGGTAATCCGAAAAGTATCAACAGGCAATTTGGATTCTCAATCAGTTGCTATATAGTCACCAACCGCGTGAAGTGGCTCTGGTTGGGCTTCAGACAAACCAGTAAATACTAAAATGGCCCAAATATTTTACCTTTCACCAGATCCATAACATTATAATGACACCACATACCCCTGTATCTTTTGCCAAACAGGTAGACAGGCAGGGCTGTCACAATGAGTCCAGCGCTGATGCCCCCGAATACATAAAACGGGGTTGCAACCCCATCTTTCATAATCCAGTCGTTGATGAAATAGCTGTAGCCGAAGAACAAAAAGTTTTTGAACATAACGTTAGCCACAAAGATCTCATTGCTCATATTCCCGAAAGCGTCAATCGCGTAAGCCGAACAGGATCCGACTGCAAACGAGATCCCAGCCAGTGTCAAGCCCCACATGAAATCGACTAGATAAATACTCCCATGTGCTTGTGCTGTGGCGCCAAATCCAAAGAGCCCACCAGCGCTGATAAATGCAAATATAACTAGGGGAAGTCGGAATTCTGGCTCATAGATGCCGTTGTTACGTTTTGCCATCCATACGGCAAGACGATCTGAAGTCTGTGCGACTAGAGTACAGCCAATGGCACCGCCAATAAATGGGCCGGCCGACATGTATCCGATCTGTGCTGCTGAGAGTTGATAGGGGGTGGGGAGAATATTTGAGCCACGACGTAAGATATTGCGACGAATGTTGAGGTGACCACACCAGTAATGACGACGGTCCAGAGCGCGGCAAGGTTTGTAAGGCATAGAAATGGGCCTAGTAAGAGCTTCAAAATATTCTCATCGCTATATGAGCCGGTGTAAACAGCGAGCTCTTGCCGGGGGACTTCAAGAGAGCAGCAGGTGGACGTTCAGATATCGAGGAAAACTCGAAATGCTCTATTGTTTCAGCGCCCTTGGTTTCAGCTTTCCCATCGCCGGCTGAAAGTCGTTGGTTGAAGCGAGTATCTCTTTTGTAGCAGGTTTCAGGCGCGAAGAAGAAAAGTAAGAGCGCTTGGAGCCCTGAGCATGCAACCAGCATGTGAAATAGGTAATGCCATCCAAGATTATTTGTAACAGGCCCGGCTATGATGGAACTCAGATTTGAAACAGCTGTGAGAGTGAATGAGATAACATTGACCCAGACCCCACGTTGATGAACGTAAAATAAGTCACCAATCAAAGTGAATGTGATTGATTCGTATGCTGCAATCGAAAGCCCCTGAACAATTCGACCAACGAGGAGGGTGTTATATGTTTGACTGGCCGAGCCGATAATACTCCCAATAAGAGATGCGATTGACGAGGCAAGAAAGACTGGGCGCTTCCCAAATTTGGTAGCCAAAGCCGAAACTAAAGGACAGGAAGCCCCAGCAACGACCAAATTGTAACCGGTTAGAAGAGTGATTTCTGTTATAGGCCGCTTGAGATCCTCCGCAAGAACCACAATACTGGCGCTGAGCAGTGGCCCGATTGTAGCGGCATTCAGGCATGCCCCAAAAACCATAATTGTCACGATTATGATTTTTTCCGCCAAGGCCAATTCAGAGGGTCGTTGGGGTCATCCGACGGTTGCGGGATGAGAAATATGTTTTCGTCACGCCCCTTGCCTCGTTTGAGTATTGCAGTATTGTCAATAGATTGCTGGTCAACATCGGCCAGCGCAACAGTTCCAGGGACGTTGGGTAGCCCTGATCGGTCCTCAAGTACACCCAAGCCCATTTTAAAAGAGCTTCGTAGATAACAGCGTGGTTGGTTAACGAGTAAGTGAGGCTAAAGAAAGGCCCACAAGTTTTTGAAATCAAGCTAGCATAAATCATGCTAAATAAGTACTTTTCGGTATGCTAAAAGATTGAGCTAGTGAAACATTTCATGTGGGGGGAGCACTAACTACAGTGATCAAAAAAGTAGTCAAAGACTAAAGTTTGGACTTGGAGATGTGGCAAAAATTATAATGTGATTTGAGTAATCAAATCGAATGTTTCTTCTCAACGATCTGCTATTGAGAAATAACATATTAGTACGATCTTATAGGTCTAGGCTAGAGGGATCCCCGGAATATAGATATTCTGCTAATGTAAAGTCATACGGTGTAGCCAGATGATTTTCGTTGAATAGATATTAGTGTCCTGTTGTGGGGTTTTCTATCCGAATCAAGCCTCTTTTCCTGCGTCTATACGGGACCCACAACGGGGTATTGGCATCATAATCACACACGAATGTTACGCATTTCTTATCTACTTCTTCCTTTTGCCGCCTTGTCATTTTTCATGACCATTCGTGGCACATTGAATCCCATAAGGTCAGACATTTATATTTGCTCATACACATTGCCTCGTCATATCCCCTACACTGTGCAGTCGTAAGGACCAAAAGGTCAAGTCCTTGCAATGGTGTCCGTGCGAGCAGTAAGCTAGTCCAGCAACAGCAGATGATGCCAAACCTCTTAGCCCTTCGTACAATGGGGTTACCCCAGACTTCAAACACCAGACTCACCCCACCCAACTACCCCGGATTCGCCCCACCTGTTAAAATGACAAGGAGAGACAAAGGAACCGGTGAAAACCCCCGTGGGATCTTGACGTAAGGAATAACAGATAATTCGAACTCTATAAATGATGCTGTTGTCTCTGTACTGAGAGAGTCAGTGAGATCCAATTTTAACCCTTATTTATCTAGCCCGAGCTTTAATTATTGGCTGAATCAACCGGACATTATTTTTGGTACATTCTCCTCATAGCGGTGCCAGCAAGGCAATTGCTAGGAATGTTCAATAACAAGAAGCCACGATGAGGAACTGAATGTAGCAGTTCAAGATGCCGCCATCTTGGAGGTGTACGTAGTACTCTTGAGTGTTTCCAGGCTTCATTCAAGCTGTGAGATATCCAGGAGCGCTATAATTGATGCATTTCGATTTATGACGCCTGAAGTCGATTGAATCTTGACACCTTCCTAGAAACTCTAGATACCCGCGTATATGTCTGACCCCATGTTTCTTGCCCCGCTCAAGGTACTCTTGGGACGAATATGACTTGGTTTAATGGTAAGATTTGAAAAAAATTCTGACTTAGCATTTGCCCCGTTCCAAAGAGATCAAATCATGAAACAGGTTCCTTGTAAGCTTCTTCCCAAAAGCTTGCTGAGTCTTCTCCCAGCCAACGTTGGCTTTCGTTTGGATAGTCAGGTTTGGTGCGAAAATATAGCTGATCCTGACTGAGTTCCACTGTTTGCCCATTAAGCGTATCATCTTTGAGAAACGTATCGTACGCCTTTATGATGGTCGACATTGGAGTAATATGCTCTTTTGGAAAGCGATCTAGCATATCTTTCGGACAGAGCGCAGTGGGTACAAAGGCCGGACAAATGGCGTTGACCTGTATATTCTGCTGATCGAGTACCGGTGCCAGTGCTCTAGTGAGCCCAACTAGAGCATGCTTTGAGGCTGTGTATATGGGGTTCGTGGCCATTTGATACAGCCCTGCAGAAGACGACGTTATAACGACCTTCCCACCAGGGCTTTTATTTTGCCGGGCATAATGTTTGAAGAGCCAAATACCCTGTACGACGGCGGTGAAATTCACGTCCATGACCTTTAGATTCAAAGGAAGTGGGATACCATTTTCGTCATACTGGTAATCATTTTCATAGAGGAATTGCGTGTCAGCAATTCCAGCATTTCCAGCAAAAAGATCTAGTCTGCCGCCTCCCCAGGAGAATGCCTTTTTAAATAAATCGGCTTGTTGCGAATAGGAACTGACATCCGTCAGGCAGAATAAAACTTGATCTCCCAGTTCGGCTGCCACGCTTTTTCCGGACTCTTCGGCGATATCTGCCATAACAACTCGCCATCCGTTTGCAACGAGATGTTTCGTCACGGCAAACCCCATTCCTGACGACGCGCCGGTGATGATGGCAACTGGTTGAGACATTGCGGGCGAAACTGTCGAAGTGAAGAAATAATGGAGAACAAGTACGATTGCTCTCAAAACCAGTATTTATAAAAACCTATTCCGATGAATAGGTTGCCAATGTGGGGTAGATGGGTGGCGAGATCAGCTCACTGATATACCCCACTTATTAATCGAGTAGTGCGGACTATCCTGTGCTCCTGGAATATTTCAAGTATTTTTCAAGGATAACATTAAGTGGTTTTACAGTATAAAAGGTGCAACGTGTGTTAGCTTTGACCAATCCCTCGAAGTCGACCTCTCTCAAACATGTCTTCCAAAAACCGCCCTTCTATCCCTACTCTTGAAGAGAAGCACAATGGCGTCCCAGCGCGTCTGCTACACAAAGCATATCGTGCGAAAGGCCTCATACAGGATATTGCTACGAAGGAATCCCGGGCTAGAAATCGTTTGCCCGTGCTACCACAGGGAATTGAGAAAACTCGTTTTTTCCTTGCGATTGATGAAATATCGAGAGATCTGGGCAATGATAATGTCGAGATCAATGATAAACCACTGGATGACGGCTGGTAAGATCTACTTTTGAGCAAACTCAGGGCTGATCGTAGAGGTCTAACAATCCATAGGTATATGGAGCGTGAGTTGTTTGTTTTATTCAAAACGATTATATTCTAACAGGTGACCTCGAAACCAGCCCCCAATACACATGACGGAATGGCTATCACAGATGAGGAAGAACTGGTTGCTTCTGCAGTGATCTATCCGGGTAGTACAGATGATGTACAAAGTATTGTACATTGGGCAAACAAATATCTTATCCCTCTGCATCCCATTTCAATGGGACGTAATTGTATGTTATCACTCTATCCCATCCCTCCAACGTGACAGCCATCTCTGATTTGTAACTGGCAACAGTTGGTTATGGTGGAGCCGCACCACGCGTGCGTGGAGCCGTGGTTGTTGACCTTGGGAAGCGCATGAATAGGATTCTCGATATCAATCCAGATGACTGTACTTGCTTGGTCGAACCAGGTGTCTCCTACTATGCACTTTACGAGGAAGTGCAAAGGCGCGGGTACAAGAATCTGTGGATTGATGTTCCTGACCTAGGGGGTGGGTCAGTGCTAGGAAATGCCCTTGATCATGGGGTAGGGTATACGCCTTACGGCGATCATTGGGCAACGCATTCCGGCCTCGAAGTTGTAACGCCGACTGGCGAGATAGTTCGGACAGGGATGGGTGCCCTACCAGGAAATAACACTTGGCAAGTTTTTCCTTACGGATTTGGACCTTTTCTTGAGTACGCTCAGTCCCAATATTGTTTCTACCAGTTTAATCAAACTGACACGCCCTGCTAGTGGCATGTTCTCGCAGTCAAACTATGGCATAGTCACTAAAATGGGATTTGGCTTGATGCCCAATCCGGGTGGTCATGAAAGTTTCGTGAGTTTCCTAATAATAACTTTCAGGTCGGTATTAACCTGTCCGGAACAGCTGTATACTTTCAAAAAGGAAGAGGATCTCGAGCAGCTTGTGGAGATTGTACGACCTCTACGCATTGCTATGATTCTAGAGAACGCGGCAAATATCCGCCATGCTTTGCAAGTTTTGGCTTTGTCTGGAAAGCCTCGGTCCACATTCTACGATGGGAATGGCCCTTTTCCTATCAAGAAAATGCACGAGTTTCTTCAGACTCATCCTTATGGCGAATGTACCTGGCTATATTATGGCACCTGCTACGGGCCGAAGGAAGTGCGCAAGTTGAAGCTAGATATCATCCACCGTGAGTTTATGAAAGTGCCAGGGGCACGTCGTATAGAACCGGCGAAGCTACCTCCAACAGACTATTTCTGGTCCCGCGACAGGATTTCAAGTGGGGAGCCGGACCTCGAAGAACTTGCCTGGGTCAATTGGTGGCCAAATGGTGGACACGTTGCGTTCAGTCCAGTAGCGCCTACTCGTGGGGCCGATGCACTACGGTTGTGGCATATGGCGAAGGAACACTGGGCTAAATTCGGGCTGGACTTTTTCTTTGATTTTGTCGTTGGGCTCCGTGAACTCCATCTTATTGTCGAATGTGTGTATGACCGCGATGATTCCAAACAGCGAGCAAATGCACTGGCGGCAATGAGATCCCTCATTCAGGAAGCAGCTGAGAAGGGATATGGTGAGTATCGTACGCATTTACTTCTGAGCGATCAGGTCGCTGGAACTTACTCCTGGAACGACAATGCGCTCATGAGATTGAATGAAAAGCTCAAAGACTGTCTTGATCCCAACGGAATCCTGGCGCCTGGCCGGAGTGGCATCTGGCCTGCAAGATACAGAGGAAGAGGTTGGGAAATTCACGGAGACAGGAAGTCATCCGAGGGTGATGGAGTAACCCCGCCCCCAGCATCCACAAAGCTTTGAGTTTTTGATCTATTTGTTATCCATATGCTCTCCTTGCCATCGCAATGTATCTATTCTACCAATCCTTTTACCGCTATCTCAACTCTAAACATTTTGTCCACATGATCTTTTCATCATTTCTTGTGGACTGCTCTTCCAACGCAATAGACCAATAGCATCGTATAGAAATTTCCGTCACATTTTTTACGCCATTTGTCATCGCTTCAATTTCAAAGTCCATCACTTTTCTGCTTTTTTACCAGTATGGTCTCTAGAATCTGGGTCCTTTGAGGTATGTAGATCATTATCGAACGGCGTGATCGGCAGTAATCAAGAGCTGTACAAATGAGCCAATATTTTATTGGATGATGGTGTTGATAATATGGACGATAATGCGCAAAGGCGGGATGCAAAGTTGAGATTCTCACTAAAGACATCAGTATCATATACTAGTAGAGCCTGGCATGATACTTTGTCAAAGTATGGGCACTAGTATCACCATCTCTGGAAGTTCCGTGGCTTCGGGTGAAGGGCTGAGCTTCTCCACACCCCACACTCAAACCCAACGAAATGGCACAAATTTAGATGAACAGATATCTCACTCAGCTTCCAATCTATAGTCCTTGCCACCACTTCCAGCCCCCACATGGTGCTATGGCAACTTGAGGTCATACCGATTCGGGACAGATTATTAATAAGACGCATCTTTCCTGTCACCAATATCGAACACGACTTCCCCTTCCCCATCGTCATACTTGACCTCGACATGTCTGTATCGCAAAGTGGTCAGGTTGTTGGTGTCATTGGCCCTGCGGGATTTGGAGGTTCATACCTATGTGTTGAACTTATCCGGAGAGGACATGCAGTTATTGGACTCTCACGCAACCCTGAATCCTTTGGTACATGCCCAGGCTATACACCCAGAAGGCTTGACATTGAGTCAGCTAGCATAAAAGATCTGGCTAAAACTTTCGACGATATCGACGTATTGGTGAGCCAATATGGTCCACACACACAAGGAGCAAATGCACTTCAATACAGTAAGCGAATTGTTTTTCTTCAGAATTGAAATTTGGTCCTAGTCTCATTCAATCTCCCACAGTGCCGTATGTAGAGGTGGTTAGGAAACTTGTTCTAGCTTTCAAGTTGGCCAATATCAAATACTTCGTATTTGTGGGAGGAGCTGGCAGCCTTGTGGTCCCTAAAACACATGAGTCTCTAGCAGACGACCCAAACTTTTTCCTTTCATATCGCCGGCAGATGGCAGAAAGCAATGCGCACGTACAATACATGGAAGAGCGTCTTGGTCCGATTGGGAAAGACTTACGTTTATACCGAAATGCTCGTCTCGCCGTCAAATCTGGAAAAGCTACCACCACGGACCTGCACACCATAGAGACATATGAAGACAACATCTGCAAAAACGATCAAGCCTCCGATTATATCAAAGCAGGGAGGGCTACGCTCTTGTTTTTTGAAGGAAACACGTCATTTCCGTGGACGTTTGTCTCGCCTAGCCCATTATACAGACCAGGTCCACGAACGGGGAGCTACGAGATTACCATCGACTATGTTCCTTTGAAGGGAGTTCAAAATAAGGAAAATATATTAGATGGGCGGTTGACAGGAATCTCAGCGGCAGACTTGGCGGTTGCCATTGTGGACGAAATTGAGTCTCCGCAGCTTCTACACAAGCACTGGACTGCCTCGGCCGACTTGTCTAATGACATAGCCTATCCCTGCTATGTAACAGCCAAGGACATATAGAGCGTGCCTTCTGAGTGGTTTTTAATGCAATCATCCTTGTAATTAATAGTGAGCAGCTCATTCCCTTGATATTCTTTTTCTCTGTAGAACATCGTGTGAGGTAGAAACGTGACCTAAAACAGGCCATAGACGTGTCTCGATTTATCCGCCAATCCCGAGGTTGTTGTAGTTCCAAGTTGTGATGCATTTATGTTGCGCCCAACTATGCAGGAACCGTCCGTCACTTAACCCCTCATGTGCGGTAAGCGACCAGCTCGCATCCTTCTTCTATCTCCTTCTACCAGAGCCCAGAATACAGTAATGGCATACGCCGGATAGCTTCATGGGAAGCAAATTGTCGCATTTCCACTTTTCTGTCTTCAGGTAAACATGCTAGCACCGTGTTCGCTACGTCCAAGTCTTCAACAACAATGCCTTATCCAATAGCCGGAGGCAGAAGCGGGTTGGTCGTCATTTTCACCAATAGCTTTACTGCAATCTAGACAAGGAGACTCCGTCGTAACATCCATTCTCAATATTGCCCTGCAGGTTGGTAGATCGTGTAGGTGGGGGAGACCGTATAAATGCCGCTTGTGGGGTGAAGAAGTTTTATATAAAATCTCCTCACTTACAACAATTTCGTCCAGTAACACCCACTTTCGACTCATGGCGCTGATAACTATCGGTATTCTGGTTTCCGTGACCACGTGCCTCGTTTTCCATCTTCTCACTGTAACCTTGGCTCCAAGGAGAGCACCAAAGGGCTTGCGAGATGTTCCCGTTGCCGGAAGTCAAGCAGCTCTAATGGGCGCCCACCCGCAACGGCAGCTACAAAGTTGGAGTCGAGAACATGGGGAGCTTTTCAAGGTACGCTTAGGTGGCGAGCAATGGATCTTCGTGAACAGCCCAGCAGCCGTGAAGGAGATCTTCGATAGGCAATCACAGCACTCCTCCTCTCGGGCTCCAAGTCCAGTCGTGTCGGATCTTCTCTCCGGTGGTATGAGGTGAGGAAAATGCGATTACCTGAGTTTCTCACTACGTTACTTGACTAACACTCATACAGGTTCTTACTGATGCCGTACTCGCCCCATTGGAGGAAGCTACGTGCAATTGTGCACAAGCTCCTGACCCCAAGGTCGTCGAACACCTTTATACCCTCCCAGGAATTTGAAGCAAAACAACTTCTGTGGGATATTTTAACCGACAATGGAAACCAGGAGAATTTCTACATGCACATCCGCAGGTATACTACGTCCGGTTAGTCTCGATTCACAAGATCATCATATCCGCCCTGCTAAGAAATTATTCCAGTGGTAATGACCTCCACTTACGGACGACGAGTCCCTGTATGGGTACGTAGCTTGTCTTGATAGCTCACATGACACATTTGTTGATCCGCCTATTAGGATTGCGAAGATGTTCACGAGATATACGGTCTAATGCAGGAGTTTAGTGAGGCTGCAAACCCGGGAAAGCACATTGCCGAAATCTTTCCAGCCTTAGCCAATATTCCTGTTTTCATGCAATGGTGGAGGAGGGCTGCACAGCAGTCTTTTAATCGCCAAGCGGCTATTTGGATGAAATACTGGACGCAACTTAAGGCGCAGATGAATTTGAATCAGGCCCCCGAATGCTTTGTGAAACAGTTCATCGAGACTGACTATGGAAAAAACGGTATTAGCGAGCTTCAAGCGGCCTTTGTGGCGGGTAGTACGTCGTTTTCCGATTACCTACACAGGGGTTTATAAAAGCTAACAATCAGTCCCAGCAATGATCGAAGCTGGGTCGGAAACGACATCTTCGGCGCTCAACTCCTGCGTCAGGTATTTTGCAGCCTATCCAGAAGCCCAGGCCAAGGCATATGAGGAGATTCGCCGAGTGGTCGGCGAGAATCGCGTCCCTAGTTTTGAGGATGAACGAGACCTACCTTACATAAGAGCCTGTGTCAAGGAAGTTCTTCGAATCCGACCTGTCACTAAGTAAGTTTGTCTAAAATTAATTTTCATTCTCTTAATACTAATACAATTATCAGTATTGGAAGCCCCCACTACACCACGGCCGACATTGTGTACAAGGACTACTTCATCCCGGCAAACACCGTCGTCTCTGTCAACCAGTATGCACTTCACTTTGACCCAGAACGCTACGATAAGCCAGATGATTTTATACCGGACCGCTATCTCAACCATACCCTGAAAGCGGGTGCATACGTAGCGCATCCTGATCCTTATGAACGAGACCACTTTGACTTTGGCGCTGGTCGACGAATCTGCCCGGGCATGCATCTGGCCGAAAACAGTCTTTTTATAACAATTGCTTCCATTATCTGGGGCTTCGAAATCCTACCACCAATTTTGGATGGCCAGGTCAGCGCGGTTGATGTTTCTGATGCAGCCTACGAAGAGGGAGTGAACACCCTCCCGAAGCCTGGAAAACTGCTATTTGTGCCGCGCAGTGCGGTAGTGGAGAAAACTATCAAGGCGGAATGGCAGAAAGCGAAAAAAGATGGTTATATGCTAGGGTCGATCAAAGTGGATGCTGAGGGGATGGTCGCCGGCAGCAAATAAAAATGTTAGGAAGTATGCAATAGTGCGCGCTCACTGAGGTACTACCACCTCGATATAAACAACACATGCTTAGTCGCCAGTGATACTTTGGAAACATGAGACTGGTGGTTGGTTGCTGGAACATTCAAATACAGAAAATCAAAATGTGTTTTTTCCTTCTTTTTTTCGCCGAAATATCACAACTGATGCAAGCATCTAAGTATGGTGACCGGCCGAAATAGGGTTGGCAGGGCGTAAAACAACGCTAATAGCGGATATCCTAATTTTACAAGCCCCAAATGTCCAAATGGCTGATTATAAGCTGGACGGTATGTCAGAAGTGGACTTGCAATTTTGCAATGCACGTATATCTATGATCACAAAGTTTTGAAACCGCTTAAGAAGCTTTGAAACATTTCTACCCAAGCTTGCTATCCTTTCTTCTATTGCTTCCCTAAGAACCCTCTTCGGCATCCCGAGAAAAAGAGTGCGTTCCTGAGGCCATGCCTGGCCTGCATCGAATTATTTCTTGCGCCACTCTACGATTACTTGAAGCTCGCCTAGAATTACGCTATCCTCTCAACACGATTCAGAACCTTCAGCCCCACAGATGACACAGCCTTTATTGGCTGGGCGAATGGTGCCTGCGCTTAGATTGGCTACGCACCATCAAAAAGAGGGGTTGATAAGATATTAATTCGTTGTCCAGCTCTTGTACCGATCTACTCCTCCCTCACTGCCATTTTTATCAGGTAACTTGAGAAGACACGAGATACCACATCCGTCACGAAGTGCCGTCATCGATCCTATAAGACGAGATGAAGCACGAAGACTACAAGGTCGGATGGATCTGCACCCTGCCTACAGAGCTTGCGGCTGCCGCCTGCATGTTGGATGAACGCCATGATGTTTTGCCTCAACCAGCCCCCGATGACAATAACTACACTCTGGGTCGGATTGGGCCTCATAATGTGACGATTGCGGGACTTCCGGCAGGTGTGACAGGTGTCACCTCAGCGGCTCGTGTAGCCAAACAGATGCGAACTACATTTCCCTCTATAAAGTTTGGCTTGATGGTCGGAATTGGAGGCGGAGTGCCGAGTTACGATCACGATATTCGACTCGGGGATGTGGTAGTAAGCAAACCAGGTGACACCTCAGGAGGCGTCATACAGTTCGACTTTGGCAAGACAGTGAAAGAGGGTCGCTTTGTGCGGAGCGGCTCTCTGAATCGCCCTCCGGATGTTTTGTTAAATGCCGTCACCAGTCTGCAGGCACGACACATGTACGAAACATCCCAGATCCCGAGAATCTTGTCCGACAGTACGGCTCGATTTCCTCTTCGCAAACAAGCATGCTCCTATCCCGGCGCGAGCTCTGACAAGCTCTATCACTGGGAATATAACCACCTTCAGTGCCAAGCGACATGCGCTCAGTGTGATTCCATACATCTCGTCAGTAGGCCTTCACGGCCATCCAATGATCCGGTAGTGCACTATGGCTTGATCGCTTCGGGAAATCAGGTGATGAGAGATGGTGTGACACGCGAACAACTTCGCAAAGAACTAAACATACTCTGCTTCGAGATGGAGGCGGCAGGCCTTATGGATAACTTTCCATGTCTTGTTGTGCGGGGGATATCTGACTATGCAGATACCCACAAGAATAAACAGTGGCAAGACTATGCCGCGGCAACGGCTGCAGCTTACGCCAAGGAGCTCCTCGGAATCACTCATATTCACGGCAATGTTAGTAATGAGGGTGCGGAGAAGAATATCTCCGGACGTATGACCTCCCGACGAGAATCTCGGTTGATATGCGCTTCCGTCCGTGAAAGAGCATGGCGAGGGGCGTATTGCTAATTTCCCCTCGTGTACCCAGGTATCCAAATACTAAATCCTAACATCGCCTCTGACCGCGAAACATTGTACCGACATTTTCTCTCTTCACTTTCCACAGATCCTATCCCTCGCGAGGACCACTGCGCTCAGCAAGCATACCATGTCAGCGAGCATATTCTCTGGAAGTCTCACCAAGTCGGTCCTTGGGAACTGTGGCTACGTAAATACCTGGAGGACGGAAACCCCTTAAATATCCGAGATTTTAGGGGCAAAACACCTCTTCATCATGCGGTGGTGACGAAATACGAGAGAATTGATAAGGTGAGGGCGTTAGTAGAGGCGGGGGCAGATTTAGCCATGAAAGATTTCATGGGGCAGACACCCGTGGATCTTGCGAGGGACACGGATGAGCAGATCTTCCTGTTTCTTTTAAAGGCCTGGCAGAACTTGGCTGTGGCGGAAAAGAGAATCAGGATAGGGAATAGAATCATCTCATAGCAAACAGAGGATGACCGAGATACTGCTTCGAAGATTAGTGACGCTGTTACGGGAAGTGACTCACTGTGATGCGTGATCAACGGAACGCAGACTGTCGTATGACGAAGGCATCTCTGCTGAACTCAGACGATCTGAGCGATTGACAAAAAGAGCTAGAAATTGACGACGATGTTCAAAATCCAGAGAGGCAGCCTTGCTTGCGGTAGCTTACAGAGGGGAAAAAGCGTGGTCAGCCCTACGATGTACTTACCCGAGATCTCTTAAACATTTGGCTGGTAACTGTCTCACAATGCCAGGGTTGGATGTGGGAGACGATTGTCACAAAGCTGATCTTCTAAGGTAGCCGAGCAAAGTATTAGAGTACGAAGACTTTGCTGGCAGAAATGTCGCGTCATTTTGTACAGTAGACGGAAGAGATGAAATGATTGGGTATATGAGAGCCGAAAACAGTTTCGCCTCTGTACACACACTTGTTGTTTCTCGGTCCTCGCCTTCTCGAAACGCACACCCACAATCGAAGATCTTTATCGCCGTTTCCATAATAAGCCATCGCCATTCAAACTCGACAAGGAAAACCAGTTGAAGATGCTCCGTCAATCGAACTCGCAACAAAGACGCGTCTGCCGCACAGTCCCTACCAGGGTTTTAATCTCAGCATTACTAGCATTCTAGCAACAACTGGCGGAGGTGCAGCCAGCCGCGGGCAACCGTTGACCGCGTTTTCTGGGAGTTCATTACAGCCGCGCCATGAGAGCAGCCTAACACCACGAAGGGCACACCGGCCACGGCGGGCCTTATCAGGTGAGGTGCAAAGTTCACCGTTCAGGAAGTTTGGAACAACGATAGTGGAACAAAATCATGTATTTACAAAAGCTCTACACCTGAAAGGCCCGATAGATAATGTTTGACTTCTGTCCAGCCAATTCCGCACGACGTTTTTCAATATTCTTGGCATCTTGCTCTGCAATGATTTCCTCACCCGTTTCGGGGTGGTCCATCTGGGATTCTGTGTGCGGGAAGAATCGATTAAACCCCCAGTAGAAGACGCCAGCGGCAACAAACGAATAGATGTACCCGATGGCGAAACTGTACAGAAATAAATCAGCGTGAGTTCAGTTTGAGTACAGTTTCTCAAGACCCCTCCCAGAGCACATCGTGCGGAGTTAAAGGAAAGTGACCTACAGATGTCGGCCGCCAATAGAGACAATGGTTATGTCTCCTCCAGAGTCAACAATGTTGTTGACAAAACCAGGCAGGGGTGGAGCGCAGCCAATGAAGAAAGCAGCGACAGCGCGCCAGTTGGTAGCAAATTTTGGGGAGTATCGGTATATGCCGTGAAAGTTGTACATGTCAGGCACAGAAACGTTACCGCGTCTGACAATGAAGTAGTCGCACATGAGAATGGATGTCATGGGACCAAGGAAGATGGTGTAGCCTCCTAGGAAAGCAAGAAATGTCGCGGCTGATGCGAGAATCTTCCACGGGACAAAGGCCCAGCTACCAATAAAGGCAGCGAGCAGTTGGCCTCGGCGAATGTCGATGTATTTGGGGGCGAATGCCATGAGGTCATTGGCAGCACTAATGGAGTTTGCGGAAATGTTGATACCGAGAGTGACGATGATCAAGCCGATGGCGCCGAATGCAGCAGCAGCACGTCCAACGCTGGAACCGGACTCCATCCACAAGCTGATAATTTCAATCGGATTCCACATAACTTCACCATATGCTGTCTGAGCAGCAGCGGCGGTGAAGATGCCTAGCAGGCCAACAATTGCTAGACGACCAATTTGTTAGAGAACTAGAGAAAATGGATGTGGGTACGTCAGGTAGTGTACATACTGAAGATGCACGGGATGACGATAGCTTGGATGTTCTGTGCGCTGGGCTTATCGGCGTATCTCGAGAAGTCGGCAATATTTAAACCCAAGGTGGCGTAGTTACCCAAAACTCCATTGAGATCTACGAGAAAGGCACAGGTCAGCAAAGTCATTAGAGGTACTACGATGGCAACGAGAAGTGACTGACTTCCGAAAAAGGCCCAGGCGAGGACTGAGCCGCTCACGGTAGGTCCTTCAGTGATGACCGTACTCTTGCTGATGGTACCACCAGCCTTGTGCAGCGTGTCTCCGAAAACAGCCAAGAAGATAATCGGCGCGATGACTGACTTGAAGGCAAAGAAGTATTGAACCTTGGCAGTATTAGTAAAAGTCCATTAGGCGAGTGAACGGGGAAGGTTCCGCGGAAGCAAATTTGGCTTTTTTTGTTGGGTTGGGGGGATGGGGGTTTTGTTGGCTGCATAGATAGTACCTTGGTATATGGTATGCACAGGAAGGGCAGCTGGAGGAGGAAATAGAGCAAAAATGCAATCATTCCCGACGTCGTGATGCCCTCATCTTCAGGAATATGATTGGGAATGTTGGCGAAACTTGGCCAGATGGCTGTGAGCAATACAGCCATGCATTGACCACCTGTGGTTGTTTGGACACCAAGCCAGACAATGGCGAGGACACAACGGGATAGGACAACAAAGTAGCTGAAGTAGTAACCAAATGACATTCGCACGAGGACGGGGAACGGGGTATGAAGAATGGCACCGATCCTGCCATTGGACGTGATGACGAGACCCATGATGGTGTTGCCAAGGACACAAGCACCAATAGCCATCCTCCAGTCGAGGCCGACTGCAATCATGGAAGAAGCCACTTCCCAGTTGGAGACGGCCCAGGCATCGGCCATCCAGTAGGCGACATACGCGCCCCAATTCCAGGTGCGTTTCGACGGGGGAATTGGGTCGAAGTCAGCATTAGATGCTCTGGGCGTGGCAGCGAAGCTGCTCTCCTCCTGACGAACTTCCCAGCTGAAGCCAGGCAGGCGTCGTCTGAGGTTGCCCACGTGACCGGTCTCGAAAATCTCATTGTCGGAGCAGCCTTCAGCGGGGCTCTTCTCGAATATTTCCTTATTCTCTTCGGATGCCATGACGCGTGATGGTGTCAATGTGGATGTGACTTGCAGAAGCATCGTGTACAGGGATGCGTTGATCGGGAATGGAACCTATTTATCGATAGGTGCAATGTATACATATATATCACAGGATTTTAGGCACAAGATTAGGGCAGGAAAGGATGGGAAACGAGCCGTGGCCTCATGGAGCTTAGCTATCGCGCGTTCCAAACTCCTTTCTCGAAGGAAGGGCCGTTGAGAAAGTGATCGGAGGGTAACGGGGATTTGTGGCGTCCGTATCTACAATGCTGCGCGTGTACTCCATATAGATCGAAAGATAAAGGATTGTGACAACAAATGATAATGTGCGCTCAAATGCCGATGAGCCCGCTTATCTGACCAGCTGATGCCTTTATTCTCACCACAGAGCTGCCAGTCATAAGCAGGGCGCTTTGATTGGCCAATCCTCGTCACATCCTTATCATACAGACCATGCTTATCTATGTTCATTACCCCGTAGTGTTCGCTATCAACAGGTATTAACTACAGAGTTCGGAGTACAGAGGTCATTTCAAAAGTTTGCAATTTCCCCCTATCTCCACTTGCCATATAGAGCTAGCTACCATGAGACTAAAAGATATTTGGTTCTGATCGGTGATGATGGGCAAAAACAATATTGGTCAACACAGCAGTGTGTAACTGGATTATTTTGTTCCCACCGCCCGGCCAATTGCTACCCTGGACAGCCGGTGTAAAAGATGCGTGGAATTGAGTTCAGGAATGGATCCATTTAACATCCCCCACTTGTCATCCGCCGATTAGAAACACCCCTCATGAATTGGCCTCCGGGGAATACTAATCAAGGAATATCAACGATATGCTAGCTTTGCACAAATTGGAGTGGCAAAGCATGAGATGGTGCCGTGCACGTTTTTGACCCTTTTATTATAGGCCAAAATCCCAGGGGCTGGAGGTTTCCACGACCGACCATCAACTGATTCGCAAACAGGGTGCTTTTCGGTTATTGACCCCAGGAATCCTTAGTGCGTTTGTTTGCAATTTAAGTTGTTCTCAGCTTGTTCTTAACCGTCTGCTGCTTACCATTTATTGCTGACTGTTTGTCGATCATTTGCAGTTAACCGTTCACCCTTCACCATTTACCGTCTGTTGCGAGCATTGTTAATCTCTCATTTTTAAACGTACGTTCTTATTTTTGGTTGACACTGTGCAACAGCAATATATAGTTTGACCAAGCTTAATAGCACCTGGGTAGATCTGCAGTTTTTGACGGTGCTTTTTTTTCTTTCCTTTCTTAACAAGGTAGTCTGCGTATCTTTTGACCCAAGAGGAGAGGTAATACTTGTAGGTCATGACTGTATCTCCTCGTCTGGCTCTGTTGTAAAATTACCTATGCTACTCGTTGTTCTCTCCATCATCCATTCCAGTTGGAGCGAGGGAGAAAAGCTTCACCCAAAATGCGTTAGTGATTTTAGTCCAAGTCCTGGTTTTCCTTATAGTAGCCCTGAAGACAGCCCTGGGGGTAGATGGGCCTCTTTTTCTTTCTCTTTCCTCGATCTGGCTAATCGCCGAGCAGTCATTTCCGAGCAGCTTCTACTCTACTCCCTCCACGGGTAAAGATTTAGAAAAATTGAAGAACCCCCATATGCGTATCAATATCTAGACTATGATTCAAAACACTTATGGGTGCCGGGCCCGGGTAATCACTTCCCAAGTCTAACTTGTACCCATCATATAGAGTACATCATCGTTCTCACGCGAATGTTTCGTGGTAAACCAACTTAAACACCAGTGCAGACGTAGTACCCGTTCCAAAGGTTGCTACACTTGGCATCGACAGTGGGGTTCCACTTTCGGAACTGAGCGAGAGTAATGCCGCCAGCCTTCTTCTGTATCTCAGGGCAACTCTCACCATCAGTCACCGTGTGGTACTTCTTGCAGTCCGAGGTCAGGTTGGGCATCTGCGGCGTGGGGCCATGGGTGTTGACCGCGCCGGGAACGTGGACACAGACATTGTAGTCCAGTTGCAAGTTGGTGCAGCC